TCACTGCGGAACACGGCAAAAAGAAATCGAAGCCATTCCAGGTCGTTGGCGACGTCACAGATCAAAATATGGGAAGCGATATGATAGATGTTATTTTGAAGTATGGATAATAACAAACATTTTATGTAATACTGAACTTTTAGACGGAAAACAAGATTATTGAGGTCTAACCTACTTATGGATATCGAAAACATGATTTATATTGGATGATTTATGGTAATCGGCTGTCGTTTCGACTGTATATAAGGAATAGATGTCGATAATATTTCCAGTACATTTTCGGTGTCACATATAAAAACACCATGAGATTGATTCAATTCTTGGCTGTTTTCTTTATTGTTTTTGGAGTTGCAAATGCAGGCTTGCTTGGTAGGTAAAATACGCAAGGTAGGAGTATATCAATTTAGATTGGCTTTTCGGAGACAGCAGCGTCGAAAGTTCATCTCCACCTCCAGTTGTCGCTGCATCGACTTACCCTCCATTTGTACCCAGTCCAGAGCCGTAACTAAAGCCAGACGATCTCTGGCAAACGATGCACCAAAAACCGCCCAGAACTAAACAATAAGAGAAATCAAGTCAAGAAAATGTCAACCCTTTTCCAACTCTTTTAATGTGCATACTGCATAAATAAATAAACTACTGGCAAGTATTGTGCATTATACATAAAACCAGTCCAAGAACGTATCCGTATTCAATTTTTTGGCAAAAATATTATTATAATACACGCATTTAAATTGACAATTTTTAACGTTTGCGTATATATCCGTACCTAACAAAAAATAAGAAGACGTGACTCGCTGCTCGAGACAAACTGACCTGATCAGCCAACAAGTCCTCGAATGGCAATCAGAATTCCAGCCAGCGGAGTTGGATAGATCAGTCGAGCGATCGGGCTTGTTGCTGGTCGACAGCAACATCACCAACAGAGCCATATAGTTGTTCTGCAAAAATTATGCAAATCAAAACAAAGCTTCTTTTTCCAGTAATTTTGATAAAAAGCAGAGAGAAAAAACAAGCTGTTGAGCAGAGTTTTGGTGTAAAAAATGGGTTGACATTGACTTTAAAAAATCAACGCATAGTTCAATTTTCGTCCTGCAGCGATTTTCCAAAATCTGCACTCCTTTTTCCCAAATTTTGAGCTTTTTTGACACTAATTTTTCAAAATAAATGTTAACTCATTTTTGCACCAAAATTCAACGCAACAGTAAAAATAAAAGCCAAAAACTTCTGTAAACACCGTTATCCTGATTTTTATTGGTACTCTTCCTCTCCTCGGCGCTCAGCTTACCCTGATCATAAAATTCACGCTTTAGCCTCACCATTTTGACATCTTGTACAAAGAACAGTTATCAAAAACAAGGGTGATAGCCATCAAATATCAAATATACAGGGTGTTTCAAGAAATATGGCAGAAACTAATTGCGAATATCTTTGAGCTCTTGCTAGTTATCGCAGAAATTCTTTTTGTTTCTAAAACTTGATATCGGGCGGTTTTGTACTGAACAAAAAAACATTTTTTTCGTCGGCGGAGAGGCCAGTTCTCGGCGGAGGCGTTTGGGGCCTTTTTTAAAAATCACACCTTATTACATGGTGGAAACTCTGTTACAGTGGCCAAAATTATGTTTACGTTAAGCCTCCGTGGATTTTACGGTATGCTTTTTTTCGTTTTCGATTTTCGCTCATCCGCGGAGGCACGGCGGAGATCTCAGGTTTCGGCGGACGTCGTTTTGAGCCTTTGGATCATTCAATTCAGGTTGGAAAAAAGTGTGGGGTGATTTTTTGTTGTCACCCGATGCACAGATGCAAAAATTTCGCACTTTTTTTCCCCGGCGGAGGATTCGGCGGAGGCTCTACCAAAGGGTCAGAACAGTCTTAGGAGTCCGGGAAAAAACTCAGCTACAAGAATCCATCACAGCAACATCATTTTTCTTATTTTTTTATCCGGCGGACACATCGGCGGAGGATTCGGCGGAGGCTTTATCAAAAGAGTCAAACTTTTGTTTTGACCCTTTGATAAAGCCTCCGCCGAATCCTCCGCCGGGGGAAAAAAGACCAAAATTTTTGCCATCTGTGCATCGGATGACAACAAAAAATTGCCCCAACCTTTTTTCCAACATGGATTTGCAAAAACCGAGGGCCCAAAACAAAGTCCGCCGAAATCTGAGGTCTCCGCCGCGCCTCCGCGGATGTTGTGTAAAATCGAAAACGCAAAAAAAGCATACCGTAAAATCCACGGAGGTGTAACGTAAACATAATTTTGGCCGTTATAACAGAGTTTCCACCATGCAATAAGGTGTGATTTTTAAAAAAGGCCCCAAATGCCTCCGCCGAAAACTGGCCCCTCCGCCGACGAAAAAAAAATTTTTTTGCTCAGTACAAAACCGCCCGATATCAAGTTTCAGAAACAAAAAGAATTTCTGCGATAACTCCCAATAGCTCAAAGATATTCGCAATTAGTTTCTGCCATATTTCTTGAAACACCCTGTAGATGAAATAGATCATCACCAAAAGACATCTCTTTACACTAGGAAAAATCGCTGGAAAGTTATGAAGATCATCAACAAAGATATACCTCGGTTTTGCAAAAATTGTGCAGATCAAAACAATTCCAATAATTTTGATAAATCGCAGGCAGAAACAACAAGATTAGTATTACTTAACCCACATTTTGACACCTGGATGACTGTTATAATCACATATAATGTGTGATAATCCCGCCGGATTTGACATATAAAACGGTGGGCAGGCGGACGGATCTTCAGAACATTGGTTGTCACATACAAATATGAGATTCATCCAGCTCCTTGTCCTCGCCTCTGTTGTCTTTGGAGTTGCCCACGCCGACTCGTCTGGTAGGTAAAATACAAATCATCATGTGATCAAATAGCCAATATGCACGATCTACGGATGCATTTACTGTAATTTGCAGGCCAATCTAATGAAAATCCCTTTGGAGGAAATGATGACAATGGGGTTTACTCTCTTCCAGAAGGCCAAGGGTCCAATGAAGGACCGGAATCAATCCAGGGAGTCAGAAGAAAGAGAGGTCCAAAAGCTGCACCTGTCGTCCGACATCCCGTTCCCCACCACAGTGAATCCGAGGAAGGGTCCGGAAATGGAGTAAGAAGTTCATCTAGTGAGGAAGGAAGCGGATCTGAAGACTGTCATAATCACAAGCATCATCGCGGTCATAGGCACGGTAAAGACGAACAAAGAATCAGAGCTCCAGTAGCTGCACCTGTCGCACAACCCGCCCCCAGCCGCCACTCATAAAGAGCATCGGCAGATAAGAAACTTGTCTCCTCACATCTATAAACCTACCCAGGTTTCTAGACCCAATCAATTTTTCGATTTCTATCGATAATTCCATATTTTCATGCATGAATAAAGTACTGGGAAAACATAACTATTCTGGTTAATGCCTTCAGAAAAAATCGAAAAAAGGAACCAACAGTAATTAAAATTATTAAAATTTATTAAAATCTCAATAATTTACAATTTATGGCACATACTCGTAAGAAGCTAACAATGTAAAGCTGATAAATGAGAGATTTACTTGGCCTTTCCGTCCTCCACAGCTTCCTGTTTCTTCATCTGGATGGGGATATTGGTGCTCTTCTTCTCTTCGATGGCAGCCACTTTAGGGACGTTCACACTCAACTTGCCCTGTTCATCCAATTCGCACTTGATCTCCTCCATCTTTACGTGCTTGGGAAGACGGACAACTCTCTGGAATTGACGTTCCACCTTCTCCCCATCCTTCTCTTCTTTGTGGACTCCTTGGATCGTCAGGTTGTGACCATGAACATCGACATTCAACTCTTCGGGCTTGAATCCAGCAGTGTCACACTCGAACTTCAGGTCACCTTGATCATTGTAGCTGATGGAAGATCCGGCCACATTGGTGTTGATGAGTTGGCCAGATTGGTCGATGAACGGCTGCACGGAGTCCAACACGGAGTTCACCAACTGGTCCACTTCATGGAACGGGTTGTAACGACGACCGTAGAATGGAGAGATGGCAAAGGGATCGTACACATATGGTAGAAGACTCATCTTGAACAATATACGAAGAATACAGTAGGTTTAGAAGTCAAATCGCAATTTTCTTTCGCTTTTACACTTGCCCTCCACTGCGAATGCGAAGCTTTATATACTCCTGCGAAGGGGAGGGGCGAGAGAGTGTGGAAAAACGGAGAACTTGCGAGAAAAATGGAGTGTGGAGAGGATACGTGAGCTCTCGGGTTTCGCGAAATTTCGGGGAAAGGCGAGAAGAAAAGACGAATGAAAATGAAGAGAGTGGGAATACAAGGCAGAGGAAATTTGGAGCTTTCTTGAAAGAGAAAAAAGATTGCGAGGCAGAAAGAGGTGGTTAGACAGAGCCGAACGGACAGAGCAATTTCGTCCTCTCTAACTGACGGGGAAATAGTATAACAAGTAACCTTCGCCTCAAGCAGGTTCTCGATTTCTCTGACAGTCTGCTCTTTTAGAAACATTCTTTTTTGCTTTTGAAAGATAGTCAATGGTCTCTCCCCATCAACTCTCTGGTTTCCAGCCCTATCTCGCTCATACGAAATTTGGAATTTGGCGATTCCTCTTGGTTTCTCTTTGTTTTCTATTTCAAGCGCTATTTCTCCGTTAGTTAGAGAGGACAAAATTGCTCTGTCCGTTCGGCTGTGCCTAACCACCTCTTTCTGCCTCGCAATCTTTTTTCTCTTTCAAGAAAGCTCCAAATTTCCTCTGCCTTGTATTCCCACTCTCTTCATTTTCATTCGCCTTTTCTTCTCGCCTTTCCCCGAAATTTCGCGAAACCCGAGAGCTCACGTATCCTCACCACATTCCATTTTTCTCGCAAGTTCTCCGTTTTTCCACACTCTCTCGCCCCTCCCCTTCGCAGGAGTATATAAAGCTTCGCATTCGCAGTGGAGGGCAAGTGTAAAAGCGAAAGAAAATTGCGATTTGACTTCTAAACCTACTGTATTCTTCGTATATTGTTCAAGATGAGTCTTCTACCATATGTGTACGATCCCTTTGCCATCTCTCCATTCTACGGTCGTCGTTACAACCCGTTCCATGAAGTGGACCAGTTGGTGAACTCCGTGTTGGACTCCGTGCAGCCGTTCATCGACCAATCTGGCCAACTCATCAACACCAATGTGGCCGGATCTTCCATCAGCTACAATGATCAAGGTGACCTGAAGTTCGAGTGTGACACTGCTGGATTCAAGCCCGAAGAGTTGAATGTCGATGTTCATGGTCACAACCTGACGATCCAAGGAGTCCACAAAGAAGAGAAGGATGGGGAGAAGGTGGAACGTCAATTCCAGAGAGTTGTCCGTCTTCCCAAGCACGTAAAGATGGAGGAGATCAAGTGCGAATTGGATGAACAGGGCAAGTTGAGTGTGAACGTCCCTAAAGTGGCTGCCATCGAAGAGAAGAAGAGCACCAATATCCCCATCCAGATGAAGAAACAGGAAGCTGTGGAGGACGGAAAGGCCAAGTAAATCTCTCATTTATCAGCTTTACGTTGTTAGCTTCTTACGAGTATGTGCCATAAATAATAAATTATTGAGATTTTAATAAATTTTAATAATTTTAATTACTGTTGGTTCCTTTTTTCGATTTTTTCTGAAGGCATTAACCAGAATAGTTATGTTTTCCCAGTACTTTATTCATGCATGAAAATATGGAATTATCGATAGAAATCGAAAAATTGATTGGGTCTAGAAACCTGGGTAGGTTTATAGATGTGAGGAGACAAGTTCCTTATCTGCCGATGCTCTTTATGAGTGGCGGCTGGGGGCGGGTTGTGCGACAGGTGCAGCTACTGGAGCTCTGATTCTTTGTTCGTCTTTACCGTGCCTATGACCGCGATGATGCTTGTGATTATGACAGTCTTCAGATCCGCTTCCTTCCTCACTGGATGAACTTCTTACTCCATTTCCGGACCCTTCCTCGGATTCACTGTGGTGGGGAACGGGATGTCGGACGACAGGTGCAGCTTTTGGACCTCTCTTTCTTCTGACTCCCTGGATTGATTCCGGTCCTTCATTGGACCCTTGGCCTTCTGGAAGAGAGTAAACCCCATTGTCATCATTTCCTCCAAAGGGATTTTCATTAGATTGGCCTGCAAATTACAGTAAATGCATCCGTAGATCGTGCATATTGGCTATTTGATCACATGATGATTTGTATTTTACCTACCAGACGAGTCGGCGTGGGCAACTCCAAAGACAACAAAGGCGAGGACAAGGAGCTGGATGAATCTCATATTTGTATGTGACAACCAATGTTCTGAAGATCCGTCCGCCTGCCCACCGTTTTATATGTCAAATCAGGCGGGATTATCACACATTATATGTGATTATAACAGTCATCCAGGTGTCAAAATGTGGGTTAAGTAATACTAATCTTGTTGTTTCTGTCTGCGATTTATCAAAATTATTGGAATTGTTTTGATCTGCACAATTTTTGCAGAACCGAGGTATATCTTTGTTGATGATCTTCATAACTTTCCAGCGATTTTTCCTAGTGTAAAGAGATGTCTTTTGGTGATGGTCTATTTCATCTATATTTGATATTTGATGGCTATTACCCTTGTTTTTGATAACTGTTCTTTGTACAAGATGTCAAAATGGTGAGGTTAAAGCGTGAATTTTATGGTCAGGGCAAGCTGTGGGTCCCCCCAGTGGATACCATCGACGAGAAGAAGAGCACCAACAGAAATCATTTCTGCTTGCGACTAGAGTCATATAAACGTAGTCACAGGAATTCCCAGCTTTTATTTTTGCTGTTGCTTCGAAGTTTGGTGCAAAAATGGGTTGCATTGATTTTGAAAAATCAGTGCCATAAAAGCAAAAAAGTTTGGAAAAAACCAATGCAGTTTTTGGAAAATCGCTGCAGGACAAAAAATTAAAGTGTGCATTGATTTTTCAAAATCAATGTCATCACATTTTGCACCAAAATTCGACTCAACAGCAAAAATATTATAAAAGCCGAGAACTTCTGTGAGCAACTTTATAACCTTTGGTTTGAATAAAAGCTACTGCAAAACTCATATACTACAATTCTGATGTTGTCTAAATCTACTAGTCTTCGTCACTGCGACCTCCGTTGTTGTTTTTATTTCTAATCAGACCACATTGCTGTCGAGTCATAATTTTTTCCTCCCGATCTTTTTGAGTTATTTATTTTTGTTATCTTCCTTATTTACCTCCAATTCCAAGGGTTCTAAAAAGTCCACTCTCCGTGTCTTACAACACTTTAAACAGGCCTCTTTTTGTTTTTTGAGATTTTCAATTTTTCAAAAAGATTTTGGGACGTCCCTTTGGAGGCCTAAAAGACTTTAGCCGGAGGGTCGGTTGGTACAAGAAGGCAGAGGCTTTTTTATTATTTGTGTTTCGCTTCGCCTGACGTCTTTTTCCCGTCAAAAGCGAGCAAAAAAAACCCGTTAGGGACGAGGGGAATTTTGAAATTTTTTGACAAAAAATTAACAATAAAAAATTGGTTGAGCACTCAAAAAATTTTTTTTTGTGATCATCAAATTCGGATTCCAAAATAATGCTTACACTTAGATGACGTCATTCTTTCAAAAATTGAATTTACAGGTTCGTCTTTGCTGATTGTAAAAAGGTTCTCATGTAAATTGCTCTATTATTTTCTTTTGAAGAACAATTCTGTAAACATTTTCTTGACGGACTCCTCGCTTTTCCTTGACCTTCCATCGCTGTTCTTCTCCACTTTTTTCACTCTTGCGCAAGTTTTTGAATGGTCATTCTGAAGAGAATGGATTCGAGGCAAGTTCAGAAAAGTAGTTTGAAGATTCACAAAAAAATCTACTTATAAAAAACAAGGCTTCAGAAGTGATTTTATGGATGTAAATGATGATTAAGATAACTTCAAAAGAAACGATTTTTGGCCAAAAGCAACCGATTTAGCGATTTCCAACCCAATGTCATCTCAATTTTATCACCTTGTAAAGTAATCGACCATGAAAACTTTCTTTTTCACCAAATTTTCGTCTCTTTTGTACCCTTTTTTCCCCGGCGATTTTGAAACCTTTTCAAAGTCCTCCTTTCCCTTCCACGCTCTCTCGACGTGTATGCAGCTGTCGAGCAATCAGCACTCCAAAAATTGGCGGACAGCTGCAAAGAAACTACAAATGACCTCAGGCGATAAACGGCGAAATGACTTGAGGTAACTGTTGGAGGGGAGAAGATAGCAAGAGTTCGGAGGTGATTATGAAATAAAGATTTGTGGAGAAATGTAATGAAAGTTAAAGAGATTTGGATAAACTTTTCATGTTTTCTTATACTCGAGTCTGTAGTAAATTCAGTGCTCGAATTTTAGCCGATAAAATATTTGGAAAAGATTGAAACTTTTCAGTTGAAATATTGTTTTGGCTGAGAGACCACAGGTTGAACCTGAGCCACAAATCAATCCCTGAAAATTTTAGCTCGCACTTGGCAGAGGTGGCTGAGCTATTCAACGACCTTTTCCTACAAAAAAGTACGCAAAATGCAGAAGCCAAAACAGAGAGTTATCAAAAAAAATGTACGTCCATGAAACACAAAAATAAGCAATCTCAAAATTCATCACATTGTCCTAAAAACCCATGTCCCACTGTGACTGGTCAATACTCCAAACTGCTAAGTCATAAAAGCGATTTCTACTTTCTAAAATTAACAATCTTTAGATGGAAAACAAACTCTAAAAAAGGTCGTTCTCTACTGCATTCTCTTCTTTCAACTTCCTTTTCATAACAAGTAAAAGGGGCTATCGAATGTCCGCAATTATAATATACAGTTAAAGATTGTGTTTGTCTGCCGAATATTTTCTAATTGTAAATTAGCCATCTAAATCTTTGCTTGTTTTTTCTTGAAAATAAAACCGTTGAAGGTCCGTGGGAAATCGATTAAAATTAATCTGACTTGAGCACTTCGATTAAACGAGAGCTGTAAATTTTTGACATTGAATCATCGCTGATTTTAGGTTGATTTTCCAAAGAAACGACCACATTAAAAAAATGCCTTTACTGCCTAAGGGACTACAGTCGACGACAGCTTATGAAGTATTATTTTCTGATCCCATGTTATATGACAATCGCCTCATCCATTCTAAATTTTGTTAATAAGATACTTAAAAATTGGATGACTCTTTTACCCTCCTTTATTGTGGAATAATTTCACGAATCGCCGCCTTTTCTGCCAGTCTTTTGGAACGTCTTTTCACGTTCTTTTCAGGTCTTCAAAATGACCTTCCTCCGGTTTTTGGTCGTGCTCTGGGAATTGTCAAATGGGGCTTTCTTGATTTATAAATTCTTTGGTATTTTTAGGCCTATCTCTTTTACAATTTACAATTTTTTTCAACTGGTCTAGCCGATGCTTTTGTAGCAAATATCATAGTTTTCTATTTTGTTAAACATCGCATTCAATTACCCATTGAAGTTACAATTGTCATTTAATTATGAAGAGTATATATATTTCTCTGCATTATGATATGTTTTATTCCCCTCGCCACTCATAGTAAACCCCATCTGACCGTCTACTTAGTCTCTACTTTCAAGCCCATATGCCCCTGCAACTAATGCATGGCTTCGTTTTGGTTATTATTTATTTCATTCCTCTTTGTTTCATGGACCCTGCTATTTTCCGTTTCTTTTCCTTCGACGGCACTTGGGCGCGAAAAAGATGCGAGCAGGGGACGGGGGAGATCTTTTTAGACCCCGCTTCCCGCCAAAAAATATGATTTTTGAAGCGTTCAGAAATTAGATGGAATATGAGCCAAGTCTTGTGGTCTTGATATTAGAACAATTCTTTCTAATCGTTGTCCATAATCTCGCTGATTTTAATTATTTTTACATTTACAAATTCCTAAAAGTAAAATTTTTATTGAAAAATCATCATTTTTCGCCCAAAAAATTTTTCGATTATCACTATTGGCTCTAGCGTCACTCTGATCTCTGCTCACCCTGACCATCACCCCTGACCTCAGCTCTGTTCGTATCTTCCAAATCCCCAGCTGTTCGTCGACATGAATCCAAACTGAACGACTTGTCCCCTCAAAAACACCTGGACCCTCGCGAATTACATAATTACCCGTTGACTTCTCACCTAAAATCTTTTTCCATTTTATTTCCGAAAAATGCTTCCAATCACTTTTCTATTTTTTCTCAAAAGCTATCACTTTTTTGTCTAATGAAATCTTTATTTTTCCCTAAAAATTTCGCCACAAACAGCCGTCCAAACTCGCTGAAATCCCCTTTTCACTAGCTTAAATCGCTCCCTTCAAATGGGGCGCCGACTCGGTTAGAGGGCATTAGAAATCTGTTCAGCGAGGCCGGCCGCTTTAACGAATCCAGCCGGCCGTTTGCTCGCGGGCAATGTCTTTGAGAACTCAAAGGGGGATTTTGACGGATTCGCTCGCGGAAAGTCAAGTGTTTGCATTGTAGCGAAATGTTTACGTGCTTGGGTATGCTGTTATTGGGATTATTGAGAGACAATTTTGACATTTTTTGAATGCTTGGGACAGCTTTGCTCATACTTTTATCAGGAGAATTTTTTATATTTCCATTAACTAAACGATTACATAAAGACTTGAAAAATACTTCACTGACTTGAAGAAACGGGTATTGGTCTTATTGACAGCATCACATTTATTCAGAAAAATTACAGGCCGTATTTGAAGCCTGACCGTCTCTCTACACTTACATAACAGTGCTTTTCCGAGTCTTAATCATCCTTTCTCCCACGGTTATTTTACTCGCAGAAAATTGCCTCGTTTTACTCGGAGTCATGGCCACATAAAGTCGCAGAGAAATCGCTCAATCCTCCTCAACTCACCCCATTCCCTCTCATTCTGCATAGATCATCGAGTCCGGCTCCTCGTCAGATTTCTTCATTCGAATCCAGGTATATATATTCACATAGATATTGCCGGGCGTTGTTCGCATGTTCTCCGCTGTCTGCTCTCTTCTCGCGAAGAACTGCAGCAGTCCCTTTCTTTCTTCTTCTCTGGACCGCACTCGCCTTTGTTTCCTGCCTTCTATCGTTCACCGCACTCGCGGCTCCACTCCCTTCCCGAGGCGGTCCCTGCTCGCGATTCCTCGGCTGCAGTTGGGCGCTGGGGGAAGGAGAAGGGAGTTCGCGAAGAGATGGACGCCCTTTCAAGTGCCCTGACTCGCTGGGTGGAAGATGGTGGGGAGGGTTCGCGAAAATTCTCTCTTTTTGTCCCTACTACATTTCGAAGGCCGTCTTTTTGGGGCAGAAATGTCCGAATTTTATGCGGAAAAAGGGGTTCGCGTTGGATGAAATATTTAGAACCCGGTATGATACTTGGTGTACAAGCTGTGTTAAAAATTTCTTTGGACGTTTGGAAAAAAATAAGGGGTGAAATTTTGCCGTTTACTTACATGAAAGCTATTATCGATTTTTAATTCCAACCAACAAAAAAAAATTTCTGTTGTGAATTTCATGATTTTTTCCATTTTCTTTCAAAAATTTCAAAATAAGCGCTAGAAATGTGAATGCGAGTCCCCGATACTTTTCGCTAGCCCCGCAGTCCTTTGTGCGTCCCTTCCTCACTCCTTTTCCTTGAATTTTTGCGAATTTACCCGCCAAAGCGAGTCGACCCCGGCCTCGGATGGCTTCATTATCGCTAGTCCCGCCCCTTTTTTGCGAGTCCCTGTCCTTCAGCGCTCTTCCCAACGCGCGCTCTCTGCGTCCGCACACGACCAACGACGCCCCGAGATGGCTGGGGCTTCTTCGGCTGGGCGGGGGGCGTTTCTTCGGGGACCCCAAACAGCCTGCTCGGTCGGGTCGGGGGGCAGTGGCGGCGGCGAAACGGAGAGCATAAAGCAAAAGGGAGGGAATGGGGAGAACCGAGTTTGGCGCCGTTTTGCCACTCCGCTCTGCCCCCACCCGCTTCTACAATCTTACATTTGCCCGACGCCGTGGATGTGGTTGTCGGTTGTGCATGTCCGGGGCGCGTGTGGTTGCCGAGTACGGTCGCCCCGCATGCTCGGGTCGCGTTTTCGTCCTATTCGTCGCGTTTTAATCGCACCCAACACTCCGTTCTCTTCCCCAATGGTCTTGTTGTTTTCAGAGCCTCTTTCCCTTCGCGTTTCGAACACACGCAAACTCACGCCGAAATGAGCGAAACCAAGGCCGAGAAACGCGCGCACACCGAGGAGAACGGCGAAGAGTCCGAGGTGACGGCCAAACAGTCCAAGGTGGAGCAGATCAAGGAGGCCAACGCCAACGAAAAGAGTGAGTTCTGGGGGGTCCGTGGAGGGTGGGGAGAGGATTTGTAGGCTGAGAGACGTGTACAATGGGATGAATACTTGTATGAGTTATGATTTGGATGGACGGCCTTGTAGTGTTACAGCAACTGTAGCTGGTTGTGTAAAAAATAATTTTTGAAAATGGCTTTGAGTACTTTGATCTAGGATGTTTATGATCAACAAATACAGTCGACCACGTGGCGACAAGGTTAATAAAAACACACTGAGGGGCTGATAGACGCTAGTATTACCTCGAACAACTGTTAGAAGTACCGAGGTTTCTGATCACTTTACTTACCTCTATTCCTTTCAGAAGCCAAGGACGTTGAAGAAGTAGAAAATGAGAATGAAGTTGAGGAGGAGGGCGATGATGGAGAAGAATCGTCGAACGCAGAGTCAGGAGCCGAGGACGAGGAGAACGACGTCGACGACGAGGAGGAGGATGATGTAGCCGGCGACGACGACGGCGACGCAGAAGACGCCGGCGAAGACGACGACGCGGAAGAGGAGGAGGAAGAAGAAGAGGAATAAGTCGTTGTTTATTTAAATTTATTTGTTTCGTCTCCTTTTCTCCGGCCCCTCTACCTCTCAGCCACTTGTATTTTCGTTGTCCCCCATTTGTTGTCTTTTTTTAAATATTAAATTAAGCACAAGTCATCCCTTTGTCCCCAAAAAAGTGTTACATCCATGACATAGCCGTCGCGTTATGTCATCCACCGACATCACAACAATGGTCTCTCAAGTGTCAGTCGATGGGTCAAGTCTCACCCTCGCGACTGCCGGGAATTCAATTTGTTTTTTTTGTGTCTAATGTTTTTTGTCTTGGTCTTATTATTATAAAAAAAAATTGTAAAAGACTACTAAGGGAAATAAATACTTTCTCTTACTGAACGGAAATTATTGATGAAATTTGGAAATTGAAACAACAAAAGACAAAACAAGGAACTATAAAAAATAGAACATAACTACCACAGCGAGCAAAAAAACGTAGACTGAGAGAAATGTAAAATATGTTTTTGACACCTCCACTTGTTTACATGAAATGTGTTGTCGCTGAGATAAAATCAAGTCGGCGAAGATATAAAGAAATAAATACGCGGATCATTTTAAAATTCCAGATTTCACGGTAAAAAAGGAAACTAACTGAGAAGAAGAGACATAAATTATTAGAGTATGACGACAAAAATTAAAAAATTGAATGTGTACAAAGAAACGAGCTTCGAGTTGTTAAAGTCCCCCGTTAAAATGCAGACGCTAATATAAATTCGGCCCTCTTTTAGAATTAGCTAATGCAAGAAATTGAAACAAATTTATCCCTTATACCGGGGAGCCCTTCAACCACGAACCATTTGGGGACGTCAATCCTTTTTCCGGACCGTTTAGACACTTCGTCCACACATTATTGACTCACCAACTGTTCTAGATATCAAAATTCTTTCGGAAGTATTTTTTGTGGATAAAATTGGTCTTGAAAATGAAGAAAAATTTTAAAACGGTATTTTTTGACCGTAAAACAAGGTTTCGACTCGGCTAGCTAATCGTAAGGTAAACACAGCCAAGGATTTTTTCAAAATTTCTAATTGTAACGAAGCGCCACATTGATTATATCTCGGTCAGGAAATAGCTTCGACCGGTTGGATGGTTTATAAAATGTACTTTTCAAAAACGTCAAATTGCAGATTTCCGATCAATTGCGGTTCATTACACAGAGCTTGAACTGTAGACCATTGATAATGGCAATTCCAACTTTGAGATGATATACATAAGGATTATAATCCCTTCTGGTAATCCCAATTACTTCAAGATTAAATGTCGAAGAAAAATTCTAAATCTTGCAGGCGCTTAAGATGACGCTATAAATAGATGAACAAATTTTAATCACTAAACACGCTCATTAATTAGAACTTTATCCATACAATCAGGCTCAAAAATCGATCCATTCTGTTTCCAATATATTTTATTTTGAAAACTGACCCAATGTTTTTACAAGTTGACACATTATACATCCTTAGTTTACCCTCCAAATTCTTGGATCACATGTTCGAATAGTAGCCTCAATTTTATTCACTTACAATCTTCACGTTTTCCGGCCAGAACAGTCTTGAGTTCGGCGATTACACGCAGGAACTTTGTTTTTCGACTGTTTACCCAACGATTTTTGTAAGGAATCTCAACCGTTCCTCAGGTTGATATTTGATCGGCTTAGGGGTTCTACAAAAAGGTTTTGTTTCAGTTCAACGCTTATTCAAGGACGACGAGCTGCACGAGACTTCAGGCATTTTTTAAACGGAAACATGGGATTGGTTACTGTAGCTTTTTTACCAGTCGATGTTTTAGGAGACTCTTTTGTTTTTGCAATGTCCATTTAGATTTATAACTCTCCGTTTTTAGTGTTGTTGGTATTTGATGAAATTTGACACAGGAGTTCCTTCATCAGGCTCTTTTGTAATCTTCGGACCTCGTTCTGGCCTCTAGGTACTTTTTGTAACACTAGTTGCTTTGGATACGTACGTCAAACTTAAAAATAAGCTGCGTAGGTTGGGAGAAACTCGAACACTCCCTCCGTAATCCTTCCTTTCAAGTTTGCTGAGGGCAGTTGAGGAATTTAGCCTTCTGATAATGGGTTAGAGTAGATTTAGCTACGAATCACTAGTTTTGTGACTGTTAGGACGACTGTTGTTGCATTTGATGACATTGGGTTCTATAACATTTTTTCGGCTGCAACTGCCCCTTGATTTACTGTAGTATATACAGTATGTAGTTCCATTCTACTTCAGCTTTCTCCATCATATTTGAGCAGTTCACTTCAATCTTCCGTAATAAGATTACCCATCTTAGATATTGTTCATTTTGTAAGTCAAATAAACCCGGAGGCTGACAGTGTTTGATCAGACGGATTTGATTCCACGTCTGGTTTTGAGAGATTTTGAGGTGAATATAATTTTAAAAGAGAACTGATCAGACATTTTTTGCAAAGAATACTTGAGATTTTTGGGATTACTCATGCTTTTATTGAGGGGTTCTTTTTGTAAAATACGAAAAAATCTTCTAATTCTTTGGCTTTATCCACAAGTTTGGAGATTTTTTATATTATCATATAAGCAGATAATATTACAGTAGACATTATCGAGTATGATGTTACTCTCAGTTGTCCGACCACCCCAGGCCCATCGCAGATGCATTTCCGCTGAACCCTGAGGGATCTCCCGCACCGGTCTTTATTCCCGAACACCGTTGGAATTTTTCGAAAAATGTTGAGAATCGACGGAAGCGGCCGTAGGCAATTTCCGTGCAAAAAACCCCTCCAAAGCCCATAAATCCCAAAAAAGGTAACATTTTGGGCGGTGGATGGTTGTGAAAACTACTTGTTTTGGTCTCTAGACTAATTGGCCATGCTGTCGTTTGGATTAGGCGCTCAGAAAGGTTCAACGAAAAGGTGAGATCTCTGCCGGAATTATGGATTACGGTCTTGAATTTGATGTAATACCTTAATGAGCAGAAGAACGTTAATACTGTGGCATTAAGGAGTAATTTAATCGAAAATTCGGACCTCCTAACCCATAAAACCGTTTTCCTTGTCCCTCATATCATATCTTCAGTCTATATTACACTCCATAGCCGACATACCTATGCATGAAAGAAGAGAAATGTTCTCTGTCCTTTTTTGATGACATTTCTTCGCGAAATTTGAAGTATTTTTTCCTGACCAAGAGTGGGCTTTTTGGGAATGACGACATCAGAAAAAATGCCTGTGTTCGTTTGAAAAGCGTAATTTGGAGGGCTTGTTTGAGTTGTAAAAAATACATTAAGACGAGTTTGAGGACGTTCTGAGACTTTTGGGTCTGTATAAAGAGACCAAACGCCGTACGACGAAGGTATCATGCCTTAGGAAAATTTTCGACTTTTAGAACCTGTTGACCCCTAAAATTGTTTGATTTTCATTCCATATTTTTGAATTTGTCCTTTAAGACCTTGAAGGATAATATCCCAGCCCTCGAGAACCCAAACTACGCCCATTATAGGACAACTTTTTTCACATAAGCAGATTTGAAGGCCTCGGAGCAATCGCCAGTAAACAAGATTAACTCGTCTATTGAGTATTAATCAGTTATTTTTCGGAGTGTAATCAAAGTTTGCACGCATAGTTTTATAATATCCAGCCAACGCTTAGGTTATGTGGTCCGCCTTTTAACGATGTTTGGAGTGTTTTGGTGGATTGTTGTGGGTGTGAAGCCTTAGGCGATTATATGATAAAGGGCCTGTTGTCTTGGAAGGTTTTGGAAATTACGTCAACAGTTTTTGAAACGTTAGATTTTTGGTTCTTTATAGCCGAATCCTCTTTGTTTTTTTGTAAATTGATAAAACGTCTATTTCTTACGCCCATATATGTTGCACATGGTCGTGAGAAGGCACAAACCAGACAGTTTTTTGACTTTAAAATTACATTAAATTGTAATGACTAATTTAAAATTTGTTCCTTAAAATCTTACTCAATGAGACATGGAATTGTGCACTACTTAATGACACCCAAACTCGTTTATAGTTTGAGTTGAGTCCAGTGGTTTCCCAACAATTTTTATCCGACCAAAGAATAGTATTCCCCCTTTGGCCAAACAATTTCCTTATAGAGCCAGAAAAAAACATCTCTGGGCCCTCACTCCCTCTGTGAACGTTCGTTTGCTATTATCGCCTTATAACAATACTGTCCAAGCCATTTTGTAGGACTGAAAGAATGAGTGAAACTCAAGTGGTGGAACAGCCGGGTGTGGAGAAATTCGAGGAGGTCAAGAAAGAGATGACGGACAGTGGGATTCAGGAGAGCAATAATAATTGTGAGTTTGGCAGCTAATTTTATACAGTGGAGGAAGAGGACAGCATAAAGAGTGTCGATTTTTTTCCCTATGTACATAAACCCCAATTATATGTAGCAAAAAACACTGACTGTGAGAAGAAATACAGGGTCTTTCAAGAAGATTTTACCGGCCTTTGTTTATTTCAAGATTTTTTATATTAGGTTGTCCCACAAATAATGTCGTTCTTCAAAAGATTTTTTGTACAAAGAAATTTACCGTAATAACGAAGATATTTTTAATCAAAATAATCACCATGTGTTATACCACGCTATTGCAACGCGTTGAAAGCATTTTTTGCCAGTGGCTTTGAAACCCCGGCTTCGGAAGCCGATGAAACTTTTGAAGGCGCATTCAACAGGGTCTTGATTGACAAATTCCCTACCACGGATGAAACCCATTAGATTCTTGGAAAGGTAGCAATCTGTTTGAGACATGCCTATCGAGTACTCCAGACGACGGAGAGCCCCGTATCTCCATTAACTCAACTTCTGGAGCGTCGTCTTTACAACGTGGGGTTGCGCATCGCCGCCTAGAACTTTTGGAATTCCGCGGCGTGTTTTTAAAGGCATATTCTGCCATAAACTGTCTATCTGAATACAGCAGGACCCAGCATTTACATTTTGGCCAACTTTCAACGAGCTGTATTGTGAGATACCCATGCTGCACCATCCAGCAGTGCCCATCACCTTGTTTATGGGGGGTCGCTTTGCAAAGTGCCGTGTTCGTACCCTCGGGGGACTCCATTGGGCACATCTGGTTGTCGTACAGGATCTGCTCTTCATCATGGGTCACGATCGGATCTAGAAAACCCGGCTTTTCGGATTGTAAAAGTAACAAACGTGACACCTATATTCTGTGGTTCGGTCCATTAATATGGGAAAAAGCTGCCGAGCATTTTTTTGAATTCCATCGACCTCCAACGGTTAGCTGCCGATTATTTCAACACCCAGACGATGTCAGAACGCGTCGAATGTTGATTCTAGGATATCTGACAACTAATGGCCCCAGGGTAAATTCATAAAGTTCAGATGCCGGACTTTATCTTTGGGTTCCTCACCGTCAGATCGAAATTTTTTGAACCATCGTTTCACCGTGTTCAGACTCACATCAGACTCGCCGAACACGCCGTTGATATTTTGTGTAACTCATGTAACTTTCATACCCTGTTTTTGCAGGTACAACACGGCGACACGAATCGACTTTTTTCCCATAATTTTGGATTGGGGCTAAATTACACTAATTTGATCCAAAGATGGCAAACGATATATCGAACGAAAGCTTGAGTTCTCGATTACAAAACGATGCAATATTGCGAAATTTTATTGCCATTTGCCTTTTTTATAGACTTTGGAAACTACCCCTCTCGAAAACGACATTATTTGTGGGACAACCTAATATTTTGATGACTATTCGTTTTTTAGACGAAGCCTCCAAATCGCCCGAAACTCCACCCCCAAATGGTCATATTCCCCAAGATCAGCCCCAAGTCCAAGTGAACGGCCATGATAAAAGCCATAAACAGGCAATAACCGAAGACTTCGAACATGTCGGAAAATCGGATGAAGGCGGGTTCGACAAGGACTTTGAGAATACGGTCCATGAGCTGGGAGAGCAACTGGACAATAAAGTTGAGCAATATTTGGATGAATTAGATCAACAAGAACAGAAAGTTCTCGAAGTTATCGACAATGTCTTGAAGAAGCATTCAAGTGTAGAAGAGGCCGAAAAAGCTCAGCCTGAACTTCATGTTGAACAAGTGGACGTGAGTGCTGTGGCCGCTGAAGAAAATGGAAATGTCAAAGCTGAAATTCAAGTGGAAGGCGAAGATATTGACCGTCGAGTTCATGTTCAAGTCAGCGAAGATGTTGTTCAGGGACAAGCGGTCAATCAGCATCCCGATAATGATGCTACCAAAGAAAATAGCGGCAACGTTCAAGACGGCTCCAACACTCCAGACAGCGTTGATTTCCAAGACGCTACAGACTCAACTCCTCCATTGGGAGATATTGAAGTCCCAGTAGATGCTCAATCGGGTGATCTGGTCGCTGCAGATAGCCAGTCGTCCCTTCCATTGCCTGACTTGGATGACTCTCCAGCAGATGATTCTCTAGCTCAAGTATCGCAGCCTTCAGAAGACGCAGCCGACAACAAGTCAATTCAAGATAATATTGAGGAAACATTTGAAAAAGTTCAAATCAACCCATTGACTTCTGAGTATTCAGGAGACCAAGTTGAAATCACCGTGACTCCAGTTGAAGCTGATGTAAATTCGGAACGGCCAGTTGAGGCAAATGATTCGATTGAAGTGACAGAAGAAAATGTTGAGGAAGTTCCGCATGGAGGAGAAGTTGAGGCTGTGTTTATTCATAAAGGAGATCATGAACGTCAGGCTTCCGTTGAGTCAACATCGTTCGTATTTGAAGCCACTGAAGCGGCGGCTAGATTAATCAGCGCCAGCAGCTCCGAAAGTTTGGCCAAAGATCCTCCGGAAGAGCCAGTAGCCAATCCTGAAGCTGTATCCGATGTTCCTTCCACGCCTGACGTTGCAGCTCAAGAAGAGGCCAAAGATCCCAACATTTCTCAAGTGGAAGTTCCAGACGTCCCTTCAGAAGCCGTAGCATCGTCTGAGGTTGTCGTTGATAATATTGAAGAGGCCTTTGAGAAAGTTGAAGTCACTCCTTTATCTGAGACTCCGCTGATCTTGGAACGTCAAGGTTCATCAGACACTTTGTTGGACTCCGAGCAGCCTGCGGAAGTTCATAATCCAGAAACTGCTCAAAATGTTTACGAAAACGTCGCAAAATTGGAGAGTGTCGAGAAAGAGGTGCCGAAAGAAGAGGAAAAAGAAGAAAAAAGTGTAAAGAAGTCAATCTTCAAGGTGATCACAAATTTGATTGACCGACATCTGGTGGAACACGGTGGGTTTAGTTTGACTGTGTTTTTGGAATTGAGTCTTCTCAAAAAAAAAAAACTCCCAGGATGACAAAAAACTCAAGTTTTTGCAAACAATCCAATCGTCATGACTCTCTTTCTTTGCATTGTCAGTTTCCATGTCTTCTTCCCCTTAGCTTCCGATCTCCCCCTCTAAACTTTGAAACATTCATCGTTGCAATTACATATTTGCATCTTTGAGTGAGTCCCCGAATAACTAAGTTAGGGAAAAAAACGTCTGCGCCAGAGAACCTCTCCAGTTTTATCTGTCGCCACGGATGATTCACTCGATTCCCTCCAAAATAAGGTGAATCGCCGATCGAAATAAAACTGAATTTATTCCGGGTATTCGAAAACCCGTTGGAAATTCGCTAATTAGGCATTGTTTTCTAAAAGTGGCCGACATTAAAGTTGCCGGCGAATAAAAAGAAGCAATGGTATCAAGAAGTCGATCAAAGTCGCCAAAGCCCCCAGTAAATCCCTTTTCCCACATGCAGGTGGGAGATGTTGTGTCGGTTCAGTTGAGTGAGCAATGGTTGAAATGTAAGTTTATATCCGGGTTCGGGGAATTTAAGTTTTTCCGATCAGGGACTATCGGAAATTGAGAGATAAGTCCAGATAAATGGAAACTATAGAAGTAATCTATATAATAAAAAATTTATGATAGTCTAACTTTGTAACACATACTTGTATGACTCTTTATCTCTGCCTCCTCAGAGTAAGTTCAGTTGTTCAATTACAATTCCAAGCTTCTCACGCTATTCTTTCCTCCTTTCTTTCGGCCGCACTCACGGTAATTATCGTGCCATGTTTTTTGTGGTAAACAAAAAATATTTTATTATTGTCGCATCGAAAGACGGGCGATATCGAGAGTCGGTGCTAAAGTGTTTGTTTTGGGAGCCAAATATTATTAGAGCCGTCGAAGTCGTATATAAAGTAAGGCCGATAAAAAAAAGAGCAGACAGTCAAGTGTTTTGATTTGGTGGTGACTGAGTCTTGTGAAGTACATGCATGATATGTATGAGCTGGAATTACAATACTCCCCAATCGCTGCAAAAGGAGTAGGATCACTTTTGCTGATCTACTGTAAGCGTTGGTTTCTTGGGTTTTAATTTTTTTGAGTGGTTTGTTTACCTTGTTATTAGAGCGTAGCATATTTTTATGAATACGCAATATCCGGCGCCAGATTTATAGGTTTTTGAAGGGAAAATTTTGCGTTTCCTGTGCCAACAGTCATATGTATCGCCATCCTTTTCCCAGAACGTAATTCTTTGGCTCAAAAGTTACATTCGATTTTATTTTTTGCAATTTTGTTTAGGGTTATCTAAAATGTGTATGGCTCATAAAATTTTGGAGCCTCAATGAGTACTGGAATTGTCATTACCGCCGCAGTTCAGTTCAAAAAATTGTTTACACCTTCCACTTCCGTTTCCCCGATTCAAAATGTAAGACAAAGCACTTGTTTCGCACCTCCAAAGTAATCTTTTTAGATATTTATGGCAAAAGGGAACAGAATAAGGACCGAAAATAGCATTAAAGACTTTGCTTTCCCTGTAAAACCCCCCAGGCGTCTTAAGAGGCCGTCCCCGTATCACATGGCCTGCGGGGAAGTTATGGGCCCGAGGGCGTTCAACTTTGGAATTAACGGCACTTTCAGGGGGACAAATGTAAATTGAGATTTGGAGGGAAGGGAGATGGCCGGGAGATTACTCGGTTGGGAAAATATTATCGGGCTGGAAAGGAGTTTTAGCTGGGCTTTGAGGAGGAAAATGCAATCGGCCATGTGATGTTTTGAATGTGTTTACAAGTTGTTTTGCCAAATTTTTTATAACGTACTGAGGCGGACATATGTGAAGCTGAAATTATAATGTGGGTTTTTGTTTAGGAAAGAGAAAACTTGCAATTTTTTGGAGTAACGAGTACTCTATAACTTAGATGTGACTCAAAAGCAATTATAATCCTAACTCAAGAGATTGCTCATTACCAGCCCACTATTACTCATTTCGAATAACCCACCTCAAGTCTTCAGAATCCCCCAGAGACCCATTAAAAACCCTCTTGTTTATGCGTTTTTGACCATGACTTGTTGACAACCGATTTCAATGAAATTCCCAGTTTTCCCCGCATTTACATTTTCCGTGTGTGAAATGACGACCGATGTTGTATTAGATGGACGAGGGTGTTCGAAAGCCCCGTCAACGCTCCAAATCGTATGCGCGCACTCTGAAGTCGCTGTTCTCACCGCCGAATCAGAAGAAACGACAGAACGGCCGTCTGACTTCACGGTGTAAGTGTCCCGTACAACTTTTTTCTCTCTCTTTTTTCCCCTTCTTCCCCACACTTTTTTCTGATTTCAGTTAACCTTGAAGAAGTTTGGGGAGGGGTAGGAAATGGGTGGGGTGGGGGTGAGAGAAAAAACGCGAACCGTTTTCCCTTGATTATTATTGCGTTTTGGTGTCCTCTGTGAATCAGCCATGCTCCACGAACACGGTAAGTCAATGACCAAAGAAGGCCGTGATGGGATTAATCAGAGGAATGTGAGGAAATTCTAGGTAATTTGGTTGTGAATCGAGAGCTAATTGAGTTTAACCAGAAGTGCGATTTGTTTAGTCATCATTTTGTGTAGGTAAAGAAATTTTTTTGAAAAACAGGAACTGAGAGGTTAAGGATTAAAGAATATTTAGGTTCTATGAAAAAAATACGTTAACATGCATTTATCCAGTTAACTTTTTATTCAAAAACCCACACAATCTGCGTCATTTTCCAAGTTTCATATCCTGAAATTCTCTTGAGCCCATTGTCTTCAACCCTTTCTCTTCTTATCTTACCTGCGTCCTAGTCGTTCTGTAAACAAAACCTTGAACATTAAAGACATTTTCCTCGAATATACACCTATTCCTCGTATGCTCTACATTGGTAAGACTTCAACCACCAAATTACACAATGACTTTGGTCGCCCATTCCATCCACTTCCCCATATACAAGCTCTAAATAAGAGGGTCTAAATAAGAGCAACAGCGGTGTTTTTGGCCTGAATAGACAGAGAAAAAAACAAAAACAAGAGTGGAATGTCGTGCTTCTCTTGTTTTCAACCCATTTTCAACCCACGGGTCTTTTGAAAACGTGGAAAAGTTGGTCGATTATTTTGGGCCGTCTGATTACAACCTAATCTCCTTTTGGTTCAACTTTATTTGAGAGGGCCAGAGGCATTTCATTGCTGTCTACTAAATATATTCCTTGGTCTCCAAAATAAAGTCTGGCGAGTAATGAGCCCAGTTACGGTCAAGAAAGTGGCTAGTATAACCTTCAATCGGAAGAGTAAGTTGTAAAACTTTTTGTGTCCACGTCTTCCATCTAAAAACTTTGGGTAAAAATGTTTTCGCAGAAAAGTCCAAAAATTTGCATAATAAAATCGAGGATGTAAACAATCATCTCTTCCATGACTTTTCTATTTTACTCTCTTGTAATCCACACATTTGTCATCCAAACTCCCTACTTATGCTGCATTATTATCTGAATAACGATATTAGTTTTGGTTTTGGTAAGATATTTATGCCTTTTGCACCACTTCCAAATCCATTTTTTGTTTGCTTACTAGTTGTTTTGTAACTTGACACCCTCAATAAACATCCTATGTGAGTCACCGTATTTGGAGACCAAATTCTTTACTTTTAAACGACTTTTTTTCTGAAGCAGGTATTAAGTGAAGGTTAAGACGTCAACAAATTGTTTTCTCTTGTCAATCAGTGGTTCGCGAAGCAAAAAAAAGAAAGAAAAAAAGGGTTTTTTGTCAAAGAAACATCAAGTATGGTGATGAAAAGACCTGTGTTTATTTTAGTTTCGCAATTTATATATATTTATTCTCCAAGGCCTCAATTTTTTTGGAAATGACTCATTTCGATCGAAAATTGTTTTCCATTACTACTTTTACAACCAAAATTCCAATGAGTCAATCGTGTTTCGGCCTATTACAAACAAGCGCCTCTTAAGAGTGGCGCTGGTATTTCTGTTTTTTTATGTTGACTTAATTAGTTGTGAGTGGGTTGGGATTGATAATGGGTACTTAAAGAGTGGTCAGTCGAGTGGTTGGGGAGATTTTTCGAGCTTAGAGAGGTTATTTTTTCTTGTAGTAGGGGAAAGTGATGATTTTGTTCAAGTTTTTTTATCATAGATTGTTCTACAAGCTAAAACAGACTCTATTCTTGCTTAAAAATACTTTTCCAATAATTTTTCTATTACAAAATCTCGTTTACATCTTCAAAAACATATTCATCATGACTAAAATCACCTGACTTTTGATCTCTCAATCAATTCCAAATCAATTTCCAAACTTTACATTCCACATTACGGGTCCAATCAACCCTTCCCCATTACAATATGGGTTTATTTACAAACCGAAAAAGCCGGAAACTTCCATCCATTTTTAATGTTTGCTCGTAAAGTTGAGACCCGTTAAGGAGTTGTGTCTAAACCTGTATGTATTTGCATTTTACGTGCAAAAAATTCTCGAATTTGCCGCTAATACAGGCAAAGGGCTAAGGCTCTCGAGCTTGGTATTTGCATCAGAGGATTACCATTTATTTTTGACGCAAATAAGTGGTTAAGGGCAAGCCGGGTTTGAAACAAATTTTGAAAAATTCTGTTTGAAAAATTTTTGATGACAAATAACCCTGATGCCAAAAAAATCTAAAAAATTTTGTGCGAAAAGATTAGACGTCCAGTCACTTCCGCATCCAGCCAAAACAACCTTGTTTTGTATCTTACCCGTCTCCTTCCGCCCCCTATTGTCCCATTGCCAGTCACCTTTTAGGAATCAAAGCCCATATTTTTGTTTTCTTTTTTGCAAGCCAAATGTTCCCAACAACCCGTCTTTTCGCCCAGTGTCCTTGATCACCCGCCGAGTTTTATGGCTGGGTTTTATGCGTTCCCGGGCCCGGGCTATCAGTTTCGGCGTTAAAGTTTGGTTGTAATGACGCGGAACAATGGGCTTTCGAATTAGGCTTGATTCAATTGGCGTAATGAGTGAATGGATGGATGGAGAGAGGGAGTGAGGGTCGGGAGGAAGATGTAATATGTTGTAGTAGACATTTGAGCAAATTTTTACACTTATCTAGAGAAATGGCTTTACTAAAATCGAGTTGAAATTTTGACTCTCTAAAGGGCGGAATTTTGTTTATTTCCAATTTTAGTAACGATTTTTTTCCGGGTTTTTCAATCTAAAACGTAATATGTAATGATTCTGTTGTTCAACCTCTGATTCACGTCTATAAATTGCGTCATCCTAACGCAATTTCTTTTCAAACCCTCTCCTAAACTCCTTTCTTCTTGAATTCCCCCGTTTTAGCGCCGGGTTCCAACAAACATCAAAGTAAAATAGTGACAAAAAGTAACCGCTATTCTCGCCATTACACGCCCCAGTCATCTCAGCATTCTCGGAGAGCGGGCAGACAGCCAAAGGAAGCTTGTTTGTGTGTTTCAAAGCGTTTTTTCGCGCTGAAAAACTTTTTTTTTTTGTTAAAGGCCGCTCTTTTCCGATCCTGAATCAAAAATGGGGAATCTAAAAGTTTGTCGGGATTGTATACAAACCAAGGTCGTCGCGCCCTCGGGAGATGAGTCGGGTTTTGTTTTGGTAAGATTGTAAACACCCGGCGGGCACTGAAATGAGTTTGGGACGAGAAAAGGGAGGAAATGGGCTTGAAACGCTGATTAAGACGCCTTGTACTGGAGCACAGATTTTTTTCAGTACAGAAGTTTGCTTGGTCAGCCCTTTAGTACTTCTAAAATTTTAGTTTACCCGGCAAATCACCTGTTTTGTCCGCAGTTTGTTGGGAATGTGTTAGGTTTGTTGCATTCGGGTAATAAAAGCCATCTGGAACACTGCCTTTTATTCCAAACCGCTCTCCTAAGAATGGGAGATTCTTCTTGGGAAGGTTCAGAGTTCTGGCCAATGTTTGGCCAAACGAGTTGGCAAAAAACTTGCTGCAAAAATTGAGGCACATTTCTTTAGCAAGTGCCTGGGACCTTCAACTTTTCAAAGTCATTTTTACACCCCTCCGAATTACCGCAATCCGTGATGGATCATCTCGCCCAATTTGTGTCCAACATGTCTATCAATTTTGCGGCAATTCCTCCTTTTCCGATTCCTTGGCCATTGTCCTAAGTCCTAAATCGCCTTTTTGTTTTATCCCCGCGTGCCAACATTAAAACGGCTTTAAACTTCCGGGGTTGCGATCAGATCCCTTCCACTCGCTTCTCTGACATTTGCGATTCGCCCGGTTTTATTTAAGAAAACGTTTTTAGAAGACGAGGCCGTTTCGGCTGGGACGTGGATCTGATTTCTCTCACTTTTTTTTTTGTTTACTCAACTTTTTAACTTTTAATTGAACTTGTAAAGCGGGTATTTGCCTAGTAAAAGACTGTCTCGACAGCGGGGGAAAGTAGCGTTGATCTGGCGCTGCAGAGTTTCCTGGTTTTGTCTCCGGTTCTGGTGGGTGTTTGTAAGTTTTACGACTACCTGATAAGGGGAATGACTCAGCCGGAGGGCAGCTTAGAATTTTCTTTGATTGGGTAGGGCGAGGTCAGGTCTTCCGGAGAATTTTGTGGCGATAGTGGTTATCTGCTGCCGATTGTGGTGTCTGTAGGCGGTTCTGGAGCGACAGTTGTAAATATTGGTTTAAATATGGGGGCCTTGACAATTAATTTTAATTTTGGTGATTAGATTGAACGTTAGGTTGCTTGATGAGTAAGTAGATTGATAGGCTTAAAATTGGAAGTTAATTTCATGCATATTTAAGCTTATTTTTGCCTTTAATATTTCTGGAATTACTTGCCGCAAGTTTGTTCTCCTACAACGTCATTTGTCATCAAAAATCACCCTCTTTTTGCTATAAATCATCAACTGATTTCAAAGCATTTGATTCACGAATTTCCTCTCTCCCAAAACCCCCAAATTACAATGCCTTTAGCCTAATTATAAATTGGTTCAAATTAAGGAATTCCCTTTCTTCTCCTTACGCCTTGACTCGCAAGGTCGTCGACTCATCAAATTCTTTTTTTCTGATAACCCGTTTCTCCCAAATGGCGCCAAAGGTGCAGCCCTGAAGGCAAATAAACCTCCCGCTAATCAGTTTCGTTTCTTGGACCATTTATGAGATTTTTTTGAAGAAAGAAACGTAAAATGCCTTGGGACTTTTCAGTTTAAGCTGCAGTTAGTATTGTGATAATGGAATTTGATAAGAGTCTTATTGTTTTTGGTATTTGTTTGAAGGAGAATTGGGTTTAATAGATGTAAATAGGTCCATGTACTGTCTTGCTCTTCGTTGTATCAAAGTTAAGTCATTTTTTTGGAATTTTAAGCCGTTTAAGGGCTCCAAGTAGAAAATAAAAAAATTTTTGCTTCCAAATTCCAAACCAAAGCCATTTTTGACATCAAAACTTCAAAGACCTGCCCTCTCCCCCATTTCCAACCATAATTTATCGCCGTTATTTCGTCCAGGAATTCCCAAAAACTCTCCGGAAAAGTTGAATATCCAAACAAGAAAAAAAAACGTTTTCGGATGGTTTTGCTCTGAATATTTTTGAATATTAATCCCTGAGGGCATAATGATCGATAAAAAGAGAGGGAAGAAAGATTGTTTCAAACCAGGGTCTTTTCTGGATGAGAAATGGTTTGAAGTGATGGATTTATGGACAAAAAGGGGGTTCAGAGATATGGTTCAGGGCTTGGAGGGAGTTTACATGGTGTGAGTCAGGTTGTAAGCCGGATAAATCTTTATATTGAGTCCGTCTTTTGTCTCTTTTTTGACTAAATAATCGATAAATCATATTCCTTGAAAGTGCTAATTTACAATTACATCGTCTATCTCGCAATCTTTATATTACTGATCATATTCTCCCCTTTCTTCTGCTCCCTAAACCATTCTTACGTCTCCCACATTTTTTTTTATTTTGCTTGCTAAATCTCCCGCTTAAAGAAACAAACAAAAATAATGTTGTTTAGGAGCCAAAAAGGCGGGGCGGAGTCGCGTGCTCGAATTTAAAATTGAATAAATTTTTTTGGTTTCTGAAAGCTGCGAGGAGAGAGCGAATTTTTTGTTTCCTTTCCTTGGGAGATATCTTTTTTAAGGAAACAACTTTAAGGTTGGGTAAACAAAACCCGGAAGGGCATTTTTATCGGTTTATATCGATTACCTTGACTTGAAGGTCACCCTTGATTAATCGACATTGTTTTCAGCCGAGCCCGAGCACCTCGACAGGTACAAGAGATACGAACAAATGGCCGCCGAGTCGAGCTATGTAAGTCGCAAAAACATGTGTTTATTGCCTGTGGCAATATATGTTTATGTCCCTATAACTATAAAAAAACTCTATCATGGGTATTAACTTTTAGTAAACATGTAATTTTAGCCCATTCCTTACCGCAGTAAGCTCACCGAGCCCTTCGAGCCGGGACAGACCCTGATTGTGAAGGGAAAGACCGTGGAGGATTCAGTTCGCTTCACCGTTTCTCTGCACACCGCCACCGCTGACTTCAGTGGCAACGATGTCCCACTCCACATCAGTGTCCGGTTCGACGAAGGAAAGGTACGACATTAATTATACATATACATCCTTTAAACAGTATTTCGCAGTTAAAGAAAGGTTGTCACGGTTCAAATTTCAATTGATTTTTTTTTGACAATGTCCTAGACCAAGTAATCAATTTTACTTCCAGATTGTGTTCAACACCTTCTCCAAGGGCGAATGGGGCAAGGAAGAGCGCAAGGGCAATCCCTTCAAGAAGGGAGACGACATCGACATCCGTGTCCGCGCCCACGACAACCGCTTCACCATCACGGCCAACCAGAAGGAGATCAAGGAGTACGAGCACCGCATCCCCCTCTCCTCCGTGACCCACTTCTCCATCGACGGCGACGTCTTCATCAACCACATCAGCTGGAGCGGCAAGTACTACCCAGTGCCGTACGAGAGTGGCATCCCCGGCGATGGACTGACCCCCGGCAAGACCCTCCTCATCTACGGAACCCCCGAGAAGAAGGGCAAGAGATTCCACATCAATCTGTTGAAGAAGAACGGCGACATTGCCCTTCATTTCAACCCTCGTTTCGACGAGAAGGCCATCGTTCGCAACTCCCTGATCAACAATGAATGGGGAAATGAGGAGAGAGAGGGCAAGAACCCGCTGGAGAAGGACGTCGGCTTCGATTTGAAGATCGTCAACGAAGAGTACGCCTTCCAGATCTTCATCAACGAAGAACGGTTCTGCACCTACGCCCATCGCTTGGAGCCCCACGATCTGAACGGACTTCAGATCGGCGGAGATGTCGAGATTACCGGAATCCAGATCTTCTAAACTCCGAAAGTTTAGACTCACTCTTTCAGCGTCTTGTAATTCAACTTTTGTCTCTCAATTCCCCAAATTTTATCCTCAAACACCCTTCAAAAAACTTTTCTTGGCTTCTGTTTCACAGTTAATGCCATAGGATTTCGACTCAACAAAGCGCGTCTTATCGATTTTCCGGCTTGAAAATCGAATTCACCGCTAAAATACGGCAAAAATCACACCATAACAATGAGAAAATCCCAAAAAAATGTACTTTCAAAATGAGAAAAGTGTTAAATTTTGATTTTTTGACATTTAAACCCTTTTAATTTAGTCGAAATATCATCAGATGGAAGAATAAGATAGATGGTGAAAGAAAAGATGGTCCCGAGCTATAGCCCCTGCCTTTTTTCAGCCCGTTTAGAGTAATATTCTCAACAGAAATATCAATCTTCTCCCTCTCTCTCTCAATTATTCGAACAAATCGTTTTTTGTTTCTTCGCAAGGCTTCTGTAAAAACCCCAGATTGTAATGGAATTTCTAAATTTTTCGTAGAGAAAATAAATTTGAGTAGTGTTGGAGGCGACATTTTATACGAAAGAAAATATGATTAAATTTTTTTACTGGATAAATAACAGACTTTTGTCAAAACTAAAAAATAAAATTATGTACAATCACCATGCTTGATTTCGCAAAAAGGTTATGGCCGAGATATTAATACATCATCAGGGATTTTGAGCTCTTCGATTACATCAAGATCAGCTGTATCTGATGCTACGGTTTCAACATCGTCAAGGCCTCGAGTCTAAAAGGGAAAATAAACAAAAAAAAAATCATATTTAACTTACCCTCCACATGTAGTAAATATAATGAAGATACGCCGCCATCACTGACATTATACTCAACAGCACAAACGCTCCAAAGATTTTAGGATCCGGGAATAAAATCACCAAAATATCCTTCAGCAGAGAAAAGAATTGGCAAATTGCATTGTGTACTCCAAAGACAGTCAATCTCTCGGTCTCCAGGACATTCTCTTGCATCAACTGGGTGATCGCCAGATCCGCAATCCACACTCCAACTCTGGCTACGGTAACCCCGATAAAGAATAAAAAGATGCTGTACATTGGGTGGCCGTGAACTTTGAAGGAATACCAATCAATGCCGGACATGAGATCGTCCTCATCCGAGACTTCGGTCCCATTTAGAGGAATTTTGGCGGCTCTTTCGATGGAGAAAGTGGAACGGAAGTTGGAGAGCCAGGACTAAAAATTTTGATGATTTCAAAATCGGAATTCGAGAGGGATTTTTGCTCTTAGTTGGCGCAAAAAGCCCTTGGAATTTTGCGTTGTGCAGGTTTGCTTGTTTTGTCGCGTCGCTGCGAAAATCGCGAAAAAATTGCATTGCACAGTGCATTTGACCCGAAAACACCTTTTGCACAGTGCATTTTTGTTTGTTTTTTCCTTACGTCGCGCGCGATTCCCATTTTTCGCAGCGACAAACCGTGTTTTTTCAGAGTGCGACAGAAAAATCCGCACGGTGCAAAAGGACTTTTTGCACCGACATGAAGCTTGTTGATAAAGTTTTTTATCCGAAGGATCTGTCAGCATAAAACGCCCCAAATCTTCCCAAAATTTCTTACCTCTGCCGTGAAACTACTCCAATATTCACCGGGCGCAAACAAAGTTCCGGCAGCAAACAATGAAAATATACAGAAGACATTGGACATCTGCTGGATCTAAGATAAGCATTAGAAAATTTTTGGGCAATTTACTCACCGACATGCCCACAAAGGCAGTTTTCTTTAACCCAATTCCTTGCTCCAGCTGAGTGTAAGCCAATGCCCCAATGATTCCTAATAAACTGGCAGCGCCTTTCAGAAGGCCAAGCAAGTCGTCAGGTAATCCATTCGCTTTCCCATAACTTATCGGGATCTAAAATTTAATCAATTTAGTTAGCAAATTGCATACAATGAAAGCTCTGTACAATAAATCGTAAGGAATAAAAAAAAATTTTTTCATTATGAAGAAAGCTTCGTTCTACAGAGGTTACTTTTGGCCTAAATTAGACTCCTAGAAACCCCTTCGAAACTGTTCGTTACAAACAGGTTTCGTTTTACAGAGGTTCCGCCATATTTTAAATCAAAACAGCACTTACCCCATCAAACCCGAGGACAGTAAAGTACATTAGAGCCAATCCAATGGCTGCCGGATAAATGGATTGTTTCCAGAAGATCTGGACAACATCACTGCACCAGTTGGTCTCCAATTCGACCTTTTCTACAGCGGGATCAATCAAAGACTTTTGCTCAGCTGTAAGCTTCTTTTGCAGCGATGGGGCTGAAAATTAAATGTCAATTTAAATTAGTCATCAAAATTGAATAAAACGATAAAATTGGTAAAAGAAGCAAAAATTAACACCTTCGTTTTTTACAAACAATAATTTTGAGCAGTGATCTTTACTGGCACTTACTTCTTTTGTGTTTTGCCCTCAATTCCGGGACATGATCGTAGATTGCAATGAACATTTGCCGCTCAACAAACCAGGAAAATACATTGCAGAAGATAAAGGCTATGGAAGCCTTTACATACCCCACATAGACCAACATGTACGCACTCAATGGTGGAGTCACAACGGCGGTTATATGGCTGATGATCGTTAAGGTGGCATTTCGACCGAAAATCCAAAAAGTTAGTTTCGAGACATTACCAGAAGTGCTCCGCTGTTTTCTGGGCTTCTACATGTTCAGAAAGCGAGTGTAAACTTACAAGACAAGACGTCGCTGCCTTCATTCTCGCTCATCACCACGATCCAGTCTTTTGTAAACGCCATTTCCTCGCCTTCTGAAGCGCATTTTGACAGTGCCCCAAACAAAATGGACAAAACAAGACATAAGATGTACAATCTTGGGTAATCATCAACAATTACCATGCATGTGATCAACAAAGAGGCCGACAAAGTCACTGCCAAATTGTTTATTGCCAAGACGGATAATGTCGCTGTAAAATACAATGAAGATAGGCCTCGAGAGTTTATAAAAAAAATAAAAAAAAGTAATCGTCTTACCGTATATTCTGGAGTGTTTATTCATCCAGCCCCCAATGAAGGCGCTGGCCAACATTTGAAGAGCATTTTCGGCCAATTGACTGACCCCGATCAGCCTCAAACTTCCCAGATGTTCCAACATAAATATCATCGCAAATGCCCATAGTTGGTCGTTGAAACAGGAGAGGAAATATGAGAGATAAAGGTACTTGAAAGGCGTGGACGGACTGCAAATTAAATACAACTCTCAGTTATCGAATACTCCAACTTTGGCTCAGAATTTTCAGATTTTTTTCATTGTCAATCCCGCTGCACAGTGCACCCACAATTTTCTTTCATTTCACAATCAGTTGCACTGTGCGTTTGTCTATTGCATTTTCCGTTCTCCAAAAATTCCCATGCTTTTTTTGAAAAAATTCGCATAAAGATTAGGTCCGATTTTGGATGACAAAAGGAAAACTCTTCAAAAAATTAGAATTTCTCAAAAATTTACATAAAAATTTATTCACCATGAAAATAACATACCGAATTTTCCCGAAAAAACTGTGGTCACTCTCATCCCCTAGCCACAACATTATCACAACTTTTGTGTGCTATTAAAAAAGCTTCATAAAAGAGATTAAAGAACTAGATCACTTGTTTACTGCTGTTTACTTGACCCGACAACTACTTACCCACTTATATACCAGGTGTGAAAATCAAAGATCTCCACTCCATTTGTCTCGAAAATTGTTCGAGATTACAAAACTTTTCAAGAAACGAAAGATTTTTGATCCCCGGGATTGTGCCAAAAAACAATTCAGGTCATTTTAGCATTGAGTTATTCTTATATAAACATTTCTAGTTCAAAAAATATTACCCATGGTATGTTCAACATTATATTTTTACTTAATGATGTCTCCCATGGTCTAAAACTGATCGAAACAAACTTACTACCACTGACTTTTCACCATTCCTCGTTAAATCTCCACCCGAAAAAACAATTTATGACTATAAGAATACATGCAACTCACGCTTTCTTCATTAAACAAAGACTCACAGAAGCACTTTATAATGATAAGGGGCGATAAAAAGTGTCACGCTGTTCCTTCAGCAAAATCGATGAACCTTCTCGAGCTCTGTGGTCATTCCATGTTCGGAATGTCTGTTTCTGACAAACAGGGGTGTAATTGAAAAAACAATCAGATGTGATTGATCAAAGTTCCGCGGTTATTATCACGAAAAATTGGGAAATTTCGAGATGGCCTTTGGGATCTTAAATTGTTGTCTTTATACGTTGTTTTCAAAAAAATTTAGTTAGCGAAGTTCGTCAAAGCTTCACCGTGATGTCTAGTGTAACATAATTATCGACCTAAACATTCGACAACAAAATTTAAACTCGAAAAATTATCCTCGAATTGGCAAACTCGTTCATTTTACATGAAAATTTAACAAATAATGCTAAAAATAAACAAACAGAGGCGGAAGCCGAGATTGAGTTGTAGAAATTGATAACAAATAAGTTGCGGATTCGGTTTACGACTGAGGAACAAACCGGATTTGGTGCTTCTCTGTATACTCCTTCAGTTCTGTGGCTTTGGCTTTCAGATTTTCCTCACCTTCCTTCAGTTTTGTTTGTAACTAAAATGATGAGTAGTTATTAACCTCGGATAATTAAAACCTGCCTCTTCCGAAACCTCATTCAACTTCTTTTCCATCGAAGGGGCATCATATTCAAGCAAGGCGTCAACACATCTGTAGTAGAACTTTCGGTTTGTATTATCCCATCGCCCTAACGATGCCAGAACACTCCTGAAGCAAAACGATGTTCATGTTAACCTCAGCACAACCCTAGGCAAAAACAAAATAACAAAAAGAAACTTACTTCACTTCCCGCAGCTCGGCAGCACTTCTCTGGAGCTCAGCAACAATAAGTTGTTGACTTTCCCTGAGAGCCTTAAATCCTTCCAAAATTTTTTGCTGTTCTTTCGTTGGCTGGGTCATTTTCTAATCGAAGGCAATACAGAGAGCCAAACGTTCTCGGAATAACCTAAACGACAATTGCCAAAGTTTTTGGCCGAAAAAAATAAATTTTCACGATGAAACAGAATGCCAATAGTGTTTTCGTTTTGGGAAGCAAGATTCGAAACTTTTCTATCGTATAAAATGTCACTTCAAATGGCGCGAAAACCTAACTCGCTTGCGGAAGCGCTACGGTTTGCACAAAACACCCTAAAAAACTTTTGTTTATTGCGAAAACCATTTTATACGATTAAAGTTTCTGACTACTAACTGGTCTGTTCAATGCAAGGCCTTTTAGGCGTTACTGAGGATTCTGTTTGATACGTAATGCAAATGCCAACAATATTGTTAGGCGGTACTAGAAAAGTCTTGTTAATCGAGAGGCAGTATCTTATCCAATGGAGTAACGAATAGTCAAAGTGGAAGACAACATAATTTTAGCGTAATTATTGGATCAAACGTCCGTGGGTAATCTCACCTTCACAATGATGACAATCTTATTTCTGATTGCCTTTCTACGGCCAATATATAAAGAAGACTGACTGAATGCTCTTCATCTGCTTACCTCAACATCTTTTCAAAGCAGATACTATGGAGCACTTTCGTCAAAGATTTTTAAGACATCATGTTTTTGATACTGTATTTATGCATTTTGGTCGTGACAGAAGCTGTTATAACCTGCGGCATAGGTGTATCTAGTTTAGTAATTATTTCTGAACACCGTATAACTAAACATTTTTAACAGCTTCTGGCAGAAAGGAATTTCGGTATGCATGACGGGAAGTCGTTTAATATAGCAGAAGAAGCATGCAAGAATTCATTTCTTCTATTGTTTTCTATCCTTCCTACGTTCTTCGTCATTTTTTACATACAAGCGTTTTCCTTATAATTCCGAGTTTTTCACGATTCGGGCGCGAACTGCGGAGGGCTCAGGCGTTTTGCCCTTTTTTTATCAATGTGTGCAAAGCGTGAGGGTTTCGCGAAATTTCGCAACGAATGCCCAGTTATTCTTTACCGTTTTTACAACATCCTAATGTAATTTACCGCGTAATTTTGCTGTGATGTTGCTTTTGATGCTGAGGTTTTTTTCTGTCACATTTTTTGGGGGAAATGGATGCTCTTAACCATTTTTATATCCAGTCCAGGGTAATTTTATGGCTAAAGATTGACGATGGATTTCTGTGCCGGATATGTTTATATTCGGCTTAGTTTTTTTTTATTTATCTCTATATTTCTTGTCATTCATTTAGAGGACCACTTTTTGTTTTGTACGCAAAATCCATTTCTTTCAAGAGTCTAGTAAAGCTTTACCTAAATTTTTAAGAAAGATTTTTTTAATGCTTATGAATACTTGTATCTTTTCGAACAACAGTCAGGTATAACATATTGTCTTTTAATTTTTGTGATAATGCCGTAAACCATCTTATGTTTAACTGCCGTGCATGTTTTTAATCGTTTTTGGTTTCAGATTAACCGTGCTCTCTTCTGCAATGTCGGAATCTAGTGAAACGTGTGATAGACTCGTGCAGAGATTTGAGGAGGCCCTTAGGCTCTACTCGGATCATTATCTAACCCTTCAAAAGACTGTTCTAACAGCACAGGCTCAGATTGACGCCAAGATTGTGAGTTCTTTAAATTTTTTCCTTCTTGTTTAGATGTCGACTTGCAGATTGTGAAATGGAAATAAATGGAACTTATTTTAGGGTCGAATTGAACAAACAATGTTGCAACTTGCCTTCGAAGGGAAGTCTCAATCAACGGCCATGGTGAGTAGTTCATTTGATGATGATGCACTAAATTCTTTGTAATATTCCTATTCTATTCCGGTTTCAGAATAATGTCCAACGATCTGTCTGCGAAAGCCACGAGCGTGAAGTTAATCGGCTGACGGGACTGCTAGAGACGGTCTTTCAGAGTCAAATCAGGAATCAAAATGCGCAGGCTCAAGCTGCGGCCCAACAGGCTTCCATCTTTGGTCTTTTGAACAAGTAAGTTATATAGGATTGTTTTATTTTACTGATTTTAGTCTAAACAACCAAAGTATTATTCCAAATCCGTCGATGCTCCCTCCCCAGTTGCCTCCCAACTTCCAAATGCCGGTTCCGATCCCACAACAATCCCAACAAGTCGCAAAGCCTCAACTTCAACAACCCCAATTCCAACCCCCGGTGGTTCAGCAACTCCCAGCCCAGCCGAAACCGGAGCAGAAACCTGTTGTTCAGCCTGTCAGCCAGCCATCATCTGGAGGATTCGGAGATCAGTTCAAGAAGAAGGATGGGGAATGGGAATGCAAGGGATGTTATGTGAGAAATGGAGCTGATAAGACTGTATGTCCTTGTTGCAACACCCCAAAAGATGGAGCAGCCCCAGCTGCCGGTGCTAAGCCAGCTCCCGCATTCAAGCCCAGCACTTTTGCCGCTCCTGCTCCAAATACCGGAGGATTTTCATTTGGATTAGGTGGAAGTAAACCCGCTGCAGTTCCGGCGGCCAAGCCGGCCGAGCCAATTAAATCAGAAGCTACAAAGGGAATATCTTTCGGCTCTCTGAGTTTAAGCGAACAACCCAAGAACTTGTTTGGGAAGCCAGCTGCCACTCCTGTTGCTCCAGCTCCCTTCAAGGTATTGAGTAGTTGATTTATAACTTTAATAACTCGATTATTCCAGATTGATGCCAAACCTGTGATTTTACCGCCCAGGGAAGCCGAAGATGAGGAAAAAGAAGAGGCTCCTGAGGAGTTTAGACCAGACGATAGCCAGTTTAAACGGCCAGATATTGCTCTCCCTGACCTTGTTCAAGTGAAAACTGGAGAGGAAGATGAAGATCTTGTCTTCGTCTCTCGTGCTAAGCTCTACCGTTTTGACGCTGAAAAGAAGGAAGTGAAGGAAAGGGGAGCTGGTGAGATCAAGTTGTTGAGACATAAGAATACCCACAAGCTCCGATGTGTGATGAGAAGAGAGCAGGTTCTCAAATTGTGCGCCAACTTTGCCTGTGCGGGAGTGAAACCGACCATCAAGAAGGACAAGCCCACTACTTTGATCTGGACTTGTATTGATTTCTCGGATCCGGAAGAGCACCCGGATGGAGAGAACTGCACCTTGTTGTGCCGATTTAAGAACGAAGAAGACGCCAAGAAGTTCAAAGAGACTGTTGAGAGTAAGTGAGAAGAAATGGAAAAGCCATCCAAGATTCAAATCCTAACTTTGATCTTGTTTGAATGAAATTTATGGATTCTTTTTAGCCGAAGGAAAGGGTGCCGCTGTTGTTCAAGCTGATGAATCCAAGGACAATTCCACTTCTTCAACTCCAAAGCAAAGTCCTCAAAAGGAAATCAAGAAGGAGCCAGAAGAGGCCAAGCCTTTGGCAACTCCAACTACTTCCGCCACCGCCACTCCCAATAACTCGTTCTCATTCAAAGGATTCGGCTCAGCAACCGGTCATACCACTCCATCGAAGCCTTTGTTTGGAACCCCCACGGCTACGGGAACCGCTAATGTGGGTCAAGGAGCCCCCATCAGCTTCTCGTTTAATCCTGGAAAGAGCACAACTCCAGCAACGTCAGTCCAGCCCCCAGTATCTACACCGGCATCTGCAACGACAGCTAGCCCAGCACCTGGAAAGGGAATTTTTGGAGGTGGATTGAGCAGCAATCAGACAGCATCCCCAGCCAATTTCTCTTTCAAGGGATTTGGAACTCCAACTTCAGGTTGGTTTTTAAATAATTTTTGAGTTGGGTTCAGGTAATCAAAATTTAATGCAATTTTTTAGCCAACCAAAGTCAAAACAGTTCCGTTACGGCCGCTGAAACTCCAAAGCCATCTCTCTTCGGTGGAAATACAAGTTCCGTGAGCTTCGGATCATTGAGTCAGAACTCGCAGTCGTCGTTCCTGAGTGGAAAAGATAATGCCTCCACGTTTAAGGTGAGTGTGGGGTACCAGTTGCTCTTTTAATGATTTTGGGATTTGGCTTCAGTCTTGACTTGAACATTGAGTTTTTAGGTGGATCCAAAGAAGTTTGCAGTGTTTGGTCAAAAAAAGGACGAGGAGAAAAAGGCCGAAGAAGGCGAGGATGAAGAGCCCGAGGCATTCAAACCTGATGACACTCAGTTTAAACGTCCCGATATTTCTCTCCCTGATCTTGTTCAAGTGAAAACTGGAGAAGAGAATGAAGATGTTTTGTTCTCAGCTCGAGCGAAACTCTACAGATATGTCTCGGAGACCAAGGAAGTAAAGGAACGAGGAGTTGGCGATATCAAGATCCTCAAGCACAAAGAGAATGGGAAAGTTAGAGTGTTAATGAGAAGGGAGCAGGTACTGAAGCTCTGCGCCAACTTTATTGTCAAAAATGTGAAACCCGAATTCAAGAAGGCCAGGAATGACACCTTGGTTTGGAATTGTTGTGATTATTCGGATCGGGATGAACATCCAGATGGAGAACATGTTACCCTTATGTGCCGATTCAAAGAACCGAAAGACGCTGAGCAATTCAGTAAGATCATCAACGAAAATCAAGACTAGATCGGTTAATACTTTATTGTTCATGTTCCACTATTTTATTCGCTCTAATTAGTTTTGATATTGCAAAGTTCTTAATTTTGCTTGGACCATCTTGTGAACTCCGGTCTTATAAAATATTTTATGAAATTTGAATGAAATAAACCAAATATACCAAGCTATGTAGCGGCATTCCTGAGGTAAAACTGCAAATTGTTAGTTGATCGTTGTATCGAAATAAAAGTTGATTGTAGCTGGACTATAAGTAATCCCATAACATTATGCACGAAGTTCTTCCCGGAACATAGCCTGCAAATTACAGGAGCAAGTCGTCTTCCATCTGTTCAAACATCCGAATTTGACGTGTTTTGCGGACGTTGAACAATGTTTGAAGGCCTGTTTTTTGGAATGCTGAGGACTTTAAAAGCCGGAAAATCAATTTGGAAGCCATCAGTTACGCAATGAACTTGTTGTGGGTTGTACTGGCGATTGGAGGTGGTGAGTTGGAACGCTGACTTTCAAGGGATTGTCTTAGTCATCGCTCAGAGGGCCTATCCCGAACTAAGTGATGAAGATAAAGTGTCGGCGGAGATTGTGACAGAGCCCGTTGATGGAAATCTGAAGGGTCAAGTTATCAGACTAAAGAACCCGTTGGATTGGCTGAAGGATGTTAAGAATGTCATCAAAGAGGATGTTAATCACCTGTTTCATGGAAGCGGTAAGAAGAATATAAATATGATTGCAATTCTATCTTTTTCTATAATATTATAGACACATCTGAGGAAGAGGTGACTAGGCGCTTTGGATTCACTCGATCCCATGAATTCCAGCATGAGAAAGGTTTGAAAAATTTGTGGCCTGGGGAGAAAGAATGGGACGACCATCCGAGGCCAACGCCAAAAAATCCTCTTAGCCGTGACGTGAAACGTCATCCTGACTTCAAACCAATTGATTATACGCCGCTGGAGGACGAGAAGCCTACCGAAAATGAAGCTCCTCATAAGAAAAATCATCCAATTGACCCCATGGTGCATCCCCGTCCTCCATTTGACAACGCCCCGCCTAGCGAAGAAGATACCGGGGAATTCAACTGTGTCTGCAAACCTAAAATCGTCCGTGGACGCCCTCAGAGTTTCTTTACCAATTTGGATTGTACTTGTAAGGATTCAAAAGGAGAGAATAACCCATTGGAAGAAAAGATTCACGAAGATAAGAAGAAGGCCGAACAAAATGGATGGAAAAGATTTAGTGATTGGATCAAAAAGCTGAAAGAATTCAAAAACAAAGAGGTAGAGGCATTAAGGAAATGGAGGGAGGGAAAAGAACATAGGGAGTTGGAGAGAGAGCAGAGAGAAAACGCGACTACTCCAAACTACCATGAACATGGTAAGGTCAATCTTGATGGTCCAAATTATGTCTGAGGCTAGGTTTTTAACCCATTTACTTCTAGATGACGCAGATACTTGCGACAATCCAGCCCATAATCATCCGGTAAAGACGGACGACAAGAAACAGAAGAAGCAAAAGAAGACAAAGAAACATGATGACGATTCAAATTCGAGTTCGAGTTCGGATGAGTCTGCCGAAAAGAAACAAAAAAAGGATAAGAAAGAGAAGAAAGAAAAGAAGCACAAGAAGGAAAAGAAAGAAAAGAGGCATTCCAGCTCAACCAGAGATCACGAATCGACTCATGTTCAGAGCACTGTCCAACCAACTACTTTTCAGCCAACTACAGAAGAGACAACGACTTTAGTCCCAACTGGAAGCACCCACGGGCCGACCACTACTGTTATTGAACGTATTTTGAAATAGAGAGTTGCGATTAAATCTTGAGATATCTTCTGGTTGGAGTAAAGTAATCATGCTGGAGATTTGTGAAAAGTTTTTTCGGAATTTAATGCCTTTTGTTAAACGCTTAGCCAATTTGGTCGCAGCTGTATCTTTCAGTTTGACGAGCAATTAATTTCGTTACTCAAAACAAATTTTTTCATTAGTTTATCCGACTGTGGGAAGACAAAACCCGACTTGTCGTATTTTATGTTTATCTTTTCCCCTAATTTCAAGATTTTCATTTTTCAACTTTCCCAGCCAAGTTGAAAGTCGATTAAAGACGTTAGCCATCAGCCATCAAGTCCCATTCCCTGATTTCGGTGTCTTTTGGCGGATTACATAAGAAACTCTGGTCTTTGGCGGCGTTACTTTCAACTCGAAACAAATGGACCGGGAAAGGGAAGGCGATCGAATGCATGTTCGATTATTCGCCGGTGATAGAGAAGAGAAATTACTTTGGGACATTGCTCAACATGACAACTTGTCTTTGATGTTTTGTTGGATCTGTTTACGAGATGATATGGGAGATTTTGTTGCGGTTTCTGTTTGGGTGTATTGTGGGATTATTGTTCCGTAATTCTATTATTTTGAAGACAAGCCTTTCTGGTTGCCAGGTACTACTACAGGGCCATTGATCCTTAATAACGCTACAAGATCAATGCGTTCGTTTGCATTAATTTCAAGTCCCTTTGTTTTACCCATGGGGACTTTAAGATTACCTCGAGTTACCAGGCGAATGCCACTTGAATCTATTGCCCAAATCAACTGTCTTTTGACAAGAAATCAAGCGCTGATTTAACAGACAGGAGCTGGTTCGGCAGAGATTTTACTTGATTCCACAAGCACCTTTCTTTTCATTATTTCCTCTACGTGATCTTCATCTCCAGCCTTTATTTTGGCCCCTTATTTCAAGCCGACTTTCCCTTATTTACTTCCCCTGACTGAGTAGTCCTGCCAGTGCAAGCTCAATTTAAAATGCGATAGTGGCAGCTGAAAGTTTGTATTTGTTTCGTAACTTCCGCGAATACTTCCAAGTTCTGCAGAGTTGGCGACATAAAAGATTCTGGAGGGCCTGGCTAAGCTTGTTTTGACAATCCGATTAATCCACAACTGTTTTCTTGAGATGTTTTTGTTTGGAAAACCTTTTCCGGTGTTGTTGTCCTACAGGAAATTTGGGATCCTTAATCGCTCTAGTGATAAATTTTTGAATTCTTTGTGGAAGCGGGAGATGATTTTCATTTTTTTTGACAGCTTTGGATGTCGAGGGCATGACTCAAAATTTTGGTGTAAAATATGGGAATCTCAGCTCTAATTGTTTTTTACATATTTTTGGATCGTGTTGTAACCTTTGCTTACTGTTTCTGAAGTAATTTCACGATTCTTTAGTCATCAATTATGATTTTAGCTCTCTTCAAAGTCTGTTTTTGCGAAATGCGGGCCTCAAGATTGTTCAAAAAGATGTTCAGAAGCAACTCCAAGGTAAAACATAATCCAAAGCTTGATAAAATATTTTTCATCTTTGGCATAAACATTAGCAATTTCAGTCCCGAACTCAGCTGATGGCCTCCCAAGACCTCATCAATTTCGATCACGAAGAAAGCCTAGATCCAAACACTGCTTTCATTAACACCTCGCCGAGTTTTTCACATGCTCCAACGGCTGAGGCTACTCCAGTTTCGACCCCAACTCTGTCTAATCGCGATGAAAAAGACCGAACAGAGATCAAGAAAGTAGCAAGCAGGCCTGTGAAGACGGAGGTAAATGAGGATCAAACTATTGAGTCAAAGGATCGGCAACAAAGGGCATTCAGAAAAGAGGTCTCCACGAGACTCAGAGACAGACGTGGCTGTATGGAAGAGTTGAAAGAAGAATACGAAAGCAAAGATGCCGGATGGTACAAGATGAGGAAGGATGTAAGTTCGTCAGAAGTCTAGAAAACGTAGCAAAGTCACTGCACAACAATCGCAAGGGCAGAAAAAAAAATTAAATTTTTTACGTAAAGGTTGCCCTAAAAGCGACTTTCGGGACTTCAGAAATTGGTTGTTATAGAGAGGTTCCGTTGTATGGGGAGGATCTCGAATATCTTGGGGTCGTCACTATTCCACAGTAACCTTTCTATTCAAATATTTGGCGCGTTTCTCAGAGTGTAAATCCCTTCGCGTCTAGCTCGAGGAAATCTTTCGCACTTGAGTCATCTTACATCGCCTATAAGGGAGATTATAAGATTGTTTGCGGTAAAATAAATTGCATGGTCTTGCAGACAAATCTAGGTGTTTGGGGTATCATTACTGATTTGGGCTTGTGTGGCAAGGTTGTCATTCTATATTTTGTTCTGCATCTAATTATTTATTTGGTCTATGTCGATGACTAATATTGTAGGTTTAGGAGTTTGGCGTATAAAACGAAACTTACAACGCATTTTTAAATAATTTTTTTTCAGTACTACAAATTGCAAATCCATGGGATGAAGAAAGAGCTGAATCGTGAGAGAGAACGCTATGATCGGCTACACAAGAAGTACAGTGATTTGAAGGAGAACTATGATAAGCTTGAGGTAAGAGTTTTAGATTTTGGAAAAGCCAGTTTCACGTAGTATTAAAACAAAAAAAAGTTATGCCCGCGCGGGAAACATTTTTGAATTAAATTTGCGACCTTCTGGACCTCGTTTCTCCACTTTATTGATTGGGATCAGCAACTAATCTTCACTTATAAACTTTTTCTTTTTGCAGAAGATGTGCGAGTTCCTCCTGAAATCGCAAGAATCCTTGGACTCTTCATCAACCCGAAGACACCGTCTAAATTCCGCCTATTCTCTCAAAATGGACAAACCTCTGGCTCCATCGTATTACAAGGCCGATGATTCGGTTGATTACTCTAATCTACCAGTTTCTTCTCGCGGAGCCATGAAATCGACCAAGCACTACAGTAGTATCAACAAAAGAGACATGGAGATTATCAGGCGCCAACGCGAGCGGTATCAACAAGAACAAGCGCTGAGACTGTACAACGAAAGGGTTGGAGAGAGCTCTACGTATCTTCAGAGAGACCTCACGAAACCATACATTCCTGTTGCGAATGAGGTCTTGACGGATCATGGCTATGGCTCCAGATACTCTCAATACGAAGCAGAGAGGGGCCACCCATCAGAGTGGCAGATGAGAGAGAGAATTCAGTACGATACGGATAGATCTTGCTATCCTCAAGAGGTGGAAACATTCTCGGACGATGAAGGGCTCTTCCCTGGTTGGCAAACTCGTCAAGAAAATCGAAGAAAAAGGATGACTGAAAAAGTGATTACGGTCCCATTAAAGCCTCCGATGGAATCTCGCCGATCTCAAGAGCCAACTCATCGTCGCGCTAATCGAATTCAACTTGGATCTGCGTTATATGGCCAAAAGACTTATCGTCAGATCTACGGAAGTCGCGAGAACACTGAAGCCGAGGTTCGACCACCAATGAAAGTTCAAAACAATCTGGAGAGAGTTCAGGATTATTTGAACAAGGTGCCAGAGAATGGGAAATTTAGTCCGGTTCCGGATATGTACGACGCTTTTCTGGAGGGAAAAGGAGCTTCGGATCCGAGGGTAAACCCACGGATTGAGAGCATGTTGTCCAATATGAGTTTGAATGATCTGACCAAGAGTTCTGATGAGGAGAAGGAGAATGAGATGACCGTCAGAGAAATCGGAGAGCCTGTGTTCGCCTGATCTACTTGTTTTAATGATAAACCTTTGTTTATTCTCTCATTTTTATCTAAAAAGCTGATTTCTATGTCGTTATGATTTCGCTTCAAAGATTGTATATCACCTTCCACTTATATTCCAACAAAAATCAAAATCAAAATTAAGTTTATCAGCTAATTATCACAATTTAAAAATTATAATTTACACTGAAAAGGAGAGTTTGTTCGGATAATAAAAAATGGCAATGAGAAAACGTTCCGCGTCTATCGCCCATGATTGTAGAAACACACGTAAATGGCGTGAATTATACCCGGTATGACGCCGAGAATGAAGAGAATGATGTTGATCAGGAAGTGAACCGAGCAGCCAGTTTCGATCAGCACGGCGAGCGGCTGAAATTTTATTGTAAGTAATTGTCATCATGGGTAAAATTTTGTGAATTTGTTATGTAAAATTTTTTTTAAAATTTAACCGCTGTGTCTACAAACCAACTACTATGTAAGAATGACTCATCTCCTACGTCATTTGTAATTTCCAAACAGGATATACGTACATATTAATCATACGTTCTTTAGAGTGATCTAGATTCATTGAAATTCAAATACCACAAAAGGACCACTATTTGTACCGAGATGGAAATAAAACTGCGGGTTTTAAACGACTATAGTTTCCAAATTTAAAGAATGAACGAGATGCTCCGGGAGGAGGAAAAATGCGTTTGGACATAAAGAAGGGCCAAATTAATAAAAAAAGGGAAAATGCGAACCAAAAAAGATGCCTTTTGGAGCTGTTTCCCATGTCCTATTTTCGGAAAAAATAGAAAAAAAGTGAGTAAGTACTCATAAATTAGGTAAAGAGAGGGACTACAAGAAGTGTGGAATTCGGTCAGTGAAAAAATCTTTTTGCATTTCACCTCGGAAAGTTCAAGTTCATGGCCTGTGATTCAGTTATGTAGCCAAAATGCCGGAGTAAAAAAATTGATCTGTTCAAAATGAAACACGGCCGAAAAAAGTTTACGAAATTTCCTTTTTGATCCCTAGTCGACGACCATTATCGTATCGCCCTCTACGAATCATCCTAAACGAAATCTCTCCTTGATCCGTCTTTATCAATCACCCAAAACTACTCTCTGTTGTTGTCCGTATGTTTGTTTACTCTCCCATTCAAAACTTCTCAATGTCAACTCCCAAATCTTTGCGCTGTCCCTTCGAATTGGCCTCCCTCCATTTTTCAGCTGTCCAAATTTGACAGATATATTCCATGGCCCGGAAAACGGGTCACGCAGTTAAGGCCAGTTTCAAAAAAAAATTTTCGAAAATTAAAATGCAACTCACCGGAAGAAGGATACAAAGGATCAGAAGGAGGACTCGACACATTTCGGAATCTGCAATTCAAGGAGAATAAGAACAAAACAATCGAAATTGAGAGGGGAAACGAACATCGCGGAGGGGAGGAAGAAAAGATCCCCGCGTCCTTCTCGGGCCCAAACCCCGTCTGATAGAAAGAAATGGGAATTGGCCTCGAAGAAGGGGGAGATCGGGGTCTTGCATAAAACCGAGGGGACGGCTCGACAACGCGTGCAATATTAGCTGGGGAAATGTAATTAAAATTCGATGTAGAAGCCGCAATTCGAATTCCGAAAAAGTTTTAACAAACAAGCCCATTTTTAACAGGTAAAGGCGCAGATCAGATCTTTTTTGACTAGACAAAACGTGAATTGGAGAGAGAGGGGCAGAGAAAATAAAGCGCTACGATTTGTCGGCTTCATGCAATGTGTCTTCGCTGAGCATTTGCCGAGAGTTTGCCGGGTATCCACGGGTTTGTTTGGCCCCCTCCTATTTTTGGTCACACTGCAGTGAATTTACAAAAACTTATTTTCGAACAAAAGTATATGTAACCCACCTTCCAAAAACTGTTAAATTTTATCTTCCAAACACACCAAAAATCTTTGTCACTTATCGCAACTTTTGATCCTATACTTTAAAAAGCAGAAAAATGTAATTACACACATACGCCTGTTTATCAAGAAAGCCCTGTTTTCACCTTCCCAAGCAAAAAAAGAGCGTATTACTGGCTCAGTACTTCCATTTCGCGTGCCCAGCTCGGCTTGCTAATAAACAAAAAAATAAAAACAAGAAGAGCTCGAACCGAGCGGCCCAAAAGTTATCTCCATTTATACTTGAAGCCATTGAAGGATTCAAAACTGGCCACAAACACTTTTAGAACTAAGAAGATTATTTTAAGCCCCAATCCGCCATAATCTTTATATTCGATATTCAAATGGAGCAAATCATAAAGAAAAAAAGTATGCTGATTCACATTGGCCCTGATATATTTGATAAGGAAAGCGAGAAAAGAAAAGTGTGGATAGGAGAGGAGGCGGGGAGTCGATAAGATACGGTCTGGACTCTTCAAATTTACTATTAATGAATGCACAACACAATGCTTTTCGTTGAAGGGAAAGCATAACAACAGGTGTCTGCGAACGCAAGGATAATTTTGTATCTGTGTTCTTTATTTCGAGCCAAAAGTCGACCTAAATAGAAGCAATAGCAATGACCTAAATAATGTGCAGAACAAAAAAAAATTGTGGCCGACATTTACGGGTTTTCTGATTCCATCGTATTTAGTAATTTTCTAAAAATTTAACTATTACATATTTTCTTAAAAATCTCTTTTTTCGTTATTTTTGGTGAATTCTGGGCTGTTTTAGTTTTGCCGGATTTTACAATAAAATAAAGTGTTTTACGAATCCCCAAAGACAAAGATAAAAATATTTTTTTCTCTAACCGTCTATCTTCATTCTCCAAAGTCTCTCATGCGTAGTGCAAGCTGAAATTTTCAGAAATCAAGGCTTCGGCTAAACAACCCATGTTAACAAAATTTTAGCGTAATTTTTTTACATTTCCATCGCTCAAACTATGTAATATGTATAAATAAAATAAAAAAGATAATCCAAAAGTAAAACCGACAACTCAAAACGTAATAAAAGCGCCGCCAAACCCTCCCAGCCCAACTTTTTATTCGCAAAAACACTTCCATAAAGGCAGAACCTGATTGTAACCTTGAAAGGGGACAATGAGTGAGTAACGAGCCACAGAAACTCCGCAGCGAAACACCTGACAATATGCATATTCATATTATATTACCTTATCGCCTCCAGCACTCTCTTAAAAGGGCCGTTTTACGGGAATCAAACATTGAAAGTTTTGAAATAACCAATTTATTTGTAACAATAAACAAAGATAAGGCCAAAGTGAAAGTTAAATGACTGTTCTGGTCAATCCCACGTCATCAAATGGATAAAAATGTCCTGTGAAAAGTGAATAGAAATGTCTGGTGAATGCCATGAAAGCAAAAATGTTTGATTATGATCCGTTTCTCAGTAGCCGGGATTGTAGAAACACACGTAAATTGCGTGCACTATGCCCGGTATCACGCCCAGAAGAGTGAGGAGGATGTTGATGATCAGATGGATCGAACAGCCGGAGGAAAAGAGGACGGCCAAGGGCTGGAAGTAATGCAGATTTTAGGAATGGCTACTTATTTGAAGATGATGAAAAATAAACGAAGAAATACGTGGGTGATTGATTGCCTGGACTTTGCAAAAACCATTGAAATTTTATGGTAAACATGCCGAAAAATCATCATTTCTCTAATCTATTACATCACGATCCTTGATAAAACCTGTATAACAAACCGCAAAGGATATAATAAAAAAAATCTTCGTTAATTCTACGGAGGTTTTGCGAGGAATTGCCCCTTGTAGCCCATAGATTATATGTTCGGGCTGTATAATCTATTTGCCTAGATGAAAAGCAAAAAAATTAAATTCTTACCGGCAGTAGAATACAAAGAATCAGCAACAGGACACGACACATTTTTCAGATCGAACCTGAAAACATAATTTTTGTTTAGCGATGAACAAGCTGACAACAAAGACAATTCACGCTAAAGAATCACTGAAAATCATAGATACGATCTCTAGTAAAGCAGAAAAATGGATATGGGAAACAAAACTTTCCCTTTTCCACAGTTTTTTTATGTTAAAAAATTCAAAACCCTCTTTTGAATCATTCGATCAAAATGTAAATATTATTGTGCATGGGGTGAAACCTATCAAAACGATCAAATCAGCTGCAAAAATGTTTACTTTGTCGGGGAGATAAAGGAATGTGTTAGGTTGTCAGGACATCATCAAAATGAGTCATGGTAATATTAATAATAATATTATCAGCAATATTTTGAAATGACCCAAAGTTTTTTAAAAGGTCGTATGTTTCAACCAAAAATATAGACAAAACTTGGCCACCGCAGAAAGTTTAATAAAATTTTTCAGATCACGTACGTTGAAAAAGTGATGACAAAAGTCCATAAGGTAATTTGATAAGCTACTTTCAATAATTTCGATTAAAATTCACTTACACACGTCCTCTAAATTCAATTATTTTACTTAATATTTTACCGACTAAAGGTCAAAATGGGCTCAAAAATCAGAAACGAATTTGGTCCCTTCCCTTATCTGCTAAAAATTGTTAAAGGGCCTATGTAAATAAAAAGAGAACTGGATACTTGGATTGATGAATCATAAGCCCTGCAGAAGACACAATCAAAGTAATGAAAAACTAGCGAAAAAGTAGAAGCGACAAACAAAAGCAGAAAAGGGATTCCTCTAAACTAAACGTAAAAGTGACGGTTTGAAGGTAATAAAAACATTTTTTGCCTGCCAAATAAAATGGGCTCGAGAAGCAACTCTTACAATTAGAGATTGATAAAACATTCCTACAGAGGTTCGACTGTTGCATTCCAATTTTTGAAACTTTAATTTGTGCTTTGCGGGTTCGGCGTGACCGTTCTGTCAGCTTTGGAAATGAAAGAAAACCAAAATTTTTTCGGCCGTATCTCTAAAAAAATTACTTTTTGTACCACGTTAAAGGCCAATCTAAATTTTTTAGAAAATTTTCTTGCTTTTAGAAAACTTTCTTTGTTAGAAAACCAACGTTTCGTGAATGGCCAAGTTATAGTGCATAAAAATGATGATTATTGTTTTCCACCCCCGTTTAATCTAAAAGCCATAATTCTGAGGACAAAACTGACAACAACAAGTGCAATAAACTTTCTTCCCACTATAAGCGTTGTTGTCATTTCGGAAACGGAAATCGTATTACGAAAGAAAAAAAAAAATAAACAAGAAGACGTCAACTTTCGAACAACAAGGTCTGAGAAAGCGCATGACTCACGCCTTTTTAGGAATAATTGGGGGAGGGAACGGCTTGAATTTTGAAACATTTATGCTGCTTTGAGAGCAAACTTTTACACATCGTTGTTCTTGAAATGGTGACTGTGCCTCAAAATTCAATTCATCACAAAAAATTTTAATGACCATACAGAGTAACTAGCAAACTAATGATAAGTTACTCGAACAACGTTAAACTGAATAACCCACCTTATTGAGATTACCCGGAAAAGCGAGAAAAGCAAAATGGAGAGAAATATTGCGCAGCCTTTGACGGACCCTCATGTTTGTTTCACCCCTCCGTTGGAAAGAATGAACGAAACAACAAAAAATATTTTTATTCTCACGTGGAATTTTGGATATTTAAAGCCTTTTGAAATCGGGAAGTCGAACGGGTATGGGACAGAGACCAAGTGTAAACAAGAACAGAGTTTATTTGCTTTACAATTGTAATAAAACATGAGGTTTTGAGATAAGGATAGTCACTGGAGTACCCGATTTCCTTTTTTTACTTTTGTATCAAATTGCAGGGCAAAAAAATGTCAGCATTTTAAAAAAATAGCCAAAAAAATTTTTGCTTTGTTCTACAAACTAACACGGTCCATGGAAAATCGATGTGGACCATTTATTTACACTAAAAATCGATCTAAAAAAGAGGTCTAGAGCTTTTGTGACCAATTTTACATCTAGTACTTATAAATATTATCAAACGCTTCTTCGTTTGTGTGTTTTTCTTACCTTTGGTTTCCATTCCCTTCAGTGCAAAATTATGCAACATGGAGCTGATTAAAGATCCCACCAAAGACTGTCATCTTTTCTATCGCTTAATGTCTGTCAGCCAAGTTTTCATCATTTCCTGATGATATTGGTCGGCCTCGGCGCCGGAATCAATAACTCTTCTCGACGATGTAACAATCTTCCGATCGTATTGAATTAATATCGCGTATAGTATGGCATACACTTGGATGTTCTGAAAAATTACTTTAATTGAAAAAAAGGAATTTTCGGATGTAATCTACAAACATTTCCTCACATAGTTTGCGTTCACCCATTCTGTATAACCCAAGCGATTGGTTGTTCGATCAATCACAACTCGGATCACAAAGTTGAGGAAGAGAAAAGTGTCGAAGATAAATATCCGCACCAAACATTTGATGAGGTTGGTCTTGAGGGCACGGGCATTTGAGCGCAACTCGAAGTGGAGACTCAGCTTGAATTCGTGGGAATTGCTGAAAAAGAAGTCAGATCAGCAAGAAATAGCGCTTAGTTCTTGAAGTGCCCACAGCAATACTCTTAATTTTCTAGAAATTGATAGCGTTGGACAATAAAAAATCTGGACCTCACTGAGAGAGTCGCATTGTTAAAACATATGAAGAATCTCGTTTCTGACCCTGAAGCTGTCCGAAATAGACGGTTTGGAAATGAATAAAATTGCTGGTGGATGTGTAAAACAACTAGCCAGAAACGTGTTACGGGCATTACTCTCGATCTGATTTTAAATCGTATTTTCTGGCTACTATGAGACACAGTATACAAGCAACTTGCTTATTTATGCAATTGACTTTTTCGTTCAGCAAGATCATTAGGTTGCTTTTCCTGCTGATATTTTGAAGAAGAGCAAAGCTTTCCGCTTAGAATTTCAACACCACTTACCTCTGAAGTTTATGCCTTGTCGCGGCAACCAGAGCAAAACATAAGATGGCACACGTTACATCCACAATGGCCAACGTCTCGTACATAGTCAGCATTTTGTCTCTGTTATGACTGGACTCAGCAATGCAATACGGTTTGATCTCCGTTGCGACCTCTTCGTAAAAAATGTAGGCTGATGTTCCCGCCGAAGCAATGATGATAAACCCAATTCCGAGAGTGTTTTCATAAAAGCGGCAGAAACCTTTGCACGTTGTAACGAGTTGAACGGAATGCGAGCAGACTACTGTAAATGACGCGAGAGATACGACGATTATGGCGGTAATTGTGGGAATTCGGAGGCATAAACAAGATGAGGTAGTAATTGTCAGGTCACAAAAAGTTGAAGCTTGAGATTTATTGATCTGAAGAATTTAAGAATGCCCAGAAAAACAGCTGGACTCACCATTGCCAAGACTACAATCAACGTGGTCGCAGTGTTATGAACAATCATGGCAATCGATGTTATATACGTAACAACCTAAACTAAATAATTATTTCAATTATCATTGTTATTGCTTCACTTTGTCAATGTTCCAATCTTGTTGTCGTCTTCTGTCAATGAGTAATGCGTTAATAAGCAAAAAGATTCCAATAATCGAACAAATTGAATGAAAGATCTCCATGCTTTCGAAGAAAATACTGTTCTGAAGGGCATATGCAAACAAGCACTCGGGGTCATCGTCGGAGGAATTCATTATCTAAAAAAATAACGGATACGCCATAATAATTCGTGAGGTTCAACCGAGTCACGTTCTACGATCACCGGGCCCTTGGTCAATCAAAGAAACGGGGCTTACAATTAGAACTTTTTTGGATTGAGCAGAGCCCTCACTGGGGATAAAAACCATTTATAATAGATATGGAAAGTAATGTAAAAAACGTGCAATCTGGGAAAATAAACGACACATTGATAGAAGAGTCTCGATGCTTGTACCCTGGCTCTCAAAAAATGCCCCATGTCGAAATCTCCATAGCTTTTATTACACATATTATACCACGGTACCTGAGAACAATGCAAGTCAATCTTTAAAACCGTTTTAGCACGCCCAACAATAAATTTGTATCCGACGCACCTAAGACCGACATCATGAACAGAAAGAAAAACGGACTTATGCTAAATTTTACAGAGGTTCATTTTGGCCCAGAATTAACACTCCCTCCAACCACTTCGTGGTGGTAAGGAGGGTTCGCTGTAAGATATTTTTTGTACAAAGGTTCCAGGGAATCATGGCCCCATTTATGGATCCCATGGCCATTTTTGGGACTATCGCTTTACGAGCATTCCAAACATTGACTTACACTGATACCTTAAACAGCCTAACCAACGCTCCTGAGGTGATTAAATCCATAATCGCTCAATGTGCAACTTGGCTTAACCATACCTCTGAACATGTTATAAGCTTAGCAATCCTTCTTAATTACTATTATTATAAAATTCCCATATCATTTTTAATTTTGCGGGAAATTGTTGAAGAAAAACTACAAGTTCCAAGGTTGGAACTTGTATTGTTCCTAAAAATGTTGTATTGTTCCATAATTCCCACTAATTCCAGACATTATGGGAAAAAGTTTTCATTATTGGAAAAGACAATGAATGATTAACACAAGGCATACCAAGAACGTAACACTTGAAACATAATCTGCAGCAATAACACTCTGGCTTTTTTAATCAAATCTCCAATATTTCTTACACCTTTTGTGGCGACCTAAATTGACAAATCAAAAAAACGCCGTCTGAAAAGTCAAGAAAATTTACTTACTGTTAGAGTTTTTCCCTAATACACCTACAAAACGGCTCATCGAGAACTGAAGTAAGCACAAGATCCAAAAAACATGTTGGGTTGATTTCCGCCTGTCTAGTGTCTTAAATATAGCCTGGACAACCAAGTTAAACCAACACCATTTGTAGCTTCCCAATTGAATTAATTATGTGGGTACCAAGTATTTTACAGGGATACGTCTTAAGTTTGACACGTTAACGACAAAGCGTTTGGGTTTGCATGGGAGAGTGTGTAACGACGTGGGATTTACAGGAAAGAATATACGCATGCTTGGCGGCGAATCTTACAACCCTCGTTCCCCGGTGGGTTTCAAAACAACTACAATATCCGTTATTTCTTGCACACCTAATCATCTCCAACCTCATGAAATGCCAAAATAGAAATAATAACGAAACTGACCACATTTACTTTAAGACCTCGTTTGTAGTCTTTTGTTAGTTGACAAATTTATGAGGGCAAAACTTGCAGGAACGTTAACAAGTTTAATCAACCCGCTAATAGCAACGATTATGAAACTGTAAACAGGTTCTGACGCCGAAGAACTATTACAGTGGGGGCCTGATTCAGTGGAAAAACGTACCCTTTTGCATCCGGGAAGTATCAAAAATGTGGCAAAATGCTTCCCTCTCCAAGTGTAAAAACTTCATTTTGAAGGGCGCCCTTTTTCCTCACAGAGAGCGGGCGCGCTTTTGAAATCTGACTTTCTTCACTTGGAGAGGGATGTGTTTTGTTACATTTTTTGATGCTTCCTGGATGCAAAATGGTACGTTTTTTGCCATTGGATCAGGTCCCCCCCTGTTAAAATGAATGAAGCTTTCAAGGCTTTAACGTTAGCAATTTTTTTAATTATCGCTGTTTAGTCAGACATTTGTAATATAAGACCTACACAAACAAGAGCATATGTAATTAAAGAAATGTCGGTTGTTCAAGGTACAAAGCGAGAAATATTTAATAAGGAGGCTATCAATAAGCAATTCGTCATTGGAGCCAAAGATCAGTAGTACTGGTGTGCAGGACGCAATAGCAACGCGGATTTTTACTGATAAGCGCATTAGATTGTTTTCAAAAAGATTGGCCTCGTAAAACCGGAAAACTATGAATCCTTGAACATTAGGACAACACTGATAGCTTGGCGATTTTTGCAGCAACACGCCTGGGCTTTTTGCTCCGAGCACAGCGTTCAAATATAAAAGTAAAATTGAGAATAGGGTTTGCGAGTACTTCATAATACTATTTATAAATATAAATTTGTGTGTTGTTTTCTGTAACTTACATAGTTACAGTTCAAAAATGCTGTATTTTGGCCTCTCAACACTTTTTTCGACTTTTATGCATTTTAAGTGCAAAAATAAAGAATGCTGTTTGGATTCTAAGCATCGCTGTAAAATCATGCTTAAAATTGTTAAAATCCAAAAAGCAGAGAATTTTTTTGTTTTTGCATTCAAAGTGCAGGTAAGCGCTTGAGTCATACATAAGACGTGTGTTATTTGATTATCTTCCAATTCAAAAAAAAAAATTATCTTGGAAACATAGATTTGGAGGCCTTTATTGAATAAAATAAACCGTATTTTATTTCGTTTAAGGTACAAGTTAGTGGTCACCACTACTGAAATCCTCGGTTTCTCACTCACAGGTTCGGACACCGTTCAGCCGGAAGAGTCTCGGAATAAATCCTTCGACTTGCTCCTAACATACCCAACACAAACAAGAATTCCCAATACGAATAACACACCTTCTTTATCCGCCTCAACCTGTGTACAACCTCTCAAAATAAATACACAACAGACATACAATCACCGGCGAATATCTTGGCCCGAGTAGTCCTCGACGATCCTCGGTCGTTTTCTACGTGCCAAATCCAATCCCCTGTCCAGATTGTCCCCATAATCCTCGTTTGAACGGTTTGTGGCGGAATGCCAACGTCCTCAATCAGATCGCTTCGGGAGTCGGCGGCGGTCCGAATTCCTCGCGGTTGTACTCACCACTGTTTGGCGTAGATATCAAAGTACATATCGTTCGCTCTCTCTGGATTCACCTTGGCCTCTGGGTTCAAATTTGCTAATGCTGTGGAGGGCTCTGATCGAAGTGTTTTTACTCGTTGCTGGATGAACTGAATTGAGATCAAGGTCTGGAAAGGTAGATTAATAATTTTTGAACAGTTTTCTAGTTGTATAATATGTATTTCTTTGACTGATTTTGTTTTAGACGTTAAAAATATCTGATGTCAGGCTTACTGTTGTCATGGAGAAGTAATATGCACCGGCAATGTAAATATAGTGCCGAAACGCTCCGCCCGTATCCAACTTGGCGACCATGTGAGAGAATACGGTCATCGTTCCAAACACCCATTCCATCAACGAAAGTCGTTTAAGGAACCTGCTGATTCGCAAGTTCTCCTTGCTCTGATATCGCTGCGAAAGTGACGGGGCCACATTTACTCTGGAGAATTGGGGATGAACTTGTCGAATCATCCGTAAATGGCGATTGTAAACTCGCAGTGACCATCGTGGTAGGATCAAATAAACAGCAATGGAAGTTGCCGTTACGGTTAATCCATAGTAAACTCCAGCGAATTGAGTAAAAATCTCGGCTGAAATGCATTTACGATTATTTCATCTTCCAAAATCTCAATTTGTCGGGGAAATAATAAGGATTCAGCAAAATGTCGAGAAATCCATGCAGTTGCTATCATTATAGGCGACTCCAAGGCACGGCAATTCCTCATTAAATTCCCAACAGACTGATGTTGCATTTAAAATCTGTTAGAAAAAATGTGGCACTTACGATGTACATAGATTACATTTGCTGTGATACCAATAATAGTGTAGATTCCCAGAATAATGACCGCAACAAACGGTGGCTTCGAACAATATGATTCGTAGTAATCGACCTTTACGGTTGCGATTACTCGTTCTGATAAAAGACAGATGGAGTAGCCGTATCGAAGCGTGATGCCAACATTTCCAAGGAATTTTAGAATTTTATAAATTGGTGAGTGATCGAGTTCAAGATTAACTCCTGCGATTTGAAATAATCGGTCGATGGATTGGAAAATGGCGGTGAAAAGAACTCCGTATGGAAGGAAGGCGATGACGGCACGGGTGTTGGGCTGGAAAGTCTGAAATAATTTGGTCGGAGTAGTTGTTGAAAAACATGACGCTTCCATCTTGTTGGACATTCCACATGATTCTCTAGCCAGGAATGCCTTCCTGACTGTGCGTTCCTGGCCCGATGAAGCCCAGCCCGGCTTAACGGAGCGGGAATACACGTCAATCCAGCGCATTTCCAGAACCGTTTTGAAACTTCGTATCGTTTTCATTGATTTAAAAGAGAGACGAAATGTCGCGAAATTATCGGCACTTTTTCTCGCCCGAAATAATTGCTTTTTCTCGAAAAGTAAAAAGAAAGATAAGAAAATGAGTTTTATCGGATAGTGACATTTCGTTTTGAACGAATCACTAAAAAGGGGCGGGAAATTTTTTCTTCTACTATTTTGGATTCACGTGGGATAGGATTTGTAAAATTTGAAAACCGTGCCGTTTCGGCCCACCCTTAACCGTGACAAGGCTTGCCACCGCAAGTTTCTGTTTGCGCGCGAGTAGGGATCAACTTTTCGAATTTAGGTAGTAAGCCAGTTCAAAAAATTTTTATGTTTGGAAGCGAAGAATCAGGAAGTCTATTACATTTTTAATGCCCCTGAACAAAATTAACGAAGCTCATTTGGCACCAGGAGAGATTCGAACTCTTTCTTCAACATTAGGAAATGAGAAGGAATGATCTTTGAAAAGTATAAGAAGTTGGTTGTTCATCTCATAATATGAGATCAACAACCATTCATAGTCCCAAACAATGAACTTGAATCATCAGAAAGTTAAAATGGTTCCGTGTTTTAGCTGTGATACACGTATGGTCAATTTCTGAAGATTGTACCTGAGAAATCATAAGAATTTTGGGGGCTTCGGTAGTTCAGCCCCCCACGAAAGGTAGTTCAAACCCCCACTGTTTTGTCCGTTTCACACCCCACATAATGAACAAATTAGAATAATACAAAAAATGTAAGTGGGGGTTTGATCTACTACGTTGGGGGTTTGATCTAAAACGTAGGGGGCTTGAATGGACGAGGGGGGTTGTACTGGGTCATGGGGGGCTAAACTGGACTGGGGGGTTGCACTACCTTAGCCCCGAATTTTGCTTGTATACAAAACTGCGCTAACATACAATTTAAAGTAGAGCCGAATTTTAGAACTATAATTGTAAGATCCTATCAAAAAAGAAAAGAAACGTGGCCCACTCGAGAGGATAAACTACAATGTTGAAATTCCAAATTACAACCGAAATAAAACAGCAATTAGGCCTAACAGGAAGAAGCACAAACTTGGGAAGCTGTTGATAAGCATTAGTACTCAGACTTTGTAAGACCGAGCAAGGCAAAGAAAACGGTTTAGGGCATTATTGAAACGAAAAAATTTTGATTACTACGTGCTAGTATAAGGATATGGTAAGACGAGTTCATCCCGGACTAGTTAGGGCAACCAAACATCCACTAATTGGTGCATAGAAACAAAAGCCAAAATATACTCATAAATATCTTTAAAATAATCAAAATGTTCCAAATAGCCCCCAACTTACATATTGCAACGCTCTGGCCATGAAGCATACTGTATAGACAACAACAAACGTAGCAGTGGCAACAAATACAATATTGACCATCCTCTTGATGTCCTCCTCCTCCATCCGATCCCCGACCCCCTATGAATTTAAATTTTGGAAAGCAGAACAATTCGAAAAGAATGGGGATACGGCACTTCGCTATTACACTTCATCAGTACGGTATGACTACAAATAGACCGGTCTCAAAGGAAATTGTAACTTTTAAAGAACAAAGAATTAATATAACTATAGGTTCGATAGCTTAACCATAAACCCTCTTCCTCGTTCGCGATAAATTTAGATTTGCAATGAAATGAAAGCTGTAAATATTTACTTTACAGTAGAGAGAATTCAATAAGCTTCAGTAGAATTTGTAAATAAACCGCGGCATTACATACTTTAATGCAATCAAATATGATTACGCAGCAGTTAAAAATATATTTTGAAGTGAAGGTCGGGGCTTGGAATCTATTAATAATTCAATTTTGGAGTTCTTTGATTTGCAACTTGCTAAAATTTTACAGGCGTATCCTTTCGGATTAAATGTCCATTCTAGATAATCACAAGATGGAATAAACAAGCCATGTTCTGCCGTACCATACCGTGTTAAAAAGAGGTCACTCTTTATTGAGATTGGAGAACAAGTTATAATATATCAGTAAATGCCATCCTTTTATATTATAGTATTCCACATCCCCGGAACAAATAAATTCTGTGAGATCAGGAAGAATAAAGATTCCTTGTTCCATGAGCTCCATGAGGTCCACAGTAGGCAGAGTAACGCATAAAGAATTCGTGGATAAGATCGGGTCATTTCCAATCCTTTGCGTACATCTCAAAATAAGTGTTGTTAATAGCCTCAGGGTCAATTCCAATTTTATTCGAATCCATTGACGCTGGTCTGGAGACGCTTTTGAGAAGTTTGACCCGTCGACGGATGAATGTGATCGTGACCACTGTCTAAAAACATGTTTTTCTTTAGTCGTGGCTTTGTACATACATGTATGATATATTACATACTATATAAATATATGTATACAACTATAACTATCCAGGTCCCTGCCCCAGAACATAAAAAAAACGAAGAGGGGTAATCAAAGCAAGGTAAGCAAGTCCAATTAAATTTCTCAAGTTTTTATTTCAACCTACCCAAAGCATAACCCAAGTATACGCAAAAGTGAGGTAGATATAGTGAACATGATCTCTATAGGGATGCATTTTCGCTCCAATATGAAGCAAGACAACAGTCGCTCCAAATGCCCATTCCAGCGAGATCAATTGCCGCAAAAAGTTGCTGACCCTCAAGTTCTCGCAACTTTGGAAACGTTGGGATAACGAAGGGAATCCGTGTTTACGCCGAGGAGGTAAACGGACTTGATTCTCCATCAAATATCGATTGTATATTGACAACGACCATCGGGGAAGGATTAGGTAGATCTAATCAGTTATGATTACTTTTTGATTTGTACTTACAATCAACGAGATGATGACAACGACCACTCCAACAAAACCACCAATGAACCTTGTGAATATTGTAGCTGAAATGGTTCCAGTTTCGTCCTTGAGGATTTAAAGTGGACAGAGACAAGTTAAGGTAGTCATGAGAAGATGTTAATTCAAGAAAGACACCTCAAGTCATAATCGAAGAATCCGTAGCTAGAGAAGTATAAAATCAAGATCATTCATTGCCGATATCCCTGCAGAAAAAAATGCTCGGAATCTCCTACCGAGACTCCTATATCCCTGAGGTCGGGGTTCTTTTCCTGGATGTCGCAACTAGTAGTAATATATATTTACATATAATATATGACTTTTACTCTGCCTTTTCAGAAATTCTATTATTTTCTGATTGAATTACAGAGCATTTCAACCCGATAAAAATTTAAACCCTAAACTTCGTACTTGTAATAAAAAATAAATTGCGTCAACAGCAGAAACGTAAAGAGGTTCCTAATTGTACTCAAAAACACGTCTTTATTGTAGATATACGCTTAGTAACTCACGGAATTTCAGCATGAGGCCTACAATAGTACAAAGCAGAAGTTCCACGACAATTGTAATTATTGCAATGTACGGTATCCGAATACAGTAATGCTCGTATTTATCCACTTTCAGCGATGCAATTACCCGTTCGGCCAGAAGACAACTGGAAGTTCCGATTCGAAGAGCCGCGCCTAGAAAACGAACCATTTTTGTTTGAATTAAAACAGTTACATCTTTGATTGATGTTACAATTTGAGCTTAGTTAACATTGTACTAATTAAATTCAATCTTCGTATTAATCGTCGTAGCTGCACATTGAACGTGACATTTACATTTCTTAGAATAAAATATGTAAGAAACCGAATATTTTATGGACTCGAAAAGAAACCTCGAGTATGTCAACGCAAACTGTTCGTACTTTTATTTGACTAACACCTTGCTAAGTAACGTCGTTGTAATTGTGATTTATTACCAATCTCCTATCCATACGTCAAAGAGAACAAGTGTTGCTGACTACAAGCTTGTACGTATGCCCTACAAAATAACCAAACAGTCTTGCAAGAAAGATAACTTTCCTGCACATTTCATTCCATAACGGGGCTCATTTACTTTTAAATTTTTGTTTAAAAAGTTTTCGAGTAACATCCCTGAAAATGCACCATACCAAAGTCAACGAAGTACCACATAATCACATACAAATAAGGAGTGTCGACCTCAGTATTGTAACCGAGACTATATAAAATCTTGAGGAATGTTTGGCCGACAACGGTGAAGAGGACACCAAATGGAAGCTGGGCAAGAAGAATTCGGGTGTTGATCTGGAGATTCTGCAACTAAAATAAACGGCTTCAATGAGACCGGAAGGAAAGCAGAAGAGGAGTTCTTAATTTTTAAATCATCTTTAACGGCTCAAGGAAAAATTAAGATTTTCTTAATAAAACCTACGAATCCCATGGCCTCGTACATGTACCATATCGTATGACAAAAAACAAAGATCGCAAAAATGATAAAAAAGACATCCAGGATCCGCTCTACCATAAAATAAGTCTCATCGTCCATAACGCACTATAACTATCGAACACCACCGTACAATTTCGACTTTCACCCGTACATCCGCCGTTCACTTTGCGTATTTTCTAAAGAAATGGAAACTAAAACGCCTGCGGTTTCACCTGTGGCGAGGCGAGACTTGGCCAAGCTCTGCGGTGCCTTCGAAACAGTGAACTGGGTGGTTTATTAGAATAATTTAAGAGGAGCAACAATGAAAAAACAGATTGGCATAGGCAGAAGTTGAGTGAGCTTCCTAATAGCCTGGGGCAGTTCGGGGAGGCGGGCAATGCTCGCAAGATCCCTTCTCTCCTCGAGCACCGTCGATTCCATTGGAACCAGGCGATCCAGGAGCACCGGCAGGACCGGGAGCTCCAGCATCTCCCACTGGACCAACGACACCTGGATTACCGGGGGTTCCAGCATCTCCGGGTTGTCCTGGTGGTCCAGCTGGGCCGGCGGGACCTGGTGGGCCGGGTGGACCTGCCACTGCCTCGGCCTGAGTGACCTTTCCGGGTGACCCAGCGGCTCCAGGAGCACCTTCGGGACCTGGAGCTCCGGCTTGACCAGCAGGGCCGGGTGGTCCTTGCGGTCCAGGAGATCCGGGCTGTCCACTTTGTCCGGGCGATCCATTTTCTCCGCTTGGACCTTGAGGACCGGCTTCTCCAGGTGGGCCGGGAGGTCCCGCTGGGCAGTCGAAGCAGAAGTCGTCTGGCTTTGTGTCAGCCGCAGCCTTAGCGTCTTCTCCATTGTTTCCGGGCTTTCCTGGCTGTCCATCCTCACCATCATGACCGTCGGGACCGGGTTGTCCTGGGGCTCCGGCGGGTCCAACTCCGCACGAACACTGGCCTGAGCTTGAGTCCTTGGCAGCCTGATCTTCAACGTGAGCGGGTTCGGGTGCTCCATATCCATCATGGTTGAATTCCTTGGCTGGGTAATCAGCATGACTGGTGGGTTGTTTGGGGCTCTCTCCGGCCTGAAGATGCCATGTTATTTCCACAATAAAAGGAAATTCAAAGAGAGAACGACTTATTTCAATTTGACTTACCGCGTTATATCCGGCGTATTCGGCCTGTCGGTTTCCTCGGTCGAATTCCAGCAGGGTTTCATCGGCGTCCGCCTCAATCTTGGCCCCATGGGTTCGCGGCCTTGGCTTGGCCTTTCCTTCTCCCAAATAAATGGCTCGGCTCAAGTAATGAGGCTCGACTTGAACCGCAGATCCACCTCTCTTCTGCCTTCTGATTCCCATTCCTTTTGTTTTAATATCAAACTGTTCTTGGAGGATTCGAGTTTGTGATTGACAGAAGGCCAGCTCATCTTCTAGACTTATTTGGACATGCTGTAGATAAGTGCACAAAGCAGGGATCAACAGGGCCGCTACAACTACCGACGCTACTCTGAAAAACGGAACATATTTGTATTTCAATGAGCGGGGAAGAGTCAAAAATCGTCTAGAATTGTAGAAGGAGAAAAAGGGAAGGACATTCTTTTAAAAAGTTTTAGAATTTTCTGTCTTAACGGAATAATGGTAAGGTGATAATTCTTGATACTTACCCAACAACCGTTCCAATAAATGCAAATTTCTTATGGGTTTCCGCCTCTTGCAGAAGCTGTTTGTGTGGATCCATAACTGCAATTCAATATTCAGTCATCAATTATAAAGACCCATTTTAAAAAAATCAATGAGATGAGACACGAGCTAAACAATCTATAAGGACCAAAAATTACCTAATGAATAAAAATTATCGTACAAAGGAGACCGACCCCGGAGAAAATTACAGTAAATTACGCATTTAATTAGACCAGACTCATCGTAATCTGGAGGATCTGACTGACGATAAAAACGCGACAAACGGGACAGTTACAAGTATATATCAATGGCCTACAGTTCATCTCTCTTCAAGACTCAGTTCATTACAAACACAAGTCCGATCTCAAACGTCCCTGTGTTCTGTCCGATATCCTTCGCTTATGACTGAAAAGATCTAACCAAAGCTCCAAAATAAGTCCATACACGAGCGATGATACCAAAGATTCTCTAATCCTATACGGTTGGTCAACGAAGTCAAGTTCAAGATCATCAGCCCCGCCCATCCGCCCGATCCGAACCCCTCACCCTTCCGAACGACTTCCTTATCAATCCTTGCCGTTCCAGGAATAAAGCCGAACAATAAACGCCCACAACCTTTTGCGACACTTGAGAGTTTTATAACTGAATGAAACAAGTGTTAAACTGGATCCGCCGACAATCTTCGAGACTTCGCCCCACACCCCCGAAGGCATGTTTTTACGGACCGTAAAAGCGACAAGAACAAGAAAGCGAACGGAGCCGGTTCATACTTTCCTTCATGCGCAGTTGAGTCTTGCAAATGAGTAAGCGTAAGAGTTATATCCGAGTAATGTAAACATCCACTTGACTGATGATGCAAAAACGTGACGAGGATACCCTGTTTCATAAACGGAGAGGAGATGAGGAATATTGAGATGGAGCACATTCGGACGGAAGAATTGAGAAATTTAATTGGTAAAAATAGTAAGAATACAAAACGAAGAGTAACAGTAACGTGGAAATGACATTAGAGAACTGCAGGGGTTTTGCGCAAAGAATGGGAGATATCGTGCAACTCTGGGAAGATAATATTGTCTTAGAAGGCAAGAAATGACAAGATCTTGGAAATCCAAATATCAGAATAAACAAAAAAACCATTGGAACATTTAATATAACCCTTGAGTTGCTAGATACTGACTCTCTAAGCTTCAACATAAATCATCACTATAACTCCCAAGGATCCTTAAAATTAATCCTTTTCGTACACCAAGCGTCTCTTCCGTATAATTGTTGATCCCTAAACAAAATACCGTATTCCCAAAACAGCAATTGTAAAACCCTGAAGATCCTGAACGCGTAAAAAGTTGATTAACTCGTCTAAATAATATTGGTTGACTCCTCAGACAGATCCGAGTTGGAAACTTTTTGCGATTTTTATCACAACTTTTGCTTTCTTTATTAAATCTCGCGGGATTCATAAAAAAAAGTTTTTTTTTATGAAAGCCCGGAATCGGATGTTCTCGAGGGATTCGCAACTTGGAATTAAAGGAATTTTAAGATTCTGGTCGGCAACTCGGAGAAAACCGGACAGTTGGGTGCACTGTGCGAAATCTAGAGGTTTGCAACCACACAAAAAATAAACTTTATGAAATTTGAAATACCCGGTTAGTGCCTGTACAACTGCCATAAGAAAAAATGGCAACAAAAGGCATTCTTCGGCTTCAAAACAACAATGCAATTATATATATCAAACGTATATACTTTTATTTCACAAGAGTAATCAAGCAATCCTAGTCATCAATATCCATTTTCACTGTTTCGCCGGAGAATTCTCAGCCTTTCCAGTTTCACCCACAGGCTTAGGATGAACCTGCAAACATAAAATTACTGATTGACAACGCTACAATCAGTAATTTGCAAATTCAAACACGAATTTACACACGTTGAAATAAATTATTTTTCGCATACCGGTTGTTTTTGGGCGACGATGTTCGTATATTTGGCATATCTCCTCCGGAAAGTCTTCATTTTGGCCGTCTCCACCGACGGTCCATACTTTTCAACCAGCAGGTCAAGGAAAGCGATGTGAAGGAAGACGTATTGAGGAGCCGTCTGGATCGCTTTAGCTCGATACTTTCGAAGGTACTTCAGAATCTAAACTCACAAAAATACTATACAATACAAATCATTGTTGGTAAACTCGCCTCAGGGATTTTACAATTGTCATCAAAGTTTTTGAAGTTTTCCTTCAGCAGATCGAGAGCAAGCAGTGTTCCGGATCGACCGATACCTAAAACAACATAAGTACGGCACTAAGCCCGCTAAAAATTCAAATAAAAGCCAATTTGAACTTTGTGTAATATTGCATAAACCAAATTATTACCAGCTGAGCAATGGACCAAGACAGGTTTCTTCTTATCCTTGTTGTACTTCTTGCTCAATTCCAAAAGTTGGAATACCGGCTTCGAAGTCACAGGACCACAATGATCTGGCCATCCAGTCCACTGAATGTGGGTCACACTGAAAGATCACTCCAGCTAGTACATACATATTATGTAACACAAACACAATCACATCGCACTTCAAACTAAGGAGTCCGGTGACCGGAATAGACCCTTCGCTATCGGTTTTTTACACTTCGTCTTGATTTCGCAAGAGAAAGAGAGAAAAAAGACACACAAAAGCGTACTCCCTCGCCCCAAAAAATTCCCCATTTCTTCCCCGACAAAACGTTTTTTCGCGTCTTTTTTTGGCAAATTGCCAATCCATTCACCGGGCTGATTTATATTAGTTTGACGTGCATCGTCTACCACTATCTTACTCTAGTCCTTTCCAGTTGCATTGTCTGACGGTGGTGCCTTCCGGTGCATTCTCCTCTTCGACGACCGTCGGAATAGAAATATCAAACAATTTGGAGGTTTCCTCATCCTTTGGAAGGTAGTTGAAACACTTTGCCTTTCCATTCTCATTCCAATCACACAGCATTAAGATGCAGGAAATCCCATTCCGTTTGACGACATCATAAAAGACCACTGTTGTTAGTTCCAGTGGTCCTTGGCAGATCAAGTAACGTGGGAAACGAGGGTTCTGAAAGCGTCACACAATTACAAATGGAATCGCTTCAGACTGCAGACAACATAATCAGAAAAAATGCACTCTTACCTCATCCTGCGGGAAATAAACAAAATTTCCATGGTAATAACCGCTATCGAGGATATTGTCGCCCTTCGGCGGATCCAAACAAGGGACGTCGGCGTAACTGAAATCACAATGGCATGTTTCTCTAATTATTAACCCCAAAAGCCAACAAAACTCTGAAGCCTTACCGATTACTGCCTTTGTTTCTCAAGAACTCGTTATAAGTCACATCCGGTGCCTGGTAATTGCGAAGAGTGTTGAATTCCTGGACCAGACCTTCAATGCCGACATTGCAGAAACTTAGGGCATAGCGAAACTCGGGTTTGTTCTGAAAGCCGCTTCTCTTTTTCCGCGAAGACCTGGTGGATCTCAAGGATTCGCCCATACTCATGATCACGGCTTCATTCTCCTCCGACCAGTCGTCCGCTTGAGTTGGGAGCTTCGGATCTTTGGTTGGGTTGCTCGGATCCATCGGGTTGTTTCCTTGAGACTTAGCCGATTTGGAGGACTTCTTCGAATTGCTGAAAGAATAATCCTCAAATTATATAATAGGCAATGATTTGGGATCTATGATTACATGATCGCAAACAAAATTAAAGAGACTTCATCCCCTAAGGTTGGACCCCCCTCACATTTTCTTATAAACCCCTCGGCCAATCGTCTTCATGTTCCCTCCACTCACCGTTTTGAAGCCTTTTCATCGTTGTTCTCATCGCCTGATTCCTTTTTCGGGGTCGGAGTTGGGGTTTCTCGAATCGGCGAAATTCTCTCGACTTTCTTTTTGGGACGACACATCTGGAAGCAACTTTGTAACCTTTTTTTTGCCTTTGTTGTAGATGTTTAAGAATTCACTCACCTCGTATCCCAACACAACAAATCCGGTTGGTTGATGGTGGAGATCGGATAAAATTTGACAACCGTTCGCAGCTGGGAATACTGGAGAATGGAAATTGCCACAGAAAAGAGCCGTTTTTGGCAAATCTGGTAAATTTTTTAAATTTTTGATTCGCCTTGATAAGTCATAAGTTTATTCCATAGTTTCTATGAATCCTTTCGTATTTTAGACAGTAGAAGTTTGTATACATGAATAAGATCATAAATATTCACTGGATCGACCAAGAAACGAACAATTACATTACAGCAAGAAATTATTATGCTAGGTAAACAAGACTTGGCCGATCCTGTATATGTATACAGGGTGACAAATAAAAAATGCAACTTTTTTTCACGGGTCCTGCCGCGAAAATGTTTAGGTGTAGCGAAATATTTTTTATACCATTAAATTCTCCGTGTTTTTCTGTCCTAGTCTTTTGATTTTCATGCCCATATCAATTGATTATCATCTTTTGTTGTTTGAGTGTCAAACAGAGGGACCCCGATTTTAAACCTGTCTCGAGAAGAAAAAGGACAGTGTGAGATTGCTAAACTGCTCGGTGTAGGAAAATCTGCTAGGCCAAAAGCCACCAAACGACTCCACGAGCTTGGCCACGATGTTAAGTGTCCAGGAAATAGAAGAAAGCGCATATTAAACACTTCTGGCAACTTTGAGATCATCAAAAAGCGAGTGAAGCAAAATCTGATGGTGTCCATGAAAAAGATTGCCCGGCAGACCGTCATCAACAAAACAGCTGGTCGATGAATGGCCAGCAATGCACCGTAGCGCAAGCCTAACAAGCTCCAAAAAGGCTAGCGCCTCACGGAACGCTACAAGCAACAATATCCGAAAAAATGTCGAAAATTCAAGCGTCGCGCCGCAGCTCAGCGGTGACAGAAGATCCTGTCCGTCGATGAGAAATATCTCAACATCGAGCAGGCCTACAACCACCAGAATGGCAGGAGTTGGACTGTATAGAGTCAAAAACCATACGCTATTTTTGAACCCAGTAAAAATCCGGCCTCTCATGGCCTGGGGCAAAGTTTTGCGCCAGCGGCGTGATATCCTTGGTTTTCTTGGATAAAAGAGTCAAAACCAAACGGATAAGTCAGATTTTGGGCGCCAAACGTGATTCCGTGGACTCAGTAGCACCTTGGCGATTCAAAACGGAAACCGTAGCAGGATTCCGCCACCGCCCATAAAGCAAAAAAGACGCAAGGCCAGAATTTTCCCGATTTTATGTGGTCTGCGACGTGGCCGCCTACTCGCCGGATCTGAATCCGGTGGACTATGTTTTTTCTTCGGTTGGAGGTCAAGACCTCTAGTTCACGCCAAAAAAGTTTAGAGCCGCTAATTGATCGCTGCGGTAAGAACGGGACCGATTTCTCCAAAAAAAGCTCCGGCGAATCGCCCAAAATTTAAAGTTACGTTTTGAGCTCTATCTTGGCGCCAAGAACAGCCATCTTAAAACTGACTGAGCATACTATTAACAATACTCTATGTTGCTGATATTTACCTTTACTTTAGTTAAGTTTGGTGTTTTAGACAAAATATGGCCATAAAAATGAGTTGCATTTTTTCTTTGTCACCCTGTATATTCAGGCATGGCCCAGCAAGAAAAGGGAGCTATTTTGCGAGATTCTGGTTCTTTCGTGGATGCAAAATGGTACGTTTTTTGGCACTGGATCACGTCCGCCTCTGTAAAATGTAAAACGAAGGTAGATTGCGCCATTTATTATGTACTATCATCTTTGAAAAGAAAATCCGACAAAATTTACGTTTAATTGCGCTTTATGACCGGAAACCCCGAGATTATGGAAGAAAACTCGAAATTTTACGAATTTGCAGCTACAACGTTGCCCGTCGCGAATTCCCAACGCGTTGCGTTGCAACGCGTTGCGTTGCAACGCGTAGGTTTCTGTCCTTAAAATGACATTCGAGTTTTCGTTTACCCAACTTTGACGGGCCTCGGAATGTTTTTAGAAGCCGGGGAGGGGCTGAAAATATATTTAAATTACAGGAATAAAGGAATTATTTGCTTACAATTACAACTTTCTTGATACCAAACATGTTGAATGTCGCTCTGGATAATTATAAAAATTTGGTCGTTATATCGTCCAATGACGGGCGTTGTTTTGACTTCTTGGACATCGAATACACGAACGACATCCTCGGAAATTGAGAGGAGCTAAAGTAGATTAAGTAATCGACCGTGCTGCCAAAACTAAAGCAATCGAGGCCGATGATAAAAAACTTAAGTCTGACAAAAGCTCTGAAGATTCGGCGGAAGTCCGGCTGCCAAATTTTCTTGGCCTTTGCCGAGCCTCCGCCGAGTTCTCCTGGCCTATTGCAACCTAAACCGATCCGAAAGCGGTCAACCCACCTTCACCGTAACATTACTTTCGTCTAGGGCAGAGATGTAAACAAATGAATTGCGGTTTAATGGTGTCCGTTGTGTTGAGCCGGAATACCCTCTGCTCTTACAAGTCGTCATGTCGTAAACGATCGAAAACCCTGTGTAATAATTTATCTTGTCTTGTTTCAAGAAGATGATTTTGTTATTGTAGGTTATCATCTGAGCTTCCTGAAATTTTACATAATTTTTTTTAATTTCATGAATTTGTGTCAGGTTTCATCCATAATTATCCACACTTCGGGCAGCTCCCCTGAAGACTTACGATCGACATATTGCGCATATTTTTCTTTTTCTTAACACTGCCGCTGATCAGATCGACCATGTAAAGCCGCTGTCTGGAATCAGGAGCGCGGCGTGGGTGTGTCCGCGGATGCTCTGCGTAAATGCACATCATGTTTCCGAAGACGGACAACTGATAAAGGGTGCATTCCTTGGCAAGTGAATAAATTAACATCGGAGGGTCGGGTGAGGTCAAATCTTTCCTGTAGACCTCCAAACGTCCCACTTGCCTGTCGTGGCTGCTGTAAAACAAGACGTCGTTCTCGTCAAAGACCATTTCTAGCAATCCGCCAAAATACGAATGAACCTAAAACACGGATATGTGTATAACTGTGTTCTGTATCAGTCTGTCGGGAAAACAATGTATTATATTTGCCTTGGAATCGTCGTTTTGCGACGGCTAGCCGGGACTGGGAATTTGATGCGAGACAACGGCGAGACATTTTGGTGCGACAAATCCACATTATTTTCCCGACAGACTGATATAAAAGGTGAGGCAAGCTGCAGGGTGGCGTATTTTGTGTGAATTGGCCGCGAAAGGATAAAAGTCAAAGCAAATTGAGATTCGGATAAAGAGTTATTGCACCATTAAATATATACAGGGTGTTTCAAGAAATTCCCCGGAAAGTAATCGACGATTTCTTAGCGCTCAGTCAAGATATCCAAAAAGTTTTTTCTGCATTATAAAGAAGAATATGGGCGGTTTTTTGCCTATGACGATCATTTTCTCCGCCGAGGCGGAAAGCAGTGTATTCGGCGGAGACTTTTGGGCGCTTTTTTGCTTATCACCCGAATTTTTAATGCTTTATTGCGACACTGAAGCATCCAGAAAGTCTTCAAATTTTTTGCACAATGGATCAGATGGCCGGCTACAATGCTAAGCGATCCGATTTAGCGACCGCACGGTGCAATGCAGTCCCTGCAACGCCGATAAAGTCGGAGCGCACTGTGCAGATGTTTGAAACAGCATGGCAAAGAGAAATTTAAACAAAAAATATTTCGTTGTTTTCCAGTGAACCAAGTCGTTTCTCGATGACTAAACGTCTAACAAGGCTTGGCGACAACATTTTTGAGGGTTTACGACACCTGCAGAGAATGCTTGCCAGACCATAAGAATTGTGTTGGGCCATTTCTTCTCCATAGCTGAGTTAAGATACGGCGAGCAGCTGTCGTACCTTCGCCGAACGCTTGGTAAACACAAAAATTAGCAAGAATCCTCATTTCAACCATCAAAAACCACAAAACAGCGTTTAAGATGGGTGTGATGACCAAAAAAGTGCCCAAAAGTCTCCGCCGAATACACTGCTTTCCGCGTTGGCGGAGGAAGTGATTTTCATAGGCAAAAAACCGCCCGTATTCTTCTTTATTATGCAAAAGAAATTTTTTGGATACCTTGACTGAGCGCCGAGAAATCGACGATTGCTTTCCGGGGAATTTCTTGAAACACCCTGTATTATGTCATCCTGCCAGCTTACCTGAATTGAGCTCTCAAAACAATCAATTCCATGTTCTTTTTGCATCTCCAAATCAAACTCGTTGCCTAGGGTCAAATAGAGTCGCCCCTGTCCGCGCATATTCCTCTCGATCCTTCTGTCAATGACTCGAGTGCATCGGGGAAATCGACTTGCCACCTTTGGTCTCAAGTACTTTATGAAGATCGTTAATCTATTATAACCAACTGCGTAAAAAGGTCTTGCGTTCATCTCGGGAATCAGGAGACGATTGCCTGTGATCGGATAGGAAGCAATACTCCACCATAACGGCAGTTCGCTTTCCGTTAATGTGCGGTCGTTCAGGTGGTCGAGTGTTAGGGAGCCAAGAAATCTAAACAAGACGGCGAGAAATTGTCCGATTGGTACCTCTACTACAGAGATATTTGTTTAAAGTTTTACCTCTTGAATTCCCACCTCCACGGTGTGTATTCCATTAAGCTCGGCTTCAGGTTGTTTGCGCGGCACGCGAACTCAAACCGATCTTTGAAAAGGCACAGCATGCTCGCTGGCAGCCTTTCTTCCTCATGAACGACGTCAACAATTGAGAGCTTCTCCGCAACATGTTTCTGGATCTGAAAACATTGCCTCCGGCACATAAAACGGTCTACTTACCTCAACTGGGAGCCGTTGAAGCAGAGTCAACAGCATCGCAAGAAGGATCGAGGTTTAAACGCCGTTCGTTTACTTGCTCATCCGCGTCTTTCTTTCTGCTCTTATTATTTCTTTTTTCTGCGTGGCTTTGTTGCGTCTATCAGTCTGTCGGAAAAATAATGTGAACTTTTCGCGGCAAAAGTCGCATTTTCATCAAATCTTCATCTAAATTTGTTCCAAGTTTCATGAAAAACACGATTTTTGAGTCGCCCCGTCAGCCGGTAGCGGGGTCCGATAAGAAAGCTATGCATAGTTATAGTTATGAAAGGGTTAACTTTTTAATAGTTAACTTTTTAATAGTTACTTTTGAAGCCTACTTGCTATTTACGATTATCGACCGGTCGAATGCTAGGAAAATTTTTTTCGATTTTCGGAAATTTTTTGATTCCATCCTATCCTACGTAAAATTCTAAGCCTTCTGAACGCAACTTTCTATTGACAATTATCGGCCGGTCGAAAGTTATTCGCAGTTTTAGTCAAGTATTATATAATATAATACAGTGCGTCCCAGGTTTTTGGTTCCACCCCATTTTTTGATCATATCTCGGGGTGTTTTTTCTCAAATGCCATGAAATTTTACACAAGTGTTAACCAACCTTTGAGAATAAGCTATGCGAAGTTTCATCCCAATTGGCTTCAGTACTCTGACGTTATGGCAATTTTTTTTAAATTTTGGGTGTCCCAGGTTTTTGGTTCCACGTGGAAATTTGCGAGTTTTTTGGTCCGGTTTTGAACCAACCTGCTCTTAATACTATTCATTTTGTACTCTGTAGTATTAGAAAAGGTATTACATTCGTATCTGCCGTACTTTTTCGACGGAGTGGCGCTATGAGCCATCTCCGACCTTGTACATGAGATAAAGATTGGTTCTGAAAAAAATTTCAGTCAGGCTGTTTTTTGGGCATTAAACTTGCCAATGCTGTTAAATTATACAGTGTGCATCTACTTAATGAAAAAAGGTAGCTTGCTCAATGATCTCGAGTATTTTCTCGGCATATCATCTTCAACAAGTAGCTACCGTAACACTTTATACCCCGAATTACCAAGAGGAATGGACGAGAATCACAAAATTTGATATGCAAATTTGAACGCAGCGTGCCTGAAAACGTAATGCTACAATTATTAGCCGTTTCAAAATAAATCGGGTCTGTAAAGTTCGTTCTACAAAAAAGTTCCAAAAAATAGGCCAAAATAGGCTTGCTTTTACCCATTTATCCTTGAACCCACCACTCGCGCCAGATAGAACATTTAAGCAAGAAATAAGATGCAGCTATAGGTTTGTTAACATGCTGAGTTTGATTTTCTGAGCAAAAAGTTCCCATGGATAGTAATTTTCTGTACTTTTAGGGCCTTTGAAGGTTACTGTGGAAGGTATACGATAGCTTAAACGACCTAAAAGGTCGATTAAATGACTTCAAACAAATCGGTATCGGTTTGTTTTACATCTTGCGTTTGCTGCAAGCAGTCTAAGTTGTTTCTTGCCGGAAATAAATCACTAATCGGATTTTTTTTTTAAAACCAATGTTTACCTGATGTACAAGGTCGGAGATGGCTCGTGGGGCCACTGTGTCGATAAAGTACGGTAGATCCGAATGTAATACCCTTTCTGATACTACAGAGAACACGAGGAATGGTATTAAGAGCAGGCTGGTTCAAAACCGGACCAAAAACTCGCAAATTTCCAAGTGGAACCAAAAACCTGGGACGCCCAAAATTTTAAAAAAATCGCCATAACGTCAGAGTACTGAAGCCAAATGGGATGAAACTTTGCATAGCTTATTCTCAAAGGTTGGTTAACACTTGTGTAAAATTTCATGGCATTTGAGAAAAAACACCCCGAGATATGATCAAAAAATGGGGTGGAACCAAAAACCTGGGACGCACTGTATAAGTTTGTTTCGGCTGTAACTTCGGTTAAATCGCATAAAAATTGATCGGCATGGTCTCTAAAAATCAAAAATTTAATCTACTAGATTATTTTCTATTTCATTCCTGCCTTTTCTTTCATTAAAAACATTTTTTTCACAAATTTTTGTCATGTATAATATAAATATTATTTTTGATATAACTCGCTTCAAGTTGCATTATATTATAAAAATTCGATTCTTTTTTCTAAATATCATAAATCAATTAGATTTTGATAATCTCATCATTCCCCGCTGTTTTGAAAGTATTTTATCAAAATTTATTTGCAGTTCCTCGGGCGCAGCCTGCACCCCAAACAGCTTTGTTTCCCCAAAAAAGGGAGTCCATTTTTCCGCAAGAGAATGTTGCAGCACATGTTGTCATATGAGCTTTTGTGATTTTACATAACTCCTTTCGTGATTTTTCGTGTTATATAATTTTTAACTTTTTTAATTATCTTCTTTCCAGGTTTTTTTCAATCCCGGCCACATCACAGCAGGATTTCGGTATGTTTTTTTCGTTTTTTTTGTTGTTGATCTTGAAGGTGGGGGGAGAAAAGAAGGTTGTGGGAGGTAAAATATGAGGCAAAACCTTGGCAAAAGTTTGGCCAACTTTTGGCAAAGCTTTTGCCAACGTTTCGCCCACTTTTTGCCCAGTTTTGACCTTATTTTAGGCGGGAACACGCACGCCAAATTACTTTCTATTGCAAAACGTCAAAAAAATGGTTCGAGTCAAGTCTTCCCCCGGTCATTTTCATCAAGTGTTCCCCTCTGCAGAAATACCGTAATAAAACCGCAGAACAAGCTTCTGTAAATGCATAAATAAACAAAGTATGCAGAAATAAAGCAGAAAAATTAGAAATTACACAAACGAGACAGATAAATGTTTGCTTTGGCATAATTTGGGGCTTTGTTTCAAACCTTGGACAAAAGTAAGTCAATTTGGATGATCTGTAACTTTTCTTATGGAACGAAAGCTCAGGTTTTCTCCTTATAGGATTATAGGATATTGCTTCAGCTTTCAATAGGTACCTCATTTTTAGCCATTGCATCATCTTACGTTGAGTTCATTCTCAAAAACTGAAATTTATGACTTTTGAATTTAGATGAAATCGACTGGTTTTACACAATCACCCTCCGCTGCAACTTCGACATCGCTGTATTCCAGAGAGGACAAGAAACGAAGACAACAGGAATAGAGTCAGCTCATGCACGAGATAAAAAAACTCAAAAATCACGATATTACACTACCACAAGGTGATCAAAATCGTGATATTCGTCAGAATTGGTAGGTTTTTTGCCTTAGATCCTCTTGATTTTAAGATATATTATACTTTAAAGAGTAGGCTTTCATAATCCGTCAAAATTTTTGAAATCGGAACATTAAATTTTGAGAAACTTCTAATTTATTTTTTTGCCCGGCAGGGATTTTTTACTGGAAAAATTGCTTTTTATTCATGTTATAGTTTTAGAACGTGGTTGGATACATCAGCAACACAACTGCGAGTAGATTATTGCAATCCCAAACACAAGACCACAGGCTTAGCCAGAAAGATAACGAAGAAATTTCGGATATTACAGTATCTCAGAATGACGAAAAGTTTGATGTTTAGTTGGAATTGGTAGTTTTTTTGCCTTAGATCTTCTTCATTTTAGGATATATTATACTTTGAAGTATGGGCTTTCATAATCCGTTAAAATTTTCGAAATCGGAACATTAAATTTTGAGAAAATTTCGATTTAATTTTGTGCCCAGCGGGGATTTTTTTGGAAAAATTCAATTTTAGTTCGCTTTATGGTTTCAGAATGTGCTCGGAGACGTCAGCAACAGAACTTTTAACTACAGGCACCGACGGCGAGAAGAACTGGCAGCCACAGCCAGAGCCTCAGGGAAAAAAATCCAAGAAATTACAAAGGAAAACCTGAAAAGCCTATTCACCTTTGAATTGATTCCAACCGACGATGAAGAAGATATTAATGTTGTATCTTAACACATCAGTTGTTCTTCTGCTTTTATTTTGTTGTTAATTTTATGCTTTTTGGAAATGAGTGGGTTTTAATAAGCATCGTATACAATGGTTGCCGAAATATTTGTAAGGATGGGCGCAGCTCGCAAAACCATTTTTTGACGGCAATAATTTGGCGTGAACACGGGTTAACCCTTACTTTATTTTGAGATTTTTTTGAAATTTTAGTTATTTGTGGGTTTTTTTTAATTTTTCGGTGTTGAAGGGGGAAGTGGGGGTAAAAGGCTTTGTAAAAGCTTGGCAAAGGATTGACGGAGCTTTGGCAAGACTTTTGCCAACGTTTCGTCGACCTTTTTGCCCAGGTTATACCTTATTTAAGGCGGGAAAAGGGTTAACCCTTATAGTTATGAAAATTTGAATTTCCCAAGTTAATTCAAACTTTTGTGTTGAAAGTCGAATTATTCGCTCAAAAATTCAGTTACGAAATTGGGCCATGGGAATATTATTACGTTTCGTCTTGATAAATCATAAGTTTATTCCATAGTTTCAATGAATCTTTTCGTATTCTAGACAGTAGAAGTTTGTATACATGAATGAGATCATAAATATTCACTGGATCGACCAAAGAACGGACAATGATATTACAGTAAGAAATGATTATGCTAGGTAAAGAAGACGTTTCGACTAGAGAGTAGCCAGTAATCAACAAGGTTTTACATAAATATCCTCCGCGAGGAGGTTGTGACTCTCTTCTAAAAAGTTAGGCAACATTGTTGCCAGTGACAGATGGAGTGAGTCTGGCCATACTGTCGTTGTCTTTGGTCAATTTTCCATTGGCAGGAGAGGTGGGTCGGCTCGATTCGGTGTCGGAATAGGGACGTTGGACTTGAGGTCGGTTCTGCATGCTCCCCGAGACTTTCATGAAGTTGTCGACGATGATTGTGATGCTGTAAGTTTATGTATTCGAAGGTTCAGATTCACACTTACGGCAAGGCAAGCACAAGGACTCCGCTGAGAATAGCGCCGCTGGCAATGGTCTTTCCAAGGATCGTCTTTGGAATCTGATCTCCATAACCGACCGTCGACATGGTTACAATTGCCCTACAATTTAGATGTTATAAATCAAGCTATTCGAGGGCTCTAGCTCTTCAAAGAAACTCTCTCTATACATACCACCAAAAAGCGGATGGGATCGAAGTGAATGGAGATCCGGGCTCATCTTTCTCGACGAAGTAGAGCAACGTCGAGAAGAAGATGACCCCGGTAAAGAGGACCATCCCCATCATTCCCAACTGACGCGCCGAACTCCTCAAGGTCAAGGCGAACGTCTTCATACCAGTACTGTAGCGAGACAACTTCAGAATACGAACCACCCGGAGGACGCGCATGATTCGAACAACCAGAAAAGCACCTATAATCAGACGAATATTGGAATTTGGAAAAATTTAGATCTTCAGATTTATATAGAAACGTGCCTTTGATATCACTAAGACTGTCGACGTCATAGCCACACGTCTTCAAGAAGAGTTCCATGTAAAATGGCAAGATTGCGATCAGATCCACAACATTGAGGATACCACACATAAAGGTCAAACGATTCGGCGCCACAGCCAATCTCAGGAAATATTCGATGGAAAACCAGATGATACAGGTGGTCTCGACAATCGTGAAGGCCGAGTGCGGCTCCCAGATAATGTTTGGAGGAGTATTTGCTGGAATTAGAGGGGATAGAGCCGGTTTATAGCAATCACAACTAAAGATTGGGCGAGAACTTACCTTTGCTCACGTTCCCTGTGAATAAAAATGTTCCATTCGCCGTTTTCTCGAAGGGGTTCTGGAAGTCCTCAATGGATCCCAGAACTAATCCCAACACTGAGATGAGAACGAAACAAATGCTGAGGAAGGTGAACAAAGTCGAGGCGAGGGTGCCATCTCCTTCACAAAATCGATCCAATCGCTGTCGCATCGTCTCATCCGGACTTCGTTTGTGAGCAAGGAGGTCATCGATGGAATCTTCGCTGAAAATATCAAACATTTTGGCTTATTACTTCTTCAATGTGATCATAAGAGTTTTCAAGGATTTTCTCGCTGAATTTTTGAAAAAATATACGTAAAACACTTCTTCTTTTTCAATCATGCATCTTCTCAGAGCTTTTTTTGCAATAATAACACAAATTTTTGTACGACCTCTGCTTTGAGTGATATCGGTTGTATCGTAAAAAAACATGGGTTTATTATTGTGTTATCAAACCCCTAACTGTTTTGTTTCAGATCTGGTTTTGTCATGTTTAAGGTGTGCAAATACACAAATTCCAGATCATTTGCGAGGGTAACAATTCAATTTTTAGTAGTTTTAGGAAAGAAACTCAATTTTGAACAAAAAAACAAAGTGCTCAAAATTGAGTGTAGTAAGGGGATAACAGGCAATAAAAACTTACATGGGATCGTATTTTGGCCAACAACACGGTGCAACCTTGGATTCGGGGACCCGCCAGTAATGTAATTCGCCCAAAAATTCGCTCTCACAGATATCCGATGGCCTGGAAAATGGAAATTAAAGGCTATTAATTCTTAAGAAAATTATTTACAGTTGGATGATCGAGAAAGACAAAATGCATACCTATGCAGTTCACTTGTGACGTAAAAGGTGTAGATGCTCTCAAATAACTTCCCTGACCTTTCGAAAAAGTACTCGTTTGTGGCCTGAAAATGCAGTTCTTTATAAAAATCGTAGCTGTTCTTGATTTTTTAGATTTTTGTTTCAAAATGATGAAAAGTGCAACTCATTTAGAATTTAAAAATTTCATTTATATTCAATTGGGTTAAAAAAGGATTCCGAAGGAAAAAATGTTTGTGTATTTTGATGTGGATCTCTAAAAATATATTTTTATGGACAAAAATAAATTTAAATTTTTATTTCATTTGTCATCATGTGAAAGTGAACATACAAGATCGAGTTTGGGATTTTGAAAAAAGGCTGAATTTGAATTTTCTTGCTTTTTTCTCACGTCGGCCTTATTTTTTACGTTTTATTTTTTCAAAAAATGAGGGATCGCTTTCATTGGTTCTCTTATGAACGTCTGGTGCAGTATGATTTCTTCACTCTTACCTCATTTTTTATGTTTTTTCGGACATTAAAAAACAACGTAGTCAGAAAAACGCTTGGGAATGACAGAATAATTCCAAAAACAATGGACAACTGTCAAAACAATATGCGTTTCGTAGTATGTAGACGGAAAATGACATTCTCAAGCGGTGGAATTTGTAGTGGGAATTAAAGTACGCGCGGCAAGTGATCTTTGGTCGGAAATGTAACATTATATGGTAAGTGAGAAAGCGATCCCTTTGGTTTGAAATGGGGTTAAATTTGCCGGGTATAATCTTGATGTTTTAAGAGTTTTTCTTTGATTTTTATACACAGCAAAGAGGGAAAATTAAAAATTTTGATTCTTTGGCATAAATAAGGTTTACTGTGTATGTTATTGTAGGCAAAATGCAATAAGCTGCCCTAAGATTACCGAACAGCCGATTTATTTGTTTTCTCAGCCTTAGCAAAAAAGAATCGCCCATCTCTAACCGTCCGCATTGTTCGAAATCACAAACCACGGAACCCAACTCACAGTGAAGAACCCATCGCAGAGTCGGAGCCGGTTTTCATGGCTTTGTCCCACGAACAAGCCGAGCCGAGCGTCCGGACATTTGGCTTTGAGGGTTACGGCTTTGCATCGGAACGATTGCCCACCGATATTCAAACAAATAAGCTCGGCGGGATCGGCCATGGAGCCAGCGCCAACTGAGGAGTTGATGAGTCGGAGTTCTTCCGAAGTTATCGACGATGGCTGCAAAAAGGGGCGGTCATTTGGGGGCGAATGGAAAGCGAAGGAAGGGAAATTGAGAGTTGGGAAAATTCGAAGATGAGTAAACAAAAATAACAATAATCAGAGAGCAATTAGAGGGACGGGAAATGGGGATTTAAGGGAGGAATCGGATAGTATAACCGATAGGAGAAGAGGGCCATAAAAGATTCGGCTATAGATAATATGTACGGCTCGAGTTTCCAAAAACCTTTTTCCCTTTTTCAAACCCCATTTTTCTCAGTACGTCTAGTCCTATTTACAACCTATTTTTAATTCCTTTGACATACTCATCATATCCGATACAAATAACAAAAACTTTTCGTCTCTCAAAGATTGCAGAACCCAACCCTATGAACCAAATAATAACGTCATATTCGACAAAACAAAGCTTTCCGCCAATCTTTGAAAGCAAAACCTAGACGCCGTCTAATTGGACTCTCAACGCGCAACCAGGAACCAGGCCCTTGTCTAAGGTCATGATTTGGCCAAGGAGACACTTCCCCTTCCCCTTTTTTACTACCGCACATCTCCCGCTTTTATTGCACGTGAAACGTGTGGACGGCATCCAAAAAACATGACGTCCGAAGACGAAGGTAAAACTAAGGCCTGAGGGCAATTTCGGCCAAGATATGGCTAGAAATGACTCTTTTATTGCGAGGCGTTCGTCTTTAACTACATTGTAAAAGGCCGTCCATAAAACAGTAGGATCAAATGGCCACATGGCCAGCGGTTGATTAGAGGTCAGAGAAATCCGCAATCGTTTTTGAAGAAAATAAATTGGCGTGCAATCGGGCCTGCGAAGATTTCTTTGAGCCGCAAAACTCAGAAAAAACTTTTCACGACAGCAAAATGTCATCTAAGATATCCACACACAGAGTCCTTTTTTTAATTTTTGAGATCCTCAAGACCTTTGTGGTCTTGTACTTCTAGGTATAATCCTCTTAAGCTTAATTCTTTCTTGTAACCAACCAAAGTTCATAAGTGATGTTGGAGATAAGAAACTGCGACAATCCGGAAGTGATTACGGCTTCAGATTTTCCCATAAGAATTCAAAGAACAGCCCGGAAATAGCTAAGTGCTGTGTCTGAACGGAATAGTACACGGTAGATCGGCCACAAGTTTGAAGGAAGTACATATGCATATTAATATTTCTAAAGTACTTCCCATGAATTCGTAAAATATGTAATAAAGACGGAAACAAGCGAGCTCCTGGACAAAAAGCGACGCCTAGGAATGTTGAAAAAGTATGTCCAAGGAGTGCTATTTAAATCAACAAGTTCACAACCGGGAAACTGACACTCCCTCTGAATGTGTAACAACATGTGGGCAACCCAATCCATCCCACAATTCCCACCGAAAATAAATCCCCGAAGAACTTCGGCCCTACGGAAAAGCGACGCCCCCAAAAATAATCAAAATCAAATGTTAAAACAACTCCCTCTTCTCCTCACCTGGAGCCCACTAAATCAATTAAAATACGAACCTGCCACGAGACTCCGCTTCCATTTCTTTTGACGGTCCGGCCCTTGGGCATTCCGTTGAAATCGGCCGAATGATCGAGCTGAAAAAAACAAGAGATCAGTGCCTGAGGTGAGGGAAATAAATTACAAAAAAATACTGTGACACCCCCTCCGGCCTTCATTCATCAAGTTGACGTAAGGAAGGGATATTCGAGGAGTTGCGAAAGTTTTGATTGAATTAATGGAGGAAACAACGGAAGCCATGATTTTAGAAATTTGGAAACCTTAATGTAAGGCCATGGAAGATATTATATGATTTTGGTCAGACGGATATGGAAAAAGTAATAAATGGCTACGTGAAGTGTCTATGGCACCACATGCTGATCTGGGAAGATGAATGGATAAAGACGAGGCAAGTGGGATGTATGATTTATTGAAATTTTGACGCCTGCAAAAACGGTGAAATTGATGGCAAAAATAACTTTGGGCCCTGGATCCTTTTTAACTAAATAAATATTTCCCCGGCCTTCTTCGTGGGTCTAATAAAGAGAGCTTTATGGCACAACAAGTGTTCATATAATATGAGTTTTTGTTACGCCTGCCATCGCTTTTGTTATGGGCAGGTACTGACCCAAGACTCTGACTTCTTAGCTTCAAACTTTGTACAATCCGAAGGCGTTCGCATTGAATACTTTATTGATTTGCATTTATATTTGGTCTAGAAAGGACTTGAACCTTTAAAGATTCAATCGGTAAAACTTGATTTCTGGGATCCCTTATGTCTAGATCAATGTGAAAAGGACACGTGTGACGTCAAAGAAATGGTCGATTAATCTTTTCTAAATAAAAAACAACAAATCTAGCCGTCTAATTACTCTCGCTACTAGCAACAGCTCCATCTATCACCTCCCTCTCCCATCTTTTTTTCCTGAAACCATCATTTCCAATTCGGTTTTATAATATATTCTCCTACAGTGCAGCGAATATTCAATCCCCCTTAATGAATATTCAATCCATGGCCATAAAATTGACACACTCAGAAAACCCTTCGCCCCTCTCCCATACGATCTCTCGAATAGGTTTGACGTGACAAGAACAGCTCGGTTTTGAATATAGAAGATCACATTATCAGGAAAGACCTCGTGCCCCGAGGTCCCCGAAATGTGGGGGTCTTTGGACCCGGTTCGTTTTTGACATCGCTTATAACAAATGACATCCGAAGAGCATCCGTTGTGGGCTCTGACAACAACAAACTTTTTTAGACAAATGAATTGAGGTGGGCTTGGGGGTTGGACTAGCAGTTGGAAGTACAAAGGTTTAGCAATCAAATCAACAGTAATTGCTATAAACCAACTACTAACAAAGGTTTATTTGGTTCAAAGATAAGCCCTAATTATGCGGCAAGAGATCAAAGAAAACAAGTTGAAATTTGATACTGAATGGTAACAATCCGACTTGTTACAAAAAGCAATTCTGACGTAAATACGGAAGAAATGATCCCTCTCTTAAAAATACACATCAATAATGTAAAACTGGCACCACACACGAGGTAGACACATGCCCGAAAATCAGTTTTATCAGCGAAAGGATTTTAAATAGCAGTAGTCCTCTGGACATTCATTTTAGGGACCAAAAAGTATTCTAATTGCCTCAGGGCATCTTAGATCAACGTCACAGACAAATAAACATATCCTCTTGGCTATTTCGGACACAAAAAACGATCACTGAACCGTCTTTTTGCGTCCATTTAAGGACATAAAATGTGACATAAACAAGAATTAAAAAAAAATATCCGTAAGAAAGTGGTGCCTAAATTTTGGAATGAGTTGGACAGAATAGAAAATTGTGAGAGAATAATTTTATTTGGTTGATGGTATGACACTTTAAAAGCAAAAATATATTAGGTTGGCAACTAAGTTATTGAAATTTTTGACTGCTTTTCTTTTTGCCACAATCTTTAAAGGCTTGACAGTCAACAACTATAGTACCCACTATTAGTAACTACAATACAAGCCTTGTCATCTGAATGTGCAGTGGCACCACCAACAGAGGAACCAGGGAATTTAGGCTTAGAAGATTTCATGAAGCCGGTTTCTAGATGTTCTGTTATACTGAAGTTTTTATAACTTAGATCGTGCGCAGTCAAATAGGTGTGATATACGCCACAGAGAGTAACATAAGTACTTCACAACACTTAAGAAAGCAAAGTCTAGTTGGACTGTTTGACAAGTTCCTACGATCATTATTTCTATCGGGCCAAACAGGCATCCCGACGTAAGTGGATATTCTAGATTTCGTTTCGCTCGCTGCCCGAATCTTTTCTATCTCTCATGGAAACATATTCGGAGGAGTGATACTCTGTGCAGGTAAATTTCCCGAGGGCATAGTCCTTAAAAAATTGGATAAAATCTTAAAAAATACTGTCATCGAGTATGAAGGGTCTGTTCGGCCTTAACTTCAGAATACCGCGCTTAAGCTCGCTGGCTCCTGTACGGGTTTTCAACAAAGAGAATAGACGTCCCTTTTCAGGGCCCTAGATTTATCACGGAGTTGGACGATTGGGGAAAAAGACGATTGGGGAAAAGTACGATTGGGGAAACCGAAAAGTATTATTTTTCTTCCATGCAAATGTCGAAGTTAGGATAATCGAGGGTGCTCATTTCGAAAATGACATTCATTTTTTTGATTCTTACTTTTTTCCTTAAGTAGTACTGTAAAGTAGTAATTTTTGATTTTTTTTCATAAATACTCGATATAGGGGTTTTCGAGGGTGTTGATTTCGAAAATGATGTTCATTTTTCCTCTAGTACTATATAGTACTATTCTGATACTATATAGTACGAGGTCAAAATATGGCTTTTGACGTTAATGGTGTTGTTTTGATGCTTAGTACTATTCAAAAACACGTTTTAAAGACTTGGTGCTATATAGTACTGCCTGATACTATGTAGTACGAAGTAAAAATAGGCGTACTAAGCACCAGAACAACACCACGAACGCCTAAAGGCCAACTTTACACCTCGTACTACATAGTATCAGGTAGTACTATATAGCACCAAGTCTTCAAAACGTGTTTTTGAAGAGTACTAAGCATCAAAACAACACCATTAACGTCAAAAGCCATATTTTGACCTCGTACTATATAGTATCAGAATAGTACTATATAGTACTAGAGGAAAAATGAACATCATTTTCGAAACCAGCACCTTCGAAATCCCCTAAATCCAGTATTTTTCGAAAATTTTTAAAAAATTAGTACTTAACAGTACTACTTAAGGAAAACTAGTAATGTTCAGAAAAAATAAACCCGATATTCGAAATGAGCACCCTCGATTATCCTAACTTCGACATTTGCATGGAAGAAAAATAATACTTTTCGGTTTCCCCAATCGTACTTTTCCCCAATCGTCTTTTTCCCCAATCGTCCCTTTCCCCAATCGTCTTTTTCCCCAATCGTCCCAGTTCCGATTTATCAGCGGCACAAAGGTCTTGGAAAAAAATAGCAACTACTCGGTTAACTTTTTGGGAGCCACTAGGCAGGTCATGAAGAAAATTCGGTCGCGACTTTATGTCATGCTCCAAGAAGGAAGATGGTTTATGCTACTATTTGGTTCGTAGTGAATAGCTCTGTCACTACCTGAAGAGTTAACCGTGCTGCCTTCTTTAGCGTCTCGTGCAACACCTTGAAAGACAGCCTACCGCCTAATTTTAAGCGAAGTCGTAATAATTTCTATTGATCCTTTTGGGACAAAATGTTATCGCAAGACTGTTGAAGGTGTCCTGACGTTGTAAACGTTGTACGTTAGCGTTATGTCATTCGAGTTCTATACGCATTGCATGGCACTGCAAAATGACCACTCAAAATTGCTCTTATTCAAATTCAAGGTACTACACCAACACGCGAGCTGCGAGTTCGATGCCTCTGGGTTTGATAGTACTCTAACCCTACTACAGGTGGGATAGTGTGATACTAGCCTTACTGACGTAAGAACGTCCGTGGAACAATGCAAAAAAAATTTCAATAACTTAGTTGCCAACCTAATATATCTAAAACCTACAAAGATAGCAGGAAGACAAATCAAATTGGTCATTAAAAGTTGAGGCCAAAAAAGACGTGTTTTTCGCCTCATCGTATGAGCTTTAATAAACCGAGTTATACATACAAAATACAAACTGAATTGCTTTTTTTCGAAAAGAAGGCAGATGTTGAAGAAATTGTGGGAATCTTTGAACTTGGAAGGTTCGCTATAGCAGACAACGGATTTCGCTATAGCAGACAACGGATTCAAAAAATAAAAGGTCTTAGCGCAACATGATGACAAAATATAATAAGACTGATAACAAAGCTAAACTTACTAAAGTATTCTGTTCCTTTTATACCTTCCGCAATGCGGCTTTACTCAAGATTTTAGGGTTAAAATTGACAAGTAATATCTTCCTTGTCTGACGGTTGGCAAGACTTTGTTTGTTATAGATAAAGACGGCGCAATTTTGATGACCTAAGGCGCTATGATTGCATTGTCACTTACAAAGTTTGCAGAAAGGCCAAAGAATGTGTCTATTTACTTGCAAAATTCGAGGCTCGCATATTAAATTGGTCACAATATTACTCATTAGGATACTTCGTGCCATAAAAAGGCAGCTAAAAAACAAGAATGTAGAGTGTACAATTACAGTTTGCTACTGAAAAAATCAAATTTTATGCTTTAAATTTCTCGAATGTTGCAATGTATGTATAATAGTTGAATTTGATTTTATGGTATTTTATATTTTTTTAAATAAAATTTCACTTTTTCCACAGCTTATTAAATCTGTTTTCTGCTTAGCCATTACTCGTGCAAATTACTCCCTGATTGACAATAAATAACCCGCAAAAAAGGACTTACCCTGGGGCCTTGGGTGAGCATGTCGTCGGTATCCTGACTTTGAGGCAATCGGTGTTTCCGACAGTGCCGAAGGGGATCTGTTTCCGGGCCCGCCCATTTCTCTTCCTCCTCACTTGACATGCCCGAGGTCATCGAAGGCGGACCCGAAGTGAGATGAGGCCACGAAGATGAGGGCTAAAATAAGGTTTGATTGACGACTTATGAGGATAAAAAAAGGATTTAAGGGTTGAAAGCATGGCTTGATCCTGTTCGACTTTGATGAATTAGATTCTTTTGGGATCTTTGAATTGTTCAATTTTAGTTTTGACTTGTCCAAAGTTCAACGATAATAAGATTCAGCGATTATAGGAAGGAGTAAACAAACAACGGCTGGATTTGATGTTAATCTAGACAAAACATGACGATACTAATGGCAGTAGTTTCCAGAACAAAATGGGGATATCTAGGGCCTGCTACGGAAGGTTTAGATGACGATATAGAGCCATCTCTTGTTCAATACAATGTTTAATGCGCTATGCAGAAGCCGGTAGATGTCTTGAAAAACGTATTCTCAATTTTGCGCCGAGTCCCACTAAAATTTGAGCGTCACTTTTTCTAGCATCGCTCGTTACCAAAAAAATAAAATAACGTATCGCAGTCACTACCCATTTTACCTACTTTACTACGTTCCTCTTGGCTAAGTTCCTCCTCTAGACGAGAGAATAAAGCGCAATTTTCCAGCATTATCCTCTAATTTCACATCCAATTTCCCTCTCCAACCTACTCTGAACGTTAACCCTTCCGATGAATAATTAATCCTTTTTCGTCAAACCGTCATCAGCCTTAAGCCATTTTAAATAAGAAAAAATGAAAGATTACCGTGTAATGCCTGGCACATTCATTTCCTCGTGAGGTGCTTTCTTTCATGCTCGCCGCATCGTACATCATGCTAAAATACGACCGTTGAAACGGCCCGCAAATGGGATCAGGCTTCAGATTTTTGGGGCTTCGATTTCTGAAATAATGATTGTAAAATACGGCCGGTATCGTAACAAACGTTTTATTGGATCAAGGTGTAAAACCATCCCCAAATCCTCTTTTAATTTTAAGAAATTTTTTCAAATCCGGAAATCGCAAAAATTGAATTCTTTGTAGAAAAAGTAACACCTTGCTATTTCCCCTCAAAGTTCACCGTTGAAATCCGAGATGCGCGTCCCTTGTGTCTCTCCCATCCTCATTCCTCGTTGCACTCTTTCCTCACCTTCAAATTCTCCATTCAAACCCCCCACACAATCTGAATTTAAAAATCTTTCTTCCCGGAATTTTTGATTTCCAATCAAAATCGAGTGTGAAAAATGCGACGTTCAAATTTTCTAATTTTTATAGACATGTCCGGCCTGGTTCACCATTGATTCCTCCAAATTACAGCTCGCCCTTTCCTTATATTATGGTTCCAAATACATACTGTATTCAGGTGCCTTGGAGAGGCATTTTATTTCATTTCCACAGAAACCTGCATCAAGATTTACTTGTAAGTTTCGACAGGTATTTTCTTTCCCCTAAAAATTTTTGCAACAAAACACACAGCACAAGAAACAAGCTGCATCTTATATCCGAATGCATAATGTAAACATGATGCTTGTCCCGGGATAACCTTTTTTTTTTGCTTTTCCGGCTTGACGTAAGAACGTGAAAATCATAAAAAGGTCATAGGTTAGACAGTATACAAGTTGCTTACTTGTCATGTTATCCATAAAATCTCTCACATCTTCCGGGACGTCACAAATTTGAGACGTTTCGAATGTCGGGCGCCCTTTAAGATTTTTTGAGTGACAAATTAATAAATCAAAAAACCTGGAAATCGGTTAAAATTTGATCCTTGAAGAACAGTCGTATAATAAAATATTTTAAAAATGTTGATTTATTGCCAAAAATGATTAAATTAAAGTTTTTGTTTGACATCAATGATCAACTCCAACTTCTTCTGAACCCGTGAAATGTGGAACATCATGATTAAATTCGCAACCAATGTCATTATTAGCATGACAAACATGGCTATTACTACATCTAAAGTTAAAAAAAAGTTTCAGTTTCCGTTGATGACAAACCTTACAAAACATGACGTAAAAATACTTCATATAATCGGGCATGGTTGATTTCTTCCCCGATGAATCTGAACCTGTATCCCCACCAGGGATTGGAGGATGCCCTGGAGGAAGGGTACCCCCAGTTGGATGATCCCACTCTATTAAATCACCGAAGATAACAGAAGCAAGAAGACAGAAGAGCAACAACTTCATGTTTGACATTGCAAAGTACGTATTTTCAAAATGGAATGCCTCTTTATAGTTTCATTTTGATTAGAATGGATCATATTACGATCATTCTTGATAAGGCTTTTATCTGAGAAGCAAGTGTAATTCGTTGTTTTTTATGTTTGAGGTTAGATGATTCTAATTTTTTGACCTTCTTGAGACCATGAAATTTTATGGATTAAAAAAAACTTTAGGTTACATACATGGTATAATTTTGACCCGCAAAATTAAACATCAAAAAATTTTTAAGCTCTATGAGTTCAAAAGTTCAAACGCGTGGGGTAGAAAAATCCAATTTGGCAAAAAAAATCAGCGATATTTTATGGAAAAGTTCAAGTTTAAACTTTTTGCATAAAAAAGTATAAAAACTTTACTTGCCGCCAGCAGGGGTCGAACCTGCGACCTTGGGCTTATTAGACCCACGCTCTAACCGACTGAGCTATGGCGGCCACGTTTCACTCGTTTCTTTTTTCTCTTCAAGAGATTTTCCAAGAGAGCGAGGAGTCAGCCATTCAAATCAGCTCCCAAATCTGTTATTAAATATTTACTATAAACGAAACGAAAAAATAAAATACTAAATTTAACAATAAGTGCAGCAGAGGAATTGACATGGCAACAATAAGACGAGAGTCCAAAGAAATGCGGTGCAAACGAGTTTTTAAATAAAAAATTACCGAGAAATGTACCGGTCAGACGAAGTTATGCTAAATAAAATAAACAGAGAGTCGTGGATGGGTGCTTTATCTGGGAAATGACGTCATTGTGAGTGAGATTCAATGCTTTTGTAGACAATATATCTTCACAATGACTTGCTTTCCTTATTATATGTGCAAAAACAGGATTAAGATACTTTCATGTTGTGTCAATATTGCTCGAAAAAATTGACAAAACTTTGACGACAAAAACTATACAAGATCTAGATCATATTTAGTCGGAATCAGCTGAAATCCGAGCCTTATCATCCGATAACCTCAAGATTTTCACTCCCAAAGTTTTTCTTGGGACTTGAATTGCCGGGGTTTCAACTCTCTCATCGAATTCAAAGTTCTCAAAGTTCTCATCAACGTTTGGAGAGAGTTTTTCCGATGGATCGACAAGAGTTGAGCGAACTGGGACTTGAGGGGAGTTTTCGTTCAGAGTGACGAGCTCTTCAACTTGGGCATTTTCGATGGCTCGGCGGAGAAGAGTGTCTGGATCGGTGGTGTTTTCACTAAAATTGAGGCTTATTGCTTCTATACCTCATAGAAAAAGTTTAAATTTCTCAGACTTGACGAAAAGTCTGACAGCCGCACTCCCAGCACTTCCCTTATCATCAAAAATATTTCAGACGTTTTCCTTACCTCAAAAGGACTCCATGAACCCGATGAGCAACGACTGGGCGGAACCGTCCCCGTCCACTTTGCTGTCTTTGCGGTCTCAAGAAAGGATTGCCATTTCGTCGACGTCCTGAATGTCAATATTAACTTCCCAACCGCTCAAACTTACGTTGACAGGTCACACACTCAATAACAACCGGCCTTGGACCCAACGGGACATTATTTCTGTAGACATTGTTGGGCCATTGCTCGCAGAATCCTCGCTGACTGAAGAGGGTTGATGGATTGAACTGACAGTGCCTGTTTGAGGGATCAAACAGAGCTCTTGCACAATTAAATTCATGGCAAGTTCGAGCGCATTGATCGACAGATACGACGACGGCAAAGTGAGTGAGGGGTTGCTGGACATCACTGACCAAAACATCCCGGGATTTGTAGTAAATTGTATGATGGCAAGCTGAAATTTGCTCTCCGTTTATTGCAATTTTGCGTTCTAGAGGACATATAGAAATTTTTTAAGACCCAAGATCATTTTTTCCCATAAATTTTCAAAAAAATCTGTCACGTTTCTTATTCAATCTTTTCAGCGACCAACGACCATCTTGTTCGTCATCAGCCCATTCCTCGTAACTCATAAGATCAGATAACCCCTCAACTTACTTCCAGTTCGAATTCCATCTCCTTGTCGGGGCTCTTGATTCTGTTGTGGACGGAACGGCCGAAGCTGACGGAATGGAGTTTGTTGCTGGACTGGAGTGGTGGAAACAAAGGTCGGTCTTTGAGTGGTAAAGAACTGTTGTTGGACAGTTTGTTGAGTTGAGAATGACCGGAATGCAGGCGGCGTTTGTGAGGTGCGGAACTGAGCGGGAGTTCGAAATCCGACAGTCGAGATGAAGTTGGGGGCCATAGTGAATTGCTGAGGAGGTGCAAAAGTAGACTGTGGGATGAATGGGGCGGTTGGAGGAGTTTGGGTAACTCTTTGAGTAAACTGAGTGGTCTGTGGCTGGAATGGAGCTCGTGGTGGTTGCTGAGGAGGCTGAATGAATGGACGGCGAACAGGAATTTGTGGAGGACTGAGTGGTGGAGGGGGACGAGCAGCTGGTTGCTGGACAGCTGGACGAGGCCTAAAATAAAGTCATCACGATAAAGTTTTTGATACTAACATAGCCCTAGAAATCTGACGAAGACTTACTGCAGAGTGACTTGTTGATTTGGCTGAAATCCATTGGCCACCAATGGGCGTTTGTTTGGAATAAAGGTGGCCGAATTCGGGGAGCTAGGAATGTTGACTCTGTTCTGCAGCCTCTGGGCTTCCTTGATTCTCTTTGCCTCTTCTTTGGCCGCCTGTTTCTCCTTGTCACTTCGATAAGGCAATGGGACAAAGAGCGAGTCTTCTTTGGTGATATCAGTGATGACATTTCCATCATCATAAGCTCCGAATCGATCGAAGCCATCAGGGATGTCGGCTGAAAAAATTTTTTTTAATTTAAAGGTTGATATGGGACAAAAAGGTTCAATGAAAAACTTACGAATTCTTGGCACACCATTTAGCGGAATTTCATCAAAGATGACTTTCTGGAAGCCATCTCGATAACCTCCGGGTATTTCTGAAATGAAATTGTATAAAGACACTCTTTCAAATTCTTACTCATATAATTTTTGGTCTGCCCTGAAACATCAATCGAATTGAAGCCAGTTGGTGCAGCGAAGGCCTTAGGTCGAGCATCAAGACTTGCTTCTACTGTAACTTCGGCACTGTGGACATGTGTGACAAGAATTGCTATAGACAGGGGCGCTAAGGCCCAGAGTGTCCTTACCATAGCGAGTTTGAGCTTATGGCTTGCTGTAATGCTAATTTAGACGGCCAAATGTGAAATAAGGCGATCAAAATTTAATAAACAACGTAATGATAGGGTTAATCACAAATTTAACCTAACTATATGGGGTACAACTCATTAGATTGAACGCAATAAAAAACCCCAACCCTCAGGTAAACCCCCACAACAATCAGCCCCAAAACAGAGGCAGCGGAGGATAAACGGTCAAGCTTGCAACATCGTAATTATACAGTCACAAGAAAGGAAAACAATACAGGTGAAAGACGAGATAATTCCCCCCTCCTCATCCCCCAGCTTCCTAATTTGTACGGCCTCCGTTAAGCGTCGCAGATTCCATAAATTCATAAAAAGTAACCTTGAGAAAAAGCGAGTAGTACAAAAAAAAAGGAAAGCGAAAGTCGTCGTTCAAAACGAACACTAAAAATGTCACAAACACCGCGGGCATCCACGCTTTGTAGGCCGGTAGTCGTACGAAACACGCTCGTTAGATTGCGCAATCAATCGACAGTTATGGGATTGAAGAAACCAATTGAGGAAAGTTATATACATTTGAGGGAAAAGACCCTTTACGGTCGACCCTTTCGTAATAAAGTTCTAGCCATAAAGGCGTTGCAAAGTGTAAAACGGAAGAGGAAAAAAACTGGATTTCTTTGCGGTTTAATTGAGAGTTTGAATCATGTTTTTCGTCAAATTCATTCGTTAGAAACTGTCAAGATATTAAGGTTTTCAAACCGAAAATAATTACCGATGTTTCCAGAACATTTCAACCTCAACGAATTTCAAGCCCATCCCAAGTCATCACTCCCTTTCCAAGCCCCTTACAGGTACTGTAAACAAATTCCAGTCATTTTTTCTAAGCCCATTATTTTGGTAGGAAAATAAGACGACATTTTCTCTTCTCTCCTTTCGCGGAGATTTTCATCAGGACCTGAGGGGATTCCACTGAGATCCGCCACAAAATTCGCCGACGAAATGAATAAAACGAGGTGAAAGTTGAGGGATCTGGGAAAGTCGAAGTGGAAATGCAGTCACAAAAAAGTATGTGTCATGTCATTTCCGAACACGATTCCTTCCTTTTCGTAAAACAATAAAAGCACAAAAGGTGGAGAACGGTCTGCAAGTCAAGTTCAAGCCAAGCGGAACAATAAAACGCTCTTTTTAATAATTACTTGCGGAATGTTGCGGTCAATTGTGGAGTTTGTGGGGAGAGGGCGTCGGGGAAATTGAACTTTTACAATACGAATTGCCTACAGAAACTCTTAGTTAGACAGAAGATCAAAAGTGATAATCATCATATTTACTCTGACTGAATATCTTATCTGCTCATCTGGATTGAGAGGTTGTTTTTCTAAGATTTATACACAATATACAACTTATAATAAATTATATTCACAAGGGAGCCTTTCGAGTGAATATTCAGAAATGTTATTGGGATTAGTAGACTTTCTTGACCTCCAAACAAAATCAGCACGACGATTTTTGAAAACTCGACTTACTAGGAACCAAACACAAGCCCTAAAAAATTTTTTGTACTAAATTTGACTTCATTTTTTTGATTCCCGAGGTAAAAAAAATCACTTTCCAAAATCGGCACGTTCGCAAACTTTGTAAATCAAAGTAAGTCTAGCTTCCATCCAAGCTTAAACACAGCTAATCATTTTGCCAAAAAGTCATCTTAACCTTTCTCAACCACCCTTAAAAGCACCACTAAGCATAAAGTCCGACTACCCCGACTAACCGAATCTCGAGCCTAATAATTCAACCTCTCTTATCACCCGATAAAACTTTGTGAAGCTTAAAGTTACTCCCCAAATATGCGTGGGCCGCGTAATCGCTAATTACGAACTAATAATACGTATTTGTAAACTATATAAAATTGTAAAAACCCCTTCGAGAATACGGCCTCATCCAGTTTCGGAGTGTAAATTGAGTCGTATCGAACTTCCTAAATTTCTTATTTCCCTTTACACCGAGCTTATCTGTTCGCCGCAATTCTCACCTCAGGCAACCGGTTCGTGAGCGCGACCTTTTTTGTAACAAACATTAAACGGAAAAAACAAATAATTATCAGCGTAGGTGTTCCTCTACAAGGATTGTTTAATAAAGATTCGCGTTTTCGCACTGCGGAAACTGAATCATTAGCTGCGATCGCGCAAAACGGAGGGCTGAAAGGCTCGGATATAACAGTTTAATTAGCAGAGGATCAGAGGGGGAATGGAGCGTTGAAAGTCTGGTTAAACAACTAATTGTACTCTAGGCACGTTGCAATGAGGAGTTTAATCAAGGTTTGAGATTACCTGGAAGAAAAATGGATAGATTGATGGCCAATGAAAGTGTTGAGGAGTTCAATTTAAAATTTTTTAGATCAAGTTCAAGCTGTTGATGCGTAAAATTCTGTTGTCAGAAACGAAATAATCAGAGTTTATTTTTTATTTTACAGTCTTAGCGGATCATAAACGAGTGCGTGAAAGTTTTAGAAGATACTATTATAGTTTTTCAGCTTCCATACTCTTGTTTATTGCTGCAAACTAGAGTATGGAAAAAGATAAGAATTAGCAATGGTATGGCCCTTTTCGGCCATACCATTGCTAATTCTGTATACGAAAAATTGATTTTTTTTTGTATTATAGAAACTTTACCCTCAACGAAAAGGATGACTTTAATTTTTGCGCCAAAAATTGCGAAAACGTTTCGAATTTTAGGTCAAAAAATACCGATTGTTTCTGAATAGCGCGAGCAAGAAATCATGTCCTTAAATCCAAATTGGTACCAAATTCACAAAGAATGAGAAAAAACGAAACCTCCCTTGGGAAATGATCATCTTCCAATCAGTCCACCTCCCCGTTTCGTTAAATTCCCTACTTCTTTTTTACCCCAAAAACTGCAACTCTCTACACTTTTCTCATGTTTACCGAAATGACCACAAGCCTTTGTAAAAGACGACAGTTCCAAGAATTTTACAACAAAAAAACATTACTCTTTTCAGCAGAACTTCCATCGAAGGAATCGTGGGCGTAATTGATCCGTTAGTCAATAGCGCCGCACAATAACAGCATATGTTTTGGGTTCAATGAAGCTTGAGGATTATCCAGGGATGTGTAGCTAAGGAATCGGGAAGAATCAGGGGGGAATGACATGTGAAATTGAAGATTTACGGGTGCAAAAACATTGTTTTAGGAGAAGTTGGGGTGGCAAGAGTGGAAAACCCGTTGTAAAAACATGAAAAACAAAGTTAAGGTCACATTTTACAACATCCATTAAATTCTTTACCTTGTAAGGCCAAACTGTTAAGCAAATCGACAAGAAAAATACAAAATAAATCCAAATACAGACAAAAAATCTGCAAATTTTATGAATGGGCAATAAAATAAAACCAGTTGGATATAACGGTCTGCAACGCCGCTAAACGCATATTAATCGGGCATGTAAATGTTTATTGTAATCATCTGTTCAAACAGACACGCCGACGTCGCGCTTTAACTGAGCTGCCGTTTCCAAAAAAGGGCAAGATCGAGTTTGGGCGGAAATGAGCGTAAGATGTGATTTGTGGAGAAGATGATGGCGTGAAAGTAAAAAGGATGACATCCAGATATTGATCGAGAAGTTGGAGGAAAGCGAAGGCGAGAAGATAAAGGGTCGTTGACAAATAAACTCCGATTAGAATGACGTCAGAAGGAGTCTGAGTTAAAGGAAGATCGCCAAAACATGTGGTCTCTGATTCTGATAAAGATTGGAACAAATCGAACATGACGCTTTTTTCAAAGCATTCTGGCCTTTAAATTTAGTTTTGCAAAAGTAGCCAAGAAGTTGATCAAGTAACAAGCAAAAGAACATAGGAATTCGAGTTTTTTCTCGATTTTCAAGACTAAAAATTATATTTATTGTTAAATTTACAGCGGTATAAAATTTTTCCTTGCGGATATAACAAACTAACAAGCTTTTTATAAGCCGGCTAAGATTATAAAACGCAAACATAATAGATTATAATAACTTTCCTAGGCAAAAAATGCTTACAAATATTTCATCTGACAGACTTCTTGATCTTCTACCACCTCAAAGGTCCACTAATTTAAAAATGGAGTTCCTCCTCCCAATGTCATGCCCTTTGGTGTCTACCCTCCCCTTATTGTTAACCTGACACCTGGCGCAAAAAGTTCCTGGTCCCACGAACCAAAACCCCCAAAACCAAAACGCTGATTTCAATCTGAGTTTCTCTTTTTTTTGTTGTTCCCTAAAAAACTTACAATTGGACAAAAGAGAGATCAGATAACACCCCGTATATCTTGTAGGCATTGTTTTGCGAGTAATAATCGTTTACAAAGAGAGGGATCGGTGCCCACTTGACGCACTTCTTACCGCTGAAGTCGCTTACTTCAGAAGCCCGATTTTTTGGAGGAGGAATCATACGGGTAGTGTAAACCATCGGCAAGGGGGTTTTATGGTAAAACTCAAAGCGAGGTTTAGCTGTACTGAGTCATAGGCCCTGAGGGATTAAGAACAAAGAAAACTGGATTCACTTTCATTTAGGAATTAGTTGGAGTTTCCGAGGTGAGATAGTCAGATTTTCTCAAAATTTTTGAAAGCTAGTAAAGGTGGTTAGCCTCAACCTAAAGAATAATATACTTTATTTTTCAAGAGTTGCTGGTAAACTTAACAATAATTAAAAAAGCAGAAGCCGTAAAATCAGGAAGAACGGCTAATTTGACATCATCAAATTGCCAATTTTACATATGCAGCATAATTACGTATTTAAATACTCACACGAAAGCTATAATAATTCATCAACAGACTTCTGAAATAAACTTATTGACATTTGTCATGCTTGCTGCCACTGGACAAGAATTATACCCCCATAAAACCTTGATGACCTCAAACCTTCAAAATTACTCAGTCAATCCCCAACGGCATTGATCCGTAGGCGACCAGAACCGAACCATCCACCCATAAATCCTCCAGAAGGAAGCCCCAATTTGTTTTTTCCGTCAAGCTTTCATTTTCAATCATAAAGGAATATTATGGATGTATTGGGATAAACATTCTTTTCTTCCGACGCCAAAAAAGCGGAAGGATGACGGATGGTGCAAAACATGACAAATCAGAAAACTTAATCTGCTTATTAAGGAAATGAAAGCAGATTTCTGGAGGCTTGAAAAGTTGGGTTTACTTTTTAACAATTTTAGAGATGGGTATGCAAACCCTTTTCAAGAAATCTTGTCGAAATTGACGTCGGACGTACCATAGAAAAATAAAAAAAATTTTCTATCCTTGATGCCCAGATCTCACAAAGTGTGAGCCAAAAACCCCGCTGGCATTTCCAAATTCTCATTTCAGTCTCCACGAACTCCCGACCTTGATTTTGAACAAGCATAAAAGATGTTTCAGACGCGTCGAATTAAAGGTCAACGACAGATTTCGCTTTCATTTGGTTCGCCGGAAGAGCGAAGATGCGAGAGAAAACCGGTCAAGACACTGAGTCTTCAGTGGAATATAAATTAACGACAGCCGGATGCGCAGAGTGACAAGGCTCTGTTCGAACAGATGAGGCTTTACTTCGAAGAGATTGTGATTAACATAACATGTTGTGAATCAACAACTTCGACGGGTTCTTCGTCTGTGAGATCAAATAACGCTAATCGAAGAGCCCTCAACTATCCGTTCAGCTGAAACGTTAGGGGCGGGGATTAAATCTGTATGAAACGTATGATGACTTGATATATAAATTTCCGAGACAACGTTTGGAAAAGTTTTGAGGTTTATCACAGAAAAAGTTATATCTGACAGATTCTCCCAGTGCTCCACATTGCCTCTGGTCGCAATGGATTTCGTGTATTTTCTAGAAAAGGAGAGACGCCACTCGAGGCGTGGAAGACGGTGAGACACTGGCCAAGGAGGCCAGGTCAATCCATCGGTCATCCCCGATCACACCAACAAAACGTTGTTACATTCCTGGATATGTACATGTAGATTGAATAAACGTGCGACGAGTTCTATTCCACACTTCCAAAAAAGTCTTTGATTAAATTCCAAAGCGACTTTTCATTTTACCAGTATAGAATAGAATCGGTTCGGCTAAAACATCAGAAGACCAGGTTTATAAAACCTACCCTCAGGTGCTTCCAAAAAGTATTTTGAGGTCTGATTGGTCTCCAGATCATCGATTTGAAAAAGTTGACAAGATGACACTCTAATCTTGTCATCTGGATGACACAAGAACAGATTTCTAGAGGTTAATTGATCACCAATCAGATACATTACCTAAAATAATATCGCAGTGCCATCACAATAAATAAAAGATAAATACTATTATAAAGAAAAGAACAAGAAACAAATAAAGGTTCTTTTCGCTTACTTTAAGGTGATTATACCCATCAACAACTAACTCTTTGTCATCCTTGAACAAGATGCTTCGATTCATCACAGATGGTAATGAATACGAAATAAGGGGATAATCATATCTGGTAATAGAGGATAACGGATCTCCAGAGCCTTGGAAGTTCACAACTCGAAATCCGGAGGCATAAAAGATGATGGCATTCGGTCCAAGAGCATATATCCTCTCAGTGATCTGAAGCAATACAAAATAGATGTCAAGACATTGAATTTACAATATTAAACATCCAACTCACTTCACGATCTCCATCAACCTGTTTCGTAACCTGTTCTCTGGTCGCTTTGTTAAAATAATGTAACGCATTGAATGTCCTGATAAAAATGAAGACATGATCTCCATCTACAGCCAACATCCTTTGTCTAACTTCATGTTCTTCGATCACCGGAGGATGATTCACACTAAAAACTTCTCCAGCGTCCTCCTCCGAACTCAGATCCTTGCACATAATTCGAGTTCCATTTGGAGAGAAGAGAAGAAAGTAGAACAATCCGTTTACATCAAGGTCTATCTCGGGGACATCCATGTTGATAAACTGTAATTTGATTGTATTTGCGATATAATAAATCCCGAAATAGTCTTTCCACCAACCGCCTATACAGTAAGCCTCCCTACTTACCGGCTCATAAAGCTTTGCTCTCACCGAAACATCGTCTGGCAGAGCAGCCTCAGGATTTAAACTCCCTATTTCCACGGTACATTCATTCATATTGTCGTCATCAATTTGAAGCAAATCGGTTCCACAGACAAATGTCTCATTTTCCTTTACATAAACATGTGTGTATAAGATAACTGAAGCCCCATATGGATTGAAATCAGGATTATTCAAGTATTCTTTCACAGAACATGCGTCGGCAGGATTCATGGCTTCATCAGCTTTCTGCATAAAACTTCAACGGAATTTAGGTTAGAATAGGACTCAACTCACTTGTGGAAGGTTAAAATCCAATTACCCCCCAAGTTGTAAGACTTATCAACTTTATTCTTCACACAGAATACTCGAAAATCATCATAATCATACTTCAACAGTCTTCCCGTGCGAATATAAAACTGGGCCGAGTGGAACGGTGAGATTTTTGATTGCAAAATATGAGTAATCTATAAAAAAGGCAAAGAAAATTAAAGTTTTCAAAAAACTTACTTCCCTTGGTAGTTTGTTCAGCAAGTTACGCAGGTTATGATCCCTCAAAGACAAAGTTATGTCCAAAACAAGATTCTGAAAGGTCTTTTATGTAAATGTTTATATTACCTTTGGCGCCGGCTTCTCCATGAGATCAAATTTCTCGAATTCAAAACAATAGTCGACTCCTTATATCGTCGTTGACAATTATTCGATATCAGCCATCCAGTCCAAAATTTGAAAAGAATCAACCTTTCAAAATTTTTTAGTCAGTTTTTTGCGATTTTCGTTTTTGCTCGAATCGCCAAAAATTTTTTCGTCAAAATAAAAAGATCGGTTTTCTTGCAGAAAAATAATAATTTTTCTTTTCCAAGTGCAATTAAAACAATATTGAAAAGAGATTCCGTATTTTACCTTTTTACTCTCTGGTTTTTATTGTACGCGATGTAACTTTACCCGTGACAGCTTTTAGATTATTTTCCCTTTGTTTTAGATGCATATTTTTCTTTCCATCGGCCAAAATGGGAGGAAAAGGCCAGCCGTGGGCTCGAAATTCGGGGAGCTTAGTGAGAGCAAATTCTCCGTTTAGAAATGGAAGACTTTTATGTTTTGGTCTAACAATTTGAATATCAAACATGGGAAAGAAAATGGATCGAAGGATTGAATACACGAGGCTCGACAGTGAGGATGCTGAGGTAAATTTCCGTTTCTTGATCCTAGCTTTTAGGTATTTATCGACTCTATAAATTGTTTTTTATACCAAAAATATTGAATTTAGTTGTTAAAAGAATTGACGATTGTATTTTAGAGAGACGAAAACATTGCCAATGAGCGATTGTTGAAGATAACGGAATTCCTCGATCGACTACCGCATGATGTAAGTTTTTTCTTCTTATTATTATTACCTATTTAGTTGCGAATCGACATTTTTTCTCATCTAACTCCCATTGAAGTCTTTCATCTCTACAGAAACTCAGGAAGAGAAGAATATATGGTCCTTTCAAATGAAGTTTTCCGAGAATTATGTGTCAAGAACAAGGTCCCCGAGATCTATAATCAATATAATTGGAAGGCGACATTCTTACAGTGAGTGCCTTAATTATTACTTTTATTTCTTTAGATTCCTCAATTGTGCCATTCAATCGCCGAACTTTTCTAATTTATATGACTTCAATGTTGAGTTATACAACGCTATGTCCACGGGTGTGAAGAGATTCGAGTTTCTAATATATTACTATGACAATTATGGAGAGATAGGGACGACGCCTATGGGAACGGATTTAATGCCGACAATAAATGGGGTTATGAATTTGAAGAATAGAGTGATTACGGTCGCTTTGGGGAATGTAAATATCAAAGCGGCGGTGAATCGAGATGATGTTGCGCTGCAATGTTATACTACTCAACTAACAGTTAGTTCATATTTTTACTTATTTTTTGGTTTTTGGAATTCTCAAGAAGAGCTGTTGCATCTTTGGGCTTTCAGGTTCATCCTCCATCTCCTCCACCGACACTCGGCTTCCATTACACTACTGCAATGTTTCTGGACAAAGATCTAAAGTTTTATTATATTGATAATGGGTCCTCCGACCATGCCAGACCTTCGTTATATTGCAAAGACCTCTCAAATTTCGAATCAGCGCCAGTATTATTATTCACGATCGATCGAGGGAATGCCGAATGCTTGACCGTTCATGATGGATATTTATATGTGATATTCGAACAAACATTTCGCGATTTGGTCTTATATAAATATGATTTGGCCAAGAATGAGGGGGAAGAGTACATATCAGACACAATGGCGGTAAGAAATGACTTTTTTTGAGTTTGTTTTTAGGACTTTAAACGCTAAATTGTTGCTGAATTTAATATTTCAATTCCACATGCTTGATTCGTTTTGTTTTAGAAGGCAGAACGACTGCACGTTATGGGAGACAAACTATTGTTCTTGTATAAACAAGGCATCTCCGTATTTTCATTCCCAGAAGATCAACCAGAAGTTTTCAAGATGACAGACACGATATTCAGTGGTTGCAGACCTCACATTCTCAATGATGATGTCATCCTCTATTCTAGTGAGATTTTAAACGATGAAGGAAGCGAAATTTGGGTTCAGGTATGGTCTAATATTACTTCAATAAAGATATTTGTCATGTGCAATATTAAGTTTATTTTTGTAGGCGTTAATTCGACGAGAAAACGGTCGAATGATAAAGGATGTAGCGCGAGGTCTCACGAAATGCACAATATCCGTCCTTTCTCCTTACATGTTCAACATTATCAGCGAAACAAAGAGGATGATCGTTTATTACGAAGAAGTAAACAGTAAGGCAATTAATTCTATTTACGTGTTATTGTTTAGGGAAGTTCCTTGTCCTTCATACAGAAAACAGAAAAAGTAAACACTCCTCGACGACGCTAAGTTCAATCTTTAAAAGATTTTTACAATTGTAACATATGTACATTGTTGTTGAGATAAAGGAAGATAAACAACTTTTTGATGCCTCAGTAACCATTATTATCGTATTCATTCCTTCCGAACCCTGAATTCTCTGTTCTGGTTTGATCGGCGACCATTTCCTGGATCTCAGCGGGTGGCCATTGGAAGAATATCCAATTTGATCGACTTTTCCTCCCTCTATTCAAATTCGAATCTGGTTTTTTGCACGGCGGGTGAGAGCAAATATCCACTGTGAAGAAGGCGGTATCTGTACAATTGATGGTAAATTCTCTCCGTCGATTAAAGGCGTATAAAAGTAGCGGGTGTCATGAGGAAATGACCATTCCGGTACGGAAATTTTATATTTTCTTTAAGTTTTTAAGGGTTACAGTAGCATTGGAAGGAATGAAAAAATTTTTTGGCCGTTACCGATCCTTATATGTACTTATCCTTTCAGAATGGGCTCCTGGATAGTCCATCTCCTATACGCCACATCGTCGATTACGGCGATCGCCTTGGTCTCTCTAGTATGCCTCACTCCGATGTTGCTCAAGGATGTGGATGTGATGAGACATGAATGGGAAAAGGACTTTCTGGAAGTACAGGTAATATAATTTTTAATTGCAAAAACAAAAGATTAATTTTTGTAATTTTAGAAGATGTCCAACGAACTTTGGGACGATTTAGTCAAGATCGGCGCCAAAGTCAGAACACCAAGAGACCGGCTGAGAAGACAATATGAAACGTTCGCATCGGGATATCAGGGGGCAAATTACAATGGCCAGAGTGGAAGTTATGGCAATCAGAACAACGGCTATAACAATGACGGATATGAGGAACAGCAGAGTGGATACGAAGCCCCGGTGGCTCCGGTTTATGGATATGGATTGGCTAGGCTGAAGTGTAAGTAAATAGTTTTTTATTTGATGTATGGCGATTTTACAATTGAGAATACTGTAGAAAATTGAATGATTTAACTTAATGATGATTATAGGTTGTTGCGCAATGAAGAATATTGATTATGATGGGGAACACCACAATCTCCCAGTATCATACAAGTGCCCAATCGGAAAGAAAGGACCTCCAGGTCCAACTGGAGAGCCAGGAGAACCCGGAAGGGATGGACAGCCCGGCTTCGAAGGTGAAGATTACCCATCATTGCCTGTGTCGTAAGTTTCTAATCTTTCAATGTCAGAAACGTCTTGGTAAGGGATTAATATTGATTTATTTCAGAACTGGCTTCAATGCTGACAATTCCGCCGCAATCTTTGATGAGGGTTATGGTCTGGCTACCGCTGGGACGACTCCAAAACAACGGCAGTGCGAGCCTTGTCCAAGAGGACCACCAGGACAACCGGGACCAAAAGGAACTCCAGGACCGAGCGGACCCAAAGGAGATCATGGAATTCAAGTGAGTAATAGGGGTTCGACTCTAAAACGATTAAAAAATTTTCTTTTATCATAAACATCGTTATTTCCAGGGAGTTCATGGAATCCCAGGTGTTTCTGGGAATGCTGGTGCCCCCGGAAATGTGGGACCTCGAGGGAAATCCGGCCGAACTGGGCTGCCCGGACCTCGCGGAGCTGATGGACAGGCTGGAGGCAAGGGTCTTCCCGGGAAACCAGGACAATCCGGAAGCATCGGAGTCCCCGGTCCTCGAGGAGTCTCAGGACAAACTGGAAGTGTTGGACGTGACGGGAAACGAGGAATCGTTGGAAAGGTCGGCCCTAAGGGTCAGCGAGGCCTTGATGGAGTTGATGGTGCACAAGGGCCAGTTGGTCCACCTGGAATTGATGCGGGGTATTGCAAATGCCCGGATCGTGTCCGTGATGTCAGTGTTGCTAGTGGGAATGCGTAAGTTTTTCGGACACCGATTTTTTACTTTTTGCAAGGCGTCACGTCGTATAGAGCAAAAATTAATGGAATTTTTTTAGATACGAAGAGCCTAGCTACGCTCCCGTAGCTTCTTATCCGTCCAGCAACACCTACTCATCTGCCAATCAAGCCAAGAGTCACTATTCTTATCCTTCTTCGTCTTCTTATCCAGCCAAACAAGTATCCGCCCCAGCTGTTGCTCCAACTAATGACAATGAAGTGAATGGATATGGTGGGTTATCAACTCAAGTCGGAAGAGGATACGGTAGTGTTAATGAGGCCTCATACAATCCTATGAAAGTTGGTAAGGACGTAGGAGATATTTTAGCTTTCTACTAAAACTTGAGGCAAAGGTTTTGGATAATCAATATAAAAAATAGGTTTACTAATATTTCGGGAACTAATAAGGCATTCAAGTATATAATAACAGTCTTTTCTAACCCACTGCCAACATATAATATCTGCAAAAATCGGGCCAGAGACTAAATTTTTATAATCTTGACTGCTTTCAGACCCCAGAACGAGCGCCAAGCCCAATAACAACGTTTACACAAGCGAAGTTCGAGTCAACGACCTACAACCCAGCTCTGTGACCAATAACTACCAATATCAGCAAGGTGCATACCAAGGACAACAGAGCCCCACACCCAGATCTTCCGTCAATTACAATTACTCTAATCCCCCGAAAGCAGTGGCGCCGAATCCAATCCAACCGGCTGCGGCGTACAGTCCGCAGGCCGCCGAAGAAGATAACGACTATCCATTCTTGAGCAACGAATGGAATGAACAGAGAAAGAGGAGATTACTGCAGAGACAACGCCAACGTTATGTTGGAAGAAGTCATTAGAATGGCGATTGAAGTAAAATTTGGGAGTTGCTGTATGATTTTGTTTGAAGAATAAAATTATTGACTGCAAAAAGGTTGAAATTTTTCTATTCAAAGTTTTGATAAAAGTCCGTCTTTTCCTCGTATGACTCAAAAAATCATCTATAATGGCAAGGTTAGGCTCATAAAGTACCGTATTCATCAAAATAATCGGGTGCCTTCAGCTGTTCTACAGCTTCGGACTTGGTCCAGCCAAAACAAGGTCCAAGAGACTTGGAGATGAATCGTTTCATGTCACATCTCTGCAGCATCAGATATAAAAATTTTATTAAAACATTTATCCCGCATGACTCAATTCATTCTTTTCGCGCAATCGCTTATTTCCATTAAGCCGGGGGCATGGATCGGAAGGAATCGACGTTGGCGCTTTTCGAATCCGGAAGAGACGGAACATATTGAAACCGAAAGAAAAGGAAGCATATTTCATTAAAACGATTCCTTTATGGAATCCCGATTCTAAATGCTAAATTTATTTTACTTTTTATTCGATTTGAGTTTCTAAGAGGGTCTTCGGATTTGGGGCAGATAAAACAATATTACTGTGGGCTCTGCAACCTTTTAGGATGACATTTCTAGGCTCAAAAAACTTTTATCACCAAGAAGCGAGGTCTGAAACTAAATTAGAACCTCATAAATCATTCAGAAAATCGCTTGTTCCAATCCAGACTGGATATCGTGCTGATAGTAACTCCTTTCCTGAATTCAACCCCCGTTTTCACTTTTCTTTCGGAAATTGGGTCGTTCCGACTTTGCTCATCGATGAATGCACATTTCGTCGACGAAATCGCGAGATGATTAACACCGAAATCCCAAGTGAAAGTTTTCCGGTTTTGGATAAACCGATTGATGATTACTGGACTCAGTTTTGACAGTCATTTTTTATCAGACAGAAACAGTTACTGTGCTCGACACTGTTCACTTTATCCGGATCTTTCGATTTGATTAAAGATAATTTTCATTAAAGTGATTACAAATACTTTATCCTTAAATTTTGTCTTGTTTTCATTCCAGCGCTTCTTTATTCTATTTTACAGACCGGTTTATTGTAAGTATCAACCAATATTTCGCATTTTTCGCTTGAATAAACTTGTTAATTTGCCTTTTACATAATAGCTTATATCTCTAGAATTCAAAAGAGATCCACGAAAGCGGATATTCTATTTGAATTATCTACTTGCCCACAACGCTTATAATACTGAATTTTGCGGTATCGTATTCGCAATTTACCTTTAAGCTTTACTCCAGATACCGAAATAAATTTTTCAGTTCTCCTTCTCCATTATGGAGACCAACGAACTTCTTTTGTTTATGATATTGTCATTATTAACTGGTAAAGTGACAGCAATCGCAACAAACGGTAAGCCCAATAACAACAAGGAAATTTCACAACCAAAGCTATCCTAAACCAAATTTATTTCCAGATCTAAAACCCTGCTTTGAGAGATACGATGGATTCAAAATCGTTGACTCGGCCCCATTCCATTCAGAATGGCGAATGAAATCCGAGGATCAATGTCTTGAGTTCTGCGTTCGATCGTCCGTAAGTAACGGAAAGACTGAACATAAAAAGAACATTTCAGAACTGTATAATAGGTGTTGCAATTTATATTTCAGAGTAGATGCGTGTCTATCGTGTATGACAAATACAGCCACATTTGTCACTATTTTAGCATCAATGCAATCGAAGCAGAGTTGATTGTAAAAAGCCCCAGGATGGTCTATTTCCAAACCGCCGAAAAGGAATGTATCGGTGAGAAACATCCGTTTTAGCAATTGCTCCGTATTTTGTATACATAGTACCCTTCGTATGACAAGGGAGTTTCTTAACGCGTATTTACACTTCCCACAAACTATAATTTTAAATTCCAGACAGAAAGCTCCTTCAAATCATCACGGAAGAAAATGCCCGCCAAACCGCCATGATGGAGATTCAGAAGATCCGAGCTTCCGCTTCCTCTACCTCAGCCCCTCTGACTTCGCCAACAACAATTCAACCCGAGAGTCCATCCACGGCAACATTCAAAGAGGACTTAGAAGCAAATGATGAGAGTATTTTGGCTTTGGACGCGGACTTTGATGGAGATCCGATGAATTTCGTGAAACTGGTGGATGACGAGAAAGAAGAGGAGAGTGGATACACGTCGACGAGAAGTCCAAGTAGTGTGATTACAACTACAGAGAGTACAACGGCCAGTACGACAACAACAGCACCCACGCAAACCACAACAGCTGCTACAACTATCTCTGCGGCCAAAAGGAGATTCGTAGGTACGTGAAAATAGTAAAAAACCGACAAGGTCTCACCAGTATTAATGCATAATACTTGCACTTTGCATTATTTAGAGCCATCCACAAGCACTTCCACAACCTCAACCAGCACAACAACTACCCCAACCACAACCACTCCATCCACAACTACTTCGGTTCTCACTTCCCAATCTGTCACTCCTGTAATCACTAAACCCACAACCACTGCAGCTCCCGCAACCCAGAAAATTGTCCCTCAAAAGGTACCCGCACCTGTTTCAGAACTTCCGCCATCCTTCCCGGTGATTCCGTCGATGGATGACAAGATTGACGAGATGATGCCAATCATGTCTGGGTTCAAAATTCAAAAGAAAACATTGCCCGATATGATAGAAGAGGCCATGGAGAAGAAGCCAGAGATCATGGAGGTCAGAAGATCGCCTGGAAAGAGCAGGGGCCCTATCGCAAAGACATTCGACGAGGAGGAAGAGGAAGTAAGTCAATAAAAACATGAATCAATATAAAAATTTGTCTTAAGACTCCGCGTCCATCAATTTACGATGCCAACTGCAAGGAGGGTGCCCACGAGATTTGGCTGGCAGTTGAGAACTCCCAAGTCGACAGTGGAATCAGATCTTCTGTTCTAAAATTAGCCGCATTGCCTCAGGAATGCATGGATACTTGCAAAACGTTAGAAGTCGGTGGATACAATTGTGATTCGTTCACATTTTTGGAGTCCTCCAAGAGATGTATTTTCCATGCCAGTCCACACAAATTTTCGGTAAAACCAGCCTTCAGCAATGACTTCAGTACTCGGGCTTTCAAAAAGTATTGCTTCCCAGGTAAGGACTTTGCCTTCTACAGTAATTCAGAGCTCTGTTGGTCAATCAACAACTAAATTTATATAACCTTTGCAGGAGATCTAACACCATTTAATGATTGCGTGGAATTCCTGGCATTCCGGGACTACTCAATGGAAATGGAGCCCCGAGAAGTTTTCGAAGGTCTTCCCTCGACGAATGAGGGAATCTCCGCTTGCATCGAGTTGTGTGTTTTGGCTACTGAGTTCAGATGCAAAGTAAGTGAATTAACTTTCAAAACAAAACGCCTTTTGCTCAATTATTACCGAGAAAAATAGGAGCCGCGTGTTTTACAAACAGAAAATCCAATTATTTAAGAGTGCCAACTTCGACCAGCAAAGTGGAATGTGTCTTTTGTTCGCGGAGCATTCTCTAAGTCGACCAGCGGCCTTCCGAGAGCATCAATTGGCCAATCAAATTTACTTCGAGAACGGATGCGTGCCAGTGGAAGTACCCACGGAACAAGAAGTCATCAGTAAATACGCAAAAACCGAGAGGATAACACCTGTCAAGTTGGATTATCGAAAGATCACGCACTAATATAAGAATACCACCTATTGTAATATTTTTCGTATGTCCTTTTCGCCTTACCTCTCTCATTGCTCCAAAAAGTCAAAAGTTAAGTAGTTTGGTGTTGTAACCAACCTTTCGTATGTAATAAGACTAATAAACCAAGACAATATATTCGCTTTATTACGTATAAATAATAATCAAAGGGAGATACGAACTTCGACAGAGAAAAAGGGGAGAGGAGCCATCAGATTACTGTAACATCCATTCTTGAATCCATATCCCCGCCATAGGTAAGGAAAGAAGATTAACGGGAAACTAAGTTATTAAAACATAGCTACCAGACGACCAAGAAGTACGTCATATACAAGGATAATATAAAGGCCCACTACAACAAGAAATTTTTGATGTCAAAAAGTATGGCAAGAGGGGACCAACACAAAATTTGACACAAAGCTACCCTCAGAAAACAGACACCCCTTTTTCCAACCCCAAAAGCATCCTTATATACACCTTGTACATCCACAGACTAAACCTATAAATAATTTGGAGCAGAGTCGAAAAATAACCAAGATGAGTACAACATTAGCAGTTCGAATACAAAACCTATCCGGCACAACATCACAGACACTTTACTCTTACAAAGTGGGGGGAGGGATAGTGGGTTTAAAGATTTGGGGAGGGGGAGGTTGGTAGGCGGGGACTGGATTGGGAACAACTTGGGGCTGGAGCAGGGGAGATGGCTCGGCTGGTGCGACCCGATTGGCTTGGTGATGCTGAAAATGGGGATCGTCAGTTGAGGCGTGATCAGCCTAAAACAACTTTGCCCGATGCGCCCGGTCGAGGTTTGCCGAAGGTGAACGGAATGTAGCGGTACTTTATCATGTGCTGAAATTAGACCGGGATTATATACAAAATCTGATGAAACAAATAAAAGTCCCAAAATCTCGAAAATAATATGTTATCTATGCTTACCATAATTTGTCTCTTCAACGTGAGGAAGGTCAAGAAGAAGAAGTACATGACCAAGATCGGCCAGAATACTGGCACATCAAAGATATCGAAGAACGTCAGTGAGATGGCAAATGCAGTTGATTTCATCGTACTCAACCTGAAATTATACCACCGTCTTACTAAAAATACAACGGAAAGGTGCCAGGTCACCCAGCAAAACAAGAGAAACTCATAAACAAAAAGAGTAATCATAGTACGCCCATTAGATTTAACCAACACTAAAATCCCAATATCAACACAGGACGAAACACTTACCAGAACTTGAACTCGGGTAATCGACGCATAAACGGCCGGAATTCCTCGTTATTACTCTTGGGCAGAGCCGGTCCTTCATCTAAAACACAAAAACATTAACAAAAGCTCATTACCCATCTTCGGCAATTAACAATCAGTTGATTTAAGGTACCTAAAAACCAAAAACCACAAAATAATATAATCCTTACCATCACTGTCGAAATCAAAGGCCGGATCAATCTTCGGAGACAAGAACTGTAAGAAAAGGTTGAGATAATAGATGAACAAGGCGTAAGTAACAATGTAGAACCCTTGAATGTGGAAGATTCTCCAACAGAACAGGAAAACAAAGCTGATTGCAATTACCCATCGGACAGTGGTATAGGGGGTAAGCCTGTCCAAGTAATACTGGTAGTTCTGAAAACAAAAAGGTAAACGCCCCAACAACACTATTTGCCCTTCTCACGCAATAAAAATATCGAACCCCCGTTGCTACTTCAAATATTTAATACTTCTAAAACAGCAAAGCTGCGATAAACAATAAAATGCTGGACCTCAACGAAAAAAAATATCGAAAGTTTTTTGAGACATTCAGCGCAAAGTATTGGTCTACACAGAAAAAGCGTCAATGTTTAAATTTCTTCATCTCTAAACCATCAAAAACCATTCGAACTTACCTAAAACAGAGATAAACAACAAAAATTAAACTTACTATTGCTAGGAACTGCATGAATCGAGAGGGAGCGGTTGGCTGATCGCGGATATCACTCTCCATTCTGTATTTTGTTCGGCTTTGGCCACAAGTTCGATCAGAAACACCTGAAATAGAGGTATAATATATAGTTATCAATGTATGTCGACGTGGTCAAGAACCGAAGAGGTCGAGAGGAAAAGAGCAGAGAAAACCGAGAGAAAACGCACAACGTTGAGTAATACGTAGCAAAAAAAATTCTGTTCCTTCGTGTAAACTGTCGGGCGCAGCTCGGCGCGACCGGTTTGGTCCAATAAAACTTTGCAAAATCGGTTAATTTCCGTAAAATGATTGTGATTAGACCATTCTGAGACTACTTGAGACATATTTTTTACAAATTCGCAGGCGTTTAGCATATTCATTATCTTCCACGGACACATTTCACCGTACGACATGGTCTTTTCAACCGAAAATATTTACAATTGTCAAAAAGAATCTTTTGAACTGGACACTAATAGAAATTGATCAAAATTGATAATTGATGGTGTGAGAGCATTTCTAATTTTATCGTTTCTCATTTTACAGGGTAGAACCTGCCTTCCTGATTTTTACCCGAACATACATGTATACAGTATGTATGTATAGATACTGATCAATCTTTCCGAAGTGTTGGATGGCTAAGGTTGGGACAAGCCATTTTTACACTGCCAAATTTCAATATTTTGAGCCGACAACGCATAACGCCGGAGCTTTCTTGGGGATTTCCAGAAGATGCGTCAAGTTCCCACCGATGAACTCGACGGTAATGTCATTCGCATTCGGAAGCTTACTCGGGAGGTCTTTGGCATGAACGAGCAGAATTTGGTTGACAAAGAAGTACACTGTAACAATCTGGATTTGGTTGGAATCAAAGATCCATCTTGACACTGCGAATCCTGGTGTTTTTGGATGGCCCTCGGGATATTAGAGGTTTGGTCGAATGTGAAATGGCATATGAGGTAAGCCCATACTCCGTTTCATCTCAAATTACATGTTTGCGGGAACAAATATCCAAACAAAATTGATTTCCGTTCCAATTCTATTATCTCGGATATTCCATCCAGCCGCGGATGGAGTCCACTTGTTGACTATACGCTTTCTGAGGGTTGGTGCGGGGATTTTGAATTTTCGGAATGTTAACTTTGAGATGCGACGTTTGTTTTTGCAGTGTCGGGTGAAAGATTAGGTACTATAATATAAAATTATAAGGTAATACTATTCCATCTCCCATTCAGAGGTGTCTAAAATCATATTAGAAGTACCATCATATTAGAATAGAAGTACCGCCTTTTTTGCTTCTGAAAGTAACATCCTCTTATAGTTAAAGCAATTTATAAACTGTATTTTGACTCCCTCTAACTTCTTTTTCCCTCATTATCAGTCTCGCTTTTGTAAGGATCGCCCTCGACACAGATATCCCCGAGTAAATTTGTGCAGCAAGGAGGCAACAAGGTCATCGGCGAGTAATCTTCCTCGGCAAAACATCAAGACTCCCATTTCCTCGCTGATTTTCTTATTTTTGAGGTGTCTCTGTAAGTGGGGATCTGAGAAACGATGCGTGAAATCGTCCACATCCAAACTGGACAGTGCGGTAATCAAATCGGCGCAAAGGTAAGGGATTTTGTTTGTTATTTAATTGTATTTTTAATTTAATATTGCTTTAGTTCTGGGAAGTGATCTCGGACGAACACGGAATCCAGCCGGATGGATCTTACGAAGGTGAAAACGACCTCCAATTAGAGCGAATCAACGTTTATTACAATGAGACCGGCAACAACAAGTATGTTCCGAGAGCTGTGCTGGTCGATTTGGAGCCCGGCACCATGGATTCGGTGAGAAACAGCCAATATGGAGAGCTCTTCCGCCCCGATAATTTCGTCTTTGGCCAATCCGGAGCTGGCAATAACTGGGCCAAGGGGCATTATACGGAGGGAGCTGAGTTGGTGGACAATGTGTTGGATGTGGTGAGGAAAGAGGCCGAAGGATGCGACTGTTTGCAAGGTACGATCATTTGCGCCTTCTGGATGCCTTGTGTAATGTCATGATTAATATTTTGTTTTCAGGATTCCAACTGACCCACTCTCTTGGCGGAGGAACGGGCTCTGGAATGGGAACTCTGTTGATTTCCAAGATCCGTGAAGAGTATCCCGATAGAATTATGTCCTCTTTCTCCGTCGTCCCATCTCCCAAAGTCTCGGATACTGTAGTTGAACCGTATAACGCAACTTTATCTGTCCATCAGCTGGTCGAGAATACTGACGAGACCTTCTGCATCGACAATGAAGCCCTTTATGATATTTGTTTCCGAACTTTGAAGCTGCCCAACCCAAATTACGGAGATCTGAACCACCTGGTGTCAATGACAATGTCCGGAGTGACCACTTGCCTCAGATTCCCGGGGCAGTTGAATGCGGACCTCAGGAAGTTGGCGGTTAATATGGTCCCCTTCCCGAGATTGCACTTCTTTATGCCCGGATTCGCTCCGTTATCGGCCAAAAATGTATCTTCCTACAGACCAAGCACTGTGGGGGAGCTCACTCAACAGGTAGGATAAGTTTATTTTGGTACCAGATTTTTTATTTGGGTCTCGTAAGTTGTAAATGTAAGTGTTTACTTTCCAGATGTTTGATGCCAAGAACATGATGGCCGCCTGCGATCCCCGCCATGGCCGTTATCTTACTGTAGCCGCCATCTTCCGCGGTCGAATGTCGATGAGAGAAGTTGATGATCAAATGATGAGTGTCCAGAACAAGAACGCCCCTTACTTTGTGGAATGGATCCCTCATAATGTGAAGACGGCCGTTTGTGATATCCCACCGAGAGGACTAAAAATGTCCGCCACTTTTATTGGAAATTCAACTGCCATTCAGGAGTTGTTCAAGAGAATCAGCGAGCAGTTCAATGGTAAGCGATTTTTATAGATTTTTAAAACACGATTTTTGAGTCACTGAATCAGCCGCCAATTAGGCGTGGACATAGGAAAAAATTGATTTTGAGTTTTTGATTTTAAAATGACTGTAGGCATCCTATAAACATAATGCTGAAATATTTTTGCCCAATTCCTTCGTTAACCTACTGTAATTTACAATTTAATGCTTTTAGAGTAATCGACCATTACAAGAAAACTACTGATTAGAAATGGATGAAATTGGCAATACTTATGTTTTAGGCCATGCCCGTCATAATAGACATAGAGTTTTGGCAGTCGGATTACTGTAACATACCGTAATGTGGGTTCGGCCGCACAAATTTGGCCTTAAAAAAGTTATTTCTCAAATGCCGCAGCTGATTTTTATACAGGGTGGGGCATCTTTGTGGCCCGATTTGAATTGACTATAACTTCTTTAGTTTTTGGCCAAATTTTAAAATTCTTTTTTCCCTGAATCGTCAGCCAACCCCATTTTGTTTGATACCAAATACGTTATACATAGGTAAGTGTCATCTACAGTTATTGGATTTATTCTTGGAGTTCATTTTTTTGGTCGTTTTTCGGTTGTTTTTTCGGTCGTTCCCGGTGTGTCCGAAAATGGAGTCCGGTGTGGAGAAAAGGCTTCGTCTGTGGTTTGGTTTAGCAAGTACGGTTCGGCGATAAATTTTCAACCGGGGATACCGCATAAAATACGGACGTAATGCCTAACCTCCAGATCGCAAGACAATTCGACGTTCGTGGAATAAGTTTCTTGAGACTGGCAGCGTTAACAGGAAACAAAAAAGCAGGAAAGATGAGTACGAACGGAGCTGAAAATTTAAGAAGTTTTGTCAAAATTCCGAGAAAATCCGCATATGAGTACACGAAGTTTGGCCAGAACCGAGGGAATGCCTTCAGCAAGGACCATTCGACGAACTCTGGAGGTTGATCTTCACTTTTTGTTCTTATTCTCATCGTCGATTTTCGGGAGGGTAAATTCCACCGTATTTTTCTTCCGGACCGTACTCCATTTCTGGACACACCGGGAAAGACCGAAAAAACAACCGAAAAACGACCGAAAAAATGAACTCCAAGAATAAATCCAATAACTGTAGATATACACTTACTATGTATAACATATTTGGTATCAAACAAAATGGGGTTGGCTGACGATTCAGGGAAAAAAAGAATTTTAAAATTTGGCCAAAAACTAAAGAAGTTATAGCCAATTCAAATCGGGCCACAAAGATGCCCCACCCTGTATATGTTAATCAGCGTAAAATTCTGCCTTATAAACATTAAAAAAAAGTGTAAAAAGCCATGATCCGTTTTTCGTGGTATAGTGGATTTTGGCCAAATTTAGTAACCCAAGGGTCGCGAGTTCGATCCCCGTGGAAGCAAAATCCGTAATACTGCCCAGAACCATAAAAAATCAATTGGGCTGAGTTGTATAGCATACACGGGAAGTATGAAAACCTTTATAAAAATTGATTTGCAATTTTGAAAGCATTTTTTGAAGATGACAATCAGAATGTTTTTCGTGGATTACGGTGCAAATTTAGTTTAGGAATGTTGGTAAAAATTACTGTATAGAGGTTTTCAAGCCTTCTAAATTCAATGGGACAAATTTTTCGGGCCTAGGATTACTGTAACATGGAGAAAACGAATTTCGGCCGCTAAAAATCGGCCGTAAAAATGTTGTTTTCAAAAAAACGCCATTAATTCTACGATTTTTGGCATCAGCGTACAATTCCACACTATACCAACTCAAAACACAGTCATGTTGTCAAATACTTTTTTCTCTGTGGTGAATTATTTTCATATTTGAAAATTGTAAATAAAACTGCATTAGCAATAGAATTAGACAAAAATATTTTGAAGCTATATTTTATAAGTGGTTGTACATACTTCTAGCCTAGAAACTCATGATTTTACAGAGTGGGCCACTCGAAACTCCCAACCTCTTTTCAAGTATTTCTCCGCCAATAATGCACCAATTTCTATAAAATTTATATCAAATTGAAGCTGAGACACCCCATTTCTTGTCCACCAAATATGGACCGTCTAACTTCACGGAGGCACCCGCAATGACCTTTTACATTTTCATTCCAAATTTTGGAGCCCGAAATCGGTGAAACTTAGAAAATTTTTGGAATGATTTCCAGTTGAGTTTCTCGGAATTGGAAAATGTTCGCGCCTTTGGCTAAATAAAAGTCTTATAAGCAGCAGAGAATAATGATGGCAGTCAACGGAATAGTCAAAATTATTCTTCAAGGCGTTGCTTTTGTGTTTTGGGGCAATAGGCTTAATTATTCGAAATTTTTCAAAATGTTAAAAAATGGGCGAAACTGTCTACATGCATGATGACATCCACCCCGAAGATGCATAGAAACTTCCCAGGCATAGATTGCCCGAGAAAACAGTTTTCGTTCTCATTCGCCAAAATTGGTACCTCGCGAGGCCTCGCCTGATTGAAATATGGGCTTAACACACTTGGTACGGACGTAAACTTTGATGTTTTAAAAATTTTTCCGCGAATTTGGCGGCTTTTTTCTTGCCGGTAATCCAAAAATTTTCTATAAGTCCGAGAAATTCAATTGAAAATCATTCCAAAAAATTTCTAAGTTTCACCGATTTCGGGCTCTAAAATTTGGAATGAAAATGTAAAGGGTCAGTACGAGTGTCTCCGGAAAGTTAGACGGGCCAGGACAAGAAAATGGGGTGTCTCAGCTTCAATTTGATATAAATTTTATAGAAATTGGTGCATTATTGGCGGAGAAATACCTGAAAAGAGGTTGGGAGTTTCGAGTGGCCCACCCTGTATTTTTCGATTTCCGCGGATGACTTCACTCACCCCAAAATTTGTGATTTTACGGCAAAAAAATTCTGTAAAATTCAAGCGGTCAACTAAGGTACAGTATGTAATGATTCTAGAGCCAAATTTCACGCTGATGCCAAAAATCGTAGAATTAATGGCGTTTTTTTGAAAACAACATTTTTACGGCCGATTTTTAGCGGCCGAAATTCGTTTTCTCCATGTTACAGTAATCCTAGGCCCGAAAAATTTGTCCCATTGAATTTAGAAGGCTTGAAAACCTCTATACAGTAATTTTTACCAACACTCCTAAACTAAATTTGCACCGTAATCCACGAAAAACAAAATTCTGATGTCATCTTCAAAAAATGCTTTCAAAATTGCAAATCAATTTTTATAAAGGTTTTCATACTTCCCGTGTATGCTATACAACTCAGCCCAATTGATTTTTTATGGTTCTGGGCAGTATTACGGATTTTGCTTCCACGGGGATCGAACTCGCGACCCTTGGGTTACTAAATTTGGCCAAAATCCACTATACCACGAAAAACGGATCATGGCTTTTTACACTTTTTTTTAATGTTTATAGGGCAAATTTTTACGCTGATTAACATATGTAAAAATCAGCTGCGGCATTTGAGAAATAGCTTTTTTAGGGCCAAATTTGTGCGGCCGAGCCCACATTACGGTATGTTACAGTAATCCGACTGCCAAAATTCTATGTCTATTATGACGGGCATGGCCTAAAACATAAGTATTGCCAATTTCAGCCAGTTCTAATCAGTAATTTTCTTGTAATGGTCGATTACTCTAAAAGCATTAAATTGTAAATTACAGTAGGTTAACGAAGGAATTGGGCAAAAATATCTCAGCATTATGTTTATAGGATGCCTACAGTCATTTTAAAATCAAAAACTCAAAATCGATTTTTTCCTATGTCCATGGCTGATCCAGTGACTCAGAAATCGTGTTTTAAAGTCTTTTGTTCAGCTATGTTCCGTCGCAAAGCCTTTTTGCATTGGTATACGGGCGAAGGCATGGATGAGATGGAATTCACGGAGGCCGAGTCCAACATGAACGATCTTATCTCGGAATACCAACAATATCAAGACGCCACCATTGAGGACGAGGGCGAATATGAAGCCGAGGCCGAGCTCAATGACGAGATTGAATAAAAAAGATATGTGATCCTTTTGATAATAAAACTTTCATGTAGAAATGTCATGGATTTTTGAAAACGGTTTATTCCCCAAAATTTCCCATAGTTTGTACTTAAAATCGTTTTTTTTACGTCAAATGTTGCGTTTAATTTTCCAAAGTTAAAATTTCAATACCTGAGACGGTACTCTAAATCATAAAAGCGGACCCTCCTGTTGATTTGCTGTTTGTTTTCGGCGGGTTGATTCCAGTCGTGGCAATGAAAGTCTGATGTTTTGGTCGGCTCAAGCATCGAGGGCAAAAAGTCGCCCGAATTTCCGTTCTCATGCTCTTATTCAAGAAGAGGTAAATGAATACGGTACCTCCTGAAATTTGATTGGATGAGGAGACTTGGAGAGGAAGTGCAGTTAGAAAAAAGAAGAATTTAATAACAAACCGTGACTAGACTGCCAACTAATTTGTCCAATAACTACCATATAACCGGTAAGTTCCATAAATTGCATCAGCACATAAACGGTCGCGGCGGCAAAGATCAAGGAGCAGATGAGAGTGGCTTGTGCAATCAGCTGTAATTTGATTTTAGAAATGGGTTTAGTGAAAGATAGTACCAGTTACCTGTATTTGCAATGTGTTCATCCCACTGTTTCCAGCGACCGAATGAGTTTTCATACAAACGAAGATGCAGATGCTGGTATAAGAGACGCAAAGAACGATGATAACAGTTACATTGTTTACGGTATGGGGAATACTTGTATACTGAACTGTTATTAGTTTTGATGATATCAGACTGACCTTTTCCTTATCAGAAACGGGCATTCCAACGAAAGGGTCGAAGAAAGCGCCGTCATAAATTGAGGTGAAGACAACTGGTGGTGTAAAGACGGCGAAATAGAGACCGTATAACGTTGGGGCCAGGAGCCAAAAGTAGGCCTTAGATCCTTGGAAAAAGTGCTCCATCCATTCTGGCTTGAGCAAATCGCAGCATCGGTTCAGTGCTAAGATCATGCAAGTCATACAAGCTGTGCACCATAAGCCTGAAAGGAAATATAACTTTTTCGAGGAAGGTGGGTTGTAGCGGGATTTTTCTAGTCAAGAAAAAGATGAAATTTTCGGACATTTTGTGAACCCGAGAAGCAAATTCTTACCTGTAGAAATAGCTCCACTGACATACATAGCAACCGGGTAATCACAAAAAACAGACCCATGCCATGCAAAATAACCCGCCATGATTGAGTTAATCGAAATACAAGCCATGTCAATGATGCCTAAACAATCTTATACAAGGGCTTCCAACCTACCTAGGAAGAACATGATTTTGTAGCAAGAAAGTCTCAAAAATTTTTTTGAAGACATGACATATAGACAGGGGAAATACAGTATCTCATAAATGAAGCCAATAGTCATATAAATTCCTCCAACAAGTTTATTCTCCCTGCCAAAAGTATGCCATTGCTTGGCTGAATACAAGGTACAGTTGTATAGAGCTTCATAGCCGGTTGGATCAAACAAAAACTTCTCCATGTCCTAACAGACTGAACAACTGATGGCTACAGAGAAGGTATAGGGATATGGTGGAGTCGCCGCTTTAGTTAATCGGGTTTAGTGCTGAGTTAAGCCCGTCTCCAGGGCTTTCTTAACTTTTGAGTCTGCTCTTCCAGATTAAAATTGTACAAGTTATACCTTAATTCCATTAGTGAGGATTGATTTTCTATGGAGATTATTTTATAGTTTATGCCTTTAGAATTTATTTTATTTGTTGATGGTTTTGAGTAACAGTGGTTTAAAAGGATCAGACAAGTCTGAATAGTGGCGTGAAAGGGAGGACCTTTTGGAACAAGATAAGTTTTGCAACGAGGTAGAGTCTACAGCATCTTTGGGGAATGCCTGGCCGAACCTCAAAGGACTGAACCCTATGACTCGGCTCCCAAATGATTACAGATTCTAACAGAAAATCATCAAATCAAAATTTTGTTTTAATAGGGCCAGCAGTAATTTGGGGAGACTGTACATGTACGTACGGGGTGAGACCCTACGAAGATAGAACATAGGGGAAGACAACGTACGGCATATGGGGGCCCCTACGGACCAAGGACAAATAGTATTGAGGTTCCAGGTCCCAGGGAGTAAATAATTTTATTTATAAAACTATTGGCTACTTTTTATGACGCAATATTATAAAAATTTTTAAAGTCGCCTACGTAAAATAGTTTGCGTTACGCCAATCAAATAAGAATAACATTGTTGACATCAGCCTCCTAAATTTAGGTAACTCATGAAAAGTGAATGAGGCCCTATGAAATCTCCACACTTTTTTATTTGGTGGCAAACAATACGTAGATACACAACGAGCATCTTCATTGAGTATCTGTTTACCAATTTGTGATCCTCATTCCAAACATTTTATGTTATCAACATGAAACAACATTAGAAAGTTCATTTTATTATCGAGATACCATCACATGAGCATGAATTCTTATTGCACCACCACCTTATATAATATGCCTGTGCTCTTTTCATATCATGAACGCTGAGTTCCCGGTGGACTTGCTTGTCGATTTCTGCGGATTGGTTCCAATTCCAACGTCTGTTACAAACGTTTGATGCCTATTTTTCTGAAGGAATCGTGGGAGGAAAGTGGCTCGAATCTCTGTTCTCATTGTTTTGTTGAGGAAAAGGTAAATGAATACGGTACCTCCTGAAAAGTGAAGGGAGCGGATTATCTCGGTTTCAGGGAAATCAGAAAATGCTAGAAAATGAAGTGTACCTTGTCTTCAGTTGGAACGGAGGCAAAATTGAAATAAAAAAATTAAAAAAAAAACTTACCATGACTGGATTGCCAACTGATTTGCCCGAGAATTACCATATAACCAGAAAGTTCAACAAATTGCATAAGAACGTAGACGGAAGAGGCGGCAAAGATCAAGAGGCAGATTAGGGTGGCTTGAGCAATTAGCTGTAATTTGATTGGATATTTGAGTGTAGAACTGAAGCTGAGGCTTGACATCAAGAGTTACCTGCTTTTGCAACGTGTTCATCCCACTGTTCCCACTGATGGAATGAGTTTTCATACAGACGTAGATGCAGATGCTGGTGTAAGAAATGCATAAGACGATGATCACTGTCACATTGTTGACGGTATGGGGAATACTTGTATACTGAACTGTTATTAGTTTTGATGATATCAGACTGACCTTTTCCTTATCAGAAACGGGCATTCCAACGAAAGGATCGAAGAAAGCGCCGTCATAAATTGAGGTGAAGATGACTGGAGGGGTAAAGATTGCGAAGTAGGAGCCGTAGAGGGTTGGGGCCAACAGCCAGGCGTAGGTTTTCCATCCCTGGAAAAAGTATTCCATCCATTCGGACTTGAGTAAATCGCAACATCGGTTCATCGCCAGGATCATACATGTCATACAGGCGGCGCACCAGAGTCCTAGAATTGGATTTTCCCTCTTTCGAAACTGAGTTACAATGGTCTGCTCCAGTCAAAAAAACCATGGGTCGACGATACATTTGGTTAGGATACCGGGAAGCACCTTATGACAGCCAACTTGGCAAGAGTTCGGTGAAATTTTTGTCGTAATGAGCACAATGATTCGAAAATTTCATCGCCGCCGAAAAAAATGATTTGTGTCGCGGAAAAACCCTTTTAGAACACAAATCCTTACCTGTGGAAATGGCTCCGCTGACATACATAGTAACCGGATAATCGCAGAAAACAGTCCCATGCCAAGCGAAGTACCCGGCCATAATGGAATTAATCGAAATACAAGCCATATCAATGATCCCTGAACAATGTTATGCAATCGCTTCCATCCTACCTAGGAAGAACATGATTTTGTAGCAAGACAGCTTCAAGAACTTGTTCGTTGACATTACACATAGACATGGGAAGTACAGCACTTCGTATGTTACTCCAATGAACATATAAATGGTCCCAATGATCTTGTTGGGATACCCAAATTTGTGCCATTGCTCTGTCGGGAAAAGCGTGCAGTTGTACATGGCATCGTAGCCAACTTTGTCGAAAAGGAACTTCTCCATGAGGCTAAAAACCTAATTACATGTTTGCGACATGAAGTTTGAACGCTCAACTGCAGGTAGCAATGATATTTTAATAACTATGTATTATACAAGCAGGAGAACGATACGACCGTTTTAAATTGGCATGAACAATATAGTCGGGCGTGGTGGTGGAAGGGCAAGTACTCGCGCTAAAAGTTGAGATGATATTTGGAATACATTAGCTTGGGTTGCACTTTGCCGACAAGGGAATTGTTTGACGTACGGCAGGGAGAATTGGGTCGAAATCGGTTCATAATTTAGAACACTCTCTTCTAGGAAAATTGAGAGGCTTCTTCTTTGGCCAAATTTCTTCCTCTTTTCTTGATGTTTTATCAGAAAAATCGTCGAATATCTTGGAAGCGTTTGTAAAAAACAAAGCTTCAGAGTTGATGATGTGCTTAGGCAGTTTACGCATACTAATTTATAAATAATCATGAGCGTGGCACCTCGAGAAATCACCAATTAATAAATAAAGACCAACTAAAAAACAATAGCAAGCCATCAGATGACCTCCGTTTTGTCTCTTTTCGTAGGTCCACAATCTCCTCGGTTAATAACCCTCGGTAAAATGCGACAACAATCATCATGCTACGAACAGAAACCCGTGACATCCGACCGTCTGAAATTTATATTACATACGGTAAAATGAAAGGTTTTTTTCTTTAATCGGCTTTACTCTTTGGAGGATTCGAGAAACCGCCGTCTCCAAGGATTTCTCGACTTTTGATACTCGCTTCAGATTAAAATTGTACATCCGAGAGAAACAATACCTATATCATTGGACTTTATCGCCATTGTGAGCCAGTTTTGCATTGAATTCGGAAGTTATTCGTATTTGTGATGACTTAATCCATCTAACAATAAAATTAAAGTCGTTAAAAAGTGTTTTGATTGTGTAATTTGAAGTTTATTTTATAACCGGGTGAGGACATGTAAATATGTAAGTAAATCCGCCAGAAGAACACCACAAGATACCCGTTTTTGACCATAAATACCATGGCCAAATTGCGGCAAGACGAAAATACAACAATAAAATAGGACTTTGGCTAGTTTTTAAAACAAAAACCACCTAATTATTATAAAATTAGTGAGTTTACAATAAGTCAGCAAGTCGCGCTCAAGATACCACAGTATTAACTACCAGAAAATATCATTGATTTCGGCGAGATTATCGACTTTTATAGGTTTTTGAGCCAATGAATGAGGTCGGCAGACTTAGACGGAGCTAGGGCTGTTGAATCGAGAGAATTGAAAGGCTTAAAATACGATTTGGCAGTTAATAACATAATTAAGAATAGATAGAAAGGAGCGGAATCACTCCTTCCATTTGGACAAGTCAATGCTGGGCAGCTGACTGCAAGGAACCAGGCCATTTTTGGGAGTCACGAAGGCATCTCCGGGAACTTCGTTTATGTTGTCCCCGTTCTCACAGAAGATCTTCGAGAGACGAGTCTTACGGACTTCGGCCAGCTGGGCTGGAGTGAAAACTCCAGGGTTCTCAAAGTAGAATCTGCAAAAAAATAGGGTAAATGTCATAAAGAATATTTTTAAAGTCATAATCTCTATTTATTATCCGAAATTCTCACCTATCTCCATCTCTCGTCCTCCGGAATTGATCTCCAAGAATACAGGCCAAAGTGGACCCAACCAGTCCACCAACAACGGGATCCTCAACCATTGCTCCGACATATAAATCAAGGTCATCTGAATTAAATTATTGGCCTGAAAGGATAAGATTACCTGGTGATTTGAAGTTCTGAGACAACGCTGATCGAATGCTGGGATCCAGGATCTGATCCTTGAGTTCGTCGAAAGACCCTGCCTGAGGCATTCCGCAGAATTTTCTCCATTTATTGTAGGAGGCAATACCATGTTCGCGGCCTCTCATGATGTTGACTGAGCCGAGATCGGTACTGAAATCGATGAATTATTTATTTTTATGCATTAGTCAGCAATTTCCAAAATTTTTTAGACTGGATGGCAATTTTAGTTTTCGATTTTTAATCTCCAACATCCCCTAAAGCAAACAAAATAAAAACAATTTGTTTACCTTCCGAACATGCTCTCCGTGATGGCGGGTGTCATTCGATGAGGTCGTTTGACTTGCGTTGACCACAGCCCTCGGATCACCGGATCCACACCACCCTCGAACAGGATCTTGTTTGATTTGAAGACGCCGTCGCCGAAGTCAAATGGACCGTGGGGAATTGGCTGGCCTCCTTGGTCCAGACGAGGGTATCTCTCCATGATCATACCGTGACCGAAACGATAGGCCGAGGTTGTGAAAACATTGGAGATCGTAGAGTCAACGGATGGGTCATATCCCTTGTATGGGCCGAGGAGTTTGTCCATGGAAGAGCCGAGGATTTTAGGGAGGAATTCACGGTATAAAATGTGCTGAATCTCGGCTCCGACAAGTTTACGGGCTTCTTGGAAGATACGATCTCCACTCCAGGAGGGATTCATTTGTTGGAAGGCACGTGCGATTCTGGAATCATAAAACAATCTCATAGTTTGACCATATCTTTGCTTAAAACGCCACAAATTCTCGCAAGACTCACCTGTTATGTTCTCTGGCAAAGATGATGTGGAAAGAGGACAATCCCAGGAAGAGATTGGCTCTGATATCTCCAGCAACAAACGACGCAGTACATTGAGTTGCACTAGAACATTTGGACTCATCGAACGGCAGGACATTCATATTGTTGAAGTGAGAGAGCTTCAAGAAACCAGTGCGGCCATCACGGAATTTGGGAAGGTCTTTAATTGAGGACCCATAGATTTGAGATCCGTCAACATAAGCGGTGTTCTCATTGAGTTGTTGGCGAGGCGCTGTCTGCCCGGTTCCACAAATTGGAGCAGATCGCGAGATCTTGAGACATTTCTTTTCCTTGAATCTAAAATGGGATAAAATTGTCGTAAAAGTAGGCCTAACTTACGAGAAATTGGTGTCCTTGTCCGAGATCTTCACCGGAATACATTTGCTTGGGATCGGCTCACAAGTTGGGCAATTTGCCGAAGGCTGCAGAGTTGTTCTGGCCATGTCGTGAGACATAAATTGACCCCATTGCATTAACAATGAGTTGAAAGATTCGTGAGTTACGACTTGAGAACTTGAAAGTAAAATTCTTGAGGCATCTCGGACCGAGGGACGGGTTTGACGGATTGAAGCTGAAATTAGTTGCCAAATATGTAGTGCCCATCATAAATGAGACAGGCTGGATAAAAGGAATTTGGCTTACAAACAGGCTCTCCAATTCCATCATCGTATTCCGCGGGCATTAAACGCAGATACGGTCGGAAGGAAGCTCCATGAAGAGAGTTTCTCAGATTGTTACAAGTACCATCCATACTACGGTACATCAAATGGTAACAAAGATTGGCTGTGCATTCGGCGCCGTTCAACTGAAAATAGAGTTTAATAAACTTTGCGCTACTCTCAAAGCTTATTTTCAATCCAAAAAAATTGTAAGTATTCAGAAATGTCATCCTCAGATTGCCCATTTTTTGTAATTTCTCCCGATTCTGAACTTCCCTTACCTGCGGCACACATCCCGTCGAAACACTTCTTGTAATATCTTCCAATGACAACAACTGTCTTCCACTCGTGTCCTCAATGGCATTCACCAAGCCTGAGGCGATCATTTGAGCCGCCGCATTCGATCTGTTATTAGCAATCTGGTCACAACTGGAAGCATGACTAACTCCATTTGCTGTGGAAGATTGGAACTGGCTAGTACTGTCGGTCTCATCGGTGAAAGAAGTAAATGGCTGTGAGGTTTGCCCGGTCGAATGGGAGACTCCCGTTGAAGACTCTTGATTCCTCGTCGTCGTTCGGGTTGAGGTGGAAGTGGATGAAGATAAAGTTGAGGTGGAAGTTGACGTAGAAGATGAGGATGAGGAGGATGAAGGGAATGAGGCCGATGTAGCCGCTGTTGGCGAGGTTTGTGATGCTGAAAATTGGGTTTGAAAAACGTGGAGAGCAATTTAGATGCTGGCTTTGCAAAGGAAATTCTCATTGAAGGAGGCTCAGATAGTGATGAAATTTGGTGTTCGAATTGTGAAGACGTCAGCTCGATAACTCAAATATGTCAAAAATTTAAAATTGCACTGAAGGTCACCAAGATTTTTTAAAAAATTTTTCGAAAAGATTGGGCAACCGACTTTTTAGAACAGATCTCACAAGGAAAGTACTTTTATGGGGGCTCCTACTTTTTGACGGGACATATCTCAAAAAATCAGAAAAAATGTGCTGATCAAGAATATATAGATCTTAGCTGCCCATTTTAGGTTTTTAGGGGTGAAAACTCAGTCGGAAGTTGACTTAAAGTCCTATATGAACCCCTTTTCGCTTAATTTTTTCAAAGGTTTACAATTTTTATTTTGGCTTAAAATGGTGTTTATTGAGTTTCTAAGGCGTAATAAGACAGTCTTGGCCCAAAAATTTATTTTTCCGACCTTCAACTTCAAAAAAGTTGATTCAGCCCAAAAGGGAAATCGAACCCATGCGGCGTCCCCCCCTCTTGATTCCCAGACTGCGGCACTAACCACTCGGCCACACCGCTCTCTTCCGAAGGAAGAGATCGAGTGCCCTTTTTATCGTTTCGAATGTCTGCCTTTTGTAGGGAAATTAAACCAGTTTTTGGGCATTTTCACCCTTAAAAACCTAAAATGGGCAGCTAAGATTTATATATCCTTGATCAGCGCATTTTTTCTGATTTTTTGAGATATGTCCCGTCAAAAAGTAGGAGCCCCCATAAAAGTACTTTCCTTGTCAAATCTTCATAACCCGAAATGTCCGTTTGCTCTGTAAATTGCTAGCTTAAAATTATGTGGTCTCAGTTCCAGGATAAAATTTTCATATTTCAAATTCTTCGGCTTGTCGGTTCCTCCTCACATGCTGACTATTTTTAAAACCGTCTAACAGTTTTTTGTATCTGATTTAATATCAGTGTACTTCCAAAATCTCTTCTCTAGTAATTTCAGCCAGACAAAAGAAGGCACCACCGATGATTCCGCTGATTTCCCGGGCATTGTCTGATCGAATCAACTCTTCTTTCATCTGTTTATTCTGTCACCCTACAGCTGTCCCATCTCTCCGCCACAAAAAGTGTAAGCTCCTTTATTTATGTTTGTTTGCATCTGCTATTTTCGCCCCACCAAACTTCTTATCAATCACCAGCCCTGAGGGGTTTACAACGGTATGGCCTCAGTTTGATCGTAATATTGCGCAATCGAATGTCTGTTCCTGGCCCCGCTTAAAGACTGAATCGCAGCGTTCCGAGGATTGTAAAGTAATGTAAACGAATACCGGGATGTCGTTTGATTGTAACGACGATTTTTGAAGTGAAAGATCAGAAATTCATTTTATGGAATGACGTCAAAGGTCAAAGGTCCTCATAAAATTTCGTAAAGATTGGGGGTGCAATGCGAGTGAGATTGGGAGAAAGCGACGGCCAAAAATCACAATTTTTTTCCACAATATCTTGTCTATTCGGACAATTTTTTTTGTCCTACAGACCTTAAATTTTACACTCCCTTTTAAGGCATAATCGGTGGGCTATCCAAAAATTCTCTTTCCAAAACCAGTAAATCCAAACTTACGCAACGGCACAGGGCAAGTGTTACACGCCAATTGACAGTTGGATGCCATCCATTCAGCATTTGTCCTACATTCCCCAATTGATGCCCAGAATCGACACCATTCATGTTGATCACAGCATCCATTCGAGAGACATTTAAAACTCTGGGTTCGAGGAGGTCGGAGTTGTGAGAGGGCTAGGGCTAAAATATGGACATTGTATCTTCGATAAAACCTTTATAAAATACATATGTTCCGATGTTTCTGATTTTTACTTTTCAAATTTAATCTAAAATTTACGTTGTCTTATCCATCAAAATTTGAAGGTGATGGTTATATTCGGAAGCTTAATTTATCTTAATTAGGAACTTATAAACTTCCAAATTCCGATAAATTAGAAATCACGGTATTTAACGTGATTAGCACCAGCCTCCACGAAATTGGGCGTAAGGCATGTGAAGGAATAAAAAAGTTTTCGTTTCATCGAGTTCAAGGTTAAGAAGACGAACGAAATTCTGCAATAACCAATCGACTTTTGAAGTGAACTTGAGCTGCAAGCCATCCTGATGACTTTCAAGAGGCCACAAACTGCCCGATATGCAAGTTTCATTTATTTGAGAGAATTGCTCAAAAATTTTAATTTTGAAAGAAACTTGGCTAGTATAATATAAGTGATGATTTTAGAGCAAAATACTTATTAGCAGGTATTAAATTTCAATACCTAAAATACGAGTCTGTATTTTATGACTTCAAATCGATTTTTGTACCGTTCAACGTTACTTTTTTGCCTATTTCCGGTTACAATCTTCAGTGTAAACTACTTTTCATGCAGGGAAAGCCTTACGGCAAAACTGGAATTTGCAAAAAATGGCTTCAATTGATTGATAATGTATCTAGCCTCAAGGCGAAATGGGTTTTGCTACTTTTCGGTGAAGTAAAAGTAATTTTTATAAAGTAAAAATCTGAAAATGACCTTAGAACTGCTTTAGAAGGTGTTTGAAGGTCAGTTTTTCAACAACTTTGAGACCATTCGAAGGTAGAAAACGTAAAAATTGGCATTGACTTACGTATTGTTGTACACAAAATTAGGGCCAAAAGGCCGAGACTCGACCTTTGAAAGGGTCGCATGACGAAGTTTAAGGTCTTATATCTCCCACTTCGTTGTTTGGATCCAAATTTACAACAGAGAGGACCACTACTGTCTCGGGGCACAGTATTTTATGGTTTCCGCGGCCTTTTGGGATGCACAACAAAAGTTTGAAGGGCTGGAATAAATTAAAATCGGTTTAAAAAATATATATATTTTGGCTTAACAGTACTCTCACGGCAATTACAATATAAAATCTTTACAAAAATATATGATTTTATGGTTATTACATCGCGAAAAACAAAGGAAATCACGTGTCGTAAAAGCAAATACCGCCTCGGACAGGGGTAAATTATACGAAATACGAAAGGAACATGACCTTCTTTTTGCTTCACAAAATTATTTTTTTATTAAAAAAATTGGCTTCCAAAGTTACTACTAAACACTCGAAAAGAGCAACATCGCAAGTGGATAATTACCCGCAGGGAAAGTCGGGAAGGGGCAATACGAATTGGTTATAAAGTTAAAGGTCGGCGTAAGACCTCAGACTGGTGCAAGTGTAAACAAAAACAATTTTTGAGGATTACTGTAGAATTTTAGTTAAAATTTGAACTAAAATCATTGCTTGCAGAAATTTTATTTTAGAATTTTTGAATTCGCTGGCTAAAAATGTCACAAATGGCTAGCAGAGGCATTGATTGGACTTAAAATTTCTATTGGGTGATTTGAGTTGCAATTCTCGAAGATTACTGTAGTTTCGGCACCATTCATGTTGATCACAGCATAACGGGATGCTTGGATTGCCTTCAAATGTCATCTGGCTGGATGGCTAGGGCACCAATCCAACTCTCGAGCTAGTAACTAGTAATTTCCGGTTGAGTTTTTCATCAGTAAATAATCGCTGACAAATTGGAAAACAAAAACTGAATTAAAACATTTAGAAAGTAGTTCACTAAGTGAAGAGAATTACTAATTACGAAATTAAAAATTAAGCTAACTTTGAAAACAGGTCAGTTGCTGAAATTTGAAAACTTTACAGTGTCGTGAAACAAGTAAAGTAATTTATTAATGTTAAAACATTTGTTTTGGTCCCAAAAATTGTTACCGAAGGATAGAAAACGTATTTTACAAATCTTATCGTATCTGAGTCTTAATAAATTGAAGCCATTCCCCTCGATTTTACCGGTATGTCATATCTTCCATGTTATGATATACCGGCAGTTTGCCTGCGGAAAAACGGAAAGAAAATAGTAATAAAAATTGACGAAAAAGTTTTTTCCCTCCTCTCCTCTCGTTAAGACGTTAAACAGTGCGGTTGACGAATTTATGGTAAGCGAAGTTGAAGTAAATATTCCAGTCCCAACTTGTTCCCCTCCACCAATTTTAAACTCCTTAAACTATTTCAGACTATTTTAACTATTTCCTCAGGCATTAGTCAGGAAAAGTTTGTGAAACCGGTTCGGAATGTTGTTCCGCACTTTGTCCAACTTTTTGGAAACTCTGTAAGATCATCGTATGTTAATAAATAGCAGAGAATAGAGGACGTTTTGAGGCAATCTTTGAAGATTCTTTACATCAGAAACCCAACGCAACAAACCTCTTTTGTTGGGGAACAAAAAAAAGGAGACGTCGCCGATTTCTGCGTAAAGTTCTGGTCAATTTGAAAAAAAAAGAAAACCTTATTTGAAATGGACAAAGGTCACTACAGGGCACTCAAATACGTGGAAAGGAAAAGTAAACAGGAAGAAGGGCATTTTACTCGGTAAGTTTTATGTTCCAAGGTGAAATGTATTGCAAAACGATAACCTATTGCTTGCAAGGAATGTTTCTGAGGATTTGTAGATAAATAACAATAGTTTCTCGATTTAAGGCTCCTAAATAATGATAGCTGAATAAAACTAATTATATAAAGGATCAACTGTTTTACAGGGTCTTTATTCCACACTAAAAGGCAGCTTGGAGCAGAATCTCTAACCCATTGTCCATGACGGACTTTTAAGGCTCGTTCTATCTGATCCATGCACCTCAACCCGTCTACAACAACTTGGTAAACCTACAAATACCCTCCGGATCCTTGAACATTCACCATTACAAGCGATGTTATGTAATGACCTGCTTTATCACCCATCCCATCGCTTGACGTAAGTCCTGACCTTCACGTCTTCTGATGGGATAAACATGATCTCAGGAAAGGGATTCAACCCGCCGCCCTTTGCAAATGCCCTGCGGCTCCTACCTTTTTCTCGTGCGTCGCCTTGACCCCACCGTTCCGCGATTCTGGAGCCACTTAATGATTATGAAACGACTTTCCATCCGCCAAAACTGTTTAAGGTTTCTCGCTTGCGCAAGCCGGACCCCGCCTCTTTCCGAAAAACAGTTTACAAAAAAAAGAGTAAATTCTTTCGGCTGTAAACCCAAATCATAGCCCAATAAGCGTTTTGCGGTCGCTTTTTTGGCGGTTTAAAGACCCGAATAGTAGTATACTACTACTACATGAGGAAATGCTACAAGCCGTAAACAACGACGGCGGTCCGCGACATGCTAATTATGCAGTAATTTATATAGTTACCGGCGAGTTCGGAGGCAAAAATATCAGGTTATGACATGAACTGTAACACTGTAAATATTGTAATGAAAGTAAAAAATGGTTACAAATTAAACCTTGCAGCTAAAAATCCAAAAAAAACAAACATAAAATTAGAATCGTATAAATTTAAGTAAATCCAATTTAAGTTGATTTTAATTTCATTTGAACTGAAAATAATAGCGTTAAGATACAGTAAAATCTGTTTTGTCGTGACCAAACGACCTTAAATGGGCAATTCCGCTGATTAGCAACAAATTCCAAAGTTAAATGGCCTTGCATTGGGAAAACAGGCGTGCAAATTGGGAGATGGTGGAAGAACTGAATAAAAAACCTACCATTTCAAACGTGAACTGATCAAAATAAACACATTCAATTCAGGGGAATAGAGAAGATTTTTAAGGAAACGTTTTTGTAAAATACGCTGAGAAATACATATTTTTGGTTGGTAAGTAGCACACAATGTTGTTATCCCAGCACAATTTTTGTGATTCTATGCTTGCGAATTCACTCAGAAAAAGAAAAAAATCAGCAATAGTTTGAGGCATCTAGGCCGCCAAAAGATGGTAATTTTTCCCAAAAAACATTATGTGAAATAGGAAAAGAAGGGTTTGGGATTACATTTTGTTGCTACAATTTACTTTCGGTCTTCCCATGAATCTCTATCCCGCGATTTTCAAAAAAATATTTTTTTTCGTATTTTTGAAAAACTGGTAAAATTCGCGTTGTCCAGCAAACTTCGTAATCTTCAAATCCCATTGACCGTCGATATTCTTCCCATTTAATTTCACGGAAACCCGACGTCGATGAAAAATAAAAAGCGTCGAACCGAAAGTCAAGGTCAATCCGGAGGCTAGTCCGATGAATTCCCGACCTTTTTAAAGCAACTTCTTGATAGAAATCGCTTTACAATCTGCTTACTTTACTGCCTATTCCCGGAATTTGCAAATAATGCAAACGACAGTAGTCAACTTTGAAATAGTTAAAAATTCTTGACAGCATAACCCGGTTGAAGGACGTGGATTGTAATAAATCTTTTGGGGGCAAAGAGTAAAGCTGTTTAAAACGTTAACTTATAACGAAAAATTGCGAGAAAAACACGGAAAATAGTTTAAAACTCCTGAAAAATCGGGCGTTGTAATGCCTCGAATATGACATGTGATAAGATCTGAAATAGTAGGTGCAATGTTCCTTGGCCACTTACAGTACACCTATGATAAAGGTCAGTAAATAATTAGAGACGAAATGGCTGGATTTTAAAAGGAAGTAATTGATGATATAAACAAATATTATAAGGTGTCCTCTACACATTCAAAGTTCAGATTACAGTAAAGGATCGTGTTGAAAGAGAAACGGGTAAATATAAAATCTTGGGATTGCGAAACGACTGTAAGAGTCTGACCGTTTTGGGATATCTTGGCTTGGCCCTGACAAACTTATTTTATTGAAGTGATCTACAATAATATTTGGCCATTCAAGCTGACTACAATCTTTTGAGTCAGTTTGGTTCAAAAAATAAAAAGCTTTTACAACTTCCTACCCTTCATCGTAAGCTTCATCAGCATTACACTTTAAATACCTTCCCTTCGAAAAACTTGCATCTTTTCACCGAAAGAAAGTCAGCCATTTCAAGATCATTGACCACAAAATCAGATCTGTCACTTTCTTGACTAACCAAAAATCTTTTTTTTTCACTGATCCCCATTAGCTATTCAACTATCGTACTCTCCAACACATAATGCCGCAATGACCGCAGTTCCCTCCTTCCCTCTTTTCTTTTTAATTTGATTACATTTCATTCGCCGCAACTTTCGCTTCAAAACTTTCGCTCCAACAAAAAAAGTCCTTGAGGCAAAGTTCAAAAGAAAAATTTTGCTTTTAACAAGGAGCCCACTCTTATTTACAAAACATTTGCAAACTACAACAGGAGACAATAACCTAATGAAAATCACAAATAAAAACCCCTCCGGTCTTAATAGAAACCCGTCGATACGTAAATATGGGTGAATCTTTCTTTTTTTTCTTCGAAGAGCCGGCGCCTTTCCGGAAAACGAAAATAAAACACATAATAGTAATAGTAATAAAGGTATCCTCGCCTCTCTCTTTTCGCGCTTTCAACAACGTCGATTAGGTTATGTAATTATGAGGAAAAGTGAGAAGAGAAACAGTTTAAAGGTGCGTTTGCAACATGTAATTGGGTGAGAGGACAAGCTCCGCGTTGTCTTTACGACCTGCAGGAACAGCTCGTGGAACGTTGGGTGGAAATATGCTAATATTTGCAGTTTACGAGCGATTTGATGAGCTTACATTGTTTGGAATTACTCGAGATGGGGGAGCCCTGTTCCGGTGAAAGGTCGTAAAACAGTTTGACAGGGGGAATGAGCTGGATTTCGATATCGACTAAGGATTCAATACTATAGTTTATCAGGGAATTTATGTGGGAGTATATTAAGATGCGGCGCCTCGGTTCTGATGGCATTTTGAAAAAATTGGGACGAAATCTTAATTTATGTAATTTAGGTGGTTTTTCTAAAAAAAATGATATTTTTTGAGGTTTAAAATTACTTGAAATTAAGATCTGGCCGTTAGCAGCAAGAATTTAAAAGCTTTTTCCCTCTAACTTGCTATCTTACTTAGTTTTCTGCGGTCTACGGGTAAAACTAAGCATGGCTGCAAACCGGGCCAGCCCGGCCCGGCCCGGCCCGGGCCGCAGGCCCGGGCTTGAATCTCCAAGCTCGGCCCGGGCCCGGGCTTGGAAAATTTGGAAAGCCCGGCCCGGTTCGGCCCGGAAATTTTTTACACTAGGTTGGAAAGAAAGAAAGCGGGAAATGAAGGGAAAATTATGGCAAGTTTTCGCAAAATGTAAAGAAAAATTTACCAAACCCTAGGTACATAAGGTCACTCTACGTTCGCTATCAGCAGTGTGTTCGAAAAAATGAAAAATTCTATCGAAAAAGCATATTTTTTCTTTTTTTCCGGGCAAAACTTAGATTTCAAAAAAACCGGGCCAGCCCGGGCCGGGCCGGGCCTAAAAATCGAAGCCCGGAGTCGGGCCGAGAAATTAGTCGGCCCGGCCCGGGCCGAAAAATTTTGCAAAGCCCGGCCCGGAGCCATGCCTAGGTAAAACTCCTTGAATATAAGTTGTTGTTAGCTGGGAAAAGAAAAATGAAATTCTCAAGTATTAAAAAATTGGTCTATCATTCAAATTTAAAAAAAAACTCAACGTCGTACCTCGATCACTACCGCTTTCACGACTGCTTGGATTATTACCAACAAAGTCAGAAATATCGACAAGACGCACTGATTTCTGCGAATTACTCATTCTTAGGAATTAAAAGCAGCTCATAATCCCCTAAGGCACACTTTTCCTTAAGCCTTTTTTCCGTCTGTAACTTCAATAATTGCCCGTTACCGCACTGTGCGAAAAAAACTTTTCTTCTTTGCACAGTGCAATGGCTAGGAAGAATCATCTTGGAATAAAAATACAAAATAAGGCTATAACACAAGTGATTTATTACCAATAATTGGGTCATCAGCCATGTGATCAGAGTCCCTCGCCATCGCCGAACCTCCACTCCGTGTTCCAGATAAAGTTTTTTCGCAATTTTTTATGTTTGGTGATTACTTTTGGAGGATTTCGACTTTATAAAAACCAGATTCCTCCTCGCTCCCGAACAGCAGCGGGAAAATAAATGTTTGGTCGAGTTAACACTTAATTAACGACAAAAAACTCCTTAAGGGAATGTAATAGACGGCGGCCGAATGCCCCAAATTTTGTCGTAAAGTCATTTCTCGGACCGGTTTTCCGGCTTAACTATGTGGGGTCCAGGGGAGATGGATGGTAAGTTGAACGTCTTAAAACATAAAATACATGAACGTGTTGTAAAAATAAAGCAAAATTATAGTGATGGAAAGTTTACAAGAACAATTTTTGGATCAATTTTTTGCAAATGCTATTCTAAATTTTGTCTTTAAAGCAATGTTGACGAAAACCCCCCTTGGACATAAACCCTTTTCTCCAACGACTTGACGCTTTGGAATTGTTGAAAAAAAGAAAAAGCGAGTCAAATGAGCATGTAAAATGTTGTGAATGAAAGCAGAGAACAACGGTAAATTGAAAGGAAATTTCCGATATACGCCTCACATAATGAATACGGAAGATGGTGGATTTGTATTCTGATGGTGGGATAATGAAGTTTTAAAGATCGGAAATAAAAGCGTTGGGTGGTCGGTAAGAGATGGTAGGGGGTAAAGAGAGTCACTGATCTTGAGGCCTGAGTTATTCCCTACAGAAATGTCAGAGCTCGATTTTACTGTTGACCTCGTAACCCACGATGTGTATTGTCGACACAAAACTTCTTTGACTATACAAAAGACTTCTTTTTCAAACAAAAATGGGCGTTCTCGGATTTGTGAGATGCGATTATGTCAAGGTTACAAGGTAATATTTGAATACAAAAAGTAAAAGCGAATTTTCAGTCGTAAGTTGTCTCAATTTAGGATTACGGATTGATCCGAGAAATTTTACAGAACTGAGAAAATTAAGAAAAAAAAACTCTGTCAACACCTACAAATAAAACCTCAAAATCAATGGCTCCCACCATGACATACACAGATTTTGAAACCCATAATTCGTCAAGTTCAGAGACCCTCCATTAACCCACTTCTGGCTCCTTTCTCCACCTCATTACCCACCACATTTGGACCGTACAATTTTCTCAACGGAAGCCCATAAATCTCGAAGTTCTCGACTTGAAATACGACGGCCGTGTCAATGAATATACAAAAGTTTTATGGTGACATTGCCTTCACTTTTTCTTGTGCTTTGTCCCCGCCGATAACAATAAGAGTAGGGGGAGTAATGTGTTCATGAAGAGAGGGGAACCTGCTCGAGGATCGCTTCAAACCGGAGGCTCTCAATTCTTGTAATTTTTTCCTTAAATCCCGCTGCGAGAGCATAAGGGTATTGTGATGCCTCCGGCGTTACGAAATTAGCAAAAACTCGAGAATAGTTTTGATATGGAAGATGGTGGACATAAAGGCGCCCAGCTACACTAAATGGCACATCGGTTGATTTGAGTGAATAAAAATGCAAATTTTTAACCGAGTCCGAAAAGTGATGATTGCGGTGAATCGAATCGTAACTGAAACTTGGCTCGGCGAAGAATAAATTCAGTTTTAACGCTGTTATGGTTGATTTCATACTACTAGGACAAAAACAAAATTTGTTTGAGCATTTACTTTTAAGCTTTACCATTCATAATGATTTTGTATAAATTTCGGACGTCCTTGAGATAAAGGATAGCAGGCTTGGCATGCCGCTGCATAGACATGTATAAGGTGATAATAAATTACTATAAATGCATATCCAAAATCGGTGGTGTGTGAAATAAAAAAGATTTCTGGCTAAAATACGTCTGCGACGTTACTTTCAGATTTCTGCAATTTAACCGAATTTTCGAAACCCGGTCGACTGAAAAAAATTATTTCGTTTTTCGATTAACCGGGTTCCCATTCCACCGCGATTTAAACCGCTATTGATAGCTAACCGTAACCGAGATTTTGCCCACCACTGATGTGTAGTAAGTATTGCAGGAGGAATCAACAAGGGGTGTCTCAACCTCAGATTTTTTAAAAATTTTTCACACATTGTGTGGCAATTAAAAGAGGACGCCATAATTAAATATATTCGCCGGTTTATTATGCTGAAATAGTTCAACTTGTCAATTGATAAGTAATAGTAACAAAAATTGATATGATAACTTGACCTTTCAGTAGCTCAGTCATTCAAAGGGCAGTTCCTCTTCATGTGAGCGCGTTTTGCAAGCGCTCAGGTAGAGAGAGGAGTCAAATTCTCCGACCTCAGGGAGCACATGTTGGCACTTTTTGATGCACTGAAAATATAAAAATATTTAGAAGGTTTTGAATCCGATCGTATGATTTGGGAACTTCCGTTTCCCTTTTCCGTTGTAAACAAAATTTTCGAACGCAAAGATTAGGCTTTTTCACCAATTGAAAAGTAATGGTATGTGATACCGTATCCCAAGGCCATTGATTTCTGTAGATTTCCGGAAAAAAATTTCCGTAAAATTTCAAAAATTTGGATTTACATCTGCGCCGCAAAACGTGGTACCTATGTGTACATGCATAATATCATAGTATGTATATGGACAACTTCTGAGCCGGACTGTAACGGGACAGCTAGATACCCGTTTTAAATCCAGCTTCTTACCGCTTATATTTTTCACTCTACGGAAGATTAGAAATTTTTATACTAGGCTTGCCAAAAAATCTTGACATTTTTTGTGCACCGTGCGGGTGCATGAATTCGGTGTTGCGACGAGGTGTCGCGCGATAAAAATTTGGCGGGGTGCAAATGAAGAGCGCACTGTGCGTTGTTTACCCTTTTCAAAACAATCTTTTTTGCACTGTGCGGGGTCGCAGTGCACCGTGAATTTTGTTTGTCGCCGCGCGACAAATTGTTCGCACTGTGCAGACATGTCAAAACTTTTTGGCCTACCCAATATTCTTGTCATAGAAACCGAAATCCATACCGTATTCGATCTCCCTATTTCGCAGAACTTTAGGCGATGCAATCGTTCGTCCAGTTGCAGAGACGGCGTCATCTCGACTTCAACGCATTTCGCATGACAATTGGAGCCATGCTGGTATACGGAGTCACAACATGAGAGGGCTGAAATAAAGTTTCGGTTTAAATATTCTCGGTCAAACACAAAAGACGGAACAAAAAGAGAAGGGAATGGTACTGAACTTACATTGGTTCAGTGGTCTCTCAGAGACGATTCGGCGGAAGCAGCTGACTACTCGCTTGTTCTCATTGGGGTCCGAGGAACATTGAATGGGCTTGTAATTTATGATCGCATTTTTGCAGCACTGCACATTACCGTATGGGCAGCAAACGTCGGAAGCCTCCAAGAGGTCATTTGAGTAGGCTGAAACTATTTTTTTAATAAAGATTAATAGCATTACATATACCTCAAAAGTACTGTGTGTTGCACAAACACTTCGGTTGCTAATCTACCGTTCTTCAAATCTTAAAAAATTTCAAAAGAGGAGGCTACCACTAAATTATGTAATTTTCTTGGCAGAAGGATTTAGTTTCTGTTATTTCAATTAGCCCATAATATGCACCACAATCAACAAGCCCCGTGATCTAGCCGACATGCATACAGGACAGACTTACTTGGCATCGCCGTCACTACCGTAGCCAAAACAGGCCAGACCCAAATCGAACCGCAACGGAGAAGCTTCATTTTGGCAACTGATCAAATCAAATCGTCCTACCGTCAGGCCGGGTTGATCTGAATTGGGGCTTTGATGGGCAGCCATTAGGTACGGGGTGTGGTCTTGGACACAGTCGTCTGATGCGGGTAAACTGCCTTTGTTAGTTTTTCATTGCCGTTCTTCGGTAGACATCCCATGGCGGTTGAAAATAAGAGCATACTGTATCCTTGTCCTTTGTGTGTCGACCTCTGCCTTTACCGTTTTCTAATTGTAAGATTCTTGCTTAAAATTTTGCATGCGGTTTTTTGACTAACCACTTATGAATCCTTGAAATTTTTAACGCGAAAGATAACTTTTTTTCTATCAAAAATTTCAATTCTCAACGGTTCCTGGAAACCGTTAGTGGGAGTCTCCAGAAATTTATATTCTATAGTAAACATGAGCCAACTTTTATCCTATTCTGTTGGCCCCACGTCAAATGCTTCCTTATTTAGTTTCATATTTTATTTACTTACAAAATATTATTGTACAGGATATGTGACATAAACAATTATTAAAAAAGAAATCACATTTGTTCACCGTGCTTGAGATTTGAAAGACATTGAAGGGAAAGAAAGACTGCAATCGATGGCTATGGACATAAATCGAGTTGATCACGGATCAACATTAATGGCACTGACATTATTTACAATATGAGCTAGAAGAAAGGACCCGAGAAGGGAAGGACAAGATGTTTAGAGCACTGAGAGATCCTCCTTCCATGCGGTACGGTAGTTGGGACCATCGACAAGTTCACAGTCGAGTAACTGAGATGGTTCTTTCACTTGGTCGAAGGCTTTTCGAGGGACTGATTTCATGCCATCCGAGGAATCACAGAGTACGCGGGCCATAGTCACTCTGCGGATCTGTTTGATTTGATCGGGTCGAAGAATTTGCTCGTTTTCCCAAAAGAATCTGGAAATGGAGAGAATTACAAAGATGTTAAGGCGATGTTAAAATTTCTGACAGGAGCTGACAAAGACGGCTCAGAAAATAGTCAACTTACCGATCTCCATCCCTCAAATTCTTGAACTGCTTCCCGATCACGCATCCCAGAGTGGGGCCAACTAATGAATCGGGCATTGGGTCTTCAAGCAATGAACCCACGTACATATCAATCAGCTTTACATCCTTGTACAAGGTCTCCAAGTTGGAACGAACGACTGAATTGGAGATTGTTGTGTTCAAGTCATCGAATGAGTTCACTTCCGGCATTCCACAGAACTTTCTCCATTCAACATAGCCAGGAATACCGTGATCTCGACCTCTTTGAATATTGATCGAGCCCAAATCAGAATTTCCAAAGATTCTCTCGGTCACGGCGGGAGTCAGACGTTGAGGCATTTTGGATGGGAGAGTCATCAAGCCTGATATACATTTAAAGTTTTGCGTTTCACTCACCTCTCACAAGTGGATCAATTCCATGATTGATAATATGGATACTTTTGAACATGCCCTCGTTGAAAGGGATCCCTCCAACTTGGTCGTAAGTCTCGTCGAGGAAGGGATAGAACTCTTGAATCATCCCATGCCCAAATCTGAAGGCGCATCCAGTAAATTCATTGTTGATTTCCGGGGTAGCCTTTGGATTATAGCCCTCGTACTTGCCCACCAACTTCTTGAATCCTTGTTTCCCAAGAACTCTGGGCAAGTACTCATCGTAAGTGATCTTCTGAATCAACGCCGAGATGATTCTTCTGGTCTCGTGGAAGATTCTGTCCTGATCCCAATGCTCATTGAGGTCTTGCAGCACCGTTGCAACTCGATTATGCTCTCTGACCCAAAGCGTATGAAGAGCAGCAAGGCCCACAAAAATGTTGGCACGATCATCTCCGGCGATCACATTTTGGGCTCCATCCACTGGAGGGAAGACCCGGCCCTTGATGATGTTCGTTTTCATGAATCCACCTTGACGGAAGAGGAACTGATCTCGATTCGAAGAGCCATAGACAGCTGAGCCGTCAATGAAAGCGGTGTTCTCGTTGTATTGCTCACGGAAACGATCTTGGCCGGTGCCACAAACTGGCGTGGAACGAGCCACCGGGAGGCATTGGAAACGGCCGAAGCTAAAAGAAACAATAAACTTGCTATGAAATGCGCTTATGGCAGATCATGTAAAGCCGCCTTACGTTGGATCAAAACGACTCAACAAAACAGAGAAGCATCGGCCGCCCTGAGGAGTGCATGAGGCGCACTCCTGGTTGTTCAACATGGTGGTCTTGGCCATATCATGGGCCATGAATTGCCCCCATTGCATTAGAAGGGCGTTTGACTTTCCGTTGATCTCAGCGCTAGATGACAGCATCAATCTAGATGCCTCTCGAGCTGTGGGTCGAAGTCGGTTGAGGGAGGCTAAAATCGATTTGAAAATATTTTTTTCCTTGTCCTTTTTCGGTTTTAATTTAAATTCAGTTATATTTTCTAGGCCTTGTCAAACTCTTTTCCCATAACTTTTCTGACCCCCGACTTACAGACGGGCGCTGACACCTCGTCGTCGTAGATGGGGTCCTTGAAACGCCTCAATGGCCTGAACGCGGCGCCTTTCATTGGCTCTTCCAGATTGTTACAGGACCCATCAAAGGACCGGAAACGCAGATGGAAACAAAGATTTCTTTTACAGTTCGTGGGGCCCAGCTCCGGAACACACCCGAAGTTGGCGTTGCTCGAACGGACATCATTAATCGAAAGGGCCCGTCTAAAAGTCGTGTCTGAAATGAGAAAACATTTAAAATACAGTATTGTTGCTGACGGCAAAATAAAAAAAAAGTTGCATTTTGCGTACCCTCGTTGGTGGCGATGAAAGTGCAATCCTCTTTTTCGAACTCCCCATTCCGAGTGTTGATGACGTCTCCTTTACAGGATTTACAGGCCTTTGAGCAGTGAACCAACATCCAAACTTTGTTGCTCTCGCATTCATTCATGGATGCCCAGAATGAGCAGAGACGGTGTCGGTCGATGCAGATGGTTGAGCCTTAAACTTTATGAAATTATTTCTAGACATTTCTGCCTTTAATTTTGAATAGATTAAATCAATATCCGACGGTTCTCCGTCGTGTTTCGAATATTTATTTCCTTCCTATTCTTACACTATGTGTCTATCAAAATTACAATCCCTTACCATTGCACTTATCGCAGGAGATCTTGCAATTGGTCGACATCCAATCCTTGTTCGATTCGCACTCTCCAATCGACGACCAGAACTTGCAGAGGTCGTGTTTGTCAGCACAAACCCCCGGAGCCTCGGTTGTTTTGATAAAACCCTTTTCCCTCTCCTCATTGGATGGCTGAGTTGAGGACTCCTCGGATGACGAGCTTCCACCGGTCGTGGTCTTAATGGTCGTAGTCGTCCTTTTTGTCGTTGTGGTAGTTGTCGTTGCCTTGGTAGTTGTTGTAGGTTGTACAGTTGTGGATTGCACAACAACTGTCGACTCTTCTTCACTGATTGATTCGCTTTCACTTTCACTTATTGCCTTGAATGGAAGAGGTGTGGCATCGGCGGTAAACTCTTCCTCCAGGTCATTTGAGTCAGCGAGAACTGAAATTTAGGTTTTAAAATGCTTTTAACGCTTCTGTGCTACAGCTATTCAGATTTCTTTAGCTCATGGTTTGCAGTACACTTCTAATAATAAATCAAAAAATTTATTGCGAGAGTGAACGTAAAATAAGTTCTGACTATAGCTCAGTAGGTTTTTCCATAAGTTTATTTGACAAAAATACCTAGAAGCCCCGGCGATAATTTCAAAATTTGTCATGTTTGACCTTCCGCAAACCCGCTGAAGGAAACCCGTTCCCGCGAGAAAACCTCAATCCTCTTTTCGACCTTATCGCGAAACCCCAAGGAGAAAGCGAGTTTTACACGAGAGAAATTAATTTGACGATTACATCTGGAAGGGATTTACACTTCACTGACTTTATGGTTGTTTTTACAATCCACGACGTAATCGTAAAAAAAAGAATGAATGTCAGATCTGGGATTAGGATGGTAAAAACTTGTAAACCAAACTGCACCGTGAGAAAGGAATGTTAAAATTGGTTTAAAAATCAAAATTAGGAACTTACCAGCTGCTGACAGGAATAGTAAAATCCCTGCGGATATTAGGGGCGCCCACCGTAACCTGGGCATCTTGGCCTAAAAACGAAATGGAAAAAAGATGACAATGAATCTCGGAACGGTCACGAATAAGGCTGCGATTAATTTAAAAAATCGTGGAGGAACAAACAAAACTTCCAAAAAGCTTTCTACAACGACCTCGAGTAAAAGCAATCAGCCTATGACAAATGCAATAAAACCCCTGAACAACGAACTCTAACGCAACAAAATTGTTTGCATACACAATTACAGGGGGCTGAAAGGTCAACTTTAGGCAAAAATAAAACCTCCGTACAACGCAACCCGTATACGATAAATAATTTTTGTTATCCTATTCGTTGTACACATGGTTAAATGTACGCATATGGCTCACCTTCAGATTAAGAGATGGTGTTACCTTTACATTACAAAGCTTTTTTTTGGGCAACCTTGTTGTACAGGGTTTACTTTAGGTTTTATTCTTGGCCCTCTTCTAATCCTCTCCCCCTATTTCCACGGAGATAACTCGGCATTAAGAGTAAAGTTCAAGGTAAAATTCTCAGCGATTGACGTCATGCCCGTGGAGGTTATTTTTCCAAAAATTTTGATCAAAGAGTCGCTATATCTTGACTTTTCTGTGCCCCGAATGCTGAAGCACCCTTGGCCAAGACCTCCTCCTTTCCATTTCTAACCAAGCCCCAAACTCAAATTGGAGTTTCGGGAAGAGCTGCAGAACATGTTAACAGGACCCCCTCAACGGTTGATAATGACCGAAACAATACATTGCGCGACAATAAACCTCCGCCGAGCCTCCAATTAACCTTTCACCTTTAATTGAATGGACAAAAAGTTTTGGGTGGGAACAAAAAAACGGGAAAAAGAATGGAAATTCGAAAAATGTCGAGAACAAGAGTCGAAAAAGGAAACCGCCGGTTGATTTGCGAAATTCCCGAGTTCAACTCCGCCCACAGAGTGAAATTCGACGTTATTTTTACATAACAATAAGTAGTGATTGCGGGTTGATGGATGGACCGAGGAGCTACAAACGTTCGGATTCCGAAGAATGGGAAAAATGATCGGGATTCGCGGAACGAGAAGGAGGTGTCAAGAATTTGGAAAACATTCAACATATTTGAAACACACAACAAATTCCTGTACACACATTACACATGCGAATTTTGACGCACATAACAAAATCATGTACATACGTTATACTATCTATGTATATACGTATTTTGAGTCTTTGGTGGAGATAGAAAAAAAAATGAAGTCTAGCTCAAGAACATCGGGCTCAACCCACAACAGGGCTCTTAGAATTCAGGAAAAATATCAAACATTTTTTGTCCAAGTTACTTTAGTATGTGTAGTTCTGCAAATAAGAGGATTTAAGCTGGTTCTACGTTATAAACAAGGCGTAAGGTATCTACAGTCATACCATTGTACAACAAACCGCAAAGGACCATGAACATATTCGTTATATAATATAATAGCAGGGCTCTATTGCACAGAACTATTATATGTACTACCGTGTGGGCTCGAACTGATCTGGGAGCTGTAAAATTTTTTTGTTACAGACAGTTTTTATTTTTCTGCAGTTTGATGTACAAAGGATCGACCATGGATGCAGAAGCCAAAGAAATCACCTTGTGTTCTCATCAGTATCTCAACTCGCTCTCCTTTTCTCCGCATGCTTATCACACCGCAATCAAATCTTATCGCTGAACTTCTCACCCCGCCGACGCCTTCGCGCTTACGCGGTGACTTCCTTAATCGAATTATGGAGTCAATAAAATCTTGCGAGAGTCATCAAACCCTCAAACAAAACTTTCAACGCCGACCTTGAAGGGGGGATTAAAAACAATTAAACCGCCAATTGCGCGGGTCACACCGATAAGAACCGTTTTTCATAAACCAGCTTAAAAATAAAAAGTGAAACAGACACATCCGTCTAATAACTGTCACGGGGGGTTTGGGCGACGACTGGAACATTAACCGAATGAGGAAGATCGGGAGCTGTTATGCAAGGCGAAGATCGGAGTCGCAACGAGTTATCCGAAATCGGAAAACACATTCACACATTTAGATTCGCTGTAAATGCGGTTTTCAACGAGGCGAGATGCCGATAAAGAGTTCTGTTGGAGGGTTGTGGCCCTTCCCTTTTCTGTTGGAAGGTTGTGGCTAAAAATTATGCAAGAGTCTACCGCCGATTCTCTGCGGCGGCCGAGACAGTCGAAGGAGGGTTGTCATTCTCATTTTTTACTGATTACTGAACCAAACAATGATCCCTCGACATGTCGGAAGCATGATTCTGCAATTAAAGAGTCGCGGCAAACACTCAGGGTAAGCCAGAAGAGGACAAAGAAAATGATAAAAACGTAAACAAAATCATAGCAAATTTGTTTTTTTAATGTCTTTTTCGAAAAATGGCGATCTGTCTTTCTCGTGCGTGGTCTTACAGAATCCTGACCCAATAAGCCCAAAAATTGTCCAACTTCGCTTACACGAAAAAACAAATCCGAGAGAAAGAAATTGTTAAGCTTCACGCCAACTTCCCTGAACCGAGCTCAGCTCTCTAAACTACAGTAGTGTCCGGCGACTGTTCTGCTCGCGGATATCCCGCCGAATCCGGAAGAGCCGCCTAATTAAGCGACCACTTTGCTTAATTAGCATACCATTTACCGCCATGCCCATAAATCACCGCGCTCTCCCTCCCCATTCATCCGCAATCATTCCGCAAGAAGATAAATGAGTGTAAATCCTGTTTGAAATATTTTGAAAAACTCCTCTGCACTCTCAACTCATCCCCATGCCCTCGGGGTTTTGCACTTTTTTGGGGGTAAATTGACATTCGAAAAACTTGAAATCTGAACCGTTTGACGGAGAAGAAGTTGGCGCATTTTTTGGGGAAGGGCGGATTTACACTGGTTCGGATGTTTGGCGGGAGATTATCCGACATTCCTCGAGGAGTTCAGGGCTGAGGCTATGATGGATTGGCTAAGGTGGGGAGGTAAATAAAACAATGAAAAGTTTAAAGCGTTATCGATAAAACAAAAATCTTATCCGAAAGAAAAGGTAACCATTTGTCATCCCAGCGCCGCGGCCCCAAAAAAATCAAGAATTATTAAAATTGATTGCAAATTTAAACAAATATCTGCTAAAAACGGCTAATGAGGGGAATTAAGTATGTGTTTTGTTGCTCGCCTCACCACCACATTAAAAACATGACCGCAGAAAACTTGAAACGAACAAAGCGACGGCTTTTAACAATTCCGACATTTTTTGGAGGCGAACAACTTTGAAGACAATCAAAAGCTTCCGAAGTCGCATCTGGCCAAAGTTTGGGTGGCCCCTTTTGACTCGTGATCGTTGCACAAAAGAAACAATTTTGCCCAATACTTTGAACGGCGTTTCCAAAATTTGATGCCAACATTCCCGGTAGATTTACACGATGCTATAAAAAACACCAAAGAAATTTCCGCTAAGATCGAAACGTGAACGTAGCTCCTCTTTCCTACTAATTTCCTCCTCCCAAATCTCGTAACAAGAACATCTCCAAAAACTGTGTTACGCCGACAGACATCCTTCTCAGATTAAGTTCAAAATTAGCCTCGGTAGACGAGCTTCTGGGGGATCAAAAATCAAACAAATCGCCTCAATTTTAAGTCCGGGTCATCTAAACTTTTCTTAAGATGCAAATATAACAGTGCTACATCTCAAACACCAATTCCGAAAAGAACTCGGACAAAAGGAACTGTTTGGATTATTAGACTCTTAGTCCGAAGATAAAAACGAATTCCGCCCAAACACATACACTTATAAATAGCATAACAAAACAGTCATTAATTGTTCTAATAAACCGGGCGAAAGTCAAAAGGGTAATCTTCTTCAGTAGCTTCCCAGGAAGAATATGGTCATTCAATCGCCTGAAGGGAAAACTCGCAAAAACCGGATCGGAAGCGTGCGCTTCTTCTTCGAGTTTTATAACACGGATCGGACAAGATAAAAAAAAAGGAAAGGTTCATAACTACTACATAAGCAGAAACAAGTGCCCGCTTACATGCACATTGCATCATCCGTTTTGTGAGGGATGGGTCATTGAGAGGGATGGGAAGAAAATAAACATTGAATGAAAGGAAGAAATGGTAATATGGAGGTGCTCAAAGTATCAACTTTTGTGCCTTATTGGCAAGAAGACTCTTTCCGGACTGTGTGTCGACTGCTGATTTCTAGAGATGACACAAGGTTCAGCAGGTCAAAAAATACAAAAAAAAAGGAATCTCCCAATTGTATGGATCGCTCATTTTGCGCAGACTAATTGTAATCATCTACAGAATGGACAGTTAAAGTATTGTATTGAAAACATAATCGGGATTGGTTGCAAAATGATCTAGTTGAGATTTGAAAATCAATGTAGTCCTTTGACTAGCCATGTATGTAAATTTTTAGTTTCCTGTCCAATTCCTGGCATGTCGTTTTCAGATTTTATGGCCATCCCAACTATATATTTGGCCAGCCTTTTGTACAGTTAGGTAGGCAACTTACGAACCATAAATTCGATTGGACTGAACTAAACTGCCATCCTTGTACATATTCAGTCAAAATAAAAATTTCCATCAAGTCCTGAGTTAAAGGACCCCACCAACTACATTTGAATCGAGTTTTTACGGCTTGGAGGTGCGCCTCGCCAAAAGTTGCGAAAATCCCGCGAAAAAAATAAATACAAAAAATAATCGAGAATTTTTCTCGAAAATACAAAATTGAAGAAAGTTTGAGCTAGTTCATGTTCCAAAGTTGCTGAAAACGCTTCTTGTTCACGTGGATCCTGCCGACACTCATTCGGATGCTCTTGGGGAAAGTCTCATGTAAGTTTTTCTTGGTTTTTGCTTGGTTTTTCACGTTTAGGTAGTAGTGAAGGATCATGTACAATATTTATGCGGTTCTTCCAAAAAGCAGCACATGAGCAGCCTTGAGGAGCAAGTGTTGGACTCAAGGCTCGTGTTGTGTCCATGTTCTTGCTTGTTCGGGCTGTTTTTGCCCATTTAGAGGTGTTTTATATGTTGTTTTAGTCAAGCTTTCAATTTCAGAGTTGTTCAATCGCCTGGAACACGATCCATGGAGATGAAGTAACCAGCGTGTCGACATGCATCTGTAATTATATCTAAATATGTTTCAAAATGAATATAATTAATCTTGTAATATATCTTTTATTACATAATACATCAATAAAACATATTAATCGTGAAGTTTTTGTTCAATATGCTGGTGTACAACCCGTCGTTTCCCTCGCAGAGCCATTGATTCGCGAAGACAAGTCCCAGTCTGAAACTAAATGCATAGGGGCTGAGAAATTACGTACCGAAAATTTTAGCAAAAAAGTAAATAACACATTATCTTACATGAATATCCCATAGATAACGTCCCTGACTCGAATCTTGTTGCCAAGGAATTTGAATGAAGAGAATTCTTCTTCATGCATCGCGTTCTCGGCGATTGAACAACTCTGAAATTGAAAGACTTGACTAAAATAATATAAAATATCTCTAAATGGGCAAACACAGCAATAACAAGGCAAGAAAATGGAATACACACAAGCCTTGAGTCCAAAACTTGCTCCTCAACATTTCGTTCGAGCCGTTTTTCAAAAGAAAAGCCGAAATATTGTGCAAGATACTTCACTCCTACCTAAACGTGAAAAACCATGCAAAACCCAAGAAAAACTTACATGAGACTTTCCCCAAGAGCATCCGAATGAGTGTCGGCAGGATCCACGTGAACAAGAAGCGTTTTCAGCAACTTTGGAACATGAACTAGCTCAAACTTTCTTCAATTTTGTATTTTCGAGAAAAATTCTCGATTATTTTTTGTATTTATTTTTTTCGCGGGATTTTCGCAACTTTTGGCGAGGCGCACCTCCAAGCCGTAAAAACTCGATTCAAATGTAGTTGGTGGGGTCCTTTAATAAACCCTCCACAAAGTTATCCAGCAGAAGCACCGAGTCATCATTTCCCCCACAGCTCCTTCCATCATATTATACAATAACGTCGAAATTTGATTAAATTTAATACCCTGCAAACAAAAGAATCACGCAAAAACGACCGAGGAAAATACGAAAAGGGAGTTTTTCGTTCCAGAAATTCGAACATTTCCCTCCGTTTACAGGTATCGGCTCGTTTTCACGTCGTAAAATTCGAATTGAAATCCCAAATGAGTAAAAGTTGCAAAGAATGACTGACAATGGAAACGAGGGGAGCGAGTTCTGTTCAGGGGCTCTTGTTTTCTGATCTTTCAGCGGAATTAATTACGATTAGAGCCCGTGGGTTATTTACGAACGTATATGGGTTACCAGGCGAGGAACGGAGAGGACTCACGCCCTAAAGAAACGATTGAACTTTTGATTGTTTCATGGAGAAAGATGACGGAAACAGGCTAGCTCGTTCATATTTTACTATAAGTTTCTAGTGACGTAAAAATAATGATTGAGTTCAGCTTGGCCCGGGATAACAATGGAACTTTTTAGGATCCATTATAAATGCAATTTAATATTAGGTTGGGACGAAAGTTTTCCCCTTAATTTTCGGGAAAAGTTATGGAAGTTGTGGAACTTCCTGGAAAGTTCTATCATGTGACTATGTAAGGGTGACTTGATAGCATATAGACTGATATGTAACTTGTCCCCATAGCGCTCTCCAAACGTGGAAAAATTTCCGTCCCAAAGTTGCTGTTTCGATACGTCAAATTTTAAAACTATCGCAGAATACCAAAACCCATGGAAGATATAACCGAAGTCTAGGATGTTATAGGCAAGGACGTCCTCTTTTATGGTGTGGCCAAGTATTGGTTCCAGAGGTTCAAAAAAGGAGTTAGACGACCAAGTTCTGGCGGCCATCTGAGATAGATGATGACGCCCTAAAAGGCTTAATCGTGAGCTATCCCAAATTGCCATTACGTGAACTTGGAGAGCCCTTTGGGTTCTCCCATACTACCATACCGCCGCACGCTGACTTGGCGGACCAATATCATTACAGGGAACCAGAAATGGGTGATGTATATAAACCATACCCGCAAGCTTCAGTAGCTTGAACCCGACCATCACAGTGAACCAACCCCAAAACCAAAATTCACCCAAAAAAAGTTATGTTGTGCGATTGGTGGACTTGTATGGGAAGTATTTATTAGGAATGGCTCCCTGATGGTAAAACTGTCACTAAATAACATTATTATCGCCAGTTGGACCGCGTCGCCGAAAATGCTAGATAAAAGTGGAACAAATGTTCCTCCTTCACGACAACGCCTGCTACCACATTGCAAAAATCGCGCGCAAAAAATTCAGGGAGAATGCATGGACTTTGCTGCCCTACCCACACTACACCCCAGCCTTGGCACCTTCTGATTACCATTTGATCAGATCGCTAAGCTACCGTTTGCGAGATGTGCGGTTCGATTGTTTGGGGGACCTCAAAACAGGTCTTTCTGACATTTTTTATTATAAATACCCCAGTTTTTAAGCTCGCCAATTGAATCCTTGTCGGAACGTTGGCAATACGTAGTGGATACCGACGGTGGATGTTATGTTTGGTTTCCCGTTACAACTGTCAAAATAAATTTGTTTGGAAAAAAACAAGGAAAAGGGGAAAACTTTCGTCCCAACCTAATATTTACAAGAACAAGAGTAGAATTGAAATTAGAAATTGCTGAATAGTTAGAAAAAAATTTGACAAAAGAGGTATAAAAAACGGGGTTTTCTCTAGCCGTCTTTCTCCATTCCCTGCAGTATCTCAATTGTTTAAAAGCGGGTACTTTGAGGGACTTTGGAAAGCACAAACTGAAATTTCTCCGGAACTTTACAAAAAACGCCACTTCAAAAGCAGTACGGTGGAACCTGACTACTGAAATCCGTCTTATAATAAATTTACCTGGTTGTCAAACGGCCTCTCTAATTTTGGGTGTGGTACCGCTGCAATCGGGTCACAATTTGCTGAATTGGTGAGGTTCTTTCAATTAAAACAAATGAAACTCCTGAAACAATGGATCGTATAAAAAGTTGCGCAACCTAAAAGAGGATCGACTTCTCGTCTAGGGATCTTATTGATGACATTAATTGGAACATTTTTGAGGCAATAAATTACCATAATATGTAATTTATTGCCTTATATTATAATCGTTTATTAAAAGCATTTTTTTAGTCGAAAACAAGTTTCTTTGGGATAAAAAACAATAAAATTTACTCTTTTTCTTAAATGGTAATTACAATAATTACATAGCAGAGAAAGTTACAGTAGCTTCAAGGGGAAGAAAAATCAAAGATGGAAATTTATTTTAACACTTCCTCTGAACACTTAATTATAATATTTTTAAAAACTGGTGAGGTTTGATATGTGTATGTAATATGTACATATACAACAGCCAAACCTCTGAATATTTATCATAAAATGGCATAGCTTTACGAACGTTAACGTATATTTGGTTTATCCTGGTCCAAGCAACTGGTTTGTAATCGACAGTTTTGTAGTGCGGGAGTTTGTTGTGCACAGGGTCTACTTTATGTTGTTTTAGGACACTCCATGCTTACAACTGCGGCCAAATGTTTGAGAAACCGGATTAATCAAACGGACTATGAGATCTCATCGAAAGAGTGTTGCAAACACGCCAAATATCTTGATTTTCTTGTGTTCTACATGCAGACACAATCTTTCAATTTTTGAATTTTTATTCTCTTTATCCCATAAAAATTTAAATTGGGACCGTCTCAATTTACAAATGTCCGAGCTACAATACATCTTTGGTGAGATTATACCAAGCGCATTTCTTTTTACAGACATCATAACCGGACTGCGTCCGGTTTTCGGAAATTATAGTCAAGGGACTGCGCCGTGCCTGCCTTTTACCAGGTCTGGCTTCGTGATCGAGGAAAACGGTAGCTCTGGCGGTTTGTCTAAAATCAAGGCGTTCCCCTCGTTGCCCTTTCCATAAAAATGCAAATTCATCAACATTTAAACAGCCAAATCGTCCCTCGTTTTGGTAGACCTGTCTACAACGATGTACCGCCGTTTTTTTGTTATTCTTCTCGTGTTCTTGCTAGTATCGCCGTCCCAACAAAACGGCCTTCATGATGACTGTGTTCTCTTAATTAATACTGTGGGTAAAAGACTATGGGACTTTAGTCGCGAAGGATTTACTAAATGGGCCAAGGGAAAAATCAAGAAGTTTGAAGAACTCGTAAGTAAAAATTCGTAACACGAGCAGTCCGTGAGTTTTTAGCATCACCCATGCACCTCGGAGATAGCAAAATGTCTCAGAAAACAACTTGGAAACAACTCGACATACGTGATTACTGCCGACGGATGTTGCAATGATTGTTCGAACAACTGAATCTGCTCTAAGATCAACTTATCCTATCAAAACGCACATTTTTTGGTATTTTAAAAAACGATGCAAGAAGATTACTATCGACATAATTTTTTTTCTTACTAGGACTTTAAAAATAATCACAAAATAGAGTTGTTAATTTGACAGAATTTTCCGTGTAACTATATTTTTACTTACTAAAGAAAAGTTTTAATAACCGGCAAGGCAAAGAACGATAGCATTCAGCTAATCGATGTGACCGCAAAAGAATTTTGGAAATTGATGAAACCCGACCGTCGCTCATTGGCTTCCTGACGCCCAGCTAAGATACCAAAAAAATTTTTTTTTCATGAGAAAGAAGAAGATGGGCAATTTTTTGCCCAAAAAAAAATTTCTCGGGCAAAGCGGAAGGTAGTGTATAACACCACGCGATTACATCTGCCATGTGTTGCAATGACTGTTAAAGGATACATTAAGCTATTGTAAGATCACGTTTACGATCCAACACCTTCTTGATTTGACTGTTTAACGATGGTGCCTTTTTTTATCCATATAAGTATGTAAAACACCTCATCAAAGCATCATTTCTCACATCACAGTCCCATTTTCTTGATGGAAGGTCGTGCTTTGTTTTTCATTGTATTCATATGTCTGCTATCTACCACAATCCAGTGCGCAGATAGCAAAGGCACGACGAAGGATTCCTGCGTTCAAATTAATGCCACTTATAAGTACCAATGGGGACTGAATCGTACTGTCACCATAGGACTTATCAAAAACGGTATAAAAAACTTAGATCGGGTAAAGAGAATACTGTGTTGATAATTGCGATATTTTAGGGTCTCGAAGACCCATGCCTTGATACCGTTATTGCCTGCTTGAAAAAACAAGTTTCCAGTCCGGCGGCGTTTATCTTGACTCCGGAAGAATGTTGCAAGAACTGCAGCGATAAAATATAATATTGTTCCTTTTTCCTGCTTTGTAATACAATTATTGAAAGAACAAAGATTATAACATTGCAAACATAGACTATTCTGTTGCGATATTTGTGTCTTACAAAACAAAAGTGTCACGGCTACTTCCGAACACACCCCAATCATCAGGGCTCATCAGCGACAAAAATGTCAAAACCTTGTCAGACTGAAAGCCCACAAATGTTGCGATTAAAGAAATTTGAAACCAATCTATAATAACTCAACATGCATTTGTGTTTGTTTCTGCTTTACGTCGCGCGCGATTCCCATTTTTCGCGGCGACAAAGCAACTTTTCGCAGTGCGGCGGAATTTGGGAGCCTCGTGATCGAGGAAAACGTAGCTGTGACGGCTTGTCTAAAATCAAGGCGTTCCCCTCGTTGCCCTTTCCATAAAAATGTAAATTCATCCACATTTAAACAGCCAAATCGTCCCTCGTTTTGGTAGACCTGTCTACAACGATGTACCGCCGTTTTTTTGTTATTCTTCTCGTGTTCTTGCTAGTATCGCCGTCCAAACAAAAAACAATGCATGAGAACTGTGTTGCAGTAATTAAAATGGGTAAAGCTATCTGGGACATGGGCCGCGAAATATTTGCTGGGTATGCCAAAACTTCAGTCGAAGGCTTTGAAAAAGTCGTAAGTACGAATTTGAAACACGAAAGGTCCGCGAGTTTCTAGCCTTCCCCATGCATCGTGAAGATAGTAAATTGTATCAGAAAGCAAGTTGGAAGCGCCACATACGTGATTACTGCCGACGAATGTTGCAATGAGTGTCCGAACAAGTAACAATAAATCTGCTCTAATTTGTTTATCAATTTCCATATTTTTCGTATTAAAAAGAGGCGACTTTCTGGGTTTGTCGACGATCATCTCGCTTAATATCAAGTATCTTGAATAGGAATTACAAGACATAACGTTGGACACTGTTCAAAATGCTCCATAGTTAGCGTGTGCTACACGCATTCCCACTGAAAATTTAATTTCTACGACATATCCAAAACACAGAGTGTCAAAATTCTTGCTGTATTTTGTTTGATGACTCAACTTCCCACCATTTTTTCCGTTTACATAATCGCCGGCATCCACAAATCCAGAGGATCGCCGCTTTCCTCAGCTCTTTTCCCACTCGGAACATGTTTTTCAAAGGGATTTTGGGAAGACCGTAACTCCAGGATCGTGAAGTTAACCTTTGATACAACTGTAATACCAGAAAACCCGTTTACCACTGACTTTGGCCGGCTTCCCAGCCGGCCTTCAAATCTACTTTTTTTTTTTTTTAATTTATTCATAAGTTGAATAAAAATATCACAACATACAACACATATTTTGAATCTGAAATGATCAGGCAAATATTTATAGTAATTATGCAAAGACAAAAAGTCGACTGTACTTTAACCTTTAGAGCAAACACAGAATCCTGCATGAAGGCACATCGAGCCAAAACAATCATCGTCGTTTAAACATGGTTTCTTGCCACAAAAGTTTCTTCGTACATTTTCCATCGAACCAAGACCATGGTCGTGATATGCTAAGAAAAAAGATGCAATAATTTGCATTAAGCTTCCAACTTACCTTTAGTACAGTTGCAATAAGAGTGACGAAGATCGCACGCACCGTTCAAACCACATCTTGAATCATGTTCGCATTTCCGAAAGTTAGAGCAACTACAAACACACCGTTTTGTAATCTTCCCCCCAATGCAAGTTCCTAGGATATAAAAACTCGTTCAATTATCTGTAAATGTTAATAACTTACCTTTGTAGCCACAATCTCCATCCGTAGAACATGGAGTTTCGAACTCGCACTTATTTGTGATTTTTTCTTGCAACATTGCTTTATCATACTCAACAGTAACAGATAGTTCAGAAATCTTCGTTGTTTCAATTGTGAGAAACATTGTGATTATTAATATTAATGCTGAACGAAAAAGCATTTTCGCCACTAATCGTAAGAAATGAATCTGTTTCAGCCTTATTCCAAATTGTCGTTATCTTATAAATAAAGATTGGCAAGGTCACGAGATAATAAACCTGAAAGGTCACAAGGTCATCAAAAAAGCGCAGGTTATGTTTGAATGCACATGTTTGGGTTAGAAAGAAATTTACGGAGAGAAACAGAAAAAGAAGGGTTGTGTCCGAACAGTGCACCTGAAACAAACAGTGCACCTGAGCGAACGGTGCACCTTGAAAAAAAGATTTTTTATGAACAATTGAACAAAATTTGAAAAGTTTTCGCTTGTCTGAAGTTATACAGTATGCGTCATAATTATAACCGCACTTTAAAAATGAGTGTAACTTTTGTGATTGTGAATAGAAATGTGTCATATTTGGCACCAATGTGCATCAGTGTACCAGAAATGATGTCCCAAAAAATTATTTTGAAGAGTTTCCGTATTTTAGAGAAAAGCTGCAAAAACCAAAATTATGATACTTTTCGGTGTCGCAAAATTATAACCGCACTTGCGAATTTGGGGTATTACCCTAATAAAAACACAGGATATCAATAACTGATGTTTCGTTACGCTCCCTGAGGCCTCAATAACGCCCATCACACCACCCGAAACCCTCTGGGCAAATTTTTTTGGCGCATCCTGACCCATCTTGTCCCTGAACCGGAAAACGGCAGATTTTCGCTCAGTTAGACCGTTAGGCTCAAGTTGTGAGGAACTTCCTGGTCGTCTCGGAAGCCTTTAACAAATCTAAATGTCATGGCAGACAAAAGTTTACCACTGCTTCTGGTTGAAGAGAAATAATTCGCCGGACTTCTAACTCCGCCATCTCTGGGGTTCACTTAATTCAAGAACTGAGCTTCATTAGTAGCAGAAGCACCGTGCTGAGGGTCGGAAAACGCAGCGACGTCATCATGAGGTATTATGTGAAGCTGTGACCCCAGCTGACCCCGGTTTACGGCAATCCACAGCCGAAATTTGCCAAGGAGACATTCACAACAGAGGTTGATTAGTCGAAGGTCGCTGAAACCGACGTTAGACCGTTGCAATACCATATTCCTTGTGGATTGCGCAGTCACACGATGCCCTGACGGTTTTACATACCAATGGCATGACATTAAAAACGAATCGTCTCGTGCCGTAATTATAGAGGCCGCCCGTTGATGACTTGGGGCGCCTTCAAAAAAGCTGGAGGCCTTCCGTCCGCGGCCACAGCAACTCAAATGAATAGCTTCGAGTACTACGAAGTCTTAGGCGAACATCTGGTACCGTACTGGCAATCTGGCTATACTTTTGTTGGAGAATGCCCACGTCCACCATAGCAGGTCGACATACCAGTTCCTTTGACAGCAAGGCATTTGCCACCATAGACTCGCTCGCATATTCCCTGGGTTTAAATCCGATAGGAAACTTGTGGGGCCTCTTCGCCCGTTGATTACATCGCTACAACAAGCGGTATTCTACCGTAATTGAGCGAAAATCTGCCGTTTTCCGGTTCAGGGACAAGATGGGTCAGGATGCGCCAAAAAAATTTGCCCAGAGAGTTTCGGGTGGTGTGATGGGAGTTATTGAGGCCTCAGGGAGCGTAACTAAACATCAGTTATTGATATCCTGTGTTTTTATTAGGGTAATACCCCAAATTCGCAAGTGCGGTTATAATTTTGCGACACCGAAAAGTATCATAATTTTGGTTTTTGCAGCTTTTCTCTAAAATACGGAAACTCTTCAAAATAATTTTTTGGGACATCATTTCTGGTACACTGATGCACATTGGTGCCAAATATGACACATTTCTATTCACAATCACAAAAGTTACACTTATTTTTAAAGTGCGGTTATAATTATGACGCATACTGTATAAAGGTTAACTCAAGGATGAGCAAGAAATCGATTTCAATCGACGTTGACGGCATGCTTCGTGGAGATAGTAAAATGTTACAGAAAACAACTTGGAAGCGCCACATACGTGATTACTGCCGACGAATGTTGCAATGAGTGTCCGAACAAGTAACAATAAATCTGCTCTAATTTGTTTATCAATTTCCATATTTTTCGTATTAAAAAGAGGCGAGAACTTTCTGGGTTTGTCAACGATCATCACGCTTAATATCAAGTATATATCTTGAATAGGAATTATAAGACATAACGTTGGACACTGTTCAAAATGCTCCGTGAAAACCGTGGGATTTAATGTGGTTCACACACACATAAAAGAAAAATGTAGCATTTGAAATCAATTTTAAAACGCGAATATTTTAAAACGAGTCCTCAGGGACAGTTCGGATCAAAAGAGTTCGGGTTGACGATACAGTTTCATATCTACAATTCATGGTGTTGGTTTTAAAATTCATATCTATTTTCATTACTATACACGGTAAAAAAATGTAAAAATCGAAAAAAACAAAAATGATTTTCGGAATCCGCACCATCGATTTCCTATAAAAACTTTGTTCAAAAAGTTTTATATAAAAAGCTACATTTTGACATAAAAAATTCTGAAGCATTCTCAGTCACCTTACTCCTTTGCGTTGCTACCCTCTACCGCTTGTCCGAGCTACAATAAACCCTTCGTTAGATTGTGCCAACAACGTTTCTTTTTACGGACATGATAATCCGTAACACGGTTTTCGGAAATTTGTAGAGTGACTGCGCTACGGCGGTACATCGTTGTAGACAATTTACCTTTTACCAGGCCTGGCTTCGTGCTCGAGGAAAACGGTAGCTCTGACGGTTTGTCTAAATCAAGGCGTTCCCCTCGTTTCCCTTTCCATAAAAATGTAAATTCATCCACATTTAAACAGCCAAATCGTCCCTCGTTTTGGTAGACCTGTCTACAACGATGTACCGCCGTTTTTTTGTTATTCTTCTCGTTTTCTTGCTAGTATCGCCGTCCCAACAAACAACAATGCAAGAGGACTGTGCTCAATTAATTAAAATTGGTAAATCTTTGTGGGATAAAGGTCACGGAGCATTTGCTAGTTATGCCAGAGATTTAATCAAGGCTCTTGAAAAAGACGTAAGTACAAATTTGAAACATGAACGGCCCGTGAGTTTTTAGCATGACCCATGCTTCGTGGAGATAGTAAAGTGTTACAGAAAACAACTTGGAAGCGCCACATACGTGATTACTGCCGACGAATGTTGCAATGAGTGCCCGAACAAGTAACATTAAATCTGCTCTAATTTGTTTATTAATTTCCATATTTTTCGTATTAAAACAAGGCGAGAACTTTCTGGGTTTGTCAACGATCATCTCGCTTAATATCAAGTATCTTGAATAGGAATTACAAGACATAACGCTGGACACTGTTCCAAATGCTCCATAGTTAGCGTGTGCTACACGCATTTCCACTGAAAATTTAATTTCTACGACATATACAAAACACAGAGTGTCAAAATTCTTGCTGTATTTTGTTTGATGACTCAACTTCCCACCATTTTTCCGTTTACATAATCGCCGGCATCCACAAATCCAGAGGATCGCCGCTTTCCTCAGCTCTTTTCCCACTCGGAACATGTTTTTCAAAGGGATCTTGGGAAGACCGTAACTCCTTACAATCGAAACAAAGGTTAATAAGAGGGAAATTGGTCTCGGCTCTTGAAGGAATGCGATTCCACCGTCGATATTTACTCGAGTCGCTTATTCCGAGATATTTTTGTACTTTGGCTTTCTTTCTCTTGCTCCAAATTTTTTGACGCATCCGATTTTGCAAGGGATTTTGCGGTTTGCGGTGGTTTTGATGTTGCTTCCGACGCTTACAATATCTTAGTTTTAGAAATACAAATTTTTTTGAATATCTCTTTGCAGATTCCTGTCAAAACATCAACCATCAAAAAGTAGAATCCCCAGAGGGGGATTCCTCTGAGCTCTCTCTAATTATGGATTATAATTTGGGATTTCTTTTGTCTTTTCCGTTGGCGCACAGTGGAAATTAAGCTAATTGTGAGAGTTTGGTTTGTCAGATATGGGATTGGAGAAAATTTACAAAGAAAATCAACTTATTGCATCTTGTTCGAAACTTTCTTTGACTTTGTGTCCTAATTTTTTGTCAAAGTCATCCAAATGGGCTACAAACCACTATCTTAAAATTTTTGATTTTGATAGCAAAAATGGCCAATTTTTGCAATAAAAGCAGAGATCAATTTCAGAGTGTCAATTTTATATAAAAATGAACCTGCAATGAAATCTATCCATAACATATAAATTTTTATACCCTGCGATTAGCTTAGTTTTCCTCGTGATCTGCTCTTGATTACAATTTCAGCTCCAACTTTCCATTTTTGAATTTTTCGAAATAATGCCCAGAAAGTTCTCAAGTTTCTCGTCTTTATCAGATTTGCAACAAAACGCGTTCCCTCCCGGTCGCATTCCTCAAGCAGATTCTGCACGCGCAACCCAGATTGACGAATTCAAAAGGGTTTGTTTTCACCGCTCGGAATCAGCCCTGTAGTTTGTAAACCCTTTTGTTTCCCTCGAGGTCTTTATCTCTAAAAAGTTTTAACCTCAATTCTTGTTTCGTCTTCCGATTTTTATCAAGGTGAACAGCCTTCGTCGGTGCGGACTCCAGAATCCTTTTGTCTTCGTGAGGGCTCATTAAGCGCCCCAAACTTTTCTCTCAGTTATTTCGGTTTTCGGGATCGGTTCGGAAGTAGCGGGTCTTGACTCGCTTCGTGGGTTGAGGGGTGTTGTCGCTGAGGGTTCATTATTTTATAATTTCTTAGATTTGGGTTTTGTTTTCCTTGCAGAACGTACAGTTAAATTATGATGACTAAAAATATTTTTTGCTTTATCGCCATTGTGAAAAGTTCAATTTTATTTTGAAAAATTTTCCGCGTTAAAATACGAATACAGCAGTACTTTTTTTAACAGAAAACGTATTTTACAAAAAATATAACTGTCCGATAAAGTTCTCTGATTTTGATTGAGCTTCTGTCAATTTTTCCAGGACGTGCTACACACTTTTTAGATTGGGGAGGTTTGAGTGCAAGAATGAGAACTTCCTTGAAGTTTCACTACATATATAAAGTTGGAATTTTATTACAGGCTTTAATAAAAATTGTACTCCTTAACTAACCCAAAATTTTAAGAAGAAAAAATGATTTTATCTGACCAACTATCCGCAAATTCCATACTCTCTTTCCTGTAAAACTTCCATCGAAAAAATCATTTTTTTTATTCTTACTCCTTACACTCCCATCCACATTTCAGTTATTAAATATTATAATTTACCATATAACCCTCCAAAGAGACGTCTGAACTTACCCATCTTCACCCTCACATCTCTGATCAATCTTTGGTCGCATTTCGCTCGAATTGTTAACCTACTTTCGTCTCCCTCAAAGAGTAATTTGTTTGGGAGGGCTACCTTGATAGGCTCACTGATACCTGCGATCTTTAAAACGCTTTGTCTTAAGGAGTTAGCGGAAGTCGGATGGGTTTTTTTCGAGCCGACCTCGTTTGGGAGGAGGCGATTTGGAAACAATTGAAGCGATTTTTCAAGAGCAATTGTTATGATTGGAGAACAATTGTATTGTCCGGTAATTGTAAGCGGTTCGGAGATCAGTTTTGTTGCGAAAAGTTTGCTTTATGCCTAAAGTGTTAACATTAGCGGACTTGGCCCTTTAATTGTCATCCCGTCTTGGTAAACCACCCAGATAAGGCCACATGCTCAATTTGATAGCTCTAACCATTGCCCTGTAGGTTTTTCCAATATATCGCCTGTAAAGATTCTTCAAATTCATCGACGGTTGAATTTTAAAAAGTACGTAAAGTTTTGAGGTTCAATCAGAAAATGGCCTCGGCGTGAGTAAGTATGTATTTACGTGTTTTTTTCAGAAAAATTGGTTTATTGTATCAGTCCGTTCGTAAAGTCGCGGCGACAGCCCGAAAAAGGCTATTGCACTGTGCAAGAAGCCAAAAATTGCACAGTGCAAAGTGAACTTTTGTTTTCGCGGAGTGCATGTCGCCGAAAACATTCCAGCGCTTTGCGAACGGACTAGTATGACCGCTGTACGCAACTGTTTTACGAAATGCCATTCCGTGTTATCGTTACACTCCAAAATTCACAAAAACCCAGCGACTTTTGGCCCAAAACCAATCTTAAAATCACATAGGCTCTTAGACAGTTGCAATCAAAATCTGCTCCAAGTCTGATCAATATCTCATCGTCCCATTTCAAGGGTATTTCTAGAAAACAAAGCGAGTGTTTAATGTCAGATGACAACGCGTTTCGGATCAAGCGATCTCGAATTGTGTGATTGGAAACACCTAGATTGTAGGGACCATGTATTTTTACCTCTAAATGGTCATTTAGAATTTGAGAAGTACTAATTGGCAACCATTTGCCGTCCAGTTGCAGATCAAGGCTGAAATCTCGTGAATCCACTCACCAAACTCTCGAGTGACCATTCGCCAAAGCTTATTCTGTTTTTGTGTATAAAAATGGCTGATCTCATTACTATCTTCTTAAATTTTTCTTGTAACAACCCTTCGCTTCGAGTAGTCTCATAGATATTTGCCGTTGTGTTTTGGATCTCTTTTGTACCCACTATCTATTTTCAGGGTTACAGCCAAAAGGCCCGTGTAGCCTTTGCTTTTCCATCAATTTCATATTCCAGCTCTGCCACAATTTGGAGGCCTGAGGGATCGCCGTTGTTACACACGGAAATGCACGAAAATGCGGGTGTGATTCAAATAAAAGTGGGCGAAGAGGGGAATTCACACATGGAGATGGATCGAGGTGAGATTTTTTGGTCCAATCAACAAAATTCTTGGCTATTTACTATTTGAATCCACATCGTTGAGGCTGTTTGTCACTTGGCCAGCTGATTTTTTTCGGCTAAAGATTTATGGCTTTTCAGGCTAAAAAAGAGTGACCAGTATGTCTGCTTGTTGTTTGATACGTTTTTTTTTCTTTTTCAAGGCCTGGAGATGCTAGATTATGGATCGTATCTTGCACAATTGCGGAAGTCCAATTTTTTTAGTTCGAAAATAAATTTAGACCCGATCAGATACTAGTCCGTTCGCACAGTCGTTGGAGTGATTTCGGCGACATTCACTGAGAAAACAAAAGTTTACTTTGCATTATGCAATTTTCGGCCGTTTTCAGTGGCTTTAAAGTGTTTATCTAGAAAGAAAATCGCTTTGAAGGGTGCCTTAAACATTTGAAGTCTATTTTCATATTTCAAACAGTATGATTGAAATATGAAAATATTCTAAGTCAATATTGTTTTATAGAAGATCAGAATTCCTCCAAACTGGATTCCCTGTCCATGTCCTCGATCCCAGATTCCGACTGTTCTCCCTCCGATTGTTCCAAGACGTCATCTTCAGTCTATTCGAATGATTGGCCGCAGAAATCGTCGATTATTTCGACTACAGTATCCTCCACATCATCCGCAACGTCCAACCGGAAACCGGATGGCAAAATGAAAATCAAGACTCTGTGTTTGTTGGGGGCTCTCCTGCCCGGAATCGGATGCTATTTCTGCGTCTGCTACACTTATTTATTCCAGTTTGACAGAGTTCTGAATTTCACATCGACAAATTGTCCGGATGTCATGAGGTGAGGTCGGGAACTTTGAAAGGGATTTTAGATTGGAATTGGAGTCAAAGCGTAGTATTGTTTCAGTATATTCCCACCGATCAGTTACTCGATCGGAGTTTGGAAACCGCAGAAGTACGTGTGGTTGATTGTGATGGCACTGCATATGCCTCCGAGGTTCTTGTATGGACTGGTGAGTTGAATGTACATTTTGGGGGCGTGTTGACAAGGGGAGGTGAAATTGATGAGTTAGAAAGTTCACCTTTTTGGCTTTCTTAATGCCTCCGGTATGAAATATTCGCCGCTTGAGGGACGACGAAGACGTAAACCGATAGAAACTTTGCTGTCTTCTGCAAAATTTCAATTAGATATCGCTTTGCGTAGTCTCTATCAAGACTTTGCGCGTTTATTTTCTAAAAAGCGGTAGAATTTGCTAGGGATTTTACTAGCCATAAAAGCAGAAAATCAGAAGAACATTAAGTTGGGAGGTTTCCTTCAATCCAGAGAGATACTATTCATTTGCAATTTACGTCTACCTTTTCCTCATTCTACACTCCTTTTCAGGCCTACAAAAACCAATACACGTACGGCCAGTCGACACACAAACAGCTCTGGTGGTTCGATTGGTTGGTGAAGTTTCATCTCCGCTTGATGATAATCGAATCCATGGGTCTGATTCTGGTGTCCGTAATTGATATCGAGAGTTCGTTCATCATCCACGCCGCTTCTTACGCGTTGTGGATCACCTGTTTGAACTTTAACATGCTGTTTAACACGATTCTCCAGCATTATTCGGGGATCAAAGAGTTGACGGAGAATGTGAGTCCAAATTAAAGTACAATTCGCCTTATATTTACCCATTATTCATATCGAGGCTCACTGTAAATCGATTTTGCAGCATAAAACAACATTTTATATCAAATGCACTCTGTTCGCATTCGCCTATCCCCTCTCGGTGTCCACTGGATTCTCCTATGGCACATATTTGGCTTACTGTAATGGATTTGGTAGGTGCAGATTAATAAAGGCCCTTCCAAATGCCCTTAAAAGAGAGTTTTTTGCAACTCGAAGGATGGCCCGGACATTTCGAAAAAACGACCGACCCAGAATCTTTTGATATTTTGCATAGTTGTTGTACCATGATAGCTGAACGTTAGCTCGAATTTTTAGTTTCAGAAATTACCGTATACGGGGGTTACGGTAGGTACAATTTTTACAAAGATTGGGTTCGTGTGTAAAAACCGCAAAGAGTAAAGGCACAAAACCTCGCCGTTTTACGTTTTTGACCATGGGGAACATTTTCATAATTGACAACTTTGCCGTAGGATGTAGTCTTAGACTACTTTGAAAAATACCAAGGTACCATATTGAATGTAACTTTTTTGCAGAGAACTTGTCTCAACTTTTGAAACCTCATAAAAACACTTTGACATGTATGTAACAACATATCAAAAATGCGCGAAAATAAAAGGGGGGGTTTTGGAGTTACGGTAGTTTGAATGTTGCCGGTACGGTATATCAAAAAATCATTTTTTTCAAAATCGGTGTAGAAGACCCGCAAAAATTGCCAAAACACGTTTTCGACCATGGCGAACATTTTTGTAATTGACACTTTTTTTGTAGGATGTAGTCTTCGCCTACTTCGAAAATGACCCACATACCATGTGTAATGTAACTCTTCGGCATTCTATTTGTCTCAACTTTTGAAACCTCTCAAAAATACCTTGATATGTATGGAACAACATATCAAAAATTTAGGAAAATAAAAGGGGGGGTTTTGGAGTTATGGCACTTTGAACGTTGGACATACAGTACACCGAACTTTTTCTGTGATGCTGACATCCGATTTTGATAGATTCCACCGTGGTATGTACACATGACTCTAAACCGTGGTAATCGTTACAAAAAAAATAAGAAATCACTGATCTTGTTGTTACAGTAACCACTTATCTGCGCACGATGTGTTACAGTATGCTTAGGACTAAAATTTTTGAATTTCCTAGCGAAAATAGTTTGTGAGGGTCGTACAACACAGATAAAACATTACATTTTGTTTTTAAAATAATCTACGTAAAGTTAAGCCGAGAATAAATCGAGGTGTACTGTATGTCCAACATACAAAGTGCCATAACTCCAAAACCCCCCCTTTTATTTTCCTAAATTTTTGATATGTTGTTACACATATGTCAAGGTGTTTTTGAAAGGTTTCAAAAGTTGAGACAAGTTGAATGCCGGAAAGTTATATTGAACATGGTATCTTGACATTTCTCAAACCGGTCGAAGGCTGCATCCTAGAACAAAACTGTCAATTACAAAAATGTTCTCCATGGTTGAAAACGTATATTGGCAAGGTTTGCGGTTGTCCTACTCCAATTTTAGAAAAAATGAAATTTTGATATACCGTACCGACAACGTTAAAAGTGCCATAACTCCAAAACCCCCCCCTTTTATTTTTCTAAATTTTTGATATGTCGTTCCATACATGTCAACGTATTTTTGAGAGATTTCAAAAGTTGAGACATGTAGAATGCCGAAGAGTTACATTACACATGGTATGTGGGTCATTTTCGAAGTAGGCGAAGACTACATCCTACAAAAAAAGTGTCAATTACAAAAATGTTCGCCATGGTCGAAAACGTATTTTGGCAATTTTTGCGGGTCTTCTACACCGATTTTGAAAAAAATGTTTTTTTGATATACCGTACCGGCAACATTCAAATTGCTGTAACTCCAAAACCCCCCCTTTTATTTTTCTAAATTTTTGATATGTTGTTCCATACATATCAAGGTATTTTTGAGAGGTTTCAAAAGTTGAGACAAATAGAATGCCGAAGAGTTACAGTACACATGGTATGTGGGTCATTTTCGAAGTAGGCGAAGACTACATCCTACAAAAAAAGTGTCAATTACAAAAATGTTCGCCATGGTCGAAAACGTATTTTGGCAATTTTTGCGGGTCTTCTACACCGATTTTGAAAAAAAAGATTTTTTGATATACCGTACCGGCCACATTCAAAGTACCGTAACTCCAAAACCCCCCCTTTTATTTTCGCGCATTTTTGATATGTTGTTACATACATGTCAAAGTGTTTTTATGAGGTTTCAAAAGTTGAGACAAGTTCTCTGCAAAAAAGTTACATTCAATATGGTACCTTGGTATTTTTCAAAGTAGTCTAAGACTACATCCTACGGCAAAGTTGTCAATTATGAAAATGTTCCCCATGGTCAAAAACGTAAAACAGCGGAGTTTTGTGCTGTTACTCCTTGCGGTTTTTACACACGAACCCAATCTTTGTAAAAATTGTACCTACCGTAACCCCCGTATACGGTAATTTCTGAAACTAAAAATTCGTGCTGACGTTCAGCTGTCATGGTACAACAACTATGCAAAATATCAAAAGATTCTGAGTCGGTCGTTTTTTCGAAATGTCCGGCCCTTGTTATGAGAAGCTTCAATCTGTAAAAAACTCTCTTTTAAACCCTCTCCTAATCTCTCCCTTACAGCCTACGCCGCCTTCTCAGTGGCCGAATATATCATCGTCGGGATCAATTCGGCGTTTTATTTCACGCTGATCTGGGAGCTGAAGGGCTCTTGTATGGAGATCCATGTGCGCCATGACTCCCCCGCCTTTCGGAATGACGTCCAAGCCTAAGAACGCGCCATAAAACAACGAGTTATGATGTAGATAATGTTCAAAAATATGCATATGGGTCTCAAAACTTATACGTCCGAGTTTGTTGATGTTTGTATATAAGATAAACATATCTAATCTTTACAATCAATGGTGCCATACCTCTTCAAGAAATATTCAGATTGGAATATTACTCTTAACAAAAAAAATATCAGCTTCTCAAAGTTTTCGCAATTTATTTTTATTAATTTCCAACAAATATTTAGCTGTCGCTGTCATACGGTAAACTCCATAGAACCGGATAATAGTGATCGATTATCCTCTTTAAATCTCTGTGCCTTCAGGTCGTTCCCCGACTCCTTCCGGCCTCCCATTAAAGCGAATCCACACTCGGAATGTGTAGCTGACGCACTTAAATAATCCTTCTGTTTCTGGCGACGACTTCCCGCAAATTCACTGAAACCGGCCAAAGAAAATCGGCCTTGTCGAGCAGTGACTGGCATGGATTGGGAAGCGCCATGAATCCCATGATGAGGTTCATCATCCACAAAGTCGAGATGAGGCACCGGGTCGTTGATGATTTCTGGAAAGGCGTGTTGAGCGAGTAACATGATCAAGAGTAAATGAAGGTATGATCAAAGGGTCCCACAGCACGAACCGATCGAGGAACAGAGAAATTGGGAGTGGAGGCATTAGGAAATTGAAAAAATTTAGTTTCTTGGCATGACCACAGTTTACCCAACCAAAAAACAAATACGATGGAGGCCCAACGAAGACAAGCCCCTCCGACAAAGCCTTGAGAACTCCTGCAGAAACCAGGCTGTGCTAATTAAAGTCTTGCTTGTCAACAAGACAAACAGTACAAACATATTATCCGTTTCCCTAATCATCTTAAGGTCCAAACCCATCGCCTTCAAAGTCTTATTGTTAGCCAATATTTTATGCTCAAATAAACAAACTGCTTACTTATTTCATTCCTCAATTGTCTAATCAGATCATCTTTATCCCCTTCGGCTAACGTTTTCCTTGTCATATGATAGATGATCCCACATCCATAACCATCTCCAAGCACATTAACTGATGTTCGAATCCGATCCAGCAGCCAGTCAACTGTTAAGAGAAGCGACAAATCTTTTACTGGTAACCCGACAGTAGTCAGTACCACAATCAAAGTGTCAAGGCCAGCGGGGACGGAACCCGAGCCTATTGAAACGACTGTTGTTGTGAAGCTAAAGTAATGAAATATTACAGTTGAAAAGCCACTCAAAATTTAAGCAATGCTTACCTAATTGTAAGCAGTTCCACCAATGACAACTGGATGTTATTCAGTTGAGCGATGAAGATCACAGCCACAGCCTCATACAAAGCTGTTCCATCCATGGTGATTGTAGCCCCTAAAGGTAAGACAAATCGAGTGACGCGGCGATCTATCTTCAACGAATCTTCCAGCGCCCGGAATGTCACCGGTAATGTGGCGCCACTAAAATACGTTATTTTTACAGTGGAATCTTACATTAGGATAGTGCCAAAAATAAAAATAACGAAATAATAGGGTCAAAAACACTCTATGTAGTTCCATCTTGTCAACAATCGACAAATTTCCAAAAAAAACAACAAAGTAATCCTCCCATGTTTATATGCAAGCCCATAGAGGTAAAAATTGGACACCCAGTTCCTCACCTTGAAGCAGTTCCAAACGCAGTAGCAATGGCTTGTAACATCCCTGTCATAAAATTAAATGGATTCCCTCGAGTGAACATATAGTAAAGCAGTGGTAAAGTTAACAGTGAATGGATCATCAGACCGCAAATTACAGTGACCACATACTAAATTGAGGAAATTATGGGCAATCAACGTCAACATACCATAGCCAAAGCTTGTGCAGTCTCAGTGAGGTTGTCAATATCCACAATGTTCTTGGTGACCAGAGATAAGATCCCGATTGGATAAACCCACATTAATGCCGTAATCCACCTCATGATTACGGCATCCAGGACAATGAAGAAGTTGATCATCAATCGGGCTTGCTCTCCCAAAATGGACAAGATCACGCCAAACCCGGTGCAAAACACGATTAGACCTGAAATAAAGTCACAGAAAGTCAAAGAATCGGATTTCTTTAACCACAATGTAATCCTTACCAAGAACATTGACTTCATTCGTATAAGTCAGCACCCTCTTCATCAACTGATGCTGTGTCCCGTTACTAACCACCACCAACGCACTCGAGTTATTGATCGCTCGATATTTGGGTTTCACTGGGACATAATCCGTCTGGACTTGTTGGAATGTGGCCTGGACGATGTTCTCGGGGAACATATTCCTGAAATTTTAATTTTCCTTTAGATTTATGTTTCAGCATCAGTTCTTAGACTCGCCGAAAGCATTAAAACATTTTTCAGTAACATATACACATTCATCTCCACTTACCTCACTTGATCCAGAAAAGTATCCAAAGTGGAAAGCGCCGTATCATCCAAAGTTCCTTCGCCAATTTTGGTGGTCAAATGGGGATCTCCCGGATGAATCGACTGGACCAAAATTATACCGGTCTGTCTGTGGGAAATGGAGCAGTTAGATCAATAAAACTTTTCAACGCTTATTCTTCTTGGAAGTGTAATAAAAAAAACAAAAATCTTTTATAAACTCACAAAAGTGGAAAGAAAAGTGGTCGTCATGTAGTATAAAACAGTTAGCAATCCCATTTTTCCAGCATGTCCGGGCTTAACTTGAGCCAAAGCGCTGATTACGGAGCTGATTATCAAGGGCAAGATCATCATCTCGACAATTTGCATAAATATTTCCCCTGGGAATCCAATCAAACTGATAGCATCGTTACTCGGATTGAATGGGCGTATCATGAAGCCGAGGACAATCCCCACCACCACCGCTTCTATGGTGAAAACCAAGATTAGATCCTTGTTCATGGTCTATAAAGTAAATTGTTACAAAATATTTTAGATATATTATACTTGCCATGAATATGTATGATCAAAGTCTCTGTTTCTAGCTTCCAACAATCTTTCACTATTCGTTACTCTCGCTAATGTATCTCTTTGTAATATAAGCTTACAAAATCATAATGAAAATCCAAAGATTTGGCTGAAAATAGGTCATATTGTTGTAGACAACGGCTAGAGTTCAGCTGTTTGAAATACCGAGAGACAAAACCCGATGGAAAAGGCTTTCCAACCTGCGGCTCTTCCATTTCCACCCACACAAAACAATTACAAAAATTATAAAAAATAAAATATTGCGGTAAAGGCCGAAAACTTTGGATTACTTTGTTTCTAAAGGTTGGCGGAGATAAATTAAATGTTCCTCAATAATTCTAAACAAATTATGGGATGACTAAGTCGCTGCAATGCATTTGCAAGGTATATGAGCTTGAAAATCAGAGGCGGAACATTAATTTAAGACATCATGACTAATGTATAATATAAAGCGGGAGATAAAAGATTTTCTGAAAAATTTTTGAAATTTTTCTGTTTTTACTTTTTTTTAAAAAAAAAAGTAAATTTTCAGTTTACTTCAAGGAAAATGCAAAAGAAAGTCAATTTTGTTTCTGGCTTTCCGACTTCAAGGTCGGGAGTAGGACCGGATCTTACTCCCCGCTCGGAGTCGCCGAAAGTCAGAGCTTGTTTTTACTTTATTCCTCTTTTTGGCCCCGCACTGCAGGTTGCAAGGTTGATGCCAAGTCTTTCCCTGATGTGTCAAGTTTTTCTCTTCCGAAAAAATTATTTTTACGTTTGTGCGACGTTGTGAAGCTATGTTCTCCACGAAGATGGGCTGGAAAGTGATCAAGTAAGTTAGCATTGGCAAGAGGAGATGTACGTTTTTCATTTGACATCAAAAATTTCCATTTTATTTCAGAGAAAGGTACAAAATTTTTCCAATTCGTAAAGCTTCATGACCATGGATAATGTAAGTGAGATTATCTCCTTTTTTGCTACGACGTCAAGATTCTAAGTCGGGAAACGTTTAGAGGAGACCCCACTCTCATGTATATTCTCCATGTATGAAACCCCATAAATTTTGAGGAATAACGACGTAAAAATTTCAAATACTGTACTAACTTTCCAAAAGTATGTTATACTAAAGTAAAACCTATGCAAACTATCTTCAGGTTATTGTAACAACGTTATTTGAGCCTTATTACGTTATAACGCGATAAGCGCACTTACATTATCCATGGTCATGAAGCTTTACGAATTGGAAAAAATTTGTACCTTTCTCTGAAATAAAAGGAAAATTTTTGGTGTCAAATGAAAAAAGTACATCTCCTCTTGCTAATGCTAACTTACTTGATCACTTTTCAGCCCATCTTCGTGGAGAAAATAGATTCACAACTTCAAAAAAAATCAAAACGTTTCTTCCGGGAGAGAGAAATTTGACACATCTGGAATTCCCGGGCGCAGCTCGCAAAAATAGTTTTGAAGAAAATAAATTGGCATGCAGGTGAGTAAAAACGGCATCCTACTCACCAGCCAAAATGGGCGAGCCATTTTTGTTTCAACTTTGCGGATCGACCTTTTGGCGAGCCATTTTTGATCCAACTTTCCAAAAATTTGTCGTTCGGAGTAAGAATGTTTTTTGACTCTCCGAAATCGAAAATTTCCGGAAATTTTTCAAAATTTACTTTTTTTTAAAAAAAAAAGTAAAAACAGAAAAATTTCAAAAATTTTTCAGAAAATCTTTTATCTCCCGCTTTATATAAAGAAGTGTCCCCAGACGCCGTCTAATTCAAAAACCGAATGAAGCAAGCATGGAATAATTGACAAAAGAGTGGTTAAGAACCTAGACTTCACGATACACTTCAAACGGTTTGATTTCATTACAAATGACGTCATAATTTAATGTAATCATCCGTAAAACCCTCAAAATTAATACATAAATCACATGCTAACCCTCAAAATAAACAGTTAATTTTTTTTGGTAGCACGACAAAAAAGAAAACCGCATTGAAATTTGTTGATAACCGGAGGGGTTTCGCTTTCTTTCGGCGATTGCCGACCTTGGTTTAACCATGTTTTTCGCACGAGAAAATCAATCTCAATTCATGTTTAATGAAGAAATCAGAACCCTTTCCCATCAGTCAACGCTTTTGTAACACCATATATTCGGTAGCCGAGATGGAAAAAAAAAGATTTGTTTTGGCGACGCTCTTATCAACGATAAAAGGGGAAAGGAAGCAGCCAGCAGAAAGAGCTACGAATCAGGCTTATCATGAACGATGGACACGGAAACAGCCACATTATAATGGATACATATGCGGCTACTCGAGGTAGAACCTTGATCTATGATTTCTCGACCAAACAAAGTTTAAAAACGCGTTGATAAGATAGAAGAAATTAGTATGCGACATAAGCAGTTTTACTATTTTTAATCCCTCTATTCGATTCGAAGTATGGTAAAACACGAAGACTCTCCTCATGACACCTAAAGCCCTCAACAAAAAAATCTCATAATTGTCGCCATTGCAATACATTCTCAATTCACATGAAGAAAGTTCACCGCAAATTTACTGGTTTACCTATCAAAAAACAGTTCTCTCCTTTTTCCGCCGACCATCCCCATTAAATTAAATTTATTTATTCCTGATCGTACTAGTGTTTAAACCACAAAACGGGCCTTCTTTCGCCAACGGAAACATCAATCTCATCCCGAAGGCTAGATGATTTGCATATTAGCCGCCGATTTGCGTCAATCGCTTTAATCGGATGCACTTGATTCCTTCCAATGTAAGCATATTCGGGCTGGAAACGGGTATTTCTGGAAAGAGGGATTACTGTGAGGGGAAATAGACCTCCATGAAATGCCCAATATTATATTATTCTTCGGATTTATTTACATCGACAGGTTGACTAGGCCAAACAAGAGCGTTCCAAGTTGAAATTGTAAGTGAAATTATAGGAATCGGGCAGCTCCGGATCCGGTTCCTTGGCGCCTGAAGCATTGGTAGAGACGAGGCGAGGATTCAATTTGAATTCTATGCCCTCGAGGCCTTTGATTGGATGTTGTCCGGCTCTGATTGTACAGACTCCAAGGTTCGGCAATGGGTTAGAAGTACCTGCAGGCAAGGGGGTAGGGTCAAGCGATGGATAGAGGGACCTAAAAACAATATTTCATTCAATAACAACATTGCATTCCATTCTGGAGAACGTCTCCCCATTTTTTCTAAAATTAAAGTCGAATCCTCACGGTTGTAGTGGCTGTCGTTGCTTCACACCATACGATTCGGGGATAGTTTGCACCCGGAAACAGATCAGAGCCCCATCTACCTCCCTAAACAAGAAGATACCATCACGTTGGATTTTCTTACCCGGCTGAAGTATACCCTTTTGGAGGTTTCCGATTCTTTGATTGAACAATAACATCGGTCAACGCGTCCAGCGCATCACTTCGGGGTGTAAATCGAACGCAAATAAACTTCTTCTTTAATGCTCTTTCTTCTAAAAATCATAATCGTGAATAATATGATAGAACGTACTTGTATCAGCAGTATAGTCGATACAGACAAAGTTGGTGGGCACAGCCTCCTTTTCTGTGATGATAGCCATGTCCGTGATAACTTCGTGGGGAGTCTGAAATAAAATCTTATTGCTATTACCTTTCCCGATGGTAAAGCTCAAAAGTTCCCCTCTGCAATACAACCAACGCAAAAACAAGCCTTACATTCTCCGGAGCGATCCTTGAGATAGCCATATATCTCGTGACTCTATTGAAAATCCCGAATCCGAAGGAATCTCTCCACAAATCCGCTTCACTCCCATCGTCTGAACATTTAGTTATCTAAAATACAAAGCTAATAATTTTAAGTCATACTTACGGCTGTAAAATTAGCTGGACATCGACTTTTATCGGCGATCAGACATAAAGATACGATTGGCAGTTCAGTATCGCCAAATTCGGCCTCCTTGCATAACATGATCAATATAATACAAAATAATTGAAAAATTAGGCTAAGAAATCCTAACACAATATAAACTTAGGAGAAAGACGGCTTATCCAGTATTATTCATCAATCGACGTCTCTTATCGCAAAATAATATTATCTATTGGACGCGAGCTGCCGAGCGACATTTTTATACGATGAAAGCACTGCAGAAAAAATATAAAATTTTCGTTGGAGAGAAGTTTTTCTGTTCTTTTCCGGGAAGTTGTTGTTGAATATAGGTTTTCCTTAATTTTGGAAAGGAATAATGGATCTATCAGTAAGTTTTCTTGTCGAATTTAACAGTTTTTTCCGTCTAGGCTTACTATGAAGAAGAAGATCGTCTCGCCAGTCGTCTAACAGCACAAAAAGTCCGCGAAATCTCAGAGAAACTGCTTCAAGGAATCAGAGAATGTCTTCAACAAAGACCCAGAGATGTAAAGAAAGCCCAGTGCTTTGCGCTACAGCTTCGACAGCTGAATAGACATTCAAATTATAGATTGAAGAAGTTGAAGGACAAGTTGAATGAAGTCAGAACTGATGCGGAACAGTCGGCCTTAGCTCAAAACAATCTTTCCAGTGAGATCTCACATATCAAAAGGAGTATTGCGGCTTGTTTGGACTTTCAGTAGGGCTTTAATTTATTATCTCTCCTTTAGGTACCAATTGAATATTATTCATTCGTTTTCAGGTCACTTGATCAGGAATTGGATTTGGTATCATTAGAAGAATTCAAACAGAAGGCTCCAGAGGTTATGGAAATCACAGAAGAGATATTACAAGACGAACACAAACTATATTTGGCTCGGTTGAACTATGAGATTCATCAAAGGAATGCGTAAGTTTCCTTAGGTACCTAAAACAATATTAGAATTGTTTGAGGCTTGATTCTTGTTTTTAGGATGGTGGAGTCACTTCAAGAACTGGAAGGTCTTCGTAATGTCCTGGCAAGTGACATAAGTGGGAAGGAACATAGATTAAAACAAGTGGATCCAATTGTGGCCAGGCTTCAAGATACGACCAAAGAGTTACTCGAATTGCTTGGAGTTCCATAATTTATTTATAAACACAATATGACTATTTAATGTTGGAATGAGTTGATTCTCTGGGTGGATTGGGCGGGCTCTCCCAGTCATATGGGTCGTCCAAGTTCACACCGGCGGTCTTCGCTGACTAAAATAAGGTAGATAAGTCAAAAAAGTCCTCAATTTTTCGTTGCCGAACAACTTACGAGTGCAATGAGATTGTAAATATAATTATAATCTACGGTCTCGTGGTATTTGACATCCTTTATATAACCCAAAATTTGATTAAAAATCTCCTTGTACTTGAGGTCAGAGAAGATGTGTAAGAACCGTTCTCTCATCACTTCCTTGGACCTCTTTACAGCATGTTTATCGCCGAGCCTCTTCCATGGCAGGCCCTTTGGCACCGATATATCCAGGAGCAAATAGAACCAAGACTCGACATCATCAATGGGGCCAACATCAAAGCCATTGTGGCAAGTGATTGAGGCGAATCGGACTGTTCCTTTGAACCCGATCCCTTCTCTCGGAGTTTTCAAATCGCCATCGCTCTTCACAAACTTCCGGGCTATTCCAAAATCCAAAATGTAAATCTAAAAAAAGAATCGAGCTTTTTTATAATGTTGAAAATCAAGGACAAATCATTAGCTTTCTATAATTTGCTACAATTACTCACAATATGGCTCTGTTCGTCCATTCCGACAGCATAGTTGGCTGGTTTAATATCCCGATGAACGAATTTGGCGGCATGTAATTCTTCAATGGCTTGCAGACATTGCTGGCCAACTCCAAGGCCCGTGGCAGTCGAGAAGACCTTTTCGGGGCGTGCTCCTTTGAGCTCGGCCAATGATTTCCCCACCAATTGCATCACAATCAAAGTGTAGTTGGACTTCTTGGCACGGTCCACGATCTCGGTGAAATGGCTGACTTTGTGTCTGAAACTTGTGATTTATGGCAAATAAAAAAGGAAACGATCCAGTCTCCAAGCTTACTTCTTGCGCTCTTCGGCGACAGCCTTCAGAATAGCGATCTCCATTTTGAGCTTGCTGTGCTTTCTGGTCTCCAGTTTCTTCTCAACTTTCATAGCGTATTTCTTCTCCGGATCTGATTCCAGATGCACCTTGAAGACTGCCCCGAAGCCACCTTCACCCAGCATTTTCTCAACCACATAGTTCCCCTTGCTTGCACTGATAACCGTCTCCTAAACAACGTCAACCTACTCTGTGCGGATGTCAAAAAGTGCATTACTGTCTATAGATTATGTTGTAAACGTACAGGTTTAATGCCCAGATCATCCTCTTCAGTTGACGTCATCCTGAGGTTGTCGCAACGATGAAACTACCGGCTAGGAAGAGTGAATAAAAATTGGGATTCGAAAAATCATCGTTTCTTTTATACTTGGAATTTTGCATAATTTGAGGTCCTAGTATAGTGCACTATAGTGTATTCCACATGTTGATCCAATCGGAAGCCAAGGGCAGTCGGAAGGACCTAATGCCAGGTGTTTGTTCCATCATGATTACAGAAGCCTTTAGGTTATTTTTGAAGTTTTCCTCTGAATCAGGGCATCGTAGTTGGAGCTCGGTGGACCTTGCGAACATCACAGAGCTTTTATTCCAAAATTGCGTAAAATATCGCCGTTTTAGAAGTACAATGTCATCTTGCTTTTCAATTCAACATTGACTTGGTCGATAAGATTTATTGATTCAAACAAGGTTTTTGTTATTACTTTCAATGGTTCTAAGGACAGAAAATCAATTGACTTTCGAGTTTAGATTAAAAAATTGGTGTTAAAGAACAAAGCTGAATAAATTAGGCGACAGGGACCTTGAGAGAAGGCTGGTATTCGGGATTTTGAGGTTGCTTGGCCGGGTAATTGTAGACATTTCCCTGAACGGGCTGGTAATTGGTAGCGCCAGTACCGGCCTCTTGAACCGCTGGATTTGCCGTTGTTTGTGGTTCACCGCCCACAACTTGTCTGACGGCGCGGTAAGGTCCGTAAGGTCCGCTGGTTGCAACAGAAGGATCATAAGGCGCTACGGTTGTGTAGGCGGCTTGTCGGACAGCGCGGTAAACAGTAGAAACAGTAGATGCGATTGGATCAACTAGGACGGCTGGAGGCTTGGACGGGGAGTATTCTTCCTGTTCCGCCTGTCTAACGGCACGCTTAGGTCCGCCTGTTGGAATGGGATCGGAAGACGCTACTGGGGGTTGGGCTGAGGTGTAAGCCACTTGGCGGACAGCACGGGAAGCTCCGGTTGGAATGGCGGTGTAACTGTCATCCTAAAAATAGCAAAATGTTGTTATTTCATAATTAAAGTCTTCAACTTGACCTAGTCAAATCCCCAAACAAGCATTCATTAAGACAATATAAGCTCATTTTCCAAAGTCCATGCACGTCTTCTACCTACAATCCTTACCTGGATTACTGGAACGGAACAGCCCAAGCCAATCAAGGCGATCAAAGTGATGGAAGACAACATTATCAAAACTCTACAGTTTGATGTATACAACGTCTTTTGACCCTTTTATATACTCGGTGTGATTAACAATGTCATCTTACTCATTGATTAAAATCTTTAAAAATACAGAGGAATGATTATCTTAGACGTTAATTAAGACGATCAGGATGACTATTTCCTTCTGTTTATTCACACGATGACAAAAAACAATTTTTAAAAAAGATTGCAATCAAATCTTATTCATATGAAATACAGGAAGTCAGAAGCAAAAATCGAAACGTCAACTGTGTTTTGTGGTTACCGTAGTTTTAGGTTTGGTTTACTGTATTTTTCGCAATTTTTTTTAACTTTGTTTAAACAAGTTTCTTTTTTCTGAACCTCCGATTTTAAAGCGTTAAAATCATAACAAAGAAGGAGGTTATTGTCGCCCATTTTTTTTGTTGTTCCGTCAATATTTTTTCATAATCAGGGTATTCTCGAGAAGAGGTGAGGGCAATGTTGCGCTAAGGCCAGAGGCGATATTACATTTTGAGTTGTTGTATAAACTTTTCGTGACGCTTTGGTTATAAATGAACGCCTGTCTTTCAGCTTTGACTGTACCATTTGATATTTCTTTCATCCTGCAATTTGTATTCGAATAGTTCAATCAAAACCAGTCCCTTTCGTTGATCAATGATTCACATTCATTGTAACGTCTTCACTTCCCAATAACTCATTCATTCCGCCGCTCATTTACACTCACTACTTTGTTATAGGCATAGTTTACAAAACAATTTCTCGTCTGTTGAGTGCAAATTTACACCCACGGTAACTCGAAATTCGAGGGAAATTGGCCGAAACCGGACCGGAATCAGGCCGGGGAACGTGTTTCCGTCGGGTTTTTTCGCACTAACAAGAACGCCTTCGCACGGCGGTTTAAACTGATCGGGAGGGAGGCCGTCGAACGATTATTGCAAGGTCAGTTTGGCGGGAAAGACAGTGGCTACATCTACATCAAAGGTGGCTGTGTTGGGGACATTTGGGGGTTTCATAGGAGCAGAAAGAATGGGTTGAAAAATGTTGGGGATCTCGTTTTTATTCTACAAATTTTTACGTATAGGATTTAGAATTTGTTTCAGTTCTTAACCAACTACATTGTTCATTGAAAGTTTATTTTCACTTTTAGCGGCAGCAATAATATTAAACGGCGTTCTTCGCAAGAGAACATGCGAAATGAAAAGAGCCAGCCAGACGAAAAATGGATTTTTTCCATAATTTTTTCTGCAAAAAAAATAGATTTTTTTTTGCAGAAATCTTATAGCAGATTCAGGAATTGGGCGTAAAATTTTCAATTTGAAAATAGCAAAAAATTACCGAGTTTTTGACAATTTCAGATTAAAAAGAAATCGGCAGTGTTTGTCTCTTATGTGAGCCCGATCTCTTTTTACTCGGCACATCTTTCAAGAGTTATGTCATTCTCTATATTGTCACCTTCACCTATCATCCTCTGCCCCGTTTCTATTTCCCCTCCAATTTCCTCACAAAACCAAAAGCTGACTGTTTTTTTCCTTACCGTAATCTGGCCTTTGAACTTCCATTTTTGTTTCACGCCACTATTATCCTTCCAAATCATGTATGTCTTACACATATTTTCCTCCAAATTTCTGTAATTGCAGGGTACTAGAAGTTTTTTTTCTTTCTTAAGACTCAACAAGGACTTGGGAGGGGTCAATTATGATTTTAATGGTCTTGATCATAAGTCAAAAAATCTCTCACGAGAGCAAATTTTGATGGAATGGGAGATTTTTTGACTGGGCAAATTAAAAATCGGAGGAAAAATATTTTGGGGGTTTTTATGGAAAACAATGGCTAAAATGGTAGGGATGACATAAAAAATGACATCTTGATATTATGATAATTGCAAGAAAACGATGATTTTGCATTATTTCGACTGCATCTTCCTTCTTCAAATTTTGATGACATAAAAATTTTAAATTTCAGGGTAATTCACCTCCAATCAACGGGTCAACTCATGGCATTATCTCAACAAATCTCATCTCAGTTCTTCGTATTCCTATCGCTTCTTTATACAGTAAATTGTCAATTTCTTAGCCCCTCGAAATGGCCGTCAAATGCAAATCGAAATCCCCGAGATTTGATTCGAAATCTGCCCGGTCTCACATTCAGACCCAATTTCGATAGCTTCTCGGGGTATCTTCGAGGAGTTCAAGGACATAACTTGCACTACTGGTTTGTAGAGGGGGTGTACTGTAATTTTAACCTAATTTTAGGATGGTCGAATCTCAAAATGATCCTCTCAGGGATCCACTAATCTTTTGGTAAGGCATTGTTGTCTACGTATGCTAAATATACTGTGATTATATATATTTACAAGACCTTCTATAAACTTTGAAATTCTAGGTTCAACGGGGGTCCAGGCTGCTCTTCTTTAGCCGGGCTGCTCCAGGAAATGGGGCCATACGTAGTGGATTCGGACGGATTAAATCTGAAAATGAATCCTAATTCTTGGAATAGGGTGAGTCGAGTTTTCACAGCTTCTATTTGGGGACACAATACTCTCTAAGATACTATATTTGAGTTTGCCAACATTGTATATCTGGAATGTCCCAGTGGGGTCGGTTTTTCATTCTCAGCGGATCACAAATTAAGGACGAACGATGAACTAGTAAGTGTAAATATTTTTTTTTAAATAATTTGATTTTTCAAAAAAAAAAACAAAATTTTCGACTACTTATTTACGAATTTAGACTGCCCAGAGTAATTATGCAGCCTTCAAACATTTCTTTTCGATCCATCCAAACTTCCGGCAGCATCAAATCTTCCTTTTTGGTGAGAGCTATGGCGCAGTTTATGTCAGTCTTCTGGGAAAGTTGATTTTACAAGGAAAAAGCGGCTTCCCAATAAATCTTGAGGTAAGTCCTGACTTTTCGACGACTTTTATTTTGATCTTTTTCTAAAATCCCCTTAGGGCATTGCGATTGGAAATGGGGAAATCAACCAGCAGCTGGCCGAGGAATCAATGTATTCTTTTGCCTACGAAAACGGTCTGATTCCCAATGGGCATTTCAAATTGATGGTTCAGGTAAGAAAGAGTCATCCTGCACAAGAATATTAGATACATTGGCAGTGAATCGAATCATATTTAGGTTTGCTGCAAGGGCCGACTCGCAGGGTGCGCTTTTGATAAGGTCGCCAGATCTTGTCGAACTTTGATGAACCAAATTGATGACTTGCTGGACAGAATCAACGTGTATGACATTTTCAGCGAATGCATCGATGAGTCGCACAAACGAAATGTAAGGAGAATTACTGTAATTAATTTACAATTAGACCTTATGAGATGACAAAAATTTTTATTTGATATTTATTTCAGTCACACCTAACTGCTCGAGAAATCCAGCCAGTAAAGTGTGTGGCGGGTGCTGCAATTACCACTTATCTGAACCGAGGCGATGTGCAACAAGCGTTACATATTCCAAGTGACTTCGGGAAAAAGTGGCTTTTATGCAGGTAAAATACGAAAACTATTATACTTACTATATGATTTCTCTTTATTATCTGTCATGCATACATATTTTTGAGCTTATATTGCCTTTAGCGACGAACTAAAATACAGAGAGATGAATCCGGACCTCTCTGATACCATCAAAAGCATCTTGTTCAGCAATGTCCGGATGCTACTTTATTATGGCGACGCTGGTGAGTGTTTGAGTTACTACTGCAAAAAGGTTTAGATTACCCACTTAGGTGACCAATTATTTCCAGACATTGTGGTCAATTACCGGGTTGGTGAAAAGTTTTCGGCCGACCTTGGATTACCAGTAGCCCAGGAGAAGAAAAGGTGGCGAACAAATGGCCAGATCTCCGGATCCAAGACGATATACTCTCCAGGACTAACGTTCCTGACGATATGGGGAGCTGGCCATATGGCACCGCAATGGCGGCCACAAGAAACGGCGTATGTTGTGAAACAATGGCTGAGGAATGCGACAATATAAAAAGTCTGACAGTTAACTGTAAATATGTATTGGTTGATCTTGTTGATAACATTAAATGACTTATAGAACCGCCAAGGATAAATCTGGTAAAGGCATAATTACGAAATAGGTCCAGTAATTAGTTGAATTCGCCATTTTTCACTAAACGCGCTGAGTCCCACCACGAAGAGTTTGAATGCAAACAATTTGTTTTGGCGTTCCGTCCCAGACGGCTTTTTTTGCTCACGAGCTTTCTCCGTCGCTTTATGCGAGACCCCGTGCACTCTATTGATCGCACTGACCGAGAACTTCATTTTCTTGCACAATGCGAGCGTGTTACAACGCGAGAGCGTCGATTCTCGAGCGAAGGCGAATGGATGTTTGCCCCTTTGACCTGGGTTACGCCGGGGATGGGTTTCTCGCTCTCCGATGGAGAAGAGTTTGTTCTCGTGGAATGTGGATTCGACGAGTGCTCTGCTGTTTACTTCTGTTTCTTTTCATTGTTGATGTTTTCGGGCGCTCATGTTTCCGATGATAAAACAAACTAGTGCATAATATTTTTCAATTCCAGGGATGAATGACTCTGAGAACCTCCTGAAAAGGCCTGCCATCCGTAACTGTTCTCCGCCGCGTTATGTTTCACCGGTAAGTCGAGTTTGTGTGCTGTTTCTCAAGTTTAGAATATGTTATACCTCACTGAAGTCAAGTTTATGAAATGGTTGTCGAAAAAAGAATTTTTGTGGGCTTTCATGCTTGCTTAACAAGCTGCAATAAGTGCATTGATGTTTTCAATAATTTGCAATGGTTTTTTAGAACTTGGTTTATTTCAGAACGGATCTCCCCACACAACTCCCACCAAGTTCAGGCCCGATGGAGGTGATCGGTTTATGCCGTTCCGAGAGCAATCCCTTGCTTGGTCCACCAAGTATGCTTCTCTTTCCGCATCGCCGTTGATTGAGAAGAATGCGAAAGCATTACAATCGTCGGAGAATGCCAATCCAACATCCCATCGAGAGCAATCTTCCCCCAACAATTCGAACCATCAGTCTTCTTCTTCGAACGCTCAAAACAACGATGATCAAGTACATGATTCGGTCACTCATCGGGCTTTGCTGAAAAACGAACTACTCAATCATAGCATCGTCGATATACGAGTGAGTTTTAGTTTAGTTCTAGTTATTTGAGATCGCAGAATAGGTTTGATAATTTAAATTTAGTCATTTCAAAGTCATTACGATGGATCAGATGCAGTCAATGTGATGGAAAGGCATAAGAATGAAGCTTTGTTACGGTTTGGCCATCGGACACCACAGAAACTCACAGTGTTGGCTGAAAGCTCAATATTTTCCAAAAGTCCGTTGTCAAATGATTCCCAAAAACTGCTGAAATCACCTAGAAAGCCTCAGAGAAAGGTCCCCAAGAATCCGTACAAGGTAAATTCTTTGCTACAAGTACTGACTGAAGTACTAAAGCCTTAGAAACAACAATTTATTGTCTTCTTTTGTAGGTTCTTGATGCCCCTGAACTTCAAGACGATTTCTACTTGAACCTGGTAGATTGGAGCTCCCTCAACATGCTTAGCGTCGGTCTTTCATCTTGTGTCTACCTCTGGAGCGCATGCAATTCCTCCGTGACAAAGTTGTGCGACTTGTCACCTGAGAATGACTCGGTAACATCGGTTCAATGGACGGAACGAGGAGATTTCTTGGCAGTGGGAACCTCTCGTGGTCTCCTACAGATCTGGGACACCCATGCACAGCGGAAGATCCATGAATTGTCCGGTCATAACTCGAGGATTGGATGTCTGGCATGGAACAACGACACGATTTGTACAGGATCGAGGGATCGGTCGATTATCCATAGGGATTTGAGACAATCGCACGTCATCGAAAGGAGGTTGAACTCCCACAGACAAGAGGTAGGAATTACTTAAACTTTGTCCTTCCAATTTTTAGGTTTGAAAAAAACGTAATTCAATTATTCATAGGTTTGCGGTCTTAAATGGTCTCCAAACAAAGAGTATCTCGCCTCTGGTGGCAATGATAATCAACTGTTGATATGGTCTCTGCGTAAGAATGAGCCCGTCCAAACTCACACAGAACATAACGCAGCTGTAAAAGCATTGGCATGGTCTCCTCACCATCATGGCGTCCTAGTGTCAGGTGGTGGAACGGCCGATAGATCTCTTCGATTCTGGAATACATTGACTGGACAAGCTATGCAATGCATCGAAACAGGATCACAAGTAAGTTTTTGTCATTATTATTGGATCTGTCTTTAGGTTTGTAACGTGGCATGGTCAAAACATTCGTCGGAGTTGGTATCCACCCATGGTTATAGCCTCAATCAGGTTGTTCTATGGAAATACCCAACCATGCAGCCGATCGTAAAATTGCAAGGACATCAGCTCAGAGTTTTGTATTTGGTGAGTGATTAGCTTCGTGTTTAATGAATGAACAGATGATGCGTTTTGATATATGTTTTGACGTTATCATTTTACAGGCAATGTCGCCGGACGGTGAAGCGATTGTAACTGGCGCTGGAGACGAGACCCTACGTTTCTGGCACGTGTTCTCGAAGTCGAATCCTCAAAAAGTGAATCGATCGGCATTGAATCTCCACTCTCGTATTCGATAACCTATCTTTATATATATTTATTTTAGCGTTTAAGCGTGGAGAAGGCGGTGAGCGGGAAACCTTTTACTTTAGATCATTCTAAATTATGTTACACAGCATGCTCTTTGTTTTGTAACACTTGTTTCCAGCTCTTCCTCACCTTCTCCATTTGTTTTCATTTTTTAATAGCCGTTTTTAAACGAAATCCCCGAAAACTTCCACTTTCTAACGAATTTGGACAAAAATTGTTAATTTTAGCAACCGACTAGTCCTTCTCAACTTGTAAAAAATCGCATAGTCACAGAACCGCTGAGAGTTCAGTTTTGGTGTTGTTGTACATTCTTTCCTTAATGTAGTCATTCTTATTCTTCTTTTATTTGGTTAAACCCCCCTTCCCATTTGACTTACCGGCCATTACTCAAAGTAAGGTCATTCTATGGTATGAAACCGTCTTTCAAAGATTTCATATTTATGTCTTATCTGCATGTCCATCACTATTTTGTTTGACTGTTTTCTTTGGCTAATGAGTAAAGTTCGTTGACGTATAAGACTTGATTTCATTTCTGGAAGGGAATTTGTAAGTCTTACGCAAGAATAAAGGCACAATGGAAACGTGTGATAAACCCGAGAAACTCAAAAACTCTTGTATAAGCCAACCATTCGACTCGCAGAAAGTTCGGGCGCAGCTCGCGTATTTCAGATTCGTATATTTTTATAGATTTTCCAACGGAAATTCGCGGATTCCCATTTAGAACACGAAAAGATGGCGGAAGGCTACGAACGAGTCCTTCTGATGAAGTCCGAGGTATTCGTCTTCAGAATACCTCCGTTGGGAGCCAGTAAAGGCCATAAGTAAGTTGTGGTAGATTTGATTAATTTGTTCTTGTCTTTAGAGCCGCCGATTGGAATCTGGACCAGCCCAACTGGGTTGGAAGACTGAGATTGCTGACGGTGGATGATCGACTTGAAATTCGATTAGAAGATAAGTCGACGGGTAAGTTTGACATAACTGTTATAGATTTGAGATCATTGGACAATTAAAAAAATATTCTTTCAGGTGTTTTGTATGCTAAAGCTCCCATTGAGTCGGCCCCAAGCATGGACTTTGAGTCAGTAACGGATTCTTCAAGATATTTCGTGATACGATTAAAGAATGACAACGGACAAACTGCTTTTGTGGGGATCGGATTCTCTGATCGAAGTGACTCATTCGATTTGAATGTTGCGGTGCAAGATCACTTCAAGGGAATTCAAAGGGATCACGAGTTGGCCAAGGAGGACGAATCGCGGCCAAAATTGGATTTGGGGTTCAAAGAGGGACAGACGATCAATATCAATATTGGAGTAGGTGTTTCTTTACTTGTTTTGTTAAACTTTAGATTCAACGTCGATGTGCAGAAAGACATTGCTTTTGATATCACATTCCTCACAGTCCATTTAAACATCTAAACAGTTACTTGTTCTTTTAGAATCATCTGGCACGACACTGATTTGTTTTATTTTTAGGGTTTAAAAAAGTCCGAGAAGTCCACGCCCAGATCCTCAGCGCCATCCTCGGGTGATGGACCCGTCCCTTTGCTGCCTCCTCCGCCATCTTCTTCCAGTCGTGTTCGCCGTGCTCAGAATTGATGGTCTCATCTCAATAAAGGATAATATTTATTAGCAAACTCACTTTTGTAAATTTATTTTGTGGGCCATGGATGACTTTATGATTTCTCATCATGTTCTGTTGTAACGACCCCTGGGGCTTATTTTGTATCATTCTGTGGATTGCGTAAGCTTGCACAATATAGTATTCGTTATAACGATCACGTTATTCTCATGAAAATATTAAAAGGTTAAAAATTTTAGTCGTTTATGCTAATTCTTGTTGGTTTTTGGCCATAAGAAGTACCTTCTTTTTTGAGTTTTTATCCAGTTCGATTAGTGTTTGACGAGTATTTCGGTGGTTGTTTTATTTCTCGCTTTGAAGGATGAGCAGACCGTCGATGGGAGCTGTCCAGCGGCTCAAGAAGGACTACCAGAAGTTGTTGAAGGACCCCTGTCCTTATGCATTGGCGGCCCCATTGCAATCCAACATCTTGGAATGGCATTATGTCATCTTTGGAGCACCGGAAACTCCGTATGAAGGTGAGTTACATACTTTTTTGTGTTTATTCCTCTCTTTAGGCGGATATTATCATGGAAAGTTGGTTTTCCCGGCGGATTTCCCGTTCCGTCCCCCTTCGATCTACATGATTACCCCCTCCGGGAGGTTCCAGACCAATCAACGCCTCTGCTTGTCCATATCCGACTTCCATCCAGACACCTGGAATCCCTCGTGGACAGTCTCTACCATCTTGACTGGGCTAATCTCCTTCATGAATGAAAATTCTCCCACTCTCGGATCCATCACCAGCTCCACGCAGGTAATTTTTCAAATCCACATTTGGAATTCTGACATTGCTTTAGCGTTTTGAAACGTAAAATAAAAATAATGATTATAGGAAAGGAAAACGCTGGCGAAGCGTTCCCGTGATTTCAACCTTGGTGATCCCGTTTTCTGTTCGGTCTTCGAGGAGTTGGCGAAGGAACTTCAGGCCGAGAAAACCGCCGAACTCGCTGCTCAGACCACCGCTACAACGACTGCCCAGAATAACAGCGAAAAAGAGAAACCATCGTAAGTTTTTTTGAGTCAGATTGCCTTGATCTGGGGCTGTGAGGGATTACCGGCCTGACGTTCTTTTTTTAAGGGTTTAGAAAGCAAGAAAATGTTTGAAATCGTGTTGGTAGTTTGTTTAGAGGGGTTTTGTGGAATCATTTATTACTTTAGTGTCACCTAAAATAAGGTAATTCTCCTTTTTATAATATAGGAACAGTTTTCTAATCAATTTCCAGATTGTTTCTCACGCTTTCAGTCCTTATCCACCTCTCCTAACCTGATTGTGCTCCTCCACGTCTGTCTTAAGTCGTTTAATCCCCCCTTAACCGCCCTTGTGGCTCAATTTCAGGGACAAACAGGAGAGTCGAGAGAATTCGTCGATGGCTGCGAATATAATCATGGTCACGTCGGTCCTGATGCTCGCTCTGGTGGTGCGGTATGTGATAGTGTCGGCGGCGGCGAGTGGTTAACATCGATCGAATAAACCAACTGAATCTGTAAAAAGTTGTCATATTTAATTATTGGTAGTGGAATTACTGTCTAAGTAGGGGTATATTGTCGTGTCTTCCTATCTTTGAAGGACTCGACAAGTCTAGATAGTCGTATCTTGAGGATTCCATTGCTCTTTTTATCTGTTCGAGAAATGGGTCATTCTTTGTTTCGGTTTTGTGAAGTAATACGGTTTCAAATACATAACAATTTACTGTTATAAATGATTTCTTCTATGTTGTCCATGTCTTTTCTTCCCCTCATTTACTGTTTTCATGACAATAAACCGAACTGTAAATGTCGTATCTAATCTAATGCATATGGAATAAACGAATATACGCAGTTAACCCCGCTCTTTTGTTGAATTTACTAACAGATTCCCCGGTTCTGTCAATATATTATAGAGAAAAAAGAGAATGAACTGTGAAGATTATTGTGTTCTGCTTGTAGCGTATGAGACTGGCACTCCGTCATCGCCCGGTATGGTTTGGACTGGTATTCGTTGTCCTGGCGACCGTATTTTATTTGGGAAGAGTAAGCAGGCCCTCCGGAGAATGTCAAAACTCGATAATCGGAAATGAGAGGCAAAAATCTGTCCAGACCCCACCAAAAACCTTCTTGCTCATGCTGATTATGAGCTCACCGGGTAAATTCGGCTTTATATTACTCATAAGTATTTGAATTAGTCATCGTTTCAACCTCTCTGTGACTTTAGAGGACGCTGAAAGTCGCCAAACTGTACGATCCACATGGCTCCGACTTCCCAGTTACTCAGACTACGATGTGCGATATTTCTTCCCCGTAGGTACCAAAAGTCTCTCAGAAGAGCAACTGAAAACATTGGAGAAAGAAAAGGAAAGGTTTGGGGATCTCGAATTCATCGACAAACTCGAGGAATCCTTCGACAATCTGGCCAAGAAGACCGCTTATTCGATTGAACGGGGTGTTCAGAAGTTTAAATTCGAATATGTCCTCAAAACAGACACCGATTCGTTTGTCCAAATTGGCCGGCTTCAGAAAGCCCTCAAAGATGTGGCCCATCCTATGTTATATTATGGATTCCTGGATGGCAGGGCCAAGCCATTCCGTCGGGGAAAGTATCGAGAGAAAGATTGGGTCCTTTGTGATCGATATCTACCGTATCAACTGGGCGGGGGCTATGTTTTGTCCTACAAATTGGCTGAATTCATCGCCGCCAACACCAGAATCCTTCGATACTATCGAGCGGAAGATGTCAGTGTGGGTGTCTGGCTCGCCGGGATCCAAGTAAAATACCTGCATGATCCCAGATTCGACACCGAATTCATCTCGAGAGGATGCAACAACAACTATTTGGTATCTCACAAGCATCATAAGGAGGCTATGTATAAACTGGCCAAAAACGTGCGAGAGAATGGTCAGTTATGTCAGAAAGAGTTCCAATCACGCCCTTCCTATGTGTACGATTTCTCCGTGCCTCCGTCACAATGCTGTCAACGTCTCAATGGGTCACGAATCCCTTGATAAGCATTTTACAAGCAATTTACCCTCTAGACCTCGTCAATCTATAAGCATTTGCTCAAACCCTGGTTTTAATTTATTCACACTTCAGTTTCACAGCTAATTCCTATGTTCTATTGTTAATTTCACCTAAAGGAAGCATAAATCCTCAGTCTAGTCCTCTAGTATAATATCCTTTGAATTGTTACCTAAACGACCGCAATCCACAGCTACCATTTCCATGACGATTGCATTTTCTCTGTGTACGTGAGCGATTTTCAAATGGCTCCAAAGCTTTTCTGTCGTATTTGCATTCATTACATTGTACTTGATCTTGAGTCCTATAACGAAAACTTCGGCGCTAAAAATTTTCTTTGAACTTTCTGCGATCAATCGATAAATTGGCCAGAAAAGTTTGTTTTACGGGTGGAAATAAATGTTTTACAAGATTTTGGGTACATCGGGTCAGTGGTTGAGATCTAGTGTTGATAACACGAATTTATTGTCAAATAGATTTCCTGTTATTTTGTCAAAAAGATGTTGAGTAATGTTAGAATTAAAAGGATAGACCGACTTACGCCGAATGATGCGGATCGTTCAGATTTTTTAAGAGTGAACATTCCAGTCGTATGTATAGTATAATATAATTGTAGACCATGCTGGCGGTGGAAGAGCTATTTCAGCGGTTGGCCCAAGGATCTACCTGGGATCATGTGACGTGGATGATCAGTTCGTTGTTCGCTTTCTCGTTTCTTCATCATGTTTTTGTCTCCAGGTTCACCTTCAAGTCATCTCTGTAAGTTTTTTGGTATTGTTATTCTTCCTTCATATCAAGTTAGACGAGAATGTGATTTCCAGGTCGAAAGTGGTCCTCTTTTTATTCGAAGTGTTCTTCATTTGTCTTTGTCCAGCCTTGGTTCACACTTTTTGGTCCAATCACATTCCCCAAGCCACTTGTGGAGCAGTTGTTGCCGGGCTGTTGTTGTTGTTAATCCCGCCCAAATGTGATCCTGGCAGCGTGAAGACGCCTTCTCAGGATATCAAGTAGGTTTTTAATTTCATTATTATTTTGTTGTTTTGCTGTAGACATGAATTGTTTTAATATTCCACTTCTTCCTCAACTAAAGCATGCTATTTTCAGGAATGTGGTGCTCATGACGACTTGTATGGTGATCACTGCAGTGGATTGTCGTCTGATCTTCGACGTTCGCTTCACCAAGACCGTCCAATATGGTTGGTCGGCAATGGATGTGGGCACTGGGCTATTTGTCGCCCTCCGTGCTCTTCATGATGCCCGTCCCTTCAAACCTCAGCACTTCAGCAAAAAGTTGATTGGAAATACCCCAAACTTCTTGATCTTTGGTGCTCTCGGAGTTGGAAGGAGCTTGTTTATCGCGATTTCCGGGTATTATCAGGACATTATGGAGTATGGGAAACACTGGAACTTCTTCCTCACTTTGTTGTGCATTGAGGTTGGCATTTTCTTGTCCGAAGAAATTTGATTTTGATTTTTTGCTGAATCATGAAGCTTATTTTAGGCGGTGATATACTTCGACAAGCAGTATTTTATTCCGTGGACCAAACGCTTGACGAGGTTTGAGATCCCTAACGTTTCCTTCTTCATCGGCACCGCTTATGTCGTGTTTCTCATTGTTGATCCATCATTTGAAACGTATTTATTGGGTAGAGAACCGGAAAGATCTGGTGGTATCTTTGATCAGAACAGAGAGGGTTTCTGTTCTATTTTTGGGTATCTTTTCATCTACGGAGTTCTTCTGGAACATAACAAAAGAGTGGTGTAAGTTACCCTTTTTACAATTTTTGGTTGATGGTAATTTTGAAAGAAGATTTTGTTGCGCTTTATGGGGTTTTGTTTTTAGACCATCTGATTTGTGGAGATACGAATCTGTGGCCTATAGCACTACTACGGTGTTCAAGAATCTACTCAAGAATTCCATTCATCCGCTCGCCTATCTCCTTCTTCTCTATATCGCCGTCTACCACTATGATCTCCAGCCATCAAGAAGAGCCGCCAATTTGACTTATGGCCTCTGGATGGTAAGTGCAACATAATTTTAACCTTTTTTGTTTTTAATTTTCTAGATGTCGATTGCTTTCCAAGGAGGCGCACTCAGTCTGTTTTATCATCAGTTAACCGCCAGACCGGAGTAAGTAATTATTTACTATGTTATACTTGACATTTTTAATAGTTTTTCGGATATTATTTTTGATGTTTACAGTATCATCTCAACGCGACCTCAGCCCTTGCTTGTTCACACGGCTATTGCACACAATGGAGCGGCTGTTTTCTTGGTCGCAAACCTCCTGACCGGTCTATCCAATTATCTTCGAGATCCGCTTGAACTTTACACAGAAGCAAAGGAGTTTGGATGTCTGTGCGTTTACTCCGTTCTCCTGTGTCTCTTCGCGTACCTGTTGGAATACGGTAAAAAGCACAAGACTGTCGAACACAAAAAGGTGTTGTTTGTTTTCAGTTCTTGCAATGATTTCTTGTGTATTATCAGTTTTGGTGGCATTGAGATGTAAATAGTTGAGTGAAATGCGGTTTTAGGGTTTGCAAGTTTTACAATGATTTATTTCAGCACGGCAAACTGGTATCATCTAACTTTGAAGAGATCCTGGGATATGATCACAAAGGACTGCTGTATGACGATGAAGAAGTAAGTTGTTACAGATGTTTTTTCATTGTCTTTAGGAACCCTCTACCAAATCCTCAAGTCCCAAAACTCCATTCCGGCGGAGCTCAGTTCCATCTTCCGAAGCTAGGAAGCGCATGACCCACAGGGATTTGAGTGTGTTGAGAACCACCTTGAAAGAAACCTTTACTGCTCCGGCAAACTCAAGTAGAAGTGAAAGAGACCAGCAGAAAAGGTGAGCATACGGTATACAACGATGTTGGAAGTATAAAGCGGTAAACTGAATTTTTACAGCGGAGAATCCACTCCAACTGGCCGCCCCACCGAGTCCTTGGAAGCTGAAGAAAAGGGCTTTTCGTTCAAAGGAGTAGATGACAATGATTTTTATACCCCTAGACCTGTTACCAGATCCATGAGCAAAAGCCCGAGCAGATCTCTGGAGATCAGTCCACCAAAATCCAACGCTCCGGTCAAGAAAACCCCAGCCGTGCCTTCCAAAATCCCTGCACCAGCCATTCGAAGATCTTCCAGAACCCCCAAACCCAAGACCAAAATGGATTAACAGCGTTAACCCCATTTAATCAGCTTTAACTATACTACTACTCATGCCATATCCGATAATTTATTGACCTACTTTTTATCCACATCTATTACACCGAGTTGTTGCTCTGAATGCTGGGGTATCATCTCATATCACGGGCGAAAGTATTACGGGCCAAAATTTAATTCATTATGTTATCCTTGACTTGCTCAAAATTTTGTTTTTGTTTTTTTAATAAATTTTATTTTGGAATACCAATGAGTCATTTTGAGCATCACGGGCATAGATTTACAATTTTAAGTCTTACATTTACATTTGAGTACAGGTTTATATTAATTTAGTCATCATTTCTGCCCGAAACGTCGACCTTCCCTCACAAACAGAAAGAACTCCGCTCCAAAGAACCACCAGCACCCCGGACGGACCTCTACCTCTCTCTCCTCGATTCTCTGCCTACACAACCCATCCCCACCTCCACCCTCTCTTCATATATTCTCCTTGTCCATCTCCAATCCCCCTCTTTTCTCTGCTCTCCGACTTGTTTTCCCCCGCTCGTCAGGCGGCGTTATAGAGGGCGCCAGTGTCAGGGACTGAAGGCTGGGGCTGTCTCTGTGTGCAAGCTCCCCTTTCCATTCCCTTTTCCACATAAAATTTGGGGCGAAGAAAATCGCGTTCTTTTTGTCGAGAATTTTCGAAAATCGCTCAGAATTGGAGGCTCTCTCTTCTTCTCTTTGCGTTTCAGAGTTTCGCCCGCTCCGGAGTAGGGTTTGCTCCGTCCCACGGCGGGAATCTACGATGCCTCCGGCGGAGCAGGTAGTGCTCCCGAGCGGGGAAATAAAAAATAAAACATCGGAGATGGGGGATGCGGCGTATAATAAGAATCTAACTGATTTCGGGGTCCGTGATGAACAGCATAACTAGACTATTGGGACCAGTAATAAAAGGGCTAATCGACATTACAATCTCAATATCTTGTTGCCACTATGAGTACCGGTAGTGATAAGAAATGGCTTTAATGTTGAAATTTGCCCAAGCGTTTACGTCCTATGTAATAATTTTGACATGGGTTTGTTAATGGTCCATCACAACCTATACCTTAATATTTACGAAAGATGCTAACGCCATAGCCAAATACGGTCTAACAGTATATGTTGGACTGTTAGACCGCATTTGGCAGTCGTTACATCAAGATATATCTGCATCTTGAAATTGGTAACCCTGATGTGTATTTTGACTATTATAGGAGAATTTTGAGATAATACGTATAAAATACATACCTGTTGGTCTTACTTCTCTTCCGGAATTCCTACAGTAACCTCCTAACCTGAGAGAAACACTTGACCCAACCCGATTTAATGAGTCAAGTTTCATTCTCTCTTCTTTCGCCAGGGGTGGTCGGCGGGCCGGGCCGGCCCGGCCCGGGCCGGCCCGGCCCGGCCCAAACGGGCCGGCCGGCCTCGAAAATGGAAATTGACAAACGGGCCGGGCCCGTCACGGGCCGGGCCGGGCCGGGCCGCGGGCCTGGGGTTTTTCCGGCCCGGCCCGGCCCGTCTAAAATACAATGCCAAACCGTTGGCATTCATTGTTTTCGCGCCGGGAAAATTAATTGATGTTGTTATAGTTGCTGTTTCTCAAGTTCTAACACGTTTACAAGTCTATAGTTCCATTATAGAACCACAAAACTATCACATTGATCCTTTACTAGCTAGATCAACGCCTTTTTTGCCTCAGTTTAGATCCCGAGCCTGGGCGCAGTTCGCAGAACCCTCTATAGACGGGCCTGCACGGGCCGGGCCGGGCCGGGCCAGGCCCGTCACGGGCCGGGCCGGGCCGGGCCTGGAAAAAGACTAGACGGGCCGGGCCGGGCCGGGCCGGTGATTAGACGGGCCGGGCCGCGGGCCGAAAATCGGAAAAATAGGGTCCGCTGACCACCCCTGTCTTTCGCGAAAAATATTTGGCGTTTTTTACGGGAAAGCGTAGAAAATAGACGTTCGTATCTGTATTTACCGCGTAATCGTGCACTGTGCTATATTCTATCACGTAGTTGATTTTTTGTGTCTCGGGCTTATTTTTCCTTTTTTAGATTCAAATTGGGTGTTTTGAGTGCTTGCAACTTGAGTGAACCATTTGGGAATTGTCATGGAAGGACAACCACCGCCGCAGGTTGTCCAAGGACAGCCTGGCCCTGCTGGAATTGGGCCAGACGGTCAATTGAACTTGCCTAATAAGGAGATGTATATAACACGAATTGAGAACACAATGGCCGGATTAGAAGAGAGTGGGCATAGTCAGGATCCGAGATACGCCCAACTTGACGCCTTGAAACAGTCAATCAAAAGTGGTATGTATCCATGATTGTATTCTGTTGGTTCAGGATGTTTTCATATTTAGATTTTACTATTGTTGAATTTTAGGAAAGGTTCAACCTCCGCAGCCGGCCGCCTCAGAAGAAAAAGACAAAGACGGAAAAAAGCTGACGGAGTCTCAGATTCAACGTCTTCGTGCTCAGATTGCGACTTACAAACATCTGGCGAGAAACGAGCCGGTTCCATCTGGAGTAATGTCCCAGGCACTTGGTACTCCACTCTTCGCTCCATTCGAACATCCCAAAGAATTGGAAAACGGAGAGAAGCTTCCATACGATCTCATGAGAGTTCTGGGACTGCATTTACAACGGAGTCAAACTCGGACCACTCAGATTACGCAACCCATCGGCATTGATCCTGTGGCAATTGCTAAGGAAAGAGAAAACAGGTGAGTGGACTTGATTTTATTTTATACGAGTTTATATTTAGAGTGACTGAAAGGATGTAAACTGTCTTTTTATGTTCCAGAATTCACAATCGGATACTCCTTCGAATGCAGGAGCTAGAAGAACTTCCAGTAAATATCTCCGAAAGGCTTAAAATTAAAGCCGAGATTGAACTTCGTGCTCTGAGACTGTTGAATCTTCAAGCTCACGTCAGAAATGAAGTGTTGGGATACCTGAAGAGAGACACAACTTTGGAGACGGCTCTGAATCCATTTGCTTATAGAAGAACAAAGAAGTTGAACTTGAGGGAAGCCAGAGTCATGGAGAGATTGGAAAAGCAACAGAAGTTGGAACAGGAGAAAAAGCGAAGGCAAAAACATCATGATCTTCTTCAGGTAAGTTGGCTGGCTATTTCTTATACCATTTATTTTAGTCTATTGTCACGGCCAGCAAGGACTTTAAAGAGTTCCACAGAAATTGCCAGCTCAGAAACCAAAAGGTCAAGAAGGCTGTCGTCACTTATCATGCAAACTCTGAACGGGAGAAGAAGAAGGAAGATATACGAATTGAGAGGGATCGTATGCAAAAACTTATGCAAGAAGACGACGCCGGATACAGAGCTTTGCTGGATGAAAAGAAAGATAAGCGTCTGGTGTACCTTCTCCAACAGACTGATGAGTTCGTGGAAAGTCTTACCGGCTTGGTGAAGAAGCATCAACAGTCCGAAAAGAAGAAGAAACGAGACGAGAAAAAGGCCGCGCAAAAGGCGTTGGATCAACAGAATGCGGAGAGCGACAGTGTTCGAGTGTTGGTGCAGAACTCGGCCACCGGAGAGATCCTCACTGGAGACAAAGCCCCCAGGGCAGACGAGGTGGAACAATGGATCGAAGCGCATCCCGGATTCGAAGTCATCTCCAGGGATATTGGGTCTGATGATGAAGACGTGCAACCTCAAGAACCCGAAAAGAAACAGCCAGAGAAGGAGGAGGAACAAGACGATGAGTTTGAAGGTCTGGATGAAGAGACCAGAAACAAAAAGATTATTGAAAAGGCCAGAAACGAAGAGGATGAATACAACAATCAATTGAACAAACAACAGATGGAGAGTTACTATGCAACTGCTCATCGGATCCGCGAAAGAATCGTCAAACAACACTCCATGCTGGGTGGCGGAGATCCATCTCTTCAATTGAAACCTTATCAGATCAAGGGTCTCGAATGGATGGTGTCTTTGTACAATAATAACCTCAATGGTATCTTGGCTGATGAGATGGGTCTCGGAAAGACTATTCAGACTGTCGCTTTGGTCACCTACCTAATGGAGGTGAAGAAAGTTAATGGCCCATACTTGATTATCGTCCCATTATCGACCATTTCCAATTGGAATCTCGAGTTGGAGAAGTGGGCTCCTCATGTGGTAAAAGTCGTGTATAAAGGAGATCGGGAACAGAGAAAGAGAATGGAAAGCAAAGTCAAGAGAGGAGAGTTCAATGTTCTGTTGACTACATACGACTATGTATTGAAGGAGAGGGTGAGGATTATTTTTTTTTTCATCATTAATACACATGAGATTTGTTTAAATCTTGATCTTTTAGAGTATGCTTGGCAAAATCCGCTGGAAGTACATGATCATCGACGAAGGTCATCGTATGAAGAACCACAATTGCAAGCTCACGCTGACGTTGAATGCCTATTTCTCAGCTCAACACCGTCTTCTGTTGACTGGAACTCCCCTTCAGAACAAACTTCCCGAATTGTGGGCTCTTCTCAACTTCTTGTTGCCTTCGATCTTCTCGTCTTGTGGAACATTCGACTCTTGGTTCAACGCGCCATTTGCGACAACCGGTGAGAAGGTGGAACTAAGTCAAGAAGAGACCATGTTGATCATCAGACGTCTTCATAAAGTATTGAGACCGTTCTTGTTGCGAAGACTGAAGAAGGAAGTGGAGAGTGAATTGCCGGACAAGACTGAGCATGTAATCAAATGTGACATGAGTGCGTTGCAGAGAATCGTATACAAACATCTTCAGAAGGGTCTTCTCATCGACTCCAGTCATGTAGGTTGAGGTTGACTTAATTTATGATCTATGATTTCCTTCTTCAGCAGTTTTTCTGGTGGAATCTTAGGAGATTTTAATGATGACATTGGGTTCATATTGTTCTTCATGTCTATGATGAGAATATGTTGTTTTTTTTTTCAGGAGAATGGCCGATCCCTTCAAAACACCATGGCCCAGCTGAGGAAGCTGGCCAATCATCCATTCCTCTTCCCTGCCATCGAAGAAGACTGTATCAAGCATTGGAAGATCAACCATGTAACTGGAAAGCATCTGATCCGAGTCTCGGGGAAGTTCGAACTCCTCGACCGGATCCTTCCCAAGCTGAAAGCGACTGGCCACAGAGTCCTCATCTTCTCTCAAATGACCAAGCTCATGGATATTATGGAGGATTACTTCCTTTACAAGGAATACAAATACATGAGGTTGGATGGATCAACGAAACACGAAGACAGAGGAGAAATGTTGAAGAAATTCAATGCTCCAGATTCCGAGTACTTCATCTTTGTTCTCTCAACCAGAGCCGGAGGATTGGGACTGAATCTCCAAACCGCGGATACTGTAATCATCTTTGATTCGGATTGGAATCCCCATCAAGACATGCAGGCCCAGGACAGAGCTCATCGGATTGGACAAACGAGAGAGGTCAGGGTGCTCAGGATGATCACTGTCAACTCGATCGAAGAGAAGATCTTGGCCGCAGCCAGGTTCAAGTTGAACGTCGATGAAAAAGTTATTCAAGCTGGTAAGTGAAGTTGGATGAGCGAATCAGAAATTGTGTGGTGTTTTTAAAGGCTAGGGTTGTTGGAAAAAATATGCAAAAGATTGAGTATGAGTTTTCAGGTATGTTCGATCAACGTTCCACTGGCGCCCAACGTCGAGAAATGTTGGAACAGATTATTAAAGCGGATGAGGAAGATGAAGACGACGATGAGGTCCCTGAAGACGAAACGATCAATCAGATGGTCGCCAGAAGTACCGAGGAATTAGATATTTTCCAGGTGAGCTTTTTTTTATCAGTCACACTTGTTTCTTTTCTATATATGGAGTTTAATTTTGTTTAACAAAATATGTGCTCTGTACAATTTTTTGTATTGCAGAGAATGGACATTGAACGACGCCGACAAGAGGCCTCAGAAGACGTTAGAATGCCGAGACTCCTTGAAGAAAACGAGGTCCCTCCATCGATCATTGAACAGCATAAGAGAATCCTCGAGAACGAAGAAAGAGGACCCGTAAAGAAGGATGAACTCCTGGAACCAAGCAGAAGAAGAAAACGAGAAGTTAACTATGCCCAGGACTTGATGAGTGATCGAGCTTGGCTCAGACAGATTGGAGAGGAATTCGATGATGATGGCGGCGAAGAGGAGGAAGAAGAACTTCCAAGGAAGAGAAGAAAGAAGGAGAAACCAGAGTCCGCGAAGAGAGGAAGGAAACCCCGAAGTGATAAGGCCGGCACCAGTAAGGAGGAGGAAGATGATGACTGAGTCTACAGCCCCAATTTGGTTGATCTTAACCCATTCGAGAAGGACGACCATCTCGAATCTTACCCAAATACCCCTACCGTAATATATGTTAAATATGATCATCACTAAATCTTCTTTGCAAAGTTTGTGTTATACCAGTTAATTTATACTCGTCCAGAATAAATGGTAAATTAAATTTCGAAGCAAAGATTTCGATGAAACTTGGCACAAATTTAGAGTAATTTTTTCTGACAAAGACTGCAAGGCATCTATAATAGCTCGCGCTTTGCAGAAAAGAAGATTTTTATATCAAAAGGCGGCAAAAATTTGACCTCTGCGAATTTTGACATTGAAAGTTTCATGCCTATTTCTATTACTATACAGGGTAGTACATCTTCATAGAGTTGTACGGACAAAAGCGTCGCCTTTTTCCAATATCATTCATTCTTAGAATTGATCCGACAAAACAAAGTTCATTGAGTTGTTTCACGCTCCAACTTCTTCGTACCGAACCTTGATCGTCCCGAAACGCCTTCCTCTTCCGGAGAGCGCTTAATCAAAGAAGGAAGTCGAACTGGTTATCAGTCGCCGGCGAAAAGAACAAACCGGAATCCGATTCCGGCTAGCGGAGGGAGTATCCGAGAGAGCCGGCTAATCTTTTTATATTGTTTTATCAACCCGCATTGTTTTTATTTCCTTGAACTTTAACTTCTAGCTTTGCGTCAAACGGTCATGAAACTTGGGTCCGGGTTTCCTGCAGTTTATCATACAACAGCACGTGCTGGGGAAAAAACTTTTTTGACTAGAAACCTCCCCTAGTTCTTTTGTATCAGTCGCTATCGTTGATGCAGTTGTCCTCGAGTGTAATCTGAACTTACAGCACCTTGTAGTCCCCGATGACTCTCCGGATATTTTCCTTAGCACTCCTTCTGCTTCTCCCACTCTCCACACAGTCATGTGCAGCCACTCGCGGTGGTGGTGGAGGGGCGTCTCCATCAATTGATCGATGTCCTACAGGCCCCGCCAACACGGCCGGCCTCACAACAAACGGGGTGACCCTGCAGAATGCCGGAGATACCAGTAATCCCGTCGCCACTTCTTCGTCGTGTACAGCTGGAGAAAGGAACTATTGGACATCAGCGACAAGTGCACAGCCAGATGATGATACTGGGAATGCTCAAAAAGAAATCGGGGTCCAATGCCCAACGGCGAGTAGTGTCTGTGTCTGTCGATGCGACGGGGTCTGCTGTCAGTCGGGCTCAACAGCACCAGACACGGTGTCGTTTTTTCCATTCTGCAGCGGAGGTGGTAAGTTATATTGTGCATGACAACCAAATATGGAGATATCACAATTTTTTTCTATCCCTAATTTTGTTTGAATTCCAGTGTGCAACTCCTACGCCGTTCTGGAAGGTGATAATGCCGCCAGTTTGACCTGCAGTGACGGCTCCACATTTACCGTGGCCAGTCAGAGCAATGCTGATGGATCCTTCAAAGCGCTGACCTCAGGAAGTTATTTAGAAGCTGCCTCTGTGTCTTGTAACGGATGCTCTTCCATTCAAAATGACGCTTGCACAGCTGCAGTAAGCGGCTCAACTCCCATCTCGTAGAAGATGGTTTCGAAAGACGTTGATCTGGTGTTATATAATACTAATAATGTTGTTAATAATGTAATAATAAATAAGTTCAAAATCATCTTTACTTCGTCCATTCATTCATTTTTGATGTAACGCGCCTTATCAGTTGTTAATTACATTAATCTTGATTACTTTTGTATAAATTGGAGATGGTGTAATATTATACTTTTGGATACCACGGAAAGTAAAACCAAAATTTTCAATAACCGAATTACTCAAAAGTTGCAACTGTTTTATTCACGATAAAAATAAACAACAACATCGGATATCATCGAATCATAAATAATATTAATTTTCGCAACATTAGGCATCTGATACTCGGTTATAAATAAGGACTCTGACTAAGACCGGGTGTGCAGTTAGTTCGGCTTCGGTTCGTCGTGGGATTCGCTCTTTCGGTGCTCCTTTTTGGTGATAGGGAGGCCATAGGTGGGATGCTTCTTATGGAAGTCGGAGATGAATTCCTGAGGTGTTTGATGGGATTCTTTTTGATAATTTTGATTTATGGGCACGCCGAGAATCTCGGGAAGCATCCACGGTTTCAGCCATACCACCAGTGGGGTCTGTCCGTTATAGTAGTGCACCTAGAATAAGGTCATTGAAGGATGCCAACTTATAATATTCCAGATTCAGTTTATGAATCATACCTTTGAATAGTAAAACAAAACTCCATCCAACGTAAAGTCATATTCTCGTTCCATCAACAACTTGAGCTCGTCTTTTCGGGCGGGGACAGCTGGTAACTCGGCGAAATTAAATTGACCATCATTCTGATCAAAGCAGCCGGCTTCTCGAAGGAAACTGGATCCCATGGTTCTTCTACAATCATACTCACAGTCTTCCAATGGGATATCATTGGCGATGAGGTAGTCGAGAACATAAATGGTGTTCTTGCAGAGGATTCCGTCGATAAGGTTGGTCTGTTGGTGATTGTTCAGGGAAGATTTGAATCGGGATAATTGAGCACCACGTTTGTCGTAAATGTAAGTGAATGCCTGAAAATAAAATCATATTTATAAAACTGGAAGAATTTTGTGTCCTCATAATGACTCCCAACCTACGTTTTCAGAGAGGACAAGGACTCTTTTCCCAGCTGGTGCAGGTAGAGCCAGCCAGGCGTCTTGGAGATCTTGTGGAATATCAATCAACCATTCGCTGTACATGAGTCTTCCTTTCATGTCCTTTCTTTGGAACCGTGGTTTGAACTTCTTATCATTGTCATCCCCATGGCTCTTCTGTCGTCTTCTTCTCCGATCCACCTCCATAAACCCATTCCCATCTTCGTCTTCAACCTCAGGCTGACTCGCATCTGAGATCGTCCGATTCGCATCCAGCCTTGACAATCGTGCGCTACAATACGATACGTTTAATAAATGTTTCAATTTTTTACGTCTTCTGTCTCTCCAAGACTTCATTCCTTCGATGCCGTTGGTTCTCCTGAAGCTTTCCAAAGTTTTTATACATCGAATATCTGGGGTGATCGCCGGCTGTATTGTTGGGGGTTACCTCAACCGAGGTCGCGAATCCCTCCAATAGACCTTCCACATCGTCTTTTGGGGCTTCTTGGCTCATTACAAACCTACACAGAACAACTACATTACCCAAACAAATATAAACACGCCTAACGAAATAATGTTTGCTTTCAAATCGCGCTAAATGTTAAATAGTCAAGGTTTGATTACCAACACCCATCAGATCAGATGAATGTCCTCTCATCTCTTACGAATATTCTTTATTATCTTGATGAGTAAAAAGGACTGAGATTAAGTCAACAAACACAATAATAATCCATATACGGAAGAAACCATTGCCAATCAAAGTAATAACATTATCAACCAGTCGAAAACTGTGAGAACATCTGATTCTGTTCTAATTAAAAACGCGGAGGCTCTTGTCCAAGGATACTGTAACCAGGAATTGCGCCAATTCTCCAAATCTGACTGAAGTCGCGGCTGCTGTATGCGTTTCGAATGTGCTGACTACCTTCCAGGAGCGGGCCTGGAAGATCTGGACATTCCTGGCGGCGGCAGCAAGGTAAGCGCCGCTCTGGTCGAAAGAAACGGAATTGATCTATAATAAAACAAAAATTAAATTAGATATGCCTTCTCAGTCTATCTCTACCTTTCCAAATATCAAAAAGATCGCAAAACCACCTTACACATGTCATAAAAATTACAATTATAAAAAGTATTATACTATCCCCTTCTTACCGGATGTTTTCCATCGTCGATCGCAAAAGTCTTGACATTGTCCAACTTCCTCAAATCCCAGATCTTAACTTCTCCTTCATCTGCTCCAGAGGCCAGATAATATCCATTTTCACTGAAGGCGAGAGTTCGAACAACGCCTTGATGTCCAGAGAACAATGCCACTCGAGTTTGGTTTCTCAAGTCCCAGATTTTCACATTGGAGTCACGAGTTCCCAGGCCAAAGATCAGACCGTCCGGATGGCATTTTCCGCATGTAATCGGCGCTTCATCTCCGTCATCTTTCACCTAAAAGATGACAAATTATTAAGGGAAAATATGACAAATTATTACCAACGAAGTTGACCACCTACCTTAACCAGAGCTTGTCCAACGTTCAAATCAATCAAAGACCAATACTGATCCTCAGAGAACGCGAGAAGGAAGTCGTTAGTTGGATGAAGAGAGATATCGTTGACACTGGAGTTGTGCAGGTTAATAGTGTGCTTGGCTTGTTCGTTCGATCTACTCCAGACCTTGACAGTCGCGTCCTGCGATGCCGAGATGATGTCTTGGTCATTGGGATGAATTATGCACGACGTAATCGGTTTCCTGTGGCCTTTGAAGGTCTTCTCAATGGTTTCTTGGTCCAAGTCAAAAAGAGTTAAAGTCTTGTCAACACCTCCAGTTAATGTAATTCTTCCCTAAAATGATAAACTAAATATACAACAGGATCACACTAACCTTGAGATCCAAACAATTGATTCCTGGCGTTCCAACACTATGAAGGCCGGTGTGAACAGCGGTTTCTTTGAACTGGGATAAAGTCTCAACACTGGCCAAACCCTCGGGTAACTTCTTTCCTTTGGACTTCCTCTGTTGAGACAACTCTGTGCCCGTGGCCTGGATGCGGTTTATGTTGTCCTCGCTGAGACCTGGAAGAGCATCGCCCATCTCCACATCATTCTCATCAGCGCCGTTGTCGTCCTGTCTTCGGTTCTCCGCATTCGCCGCTTGCTGAAACAGAAAAAACGTGTCCATTTAGGAAATCTAAAGAAAAAAACAAAAAAGAAACCCTCTTACTTGAAGTCGATGAGCGGGGATGTTGGCCATCGCATTACGAGCAGAAGCCAATTCCAAACTGAGCCTGTTGATTACTCTACAAGCCGCGTCATTCTGATACAAAGCATGAGTAAGTTCCTCTCGAGCGGCTTGTACTTCATTCCGGAGAGTAAAATTATTCAGCATCAAAGCATCCCATTCATTTTGGAGCATCTGAAGAAGATGGGGAATGGACGACGTCTGAATGGGACGAGCATTCGCGCGGATATCGTCATTTAGTTTTATTGGAACCAACTGTAAGGAAAGCGGTTATTTGGAATAAAGATGATGATGGTGCGACTAGAAGACAAAAAAAAATGAAGGCATACCTCAGAAGCTTTCAATGGTTGTTTTGAGACAGGATCAACACCTTCGCTGTCGATGTATTTCACTATCAGCCGCTTTTCGAAGATCTCTCCCGAGGCTGGAGAAACCACTGGCTCTTCGGCCAGATCTCCACTGATTGCACAAACAAAAGCCGAAGCGGCTCCAGTTCTGAAAATATAACAATAGTAAAGTCGTAAGCTAAGTGTCCCAAAAGTGGGCTTGCTCTGCACCATCCTCTCATCTTATCCATTATAAACTCACTTATCACCTGCAGGCATTATAATCAATTAGTAATAAAATAGCTGAGTGCTAAAAGGCGGTTACTGAATGTAAACGGTACCGACAATATTATCCACCAAAAGAAAATAAAAATTTTGCGCGGCTTTCAGCAAAAATAAATGCTTTTACCACGAAAAATATTGGAATGCCAAGAAATCTAAAATGGAATGCCAAGTAATTTCACAATTTTGCGCAATTTTTGGTAAAATTTTTTATAACTAACTCTTGAAACCAGTACACTTGCCGGTTATAGTATTCATTGAACGAGTAATGGGCGATAAGGCAATTGGGCCTCAGATTCCGACAGTTTCCGCTGTTGAAGCGGATGAAAGTAAGCTTATGTTTGAGTTTTTCTGGGTTTAGGAAGCCTTGAATGCCGAGCACCGTTGTAAAATCGGTCTTCCCAGTGTTCTGATTTTTTTGTCCAGATGACATTTTATTGAGAGCGAATAGATGTTTCTATCTTTATAGAGAAGATGAATGTCTTGAATCTTAAAAATAACCAAGCACTTCTTTTCAGATGCAACCGAGAATGAAGAAGAAGTAATGGCAGAGTTCCAACGAAGAATGGCGGCCTTAGAAGCTGAGGAGAAGCAGAAAGAAGCCGAAGAATCAGACGATTCTGACGAAGATGAGGAATTCGAGGAATTATCTGATGAAGATGTCGAGATGGATGAGAACAAAACGGATGCATTATCAGAGGTTTCTGAGGAGAGCTTAATTACATTTTTGGAAGATTTCAAAGCCAAGAAAGTGGAGGCGACGCCGTCAGAAGTGGTCACCATGTATCAACAACTGCTATCTGTGAACCCATCACTTTCATACATTTGGATTGATTACTGCAAATATCTGGAGAGTTTGAATGATCACGCCGTAAGTGTTTCAACATTTTTTATGTTTTAAACATAGGTATCATGCTAGTGAATTTTCTAATTAAGCATTAATTATATAAATTCTTTTCAGAGAGCCCTTGAAGCTTATGAAAAAGGACTAAAACTGCATCCATATGAAACTCCATTGGTACAGAATGCATTGTTAGCTTGTGAGAAGGCGAATACTGATGTCTCTGTCATCAATAAAATTTTTGAAGAACATGAAGATAAATTGGAGAGTGCGGAAGCTGGAAAACAACTTTACACTACATTCATTTATATTCATAGACGATTGGGGGCGTCTGTCAAGCAACTAGACGCTCTTTTCCAGCAAGGGATCAAGAACTTGGAGGGCTATTTCGATAAATATTGGGACGATGACACAATTTTCCGGCAAAATTACGCGTATTTTCTATATTCCAGAAAGAAAGCACCTGAGGAAGTAAGTTTATTACGTTTTTTTTATGAGAAGCTTCATTTTGATTTATTGGTGCTTTTGTGTTTTGATGGTAATGTTATTAATTTAATATTATTTCAGGCCTATCAAGTTTGGCGGAGCATTTTGAAGGGAAATGGGAACAAAGAAGATCTGTGGTTGGAATTTGTACGGCTTGAAAGGTTCTTCGGAACGGTTGAAAATGCACGGAAATTGCTTTATGAGGCTGTAAATTCAGTGAATGAACCTCTTAAACTCTTCAATGTTTTCATTCAGTTTGAGAGAGAAGAGGGGAACCGCGAACAAGTTGACAAGGCGCTGGTGAAAATTAACAATCGATGGCATCAAATTAATGAGCGAAAGGTGAAAGAAGCGGGAAAACAACAAAAAAGAGGGCCTACCCCAAAAGGAAAGGGGGAAGTTCAGAGACCGGCTAAGAGAACCATCTTGGGGGAAATTGAAGTGGGGAAAAAGAAGAGGAAGGTGGAAGATGAGAGGACTCCAGAAAAGTCACCGAATCTGGATAAGGATGGTTTTGCTGTCCCGATCTTGCCCTTGAAGACGAAGCCCAAGAAAGATGAGAAGACGGAAGGTAGTGGTCAAAAGGAGCCTGCAGAAGGAACCAATGGGATTCAAGAAGGAGGAGATATGGAAGCAGAGAGTAGTAGAGCAAGCCCCGAGGGTAGGAGGTTTACATTTGAAAATATCACTTTTCGAAAATTTCATTTTAGATGTTGTTACCCTTTATATATCTAACCGTACCTTATTTTCAGGAATCCCCGACCGAACTGTTTTCTTATCGAATATCAACTTCAGCTGGAAGGAGTTTGATGTCCGAAAATTGTTCCCAAATGCGATTGAAATACGAATGCCAATGCGAAACAAAACCCAGTCCAAAGGCTACGCTTATGTTGATTTTGGGACGAAGGAAGAAGCTTTGGAAGTACTGGCTCAAGACGGACAACACAAATCCAACGGCCGTCCCATCCATATCAGCGCCTATCAACCTCATGGAAAGGGAGAGAAAGCTCCGTTTAAGTTTGCCACACAGAGAGAAGACAACAAATTGTTTGTTAGAAATGTCCATTACGAGGTTACAGAAGCTCAGTTAAAGGTAGGAAGGGCTGGGTTGTACTGTAATCACAATATTTGTTTTTGTTTTCGTATTATTAAATATTTTTTTTTGTCGTCAGCATATCGTATTAATTGATTTTTTCAGGAATTTTTCGACAAATTTGCCCCAGTGAAAAGCGCTCGAATTGTGACTCGTCCAAATGGATTACCCAAAGGCATCGCTTATATAGAGTACAGTAATCCGGAAGATGCCCAGAAAGCTCTCGAGGCAGATGGAAGGAAATTACATGGGAGAAAGATCTCCGTGGCCATCAGTGATCCGTCAGTCAAGAAGGAGGCACCCAAGAATGAACTTCAGAGAGATGTTCCACCAAAGGAAAAGCCGGTTTTGGGAGTGGCAGAACAGAGAAAAGCCGTCCTCGCCTTCAAACCCAGGTCCAGAGTTCTATTGGACAAGAAGTAGATCTCTATTCTCAACTATTTTAAACGGTAATTTATTAATAAAAATGTTGAATAGTCTGCTTATGTTCACATATTTCTTCGAATTTCACTCCAAAAAACTTGTGTTTTGTCATGAATGTGTGATGGCAAGGTTAATCCGCGACCTTGAACTTGGCTGTTGCGCAACGTCGTTGAAATTAATTTGAAAGGGTTCAAAGGAGATGATCAAAAGTCTGATTCAAATTTTATTCCCCGTTCCGCCTCATTCCATTATTGTAAATGGAAGGGCTGGAGGAGACGAAATCGCTTTTCCGGACGACGAAAAAACTTGAAAACACGAAAAGTCCGGAATGAGGGGAAGGTAACAGAAAATGAGCGAGGTACCCCACCGGTTTTCACTTTTAATTTGCTTATACTAACAATTTGGAAAACTTTTATTTCCTCTGAGGGAGTTAATTTGTACTGTTAGACTAACTGTTTACTTTCTCCTGGTCTGGAAGTAACTGTCAAAATATTTTTTGTCATTTTGGAAAATAACTTTGTTATTTTTGGAAACGTAGAAGCATTCCTAAATATTTTTCCCCCATTTTTTGCAAGAACGCCCTCTGCAATTGGCAAGGATAATAAAACTCCCTAATTATTTATTTTTGTAAACCAATCTTTGGAAGTTTCCAGTTTTTTCTCATCTTTTTCTCAGCTTACTGGTCATTGCGTAAGTGTAAATAAAAATATTTTCTCGACGAACGAGTGAGTATATTCGTTTTACAAAGGTTGTTTTTGAATAAAAAGTAGACTTTACTTTCTCCGAATTTCCCATTTTGTTCGACGCTTTGTTCGTAAATCGTATCTGCCGGGCTCACGCTGGGATTCTGGATTCCGCACAGGTCTGGATAAAAGTGAAACCGATTATTGTGTGGTTTGACGTTGTCACTTTTGGAGTTTGAAGGTTATCCTTGAAGAGGTTACTTTATTTGTCCGCCTTTTTCAACTTTTTGATCATTGCTTTCAATTTTGAATTCAGCAATGTTCTTGTTGTTTCAAAAAGTATCGAAAAAGGTCACTGATCTCGGGCGGGATCGAACCGCCGGCCTTCTGTGTGTTAGACAGATGTGATAACCACTACACCACGAGATCACGCTGCCCTCGCTTTGGAAATCCTTTTTTCACGTAAAATTTATTATAATTTTTTTCGGTGACATTTCTATAATAATTAATTTTTTATGTGTTTGAAGACTGAAAAAAATCTGCATAAGAGAGGTTTATTGCTGTTATGTTTAGCCCAATTTTTTTTTTAATTTAAACTTACTAACGAGGCCATTAAAGGTCGAAATACTCAACAATATAGGTCGCCATATTTCGTTTTACAGTTTTTTGAAGTATTTTATAATGGAATAAGTGCAGTTCAAGGTTGTGTTTCCTCAAAAAAATAAGTTGAATTGCACTAAAAATCTTTATGAGCTGAAAATAATCTTGTACGATGATGGGTTTGATGACTTTTTAGACTTAGAATTGAACTTTATCAACAGGAAAGCTTAAATTTTTTACTGTAATTTGTCTAAATATTCCGTTTTTCTTGACGTTTTAGCCTTAAATTTTCTAACCCATTTTTAACGACATTTTTTTCCAGAGTCTTTGGATCATTAAACATTTGGATTGGCTGTAAAAAAATACCTTTGTAAAGAAACTTCTACGTCCATAGAAGAGCACCGTGTCCCCACTACAATCTCTGTTTTCAATGCATTATGAGAAAGGGCTAGCAGTGAACATTGCCCTAATATCATCGTTTTTGCTCACTGTTAATGCCATTGAGAGGTTCGAATGTAATGTTTTGGAGCCGGCGTGTCGTCGGAGGTTGGAAGAGAAGGCTCGGGGATTCACCGAAGTCAGAGGAGGGAACAATCAATGCAATTACCAGGATCTTTGGCTGATCCCTGGGAGGGCGGACGCATCTTGTAGTAGGTTTGAATTCAGATTAATCTATAAATTTCAGCGCCGTTTTTGCACTTGAAACCAATTTCACTAGTATTTCCAGAAAGTGCATAGAGGTTTTTTATGCCTTATATTTCATGCATTTAATTCTGTTTTTTCGCACGGTGCAAACCTTTAAAAAGCCATGCACTGTACAAACCCGAAAATGGCGGGTCTCAGCTCCAGAAAAATCTAAATTTCGGGAAAATCGGCGGAGTCTCCGCGGAGAAATTCAAAGAAAAAACTTACCCGTGTCGAGTGACCCACCCGAACCATCGTTTCCAAATTTGATGCTTTTTTATTCCAGCTAGGCCGGACGCCAAGAAATTAGTGGAAATCGATGCCCGGCAGGTCAAAATCACTCCTCCGATAGTCAAATTCCCCGGATGTTTTACCATCGAGATCAAGAATGTGAGGATATTGGATGACAAAGAGGTCTTGACCAACTCTTTCTTCGCCAAGTCCGAATACCATTGGCTGAATGTGAAGCAATTCAGTGAACTCAAGTGCCAAAATGCGTCTAATAATGGGTGCGGGGGTTACGGAAACAACTGGTGAGTCCTATTTTCCATTAATTCAGCCTTTAGTCAGCTTGTCTATGGCTCTATTGAAAGTTTTATTTTTAACTTGACAGTAATTGAAATCACTGTTTTCCAGCTTCTACTGTGATATTTGTGAGAGTTTGAATGCCGCCACAGAAGTTTCGAATGCAGTAAAGTTGAAGACGGAGCTCGCGGATCAATTCAAAGGCCTCCATTGTCCGAAACATGCCGGTTTATACACTTTTAAGAAGGAATTCTGCTTCAACGACTGGTCGACTTTCGATAGGAATGGTGATTGTCAACTGGACTTCCTGCAGACTGATCAGACCGACCTCAAGTCGGCGTTGGCTTCGCTTCAACAAATTGGATATGTAAGTTTCGAGACTCATCTTTACAAATATGCTTGAAGTTTTCTAATTGTCGGTAATGATAATGAAAATATTATCTTAGGGAACAGTTGTGGCCAAAGTCCGTCTGGCTTACAATGCCACAGGAGCAGTTGCCCGAAAACGCGATGCAAAGATGAATCAGATCCGGAAGATGGTCGAAAGAGAATTGGCCGAGCGAAAACGGAACTGGGACATAAATAGGGGGCAATTCGAAAAGTTCCAACAATGGTATATCGATTATCGACAGAACATTTGGCATCGGTAAGAGCTCTCGTTTCATTTTCGTATTTTTCAATCATCTCTACTTTCCAGCGAAGAGTACCTTCCCTGGTTGTTATATGAGAACGAATTGGCCTGTCTTCGGTTGACTTTCGATGTCTGCGAGAGGAATCCCCGCCCCAAACCGTACGGAGGGACGGGCTACACCTGCGATTGATACTGTAATTCACTGCCAGTTTTGATCTCTTGTTAATTAAACCTATTTTGGTCTTCAAATTAATTTTGGTCATGTTCAAAAGACTGTTTATTAATTTCATAGCTGAAGTATGAGATAATTACCCGGTATTTGGAAGAGATATGGCTAGAAAAAGGAGATGTAAGGTGTAGGTAGTAGTACCGATAAGGCAGTGACAATGAGAATGATAGCAATGCAAAAAAATAAAAATAATAGGAGACTCCTTTAGACTGAGCAGAATGTACAAATTGAGTGGGTTACACATACCTAAAGCACTTGGAATGTTCAGCGGGAACGCGGGTTTTAAAAAGAACAGAGTCAGCCCGGAACTGAGTGTATAGCAACGGATTGTATCCAAATATTTTGGTGAATAGCCTGATACAATCATGACGTCGATTGTAATGATTTTCATGTTTGAACAGGGAATCTTCGCATGTTGGACATCTGAAATATTATATTATAGAAGGAGAGACAAGATGCTGTATTTCCCAATGATTAATATCCCACCTCAATGTCCATTTGTTAGTCACTTTCATTGGGGGTTTCCTTGTCAAATGAGCGATCAAAAAGTTCATGGCTAAATCTTCGCAGTTCATCCACTCATCGACCTTATCCTTGACCATTTCAGGCATCATTTCATTGTACATTCGAAGGTACTCCTACAAATGAATATCCAAATTATCCACATTGTTACTTAGAATATCCAATACCTCTTTAATAACATCCAAAGCAAGTATTACCTTACCTTATGAATAAATGCGGCCCCAGTCAATATCAGACTGTATTGACAAGTGTGATTAGAGTTGTAATACACCTGATTGTCGTCGTATCTGCAATGATATCTTGCAGGAAATCCGACCAATCTATCACGATTCTCTCTCCACACACTTTTGAATGCAAATACAATCTCGTGTTGTTTTAGTTCGATGTCATCATCCAACATTAAAACGGCTTCGGTTTTGATGTGTTCCAAGGGCATGAAACGATTATTCAACGAGTTCTGTATGGGCTTGACGAACACGATGGGGCAATGAAGCTTGGGCCAAAGAAGGGGGTCTGGAGATCGGTCCATATTATTCCAAACTACGATCACTTTATTCAAATAGGGAAGTCGGTTCAGATCGGCAAGTGTGGTGTTGAGAACAGAATCTCGATTATATGTCTGGATTACGGCTGCAACAGTGGTTTAATAGAGAAGATTATATTTGATAAGACCTTGTTTTCCGAATCAATTACGACAAACTAATATGTACTAACTTACCCGTAAACTGCTCTCTGATTCTATTTCCCCCAAGGCTCTGACTGAAGCTGGAACCAGATCCAGGCCCGATTGGTCTCATCCCGGCACTCAGATGCTCGCTGAACTCCACATCTGAAGGTAATGGCGATGAAATTGTGAGGAATTCAGGGGATGAATGGACTTGGGATGGGAGTTCGTTCCATAACCGGGAGCCGTACTAAAAAGCAGCATCTATTAAAAACACAAAAGCATAACCAAATCATCATTATAATATAAAACATCAAGCATAGCATAATTACCATTGTAATTGCCGAAAAGTTGTGATTATAGGCTGGGGAGTTATACGGTGGTTCAACTGGCCCTAGGAATTCATCATCATATGGGGGTCTGGTTGATGGGGCCGGGTAAGTAAGTACTGGTTCTGAGCTCTCCACATCAGCCACAGTTTTTGCTTGAAGTCCGGGGATCAAAAGTCGATGCCGAAGATACGATAATAGAGTATTCACAATAACTTAAAAAACATTATCATTTAAATCCTTTAAAATCAGCTTACCCTTGCTATTCAGAAGGTAGTTTTCCAAATAAAACCGCCCTTTTCTCTTCATCTCGAGCAAATCTTCCAATTCAAAACTTCTTAAAATAAAGTGGAGCTCAAGAAAACGAGCTTCTGGAACCGATAAGGAGGCCATCCTCCAATCAATGTATCCGTCAAAAGGGAGATGACATCTCCTTCGTCCCGTTTTTATGATCACTGGGATGGATCCAAACTTGAGTGATTCATAAAACCGCCGAGAAAATGAAGGCTGGTCATCAAAAATCAAGGCAAAAGTTGATTGCTGAGCAATTGCTCCTGGAAAATAAATCACATATTTATCAAATCCACAACAATCTTACGCCTTTCATCATAATCTCCACATAATCCTTCGTCCTTTCGCACTGTGCAATCAAAATCAATGAACATCTGATCCATTGATGATTTACCAGATTTCTCCAGGCTTTTCAAATCTTCTTTGATCATGTTCGACAACTTGTCGCTTCCAATTTGATAAGAGAGAAGGTACTAAATGAACGATTAAAACGTAGGAACATTTTATATTACACATGACAATTAGCAACTTACAGTAATCTTTTCCGGTAAAAGAGCAGGAAGGTCGTGAAAATCAACAATATCGGCCGTCCTCAAATAGAGCTCTTGATCAAAATCGCGAAATATTCCTCTGAAATGTCAAACAAACATGAACGGAAACCAGGAAAAATATTTAAAAATTCCGACGGAATGTTCAAAAAAAAATAAACCTACTGGTCAAAGAATTGGGATACGATGGCAGCAGCACCAAAGTGATCCAAGTTCTTTGCAGTTCCATGAAGAATAAGAAGATGATTTCTTCCGTGGTCTCCCCAATAATCCAATTTTGAGACATCTTCACCGTCCTCAAGGATCTTCACAAAAATACATGCTTGCGACGAATTGGTTGTTCGATACGGGGATGCCATTAGGTTTGCAGAAAGAAACTTTAACTCAGAACTTGATGACGGATAAAAGAAAACAGGAAACCGGGAGGCAATGGAACATCTGCTGAAGTCGAAAGAGTTCTCCAACGACCAGAAAGTGGAATAACCGTCGTGTGTAAGGTTTTGTGACGCAGTATCAGAACGCAAAGTTGATTTAAGGCCTATTGGAGGTTTCGGAAGCTCGATTTTAACACTCCGACGATCTTTCAAGTCCCGTTGGATCAGTTTCAGTTCCTCAATCTTGAATTCCAGCCTGGAGATTTCATCCTCTAAAAGACAAACCAATTAAAATTAAAGAAAACGTACTCTTCAGCGGAATTCTTCGTTGCAGTTCTTCTAATTGCGCGGTTGCCTCGCCCAACTTTTGGATAAGCTCTTGATGTTCAGCTCTGATCGACGCAAATATCCGTTGTTGTTCTCTCAGACGATCTTTGAATCCTCCCCATTTATTTGGCTTCAGACAAAAGTCAATCATGTCTCTGAAGCAAAAACATTTTTAATAAACGAAGTTAATAAACCAAGAACCTTCCCTGAACAGAAAATAAACTGAAAACCTACTCTTCCGTGTATTTACATTGAGAACTACTTGAATACAAATATGGAACAAAGTTGACAACGCCCAGGATGGCCACAATCCCCAAGAAGACACGAGAAAATCGCCTGGGCCGGAACAGGCTAGTCCATTGCCGCCAGTCCATCGCCTACTACTATATAAAGATGGCGTCAACCTACACAACAGTGACTCATACTTCATGGACTAATTACACCGAATATTTTCTGTAAAAAAAATAATTTAATAAGAAACCACTTGACGCAAAATGGAAGAGTTGACCCAAGAAGCGGCAGACACTTGACATGTCTAGGAGAACACTCGACAGAGCGCCATTTTTATTTTGATGCTTGCACGGGCATATGAGCATGTAAAACATTATTTTTTTGCGTCCGTATCCCGTTTCTACACACTCGGGAATTTTCTGTTAATTTGCGGGAATTTATCCGTTTGTTTTTAATATAAGTAGTGTTTTTAGATGACGGATACAAAGGAAGTCAAGTCCACTGAAGAAAAGCCTTTGCCTAAAATCCCATTGGCCTCACCCTTTGCCAAGAAACCGTCATTTACAGAAACAACGGGTCAAGGTTTAAAATTTAGTGACAAACTTTCGAAACCTGTCTTTGGATCTGCATTCAAGAGTACCGAGGATAAGAAGCCCGAAGATAAGGTTGAAACTCCGTCAGGTTTTGTGTTTGGAGCCAAGTTAGCCGATAGAGTAACGAATGTAAGTCTTTTACAGTATGGAATTTAGGTATACTGTTCTATTAAAAATACAATTTCCTTTTCAGGTAGCGAAGAAAGACGGTGATGATGGCCCAAAAGACGCTTCGTCTATTTTTAAAAAGTTTGCGGTTAATTCTGGAACGGGACTGGTAAGTCGGTTATATATTTATAGGTTATTTCTGTCTTTAGTTCTGTAAACCAGCATCGTGTTCGAGCTCCGAGGAATCCAAGGAAATAAAACCATTCGCCGGTTCATCGGAAAGCAAAGAAAAGCAAGTCGAACTTGAAACTCCAGCGGAAACGATTACAGGGGAGGAGGGGGAGGTTAATATTCTTCATGTAAGTGTCGTTAACGAACATTTTTGTGGTTTCCTCGTATAAAATCTATTGAAATATTGTTTTAGGTATCATGCAAATTTTACATTTTTGACAAAGAGACCAAGAGTTGGCAAGAGCGAGGTAATGGAGTGCTGAGGATAAATCAGAGCTTCGAAGAAAGGCAAAACTTCCGGATCAGTAAGTAAAATACGATTTGCAGTTCTCATATTTTCGTAATCAAATTACTTGTTTTAACACTTTTTTGTCCATTAATTTATGTCGTTGCAGTTGGTCGAGCTACTGGCAATCAACGTGTATGTGTGAACTCTAAGATATTCGCAGACATGTTGTTGGAGAAGGTGTCAGACAAACGTCTAAAATTCTCGGCGATGACCGCAGATTCGGAGATTCCACAATTAGTTGTGATACAGTCATCTCCTGCTGGCATCGCCCAAATTGAGGCAAAATTGGAGGAGCTTATCTCGCTGGCCAAGTTGAATAATCGAAAACGAAAACTGGATTCGAAAGACGAAGAAGTGGCGTCGAAGAAGGAAAACGGTTTTGGTTACAACGAGAACGACAAGGGAGAGGATGACGAGAAGGACGACTAATTTATACATTCGTATTTTATATGAGTTTTCGGTGATTTGGAGACTTCAAATCTCTTCAATTGTTCCATGTGGAAGGATGTAAATGATAGTGTTATATAAAATGCTTACGACTTTATATTTGGAATTTAGGGTTGAATTTACTGACGTTAGATTAAAGATTCTTCAAGGAGTTCAAACCAAACGAGGTCTGACTGCTATTATTTTCAGCGGATTGATCGAAAATTTGAATAGCGAGGTCATCAATATGATATAAATTATTCTCAATCCAGTAAAATCTCTTCTGATATGGCCATGGGGGAGAACTGAAATCACCGAAATTACTAACTGAAGCATCTAAACAAGGCCTGTGCTATGCTGGGTTTACAGCGGCAAGCGCTAGATCACCAAGTAATCCAAAGAATTCCGAATTTTTAGGCATTTTGTTTATTGGTTACAAAATGGGAAGGGAATGCTTACTAGATACTACTATTTACAGGCTGTTTAGCTGTTAGTCGACTTTTTGGAGCGAGATTTGTCGGACTTGGGAAGAGACGAAGTCGGAGAGGTGGCACTAAACTCCACATTCTCAGCTAACTCCTGCAATTCTTGGTATTCCTTAGTGAAGTAGCGCTTTCCACTGTAAAAAACACAACACTCTAAGACAGGGAAATACGACAATTTACACTGAGCTTGCTCGGCCGCTTCCCTTCATCTGTTCGGACTTCGGAGACGAGGCTTTGGCGGTCTTGATTGGCATCAGTTCGTCCAAAGTGGCGTAGATAACACGATCCTTCTTGCTGGACTTGGATTCGGAGGGTTTGGGAGGTGGTGGGAAGTCGGTGATCGACTCAATGTCCGATAATGTGTTATCAGAAGGGTCGGGTCGACTCCTGAAGTAACCATTTATTGTGTTACAGTAATCGTGCGCTTACTGTTCATTTCTCAGTGCTCTCTTTTCCTTGATGCGTCGTTTTCGTCGAGCCCGCTCCGACCTGGTCTCCCCAAACCTCTCATACTGGCTATCGGAAGATGGCGGAGTCCTCGTTTTAAACTTCCAGGCATACGCAGTTTTCTTGGAACGATTTTCCCTTTCATCAGCCTTCTTGGGTGTCTTCGCTTCGGCCAACGCATCTCTTTGGGGAACCAAAATCTTGTTTCTGGTCGTGGAAGATCTGCTTTCTCTTGAGACATCGCTTTGGTTACGTTTCTTGGAGACCTTTCTCATATCTTTGCTGGCATTAATCCCTTCCTTTGCACTTCGTTGGACCTCACTGGTCAAACGGAGAAACTTGGCTTCGGCTTCTGCCAAACTAATCTGATCTTTGGCTGATGCTTGAGGCAATGACGGTCCTTGTCCTGGGGAGGGATGAAAAGGACCGATCAGAAAGTCCTTCGGGTGCATTTGAGGCATCTGGGAGAGTTGCTTGTAGAACACTTGTTCTGCTTCTTGACGAAGAGCCCTACAAGATAACATTAATGACGGGCGCGGTAACAAGCTTACTGTTCGCGGATATTTTTTTCGATGGCCGAGCTCAGCTGCATTGAAAGATCGAGTTGGATGACATGGTTCTCTTCCAGATCCCGGATAGCCCTTCGAAGTTGCTGCCTCAGGGCTTCTCTTAAACTCTCCTTATCCAATTTGAACGTCAGAGCCTCCGTCGGTAACCGATGAACTGGAGAATTGTCACGGTACTTTGTGGAATTCAAATCAATGGAAATACGGACTCCATTGAGAACACTCGGTCTTCCCGATCGACTAAGACCGTGAGATGCTGACATAGCCACGAAAACCGACAACTGCACGAGAAATTGGGGGAAATGGAACTACACATTCCGTTCATTCTCCCGGATCAGAAGACACCCAAAATTTGCATAAAATCGCAATAAAACGTGGAAAAAATCCCCCTTATCTTGAAAACGAAAAAATCCGAGTGAACATAAAACTTCAACAATTTAATAAAACGAAATAACCAACAATCCAAACCAGAACATTGGGTGGTTTAAGTCAATCCAAGTCCTTGATTTAGTTCTGCTTCTTGAGGTATTCGAGCAGAACGTTGCGGGCCTCCTCATCACGTCCCCAGTCCTTGACGACGGCGCACGAGCAACCAACAACCTTGCGAGCCTTTCCTTCTTTGTCGTACTTGCATTGGCCAACCAGTTCTCCGAGTTCGGCCTTGGTCTCAACCTTGTAGATGGGAATCTCGTGGGTCTTGCACAGAGCGCGGACCAGCTTCTCGTAGTTCTCCTCGTCACATTCCTCAGAGAACAAGCAGAACAAAGCCTCGCGCCTAAAAATATAAATTTCAGTAAAATTAATCCTGTTATCTTTGAAGAATGTAAGCTCTAAAGACAAGACGAAACAAATGAAGCATCAACTCACTTGTCCAAAACCTTAGCTGCCTCATGAAGACCACGAGCAACTCCACCAACGACAAGGGCGGACTTGCAAACCCTCTTCAGGGCTTGTTGGACATCTAGAGAAGGGGCACCTCCTAACTCAGCCATTATGAGCAGTCCTCGATGCGCTTAAGAAAACAAGTTCTGAAATGGGTAACATCTTCAATATACGAAGAAAAGCGGATAGACGCGGAAGCACGAAAATTACATTTCTACATTTATGACCAGTACAACATAACTGGTAATTCATTTGAAACAAGAGTATTCTTACGCAAAATTTGATAAGAACGTTCGTTTGTACAAAATGAAAGTGATTTGGGAAAAATTCGCCGAAAGAGAGAATAATACCGTTTTTTGTTTGGCGTTATTTGTTTTCGTGGTGGGACGCACTCCTTTCCCCACTTTGCGCTTGCATTTACAATTTATTTTGCAATTGCAATTTGAGATCCAGCGAGTTATTTTATGTAAACAAAACGATGTAGACAGATTTACAACATTTCTTTGTGTGATTTTTTTGGCTTTTTTCGGAAGCAGGATCTGAACCGTTCCCATTTCGAGGGTTCCCTTTCTTCACTGTCCTTTCGTTCTCTTTGGGATGTTTTCTCACAAGCCAATCTGAGAGTGCTTGGAGCGCCAATTTTGCTGAGATACACGGGCATATTCTTCTTCTCGTCCCAGACAATAACACTGAACGGTTGGGCGATGATCAGATCGGACTGATCGGTTTCTTCAACATGGATCGCTCTGAAATCGACGATGACTTTTTCTTCATTAGTGTTAGGTATCTTCGCATTTTCAAAAAGAAGCCTAGAACTTACTCAGCCGGTGTAGTGAAAGGGGGAGCATGCATTAGTTCAATATGATCAAAATGCTGATCGTTAGGGACTAATCGGGCAGTGAAACAACTCGAGGCTTCAGCCCCTTCACAGGCGAGGTCCCCAAATCCATCCGTTTGGAAACTCTTGTCAGTGTCCGCTGAAACCAGTCATAGACAGTTAAATTGACCTACGAATGCATCTGACGAAAAGTTCAGCGACGTTCAGAGTACCGAGTTTGGATTCGTCGAAGAAGGGAAAGTACAATTTGTGCAGTTCTCTGGCTTTCTGCAAATGATCAAAATAACTTCGGTAACTAATCTCTCTGGTCTAATGTGTAAATTCCTTACTCCACTCTTCAAATCTCGAATTCTCAAAGCCAGTTCAATGCCAGTTTTTATCGGACACTTGTCCCAATTTGTGATAACATAAACCTTAAGTTTGTCGCTGACCACTGGTAATTCGATGAGTAGACATGGGTCAATAGACAGACATCTGATGCCTCGGCGGGCTGTGGAGTGGATCAGACAGGCAACAACATTGTCAACGTATCTCTCAGTGAACTGTAGGAAAATAAAGGGATAGTCTTTGATAAATTACGTATATAAATAAGTAATATAAAATCGATTTAAGGACTTACCTGGAACCTGACAGAGTAGACAGTAGCGCCATCCAAGAAAGCATTCGGGATTTGGAATCGGAAATGAGAAGCATAAGCGATGATTGGACACCGACGATTCTGCTCGCTCTGCTCGTTGTTGTCTTCCAACCACAGACTGAATGGCTGAGTGTTGGACTCGTGGAGCTGAAATGATGAAACGTTTATATTTATTAGGATGAAAACCTCCAAAATGTGAGAAACGGCGTACCTTCAAATCTCTGTGCAACCACTGCGCCAGCTCTTTTTCCTCTGTTTTCTCCTTGTCTTTATCAAGCTCTTTATCCTTTGCGGTCAACTTCAACTCGACGCCAAGATTTTTGAGCAACGCAAACGTCAGGAATCCATAACTCTTGCAGTTCTCTCGATGGACAAGGACTCTTCTCGCACTCCAATATCCGCTTGGTTTCGCGTCCATGGCCAGTTGCTGGTCCCAGTCACTAAAAATATAAATTAAATCCAACATGATGTCTGTTTCTGATGCGTTTTCGTTTTCGCTCACCGTACAAAGTCTTGGATGCTGTTATGAATCATCCTCAACACTGTAGCCCCCTGAGGATTGAGAGCCGATTTCACGGCTCTATTGGAGTCAGCGGGACCAATCTCACCGACAAGAAAGAGATTGGAGATGATTTGAGGAACACATAAGGTGAGGTTTTTTGGAGTCTGGACTTCTCTGGTGATTCTGAAAAGAAGATAAATCGTGGTAAAGTTTGGGCTACGGTACTCTCTTTTACCACACTACTCACAGAAACATCTCGAACACCAAATCTGTCCACAGTTTGAGATGCAGGTCTGTAATAAGCTCCATCTGAGCGATATCGTCGTCGGTCTCCTCATTGGACAGCATTGGTTGGAGAGAATTTGAATCGCTCCGTTGAGTTCGATTCAACGACTTCTCGGTTTGACTAGGACACGGGCTAGCCATGATGACAAGATATGGTAAAAAAAGATAAAAACGGAGACAGAGTCCCACCAGAAAAGTTAAAAACGATGATTTGGATAACAAAAGATTCTTGGCTTTTTTGTGCAATTTATGCAAATTTGAGAAGGTCTAATTTTTGGTCGAATAATTCGAATTTCAAGTTCATGTACTTTTTTATATTAGACAATACGCATTACTTTTATTTTTATTTATTTTACACAAGATCATATGATTAATGAATACCCATAAGAGACAACAGATATGATACATTGTTAGCAGGTATAAAGCTTTTGGTGAGGTGAATAAATGCTTATATTATCCATCAACCAATCTGAAGTCAGTGTTGAACAGTTGAATGAACTCGTCAGCTTGTTTCTCGGTGAATCCTGATTTGATGTAGGCCTCAGCACTTCCACAACAAAATTCCTGGACGTTTCGGAACTTATTCGACCGCAGGCATTTATCCAGATCACCCATATTTATATCAGGAAGTGTTTGGAGAGACCGCCTGGTGGTCTGGTTGAATTTTGCTTGTTTTATTGCAACTTCTGAGGTGTCATCGATATCATCCTCTTCTAGAATCGAAAAGTCATCAGTTTTGATTGCCATCGCCTTCTCAGGGTCCGGGTTCTCTTGATCGAGCTGTAATTAGGTCCGAATTAATCAAATTAGATTGTGATATTGTCAAAGTCATAGTCTGTTATCTTTAATAATCCATAATTCGACACTCCGATGCTCCTTACCTTGATTTCCTCAAAGAGTTCGGCGGAGTGAGAGGGTGAGAGACTCCAGAGACAGGTCAATTTGGGCTGAGATCTTATCAATTGACACAATAAACTCCTCGTATCAGCACTTCGTTTCGACAATTCTCCTTGGAATGGACCTCCATTTACCCGTTTCTTCCGGAACTTTTCACTCGATTCGATCAACAATATTATCCGATCATAATGTTGATGCATCTACAAAGTCATGTAATCAAAATTCGAACACAATTCATACTTGTTCGATCTGTTTGAAGACTCGTCCATTATTCAGCGATTGTGCCAGATCATCCAGGGCTTTTCTTTCCACACAAATTGTCGGGGATAAAATGTAATCGCCCACTTCCAGAGTGCATGGATACAAATCAATTCCATTTTGATACAAGACAATTGGCAGCTCACTTTGGAATTCTCGAACATCAATAACAACCTGGAATGACAGCTCAAATCATTTCAGAAATCTAATTTACCATAGGCTGAAGTTGTTGATCAACGTCATCCTTCTTTTTGGCCAACCTCGAATCATTTTTCAACGCAATTTCTCGTAGATTAGACGCCGTTTCCCTTGTCGTATCATATTCTGTGTTGATTAGAAGCGTGCCAAGTTCTTTGATCAGCGATTCCATAGAGAGTTGTTCATTCTGCATCGCAGATAAATACCTTTCTTCTTCCGTTGAGTTGGGATAAGTGAGGGCGTAAATTGTGAGGGAAACCCCTGGATGATGGGCTTTGTGGGACTGAAAATAATAATTTAAATAAGTCGCTTCTATTCAAAGCTAGCACAAAACGGGATAAAAAATTGTTAGCCACCTCAGATTAAATTTTTCTCTTCGCACTTACCTCGATCAGCCTGAAAGATCCAAGATCCGTATGATACAGTATGATAAAGCCCGGCTGTAAAGTTTCCAGCGAATCAATCAATTGATAATGACTTCCCAGAGTGAGAAAGATCAACGGAGGCAATCCATCCGCTTGACTGGACTGGGAATCATCCTCACAAAAGGCCTTCTCCAATGGATCCGAGGCTTGAGACGACGTTGGGGTGTCCAATGATATCTGAAAATATCAAAATTTTGTTTATTTATAGTATTTAGAAACCCAACTTGTCGATTGGGAAAAGAGAAACATTTCAAATTCAATTGACGCACAAGAAAATGGCAAGTTGATTATTAGCAACCAATGATAACTTTGAAAATCTTGCAAAAACAATTTTGTAATTTCGTCGTTTGGTCCTAAATCTAAACTACATTCTACTTGGAAATGTACATCGCGTTCTTGTTTGTTTTCTTATTCCAAACTGTGATTAACACCTGGAATATTGTACTTTCCACAGGGAAAATTTTACTACAGTCCGGCAGGTTCACCGATCCAAAATCGAATCAAAACGTTTCACTTAATTTTGTCTTTTACTCCAATTGTTGTGTTGTTATAATTGAAATTTTGAGTCAAAAAATCTGGCTCACGTTTTTCGATTTAACCGCTTTCTGCGTTTTATCAGCATACAAATCACAACGATGACCACAACATTCGTTATCGTCTATTCTACGATCGAGGTCGTTTTTTTTTGAAAGTTCGGCGACTCTAAAACGGGAGCAGAGTTCGATTTACAATGCAAACATTTGGCTGATAACAAAAATATAATAAATCACCGGGTTCATGTGAATGGCAGTGTCAGGAGTGATCGTTCCAAATCTATGACGAAAAACCACTCGGAAATTACCCAGTAATTATTTCGAACGATCTGCTATTTGTTTCATTGCTTCGTCTCATGTTATTGTTATGCATAATACTTTTGTTTCTGATCATTTCATTCGCTTTGCGAACGTCTTATCATTTTTTACTTTGTCCTGCACTTCAAATATTGTAACTTAAAAGTGGGCGGAGTTTATGGTGCCACACAAATTTTTGGCACAGACAAAAAAGAAGGAGAGCAGATTATCTGCGCCTCTCTTGGTTTATATAGGGGATTCAAACAGGAAAATAAAGCCATTATGTGGTCCAACACAGATTATCTTGTTGTTTTAGACGTTCCTTTTCACCTGTTTTTACAGAATCTTCTAGTTGAGCCGTCAGTCTTCGATCATTGCTTTCAGTTCGAGTCGTTATAATAATTCTTGTGGCCACTAATTAAGCTGTAACGTTCGAGCTAATAACTCTTTTCAACAAGAGTACTCTATGTTTCCGCAAATATTTTTTCGATTGCAGCAATGACCCTGATTTCTTCCCTTGTGTCGACCCTTAGCTTTGGCTACTATGGTGACAATTCGAATGGAGAGACCACTCTGACCGTCAAATCGCCAAATGTTAAAAATGATGGTGTCAGCCTAGAATCCAAGTATACCTACCGAAGAAACAAGATCTCCAAGGATGGGAACCACATCACCGTGGTCCCAGAAACTCATGAATACCACTTCCGAACCATCCTTAAACCAAGGAAAACTGGAATTCTGTTGGTTGGAATTGGTGGAAATAACGGGACCACTTTGTTTGGATCCATTGTTGCCAACCGAGAGAAGATGGAATGGAGGCAAAGAAACGGAGTCCAGAAGGCCAATTACTATGGATCCGTGACTCAATCAAGTACCGTTCATCTAGGTTATGATGGCCAAGAACAAGTCCACGTCCCTTTCAACGCTCTTTTGCCAATGGTTGACCCCAACGAGTTGATTATCGATGGCTGGGATATCAATGGAGCTAATCTTTATGAAGCCGCTCAAAGAGCGAGGGTATTTGATCCAGAGTTACTGGATAAACTTAAGCCCCACATGGAGAACGTTAAGCCCAAGCCCTCCATTTATTATCCCGATTTCATTGCGTCCAATCAAAGTGATCGGGCGGATAATGTTATCAGTGGAGATACGAAGAAAGAGCATCTAGAGCACATCCGAAATGATATCAGAGAGTTCAAAGAGAAGAATAATTTGGGTAAGCAAAAGCTAATGTAATTTTAGCTCCATCTGATTCTAATATAACGCTAATCTATATCAATGGCAAATTTCAGAAACCGTCATCGTTCTCTGGACCGCAAATACCGAACGCTATACTGAGATTGCTACTGGCCTCAACACAACTGCAGATGAAATTCTCAGGTCGATTGATGAAAACGTTGATGAAATTTCTCCTTCAAACATCTTCGCTGTCGCCGCTATTCTCGAAGGAGCTCACTACATTAACGGGTCCCCGCAGAACACATTGACTCCCGGAATTGTCGAGCTAGCTCAGAGGGAAAAGGTTTTTGTTGGTGGAGATGACTTCAAAAGTGGGCAAACCAAATTAAAGTCAGCCTTGGTTGACTTCATGGTCAGTTCTGGAATCAAACCCGAATCCATCGTATCTTACAATCATCTGGGCAACAACGATGGGAAAAATCTGAGTGAGGAGAGGCAGTTCAGGTAAGAACTCAACGATTCTGAAGTAACCATATCAAATATCATATCTGATATGAGTAACAAACAACCTATCAATTTCAGATCCAAAGAGATCAGTAAATCCTCTGTAGTGGATGACATGGTAGCCGCCAATCGCACTCTCTATCCAGATGGCAAGAAGCCGGATCATGTGATCGTCATCAAATACGTTCCTTACGTTGGGGACAGTAAACGAGCCATGGATGAATACATCTCCAGCATTTTCATGGGTGGACAGCAAACTTTGGTGATCCATAATACCTGTGAGGATTCTCTTCTGGCCGCGCCTTTGATCCTGGATTTGGTCATCATGACCGAACTGTGCTCGAGGATTACGGTAAGTCAATTGTTGCCTAATGGATATATAGTTATCGGTATGTCTCGACCGATATGCACTTCTACCTGAAGAAACACTTATTTCTTCTTTTTTCAGTACTCCAATTCCTCTACCCAAAGTTTCGAATCTTTCAATTCAGTTCTTGGTTTGTTGGCCCTATTCCTAAAGGCCCCAATGGTCCCACCAGGAACTCCAGTCTGCAATGCATTTATGAAGCAGATTACATCTCTGACCAAGCTCTTAACTATTGCCTCCGGATGTGGATCTGATACTGAGCTTCAACTCGAATTTTACACCAAATTATAAATTCTATGATTATAATTCGAAGCAATAAATAATCTAAATATATCCCGTTCTGGCCTTCAATTTTGAGACCAAAGTTTTGCCCAAAGTACTCCACCTACCTCAACTTTCTTTGGTCTTTTCTCTTTCAATTTCTCGGCATGTCGGATTAGGCCAAAATTGACCAATTTGGGCTGTTTTGGGTCGGGAACGTCCAATTTGGCAGATAATTTTCGTCGTTTAGACCGTGTCTGGGCCTTCTGGACTTTTTTCACTTCTTCGATGAGGTCCCTCTTGTCCTGAAACAACAAATCTTTATCAACTAAAGACAAAAATAACTATCAATCGTCAAGAATAATTCAATCACCTTCTCCAAGACCTGATCGTCATAATAAGCTAGGTTTGTGGTTGACCATAACGGTTCCTCCGCCGGTTCGGGCGTCTTGAATGGCCGGTGAAGTTCATTGTAATACACTTGAGTCTGGAGCCAGGCCATTTTCTGAACTCCAAATTTGCAAACATCAATCAGCTGTCTACAAGTCGCTTCACTCGAGCAGAAGACCAACACTGGAGCAGAATGAACTTTATTATCCGTACTCTTCAGCTTCTCCTTAATCTCCTTTAAAGCATCCGACAGAGCCGACCATTTTGGAGGGGCTGAAATGAAGTTATAATAGTTACCGACGATGGGCCTCTTACGGATCATCAAAACATCGCCAGTTGTCGTCTTAGCGCAGCACAATGCATCAATTCCGAGGAATATCTTTGAGGCTGTGGGAGTGTTCAGCCAGCCACTATTATTCTCAATGTATTCCTGGTTGCTCTTATAAAAGTAGAGGATTTTATGGACTGAGGCCGGATCCAGATCCTCGAAGGTCTTCAAAGTTCTTCTCAGAATCCTCAAGTCATTTAGAAGACGTTCTTGTCGATCGGTTAGCAATAAACTTTTGGATCGAAGTTCCATTTCCAGGGCAGTTGGACGGAGAGCGGCCGAACTAGAGACTGTCTCGGCATCGACTTCGATCTATGACGTAGAGAATTTAGAGTAAAAAAGTCATCATTTATTTCTTATTCTTACATCCAGTCCTTGAGTGCATTGTTTCAGTTCTCGAATGCAAGTTCCAATAATATCCACCAATGAAGAGCGAATTCGCCGTTGATTGGCTGGCAAATCGATGGACATCTCAATAAAGTCCGGCTGGAAAAACAAACCTCATCGCTCCGATGCCAACTCACTGAGGCATTATCAAAGTCGCGTTTAATAGATTCCTCAAATCTCGGGAGGATTCGGACCTTCTTCACGTACAATCTGTTGACCAATCGTTGTAACTGACCCATTCCGCCGGAAGTAATGGCTGTCGGGATGTCCGTAAAGCACTTCACAAACCCATCCGGCTTCTTTTCACGAAACAGCCGGAGAATAAAGGTGTCTTGGAAGGTCGTTAAAGCGCTGAAACAGCCTTATAATTTGCATCAAGTACAACTCAAATACGACCTTACAACTTACTGATGGGCTTTGTAGACCAAGATTCCGGCAATCCGATCCAAAGGGACTTTATCTGTAAGGAGATCTACCATCAAGATTCTGGAGGTTACAAATTGGACCCCGCCTCCTTTGTAAATCAGCTCTCTAAAACAATTTACAAGAAGAGTGAAGGGATAGATATGGCTATACAAAGCATAACGATTATCAAAGGCCTTAAATTGCACAATCCGTCACTTACCGGTCTTTAATCAGCACATCGGCGGTCAGAAGTCTCGGCGGAGCCATTGGATTCAACGATTTGAGCTTCTCGATGTAGAAATGCTGATCTTCTGACTCTGTATTCAACACTAACACACTAAACGCCGGATCTGAATACAAGTGAAGGTGGTTTAAGAAGAGCCTTTCCATTCCGAGACCTCTACAGATATAAACATTACGTAATATCAGGGGTTTATGCTCACCTAGCCGTAATGAAAACAACGTCATCCAGGAAAGCATCGAGCATCACCTCTTCTTCGTATGGCAATCTCGATATCCAATCTGTTTTCGGTTTCCTTCCAACTCCATCTTCTTCATCGTCATCCAAAACAATAACCTCATCTTGCTCGGCCATATGTATATTCTGGAAACTACAATACAAATTCAATTCGATCAGTAAAACCAAAGAAGATAGAAAGAGTTTCATTGCATTTTAATTATAGAGCATTGACAATAAAACAACTTTTAAAAATCAAATTAAAATCAAGTGATTCTCGTCCAAAAATTAATTACATTCATTTCTTAAATTCCAAAATGTCGTCCTTATGAGCAAACATTCACAGAGAAATAGAGCCAACCCTGTACAAATGGCAGTCCTCAGATAATGATATAAATCAGGCGTAATATTGTGGGGTCAAACAGTAATAACATCAATAGAACGGAAGGTAAAAAATCGGCACTCAAGCCTTTTACTGGGATAAGAAGCTTTCGTTTTTAGCGTTACAGCGCTTTATTCTCCCTCTAATATTACCCATTATATCATTAGAAAAAGAGGAAATTATTAACAAGAACATTTAGATGGGCCCTCTGCCCACAGACAGACCATTAAATTGACAACGAAAGAACGAGGGAAGACATCTTGATGTGAGGCGATCGAGGATCCGCGCAGTTATTAGACTATTCTAGACATTTCCTTTTCTTCGGATGTAATCATGGGTAATATACCCAAAAAGGGTCGAACAATAAAAGAAAATCCCATCGGAAACATCAATATCAAGCCGGATCTCGTATGTACAACGTCATTTACCGTATTAGATGAGTTTTAAAGATAGAAAATTATATTATTATATAATAAAACTTGATAAAAACCTTGGCCATATTACAAAGAAATGTTCAGCCAGAGGGCAAATTATCACCCGAATTGCAAGGGATACTCGGAGTTAAGAAGGGATCATATGAGGGAGTTTTCGAGTCCGACAGCGCTTCCCTGGTTACAAAAACATTGAACAGAGCCTGGGTCCGGCGGCCGACGAACAAATTCCTCGCCGGTTGTGGTTCTTGAGATGTGGAAGGGCCTAAAAATTCCTTACGCCATTAGCAAATTCCACAAAAGTTGCGAAAAATCAATACAACAGGTACTGTGTACACTACCCCATCATGCTTATAATAAGGCCACAAAATTATCAATTAAAACCCCAATAGGACAAGTCTTTCTCCTTACCGTCATTTCCGTCCTCTATTCGACTAGTCGAAGAAATTCCATTTAATTCGAGCCTCAGCCTCTTCGGAGACGGGACTCGTTCAAGAGGTTTGATGGTCAGAGACTTCTGGACTTCCTTCTGTTGCAAGACTTTCGTTCGTTGATCCAGAACAATGAGATCTTCGGAGGTTTGGGGGTCTGACATTATGTACGCCGCCGATTTGATCCGTTTGAATGAGAAATCGCCGTCAATTTCGGATAATTGGGTAAACTCATATCGTAGTCCTTCCAGGGCTTCTTCCCGTTCTATTGCAGCTTGTGCGGGATCTTTCTGATGCTAAAGTCAAATCTCATTAGATTCAATACCAAAAAAATATTGATGCACAAAATCAATTATAAAACAACAAACCTCATCATTTTGCAGCGCGATTATTGTTTGATGGAACGCCAACCGTGATGATCTTCGGCGAATATCCTGTAAAAAACGATGTTGTAAAATATTGTAATACAAACATAAGCAAAACTGTACATGGTGGTTTACTCGGAACTTCCAATCCTATTTCAGGTCTGTCTTCGCCAATATTGCACGAATTTCTGTAATGTTTATATCAAATCGTAGATTAGGTACTTTTTTGTACCCAAAATACAGATTCTATATTTACAGTGACCCATGTTGAACATCTCGGCTGCGCCTTAAAAGCGCGAGCTGATACGTTGAGGAATTGATATTTTGCCTATCCCAGTCTGCAAAGCTTAAAGAAAATCTGAGCGTCGCACCTGGAAGTCTCCCCTCACGTCAAGAAAAAATAAAACAAAAGCGCTCAAGCAATGAAAAATTCTTGGCATTCTGTTTGATCTCAAAGACAATTTTTTGCTCCAAAGATAGCCTGATTACATGATGAAGATGGGGTAGAATATGGTTATTGCATACATAAATTTGAAGCTGGGCTCTTGCTTAACCTGAACATATATATTTCATATAAAAAATCGGTCGTCTTCTTTCTGTTTGAAGCCTAAACTAACAACGCCTAAAAAATGTTGCGATTTCGAGGATTTCTCTAAGATTTTCCCTCGCCCCTATTTGAAGTTTCGTGGAAACATAGTCTGGAACAAGGCGGATTTTTTGAGCCTAAAACGAAAAAAATCAAATGAGCCAGTTTCGAGATAGAAAATCTCTTCATTTTGCGCAATATTTCGCCTTTCCTCTGACCTCGTCCAAAAAAACTGTCATTGAGACTGATTTTTTGGACACTTCCATAAGCGGAAACGGAATGCCAACTTTCGTGTTGATGGATAACCCTTTGAGCGCAAAATCTTGACGTGCCCCTTTCAAACTGAAAACCATTGAAAAAACCTAGCTTGGTATACAAAAAAGGGGGTCCCTCGGCTTTATTTTTATACATATTTTACAAAAATTACTGCATTTTGGAGGAGAAATACCAGAAATAAGGTTGAAAAGTCCGAATGACCTATTGTACTATACGAAAGGCTAAACTTACTCCTTCTCGTTTCCTAAATGCAACATAAGGGTTCTTGTCCTCATAATCACCTTCCGACGGTACCATTGGAACCAAAGAAGCACTCGGAAACGTGGTCTCACAGAGCTTCTACAAGAAAAGGTTAAAAAACAAACAATGTAAACCTCCAAATTTAAACTTCCAACTTACCAGTCGCTTATTTAGCCAATAGTCGTATATCAAAGTGACCAATTCCCTGCTCAAATTCGGTTGTTTCACGAACATTGCAGCCAGACTGATCACCGTTTTCCTCGAGTTGTTCTCCATGATGCCAATGGTCTCCTCGAAATCTTCGTCTGATATCCGATATTGGTCTTTCCTCTGCTGCTCCAACCACTCTTGATCCTCCTCATCCATCTCGTAGGTCTCGCTGTTCATGCAGTAATCCTCATCAGAGACGGCTTTTATCCATTTCAGATCATTTCGTATCCTTTTCCGTACAAACCGATGTACCGAGTAGCCTCCGAAATCCAGATTCTGGACCTTGGGAGTGGGAATGGCGGACGCATTCCGCAACGTCCCTCCTAATGAGGCCTTCTGAGTCTGCATGGCCACCTGAAGATGTAGCTCCTTCTCCTCATCCTTCTCCATGCCCGTGGTGACCCGGGTGGAGTAGCAAGTGATGGGAGATTGGCCATTCTCCTTGTTGTGGCTGTTCGTGATCACCACTCTGAGGGCTTTCCGGGGGTTCAGGTTACGCAGCGATCGTCCACCCTTCTTTGGAATCAATGCTGGTGGACCCATGAAGATGTTCTTTCATTCAGAGGTCTAGCAAAGTCGGGAAATGAGCAAAATTTTACTAAACATCTGAATTTTCAACCCAAAGCCAACCAAAGCCACGTGAGCTCCCTGCAAAACACGCAAATTATGCAAATTTCGCACAGAAGATACGTAAAAGCGCGAGAAATTACAAAACGAAACATCGAAATGGCAAATATTGAAAGAAAATCAAAAAAATTATTTTATTCATGAAAAAAGCGGACTTTTTTGAGAAAAATACTTTGTAATTATGCAACAGTTTAAACGCTATATCTTCTACGTAATCGGTCCAAATAAGCACTGTAAAATTCTACAACAAAAAATCTTCTTCCTGCCGGAAAATATTTTCCTCAAAAAATCCTCAATTTCCTCCGATTTTCCCGGAGAAAGTCCCCGCATTCGATGGCCAAAAATTTTGCCTATCATCTGATTCCTATATTTTGCCAACTTCTGGCCATTATTGGCCTTATTTCATTGATGAAAGACGCCAAAACGAGAAAATTTTCGGCGCTCAAAAAGCTAGACTTTGGCGAGCCGCGCCCGACGATTGAGCAGGCCGCCACGAGGAAAATGTGAGAAAAGAGTGAGGGAAGGGAGAAGAAAGAGTAGAACTAAACTTATATCCGGCATCCTTTTTCATTAATTTGATTATAAATTAGATGATATTCGATATTTGAAAGAACATACTATCCGGATGTGACCAAAGTCATCTTTTTAGGTAAAAATACTTAATTTAATGTCATCATTGGGTATAAAGAGGGTACGGTTGTTACCACTGGCCAGTGGCAACCTTTAAAGCACATAGAAGGAAAAATAAAAAAGATTTATTTTTAGAAACCCATAAGAAAATTAAATTCAATTAACTTTAAATAAAATAAAGAATAATTAAAGTGGACTCTACCCTTTTATCCACTTCAAGACACTTGTCCATAGTTACGCAAAATTATTAGGTAACCAGAAAGTACCTGGTAATTCTTCGTATATCAGATAATGTCTCTATGGATGAGAATATGACAGTGAATGATCATTATCAATTCAATGCGTGAAGGTTTCGTCTTTCGCTCAAGGTCATGTATTTTGGTTTGTTTATAAAAAGTTCTGTAGATGTCATTCGACGACATTATTTTATGACAATATTGTTTTGTCTGTAATTATAATTTCTAATACGAAGAAAAGAGTTTACATTTTTTCCGGCCGACCCTCTTTCTCCCCCTTTAGTCGGCCCTCTTTTCTCTTTCGAGACTCTTGAAAAGAGAGCCCACTGAGAGTGTGACTCCGTGGCGCAACGGTAGCGCGTCTGACTCCAGATCAGAAGGTTGCGTGTTCGAATCACGTCGGGGTCAAAATCGTTTTTGCATTTCTTTTTACACGAAGGTTGTTTTTGATTACTTTATGCCGTTACCATACAAAATAAGGCAAAGAAGCATAAGATTCTATCAAAAGAAGTTACAAAAGACCGATTTTTTACAAAAAAAAGAATCCATTTTTTAAATTTCTTCTCCCAAATTGATGAAATCTTCGCAAGAAACTAAAATAGCAACATTGAGAATACAATTCAAACAAAAAATAATAGTTCAAATGCAATTGTGCAACACAATGTCCCTAAAATCAAGTCCCAACACGAAAACAAGTGCTTGCAACATAACGCCAAGAAAATAAATAAAATTCGGAAAAATGTCGAATGCTCCGGGATTTACCGTCTCGTAATACGACAAATGCTTTCCGTGGCGGTTTATAAACGCATGAGGGTTTGTTATACTTCGTATTTGGGACAGCTGAAAAATCTCTCATGGAGAGGGAAAGGGGGGGGGGGGCTGTTGACTTTCGCAAAATTGAAAATACTTGTGGAGTCAAATGACTCCCTTCTTCGCTCTGTATTTTAACGAATACACCGAATGGTATGTCAGTTCTGGGCCTGAGATACTCGGAGTTTTATTTCTGGCTCAATTCTAATATAAGGAGAGGTAATTGTCTTTATGTTTAAGAGAATACTCGTATTTTTCCTCATCTACCAACTTTCTTGAGATATTGATGTCATTTTCGAAGTGTCTCGACGTCTTTGGACTTTGTTTCAGCCTTCAAATCCAACTTTTTTTGCAATTTGTTTTCTTTTTTCGATTTTTACTGCCAAAATGAGGGAAGAATACTCTTTGGTCGAAGTCATGAGATGCCATGCGTGTTGTTCTCGAATTCTTCTTGCTTTCCGATGTCCTTGCGAGTAATCTTTGGTATTTGCGGCGTTATCAGCCGCAAAAATTGACAATTTTTCATCGAATTCGCGAGATAAATGTCTAAAAAAACATGATATTCATGAAAAATCGGGATAGTGTTAGGATACCAAGCCCCTATCGTAAAGCAAACAGGACCTATTCAGATCTTTTGACTCTTTGGTGTGTATTTTGATGGTTTATTCATGAATTTTCTCTAATGATTCATTAAAATCTACGCTTTTTTGATGTTTGAAGGTGAATTTCCGCTGTTTCTCGGAGTTGTAAAGTGATTCGCTCAACCTTTTGATGATATCACACGCGGTTTGAGTCATTGCTTGTCTGACAACGAGATAATTCGATTACTTTTTTAGGAAAATGGCCGGGATTCGGGTCCGATTCCGATCCAACGCCGATTCCGACGGCGAACTTGGGCTTTTTGGTGAGTTTTTTGAATTTTGACTCGTTTTTTTGAACTTTTGGTATTCTGCTTGACCTGTTTACTGTTGGTCTCTAACATCCTGAGTTGTTTGTTTATTCCCAGGGACCTTCTTCTTTGTCAGAATAGGCATAGATGTAACTGTTATGGACCTTGTGTTCCAATTAGACATGGCTCCCAGGGCCGAAACAAATTTGGGATAGAAAAAAGATAAATTGTAGTGTTAAAGTTGAAATTATTTTTTCTTGTAAATATACCAAAGTAAAGGTGGATTGAATTTACACCTGTTTTTTAGTTTTCAAAAATTTTCAGGGCTTTTCGGCATTAGAATAGAAAATCTCAAACATTTTGAAGGTCAACTATAGCATAAATTTTATCTCCAAAGCGCTGTCCAAACATTTTCCGACGTTTAAAAGTGCAAGTTGCGTACTTAGCGACTACTTTCTTTGATGAATTACCCTCTCTTAATTTAATTTTCAGTCATACGCCTTTTGCCCTGAGGCAGTCTCCTCTTAACAGTTTGAGTTTTTTTTTTCACTCCCTAATTTGATGACTACTTTATTTATCCGAATTGAAATCGAATACATCCGAGGACACATTCCCTGAGGCAGTAAGAAGCCAAAAAAAAACGATGAATTCGGCCACTTTTCCCCTCTTTTCCCCCCGAATTCCGCGAGATTTTTGAGATTCTCTCCCGCTTTTTGACCGTTCTCGATGTTTCGTCGGGATTAAGAGGGCCATATGTAAGGGAAACGTGATTAATGCTTTGCGTATAAAATAAATCCGGCATTTTTTGTTAGAATCCCTGAAAGAACGGGATTTCCAAACCCAAAACTTCCAAAAAAGTGGTCCCAATAATTTAAAACGAGTTGTAAATCGAGTTTTTGCGCAGGAAAAGGAGTAAAATCTCGAGCTTTCAGTGTGCCCTTTTCTTTGCCCTCAGGGTTTTCGTATTTTTTGCGTTGTTTTTTTGATGAGAACGGCAGCGGAATTTATGAATTATTTGTGTTTTTTTTTGACTGCTTTAATATTTGAGGCTTTCTAGTCCATTCTCCATCTAAATTCGGAAAACTTTGACTAAATTTATCTTATTTTGGACGTATTTCGAGAGAACTCCAGTAATTTTGCCACATTCCCACTTATTATGACACTCGAGTTGTTTTTGCCTCGCTGATGCCCTTGGGCTATATAATTTCTAATGTTCTTTGTCTTTAGATTACCGCACATGTAAATTGCTACTCTTTTTAATACATGTTTTCTGTCTTAAAAATCGATGCCTAAAGTGGGAATTCGGAAGATTTTTTCCTCAGGAGGTAAGAGAGAGTGTTGTGAGTGACGTTATTATAGTCGGGTTGGTGTTGTTTCAGTCGTCAAGGGCAAAATACTTTTATTTTATCTTTTAAATTAAATGTGTAATATAAATTAAGTCTAATTTGTTCCACTTGGTGTTGATTTGTCTTTAACGGGATGTTAGATGTCGTTATGTAATTTCCAGACAGTGTCATCTTATTTTTTTATGTTTAGAATATGCGATAACAACTGATATCATGTATAATGTAATGTATTTTCAGAACGCGATGAGGTCTCCACATCGGCACCAACTCAGGTTACGTTCGGGCAGGTGTCCGTCAGATTCAGCGAAAAGTCTGTTGAGAACACGCCAAGGGTAAGGATTTCCAAATTTCATATTGTTGTAGACGTTTAGGTACCAGAAAGTGAAAAAATATCATTTTTTTACGAAAAAATTACTATAGAGCCAGGCTGTACGAGGCGAGGAGGTCCTGACGATTAACGTCCTGTTCTTTGATTTAGTTTATCAAAATTGCGATAATCTGTCATCACCTGTTTCGTTTTTATGTTTTAGATGGACCCCAAGCTTATCGTAATATAAAAAAATGAAAGTCGTAAATAGAACTAGCATGTCATTTCATGTGACAAACACCCTTTTTCTCTTGTTTATTTCGCAAAAACACCCCTATTTCGTCCGCTCGATTGTTTCCTTCCTCCAGATCTTTGATTTTGTTTATTTACCCCAACAAAAACACCCAACGATCCGTCATTTTATTCGACTTTGTGTCTTAGAGTTAGGCTGCTTTACTTCTTTTTTAAAGTTGAGAGGTTTTTGAGAATGGCGGACTCCTCTTCTGATTTGGATTTGGATCAGATTTTTGGGTCAGAAAAGGTTTGTTTTAACGTAGAATAAGAAAAAAGATGTTTTCGGATACTGAAAGGCTTTTTTGGAGTGATGGAAGGCGCTTTTTGCATAATGATGGGCAAAAATTATATTAATTTAGGTGATAGCGGGCATAAAAGTGAAAAAAAAAATTATGTAAAATTTTGGATGGTATATTCAAGTTTGATTATGTAATTTCAGCCGTCCACATCGTCGATATCATTCCCATTCTCACGCTCGAAACGGTTTCGCCGGGCCACCGAAGGCGATAAAGTCCCGGAACAATCGCCTCAAGAGAAGGTGGAGAGTGCTTATGAAGTGGTAGATGATCAAAGTATCCTCAGTCTCAAGGATTCGGATGACGAAAAACGAAAATGTGAGTATTTTCGAGCAACTTGGCCTTTGGACTCAACAAGAATAATATAATTTTACGTCCTGAAAATGTAGGAAATTTGGTTTAAACGAAGGGGAGCAGTTTAGAAGGTAAATGAGATTAGAATCTGCAAATTTTTGAGTAGTTTTCTTTTCTATTGAGTGAGTGTGAAACAAAAACGAATCTTTTTTATACAAAAAAGGTATCGATGATGTGGAATAACCGAAAGAGTAAGCAAAATAAAATAGGAAATCACGGGAATTTGAATTAAAATCTCTCCGAAAATATTAAACGGACGGTTAGCACCCAAAGTCGGTGGTTTAATGCGGCCGATGCGACTAGAATTGGACGGGTTTCTGAGGGAAAAATTGGTTAAGCTGCGAAATTTGGGTAAGTGTACGCAGTTAAGAGTGATGTAAGCTATAGCTTGCGGGATTATTGAGTGTTTAGAAATGTGAAATTGCGTCCAGAGAGATGTAATTGGTGTAGGGCGTTGAATAATGTTTTTTGGAGCGTTTCAAAACATTCCGAACGACTTTCCAAATAAAGAAAGTATCAAAGGGGAGATGTGAGTCATCCGGAGCCGATCTTCGCATCATTTTTTTTCCACAGAAACTTATTAAAACTTTCCCTAAAATATTATTGCGCAATAATTTAATCTAATATTTATTTTAATGGACGTGATAGCGAAATTTTTGTGTTTCAAACGCAATAAAAGTACGTTGAAGAGCGCTTTCCACCAACCTGGAGGGGAAAAGAGGGGAGAGACAACATTTCGGAGGGGATCCCCGGGAAGTCTCTTTTAACGTTTGATGTTTTTCGAACAAAGAATTGCTATTTTAAGTGTGGAAGGAAGTCTGGAGTGTAATTCCCGAACTCTCATGATCCCCGGAACCCTTCAGACCCCCCTTTTTTGATCTCATTTGTCATGTTTGGGCGTTCGAAAGATATGAATTCAAAACTTTCTTTTTTCTCTCCCCACACCCTTGAAACATGTTGAAAGTTTTATTTTCACACTAAAAGTACGAGTGCAAACAGGACCCATAAGAATATTCCGCCTCCCGAAGACTTTGGAAAAGAGATTCGGAGCCGGAAGAGGGCTAGAGACCGCTCTTAAAACCTTGGCGATACTAAAACGGCCGACGGAACGATTCGAAACGGAGAAAATGCTCGGATTTCTACGTGGAAATGACCCGTTCCGAAGCAGTTTATGGTCCTAATCATGTGTTTCCGTTGCCTGCGCAGGAAGGATTCTATGCAGTATCTGCTCAAAGAGCATGAGGACACAAAAAGTATTGGATGTATGTGCAGTTTAGCGGAAATTTTACCAAAAAAATATAATAGTTTTTGGAGGAAGCATGATTGAATTATACAGTATGTAATTCTTGTTCTTTTCAGCCCAGAGGCATCAAAATCAGGGCGACAAAGATACGGCTAGCGAGAATATTTCGATCGGAACCACCACTTCCGGAACTTCCGCGCATAGTTTCAATGGGTTCCATAATGAAAGCGAAGAGAAAAAGAATGAAGTAATCAGCGACAAGGACAGTTACGTATCAACCGAGGGCAAACCGGAGGAAAGCGAAAATGAGGAGGTCAGTTTTTGATATTATACTTGACATCAAATCTTTGATTTGTAATTTTTTGGTAATTTTGATTATTATCTCCTTCTACAGACTCCCAGAATCCGTCAAGGCGCAGATAGCGTCTCCCCAGATCAAGACGCGTACTCTGTCGAGGCCATGCTTCATCTGTTCAGCGAGATTTTCCGTCGCCATCGAGCTCTCCCCCTCAGGCCATATCGCTTTTACGTGTCGGCCGTATTGATCCTCCTGTCTGCCGTACTCCCCTCCTTCTTGTCGGGTCTTCTTTGGGGATTCTATTTTGCTGTTCTATTATTTCTATACTTTTGTGTGTCGGATCCAACGGCTCCGCTCACATATCCGGGCAAAAATTATGTCGCAGAGCCCGAGATGGTCAAGAAAATCAACGAAGAATCGCAAAGGGAGGATCTACCAAAAGGAAAACGGGTTTTTAAAGGTGAGAGTAGCCCGGGGTTTTATTTTTTGCTTGGATTTGTTTTTCATTTTTTCTTATTTTAGGTTGGATGAACATCCTCAACGAACCTTACAATCCTAATACTTTCCATGTGAATTCTCTCCAAACTGTCCTGGTCCGTTTGGATGGTAAATTACTGAGGATCTCCAGACCTGCAACGGCTCTTTTGAAGCATGGATTCCACACGGATCCAACGTTGACTGAGACCGAACCCAAAATGTTGGGACAGTCGATTTATGATCTGACCAATGCTCGGATCAAGGTAAGTTTGTGGGAGAGAGAACATTTTGTGTTATTTTAAAAGGAGAGACAGTTTTTTTATTATCAGTGACGTTTTGTAATCTATATAATTAAAAGTTTTTTGAAGGTATTTTTTAATGTTATAACCGCTGTTGTTGCAGCTCCGACCTCGCCGACTTGCTCGACGTCGATGGTTTTCAAGGAAGTACCCAATTTGCATCAAACTCTCATCGATGAATGGAGAATTGAAAACCGTCAGAAAGGAGTCTCTATTTGCCGGAATTTCTGAAGCTGTGACAGAAGAGAACCCAAAGGAAATTGTGATAAATGATGACGAAGGAGGAAAACTGCCAGAGAGAATGTCGGCTGTTGATGTGGCCAGAGAAGCTGACGGATACTTGTCCGATGCCTCGAGTGAAGCTGAAGAAGGTAAGAAAGTTGAATTGTAAATGAAATTTTATTTATAATTTGATTATATAGCATGATGAGGAGGATGATGATATTGTTTTAGATAAGCCCTTGCTGAAGAGATCCGTTTCTGACGCCAATTTGCCAGCGGCAAGCGGAAAAGTCCAACGTTTGAAGCGCAATTTCCCATCGACGAAACCGAAAAGACAGACGAGAACAATCTATTTGTTTGCCAGATGCGCCCGGGAGAAAGAGCGATGGTTCCATCGACTGAGAAAAGTGTGCAATAAGTACCAGGTCTCCCAGGACCCTCCTTTTGAAAGGAGATCCTCCATTTGCATTGGTGGGGATGGTGAAGGAGAGAAGGTCTTGTCCAGAGACTACTTTTTATATATCTTACATAACCTCCAGTTTAATAAGTAAGTGAATCATTGACTGTTTGAAGCTCTTCTTGAGTTGATTATATTGTGAATATTGTTCAGACATCTCGAAGAATCCCTTCTGATCCAGCAGAAAGTGAGCCTGGAGGTCGATGACACGATCCTCATGGACTTGGGAAGAGTGAAATGGACAAAGCCGGAGGAGAGTTCGGGAAAAGAACTGGTCTTGGTGGCCAATTTGATTGCCTCCAGGGTGTTCTACGACTTTTGTCGGGATGAATATTGGTGCAAGCAGGTCCAGAATAAGATACAGACCAAACTAGCGACCATTCATGTGAGTTTTTGTGATTTAATTAGGATTTATGGACCTTGCCTTAGGTCGGATTTTTGAGTTTTTTTTTTAGATTTTTATCTTTTCTGTTTCAGCTTCCATACTTTATCGAGACATTGGAACTATCCAGCTTTGATATTGGTACCGCCATCCCTCGGATCGAACGTATTTATAAACCCTATGTGGACGAATGGGGAGTCTGGGTGGACTATGAAATCTGTTACAAAGGATGTATAAAACTGGCGCTGGAAACGCGTGTGAACTTGATGAGGATCAAAAAACATCACGACTCGGTGGATATGGCCGATAACAACCCGTTGGCTGCATCGACGGCATCATTAAATCTGAGGGCCACCCCCACGAGATACTCTGATTCAGAGCTCCCAGAGAGTCCAGAAACGTCGCCAGATGAAGAATATGGAAGCAAATTGAAGCTGAATGACAATACACGGTGAGTTCAGGGATTTGGGAATATTTATTAGGTTGTATAATATGTTATGACCATTTTCTTGCAAAAGTTTGAAGTCGATTATTTCCTAGCTCAGATCCCTCCTTAGTTCAACATACCTATAGACTAATAGAGGGCTTATCGAAGTTTCATCTAGTGCGTATTGCAAAGTCTTACGGCATAGCCGCGATTTTCTATTGCTAAAAACTCGGAAGCGCCCCGATTTTGGCAGGGTACGAAATAACTCAAGTCACGTCTCTCAGCCAGCCGCTGCTGGTCTCGGATTGGTGTTATTGTAATCTTCAAGGGTCGTAGAAGACGCTGACACAGCATCGTTACTAGGTATCAGTGACAACTCATTTTATGAGCTGTTTTTCCGGAAGGTTACCGAAGCCGTCGCCTGAAAAAGCGTCTAAAAAGTTTAGCGCCCGGGGTTTCTATTGTCTATTGTTATAACTCGTGGTAATACGAGATCACATACCTGTTGTCACACCAGGCAAATTTTGGAGCATGCAGTAATTGGAATCTCCAGAAAAATTTAAGAATTAGCAGAATTTTGGATCATCCAATTGAATTTCAATTTTTTAGAACTTAACCGCCGCAAACTCTAAGAATATATACTGTCGTTTTCGCCAAGGTATGTAGTGTATATAACCACCAAAAACAGTTCTTCACAAGATGGCGCTAGGGCGCACTCAATAAAAGTTTTGAACTCTAGTCCAGCGGCCCTCAAAATGTAACGATTTTAAGGAAGCTCCTTATTGTCACCTGATACAAGCAGTTTCTGATTTGAGTAGGTTATCAAAAAGCAACTCATAAGTGACTCTTTACAGCTGAACCACGTTATTTGAGGTGGGATTAATTCGAAACGAATCAGGGTGCATAACAATCAAGGTATACCTCAATTTATATTTTGAACAGTAAAGCTCAGGTAGGGGACGTAGAGTTGATCCTGCGCAGCGTATGTAAAAAGGACGCCTCTAGTGTCCTACAGAAGCATTGTCATTTCTAGCCTCTCAGAATTCTCAGATTTAAGGCGTATTTTTGCTTTAGCACCTTGGGACGCCCTCATTTCTTGATTTCTTTTCTCCGATGTTTTAGCCGGAGGCCGATGTGCTACTGGTTCCTGTAATCTACTGTCTCCACCCTACCCAGCGGTATGCTATTCAACTCTGAAAAAAGCATCATTAAAGTTTTAGGAATTTTAGAAAATTATGGTCATAACTTATTATACAACCTAATATAATATGATTTGTGCCCTTTATGAAGTTATATTGTAGTAGATGATGGCATTTGTTTTAGGGAAAAGAAGAAGACGGGTAGGAAAATCCTGAATCTAGTCGATAAAATCGCCTCATCCAACATCTTCAAAGAGGCATCAGAGCTGAAGCCGATCAGGAAAATGATGGAAGACATCTCTTCCACCCGGCTGATGCTGAACGTCGAAATCACTGAACTTTCCGGCACAATGACGATCAATGTGCCTCCCCCACCATCGGATCGTCTTTGGTATTCGTTCAGAAATCCTCCGAAGATGAGTGTTCGGGCCATCCCCAAAGTGGGCGATCGCTCTGTGGTCTTTTCCACTTTATCCGAATGGATCGAAAATAAGATTGTACAGGTCCTGGAGAAAAACCTGGTACTTCCTAATATGGATGACACTATTATTCCTGTCATGAGTGGGAATGAACTTCTGAAAGGACCCATTAATGCATGAAAATTGTGTTCTGGATATGACTTTTGTCATGGATAATATAATTTATGTTTTTGTTCGTCTTTAATTCTTTTTTTATTTTGTTCCAATCCGTTTAAGCCTTAATTGCTATTGTAATTTGCTGAACGATCAAAATTTGTGTCAATTTGGGCATTAATTTAGTGACTTACAGTAAGATTTGGATATTGTTCATTCCAAAAACAAAATTTAATTTATTTTTTCGTAAGTTATGATCTACATTCCACTTTTGTATATATTGATACATGTCTTTGTACTTGTTATTGTTGTCTATTCGGTCATATGAACGCATGCTGGTGTCTTGATCTTATTCTAGGGATTTCACTTGTGATTTGTAAATTTAAGGTCGTTTAGTGTGTAAAGTAATGTATTTTGAAGGTCTTAGTGGTTGTAATTCACGAGAAGTGGGTTACAATTTAAATCCCCCGCCTAAAATACGGTTCTCCCTTTGCCAGCTAAGCTTCGATTGGTCTAAAAGCGAAGGCAGCAATATCTCTATGGGTCCGGTCTGTAATTCCAACGATTTCCAAATGCTTTTAATGTGCATCTTCAATAAATTAAGTTAAAAAGTTTGGACGATTCGATAACTCATTCATAGTTTGATCAATATTTGTCGTAATTATGATGTGCAAAGTAACGTTGTCTTTTATTTAGTTCTAAAACAATGTCAGCGGATCCCTCGGCGCTTAAATTGTTCAGCGATGACATTGAGAACCGCGAGGAGGAGCAGGATATCGAATCAATTGTAAATTTTTTATGTTGTACTTAATTTATTTTGGCAAAAGGACGAAAAATTGTCTTTTATTACGATGAAGGGTAGTGATAAGTGGTGCTTTAGGAGGTCACCGACAAGGTAGAAGTCTTTTTTGAGAACCAGAAGGCCATTGAATGGATAAAACGAGGCTCTTTCCAACGGGTCGCTCTCCAATTGCCGGATTCTTTATTAAAGTATGCTTATGAAGTGGCGACGGATATCGAGGAGAAGTCGGGGGCAAAAATATATATTCTGGCGGACACATCTTATCGGAAGTAAGTTGTTTCGGCACTAAACAGTTTCCAATATTACTTTAGATTTTGATGACATTGCTCTCTTTGTTATCAATTTATTACGTAATTACAGCTGTTGCGTTGATGTAATCGCTGCCGAACACTCCAATTGTGATGCTCTGATCCATTATGGAGAAGCGTGTCTCAGCGAAAAGACCGATAAAATCCCAGTTTTGTATATTTTCTGCCGATTACCAGTGGATTTCCGGGATTTCAAAGTCAAATTTGATCAGTATTTGGAGAAGAACAGGACGGAAAGCACTAAAACGATTGTTTTACTCTATGATTCCGTCTATTCTCACACATCAGAACAGTTGAAAAAGGTTTTGGAAAAGAGAAATCTGAACATTATTGAGTGTAAAACGGTCGGTGAAGTGGTAGAAGATGAAGATGTTCATCTGGGAAGACGGATAGACAAGAACATACAAGAAGAGGAGAGTCTTTTGGTGTTTGTTGGACAAAGAGAGAGCGCGTTGCTTCCAATTTGGCTGATGACTTTCCCAAAATACAACAAAATTGTGTGGTATCAGCCAAAGGAGAAGGTTTTGGAGAAGGAAATGTAGGTCATGAGATTAGCATTTTCACAAAGTGCCTGGACATCTTTTCGCTTTCGCACAGTGCATCTTGAATTTTTGTCGCCAACGCACTGTGGATTTTTGTCTTTGCGCACTGTGCAAACCTCAAAAAAGCCGATTGCACTGTGCACATTTTTGAACAAGACAGCGGCCGCGCAGTTGAGAAAAGCTTACGTCGCAGCGACAAAAAATGTTTCAAATGCACAGTGCAAAACCAAAAAAAAGGTGAGTGCACGGTGCAAAAAATCGGGGGTTTTTGTGCACGGTGCGGAGCGCGACAAATATCCAGGCACTTTGGGAAAATGCTAATAGGTTGTTTTGAGGTTACAAAAAAGGATAGGAACTGATGGGGAAGAAATTATATTCTCCAGGACCAGAGTTTATATTGCCCATCATAAAATCATTGCACTTGTAGATCAACTGCCTACAGACAACTCCGAAAACGCATGTATCTGATAGAACGACTCAAGGACGCCAAGACAATAGGACTCGTGATTGGAACGCTGGGCACAAAGAATGGCCCCGAGGCGATTAAAAGAGTCCGCCGGTTGTGTGAGGCCGCGCAGAAGAAACTCTACGTTTTTGCGATCGGAAAGTTGAACGAAGCGAAACTGTCCAACTTTTCTGGAGACATCGACGCGTTCATCTTACTCAGCTGTCCATTGGGGGTCCTCCTAGACGCGAACGAATTCCTCAAGCCTATCTTAAGTTTGTTCGAGGCTGAAATAGCGTTGAATCCAGCGAGTCCTGATTGGTTTGCGGATGCCGGTTGGACCGCAGAGTATTCTAATTTGTTGGAGAGTAGGTTTTACGTTTCAAAAAATTGTTTTCCTACTGTTAGTTAAGATCAAGTGCAATATAATTCCTTTCAGACCCAATCGAACCCTCAAAATTGACGGACAGGGAGACTGATGTGAGTCTGATCAGCGGCAGAATTCGAAATCTTCAAACGCAAACAGAAGAAAACGACAAAAAAGAAATTGTTTTGCATTCAGCCGGAGATTACTTTATGAATCGAACCTGGAAAGGCCTCGACGATGAATGTGGCCAAGAGTCGACGGAACTTAAACAGGGCCTAAAAGGAGTCGCTATGGGCTATAAAACAGAACCCGGAGACAAAAAGGAGTAGTGTAACAATTTTTTGTTGTGATCTACAATGTTGTTTTTATATTTGGAATCCTCAAAGTTATACCATAAGAGCTCAATTATTCTTGTTGATTTTGTTGTTACTTTAATAAAATTTATTTTGAAAATTGAGTGAAATATGAAAACAAAATGGTATTTGATGAACGAAAAATGAATAATTTATCAGATATAACAACATTTATTAAATTACACCGGACCTGGTTTTGCTCGAAGCTCCCTTGAACTTTGTTTCCGACCGGCAGCTTCTTCCCGAGCCTTCTTCAACTTATTGGCATTTTCAAACAAATAAACTGGGCCTTGTCCAACTAATTCAATCAAGATCGGAGGCAACTCAACAACAGAACTGTCTGGACACACATCAGAGAAGGTGAAAGCGGAAAGTTTTGCCATTTCAAGGCCCTAAAAGCAAAGGAATTAAATTTTAAAACGTATAAAAATATTGATCAAATTGACTCTTACCTTCTTTAGGATGTTTGCAACATTGTGCAACTCGTCAGCATCCTTGAATCTAATCTCCACGGCGGTTAATCCTAGATCGTACTGATTTCGGGCGAAAAGAAGAACTTTATTTGTTCTGCGGCTTAAAGTAACCTTGGTATCAGCAAAGATATAACCGGCAAAGGACTCCTTATCGTTATTTATGTGAACTAACAACAGCCGGTCGATCTGGTAGAGCTTTACCTCACAAAGCCGCCAAGGAATGGTCTAAAACCAGGAAAAATTGCAAAACTGTGGATTTCACTTACGACTACGGTTTTTTCAGGTCCACATTTGATGAGACAAACGATCCGACTTTCTGCGTAGACAGCAACGGCGTATTTGGGAAGACGAAAATATTGGATCGTCATCTGGAAAGATCAAGTATAATATAAAGACAAGAAGATAAAAATGAGGCATTGAAAAAAGACAAATTTGATAGATAACCGCGAGATAAGTTACATTCACAAGATTCTTGGCAAAAAATTGCAATAAAAATTTTACATCAACCACCCACCCGGCTGGGTCCTAACACGGAAATCTTAGAACGCCAAAAATGTTGATGAGGAAATATTTGAATCATTAAAAGGACAATTTCAAGTCAAAGTATGTTTCATAAAGGGCTCTATGGGTAGTGCAGACCTTGTTTGATCAGATTTGAGACGTTAATAATTATCATGAATAATATGTTGGTATAATCGATTTGGGATTACTTTTTCACGACATTACAACGCTGGTTCTATCCTTGTTTATTTTACATTTGCCCTGAGATTATAGCATATTGTAAGTCAAAACTTTTCAAATACGTATCGACATGTGCAAACCCGTCCAATCTTATTATGCTAGCGCCAACAAATTCACTCGGATGTGCTCCACAAGCTTGGAATCCAACTACTTGATCCCCCGTACTTTCAATCACAAAGCTTCTTCTCCCTTCGTAGTTAATTTTTGAGTTGATGTCAATCATGAAGTTGTTGTTACATCTCATTCCGTTTATTTTATTACAAATCGACGTAAATGGGTAGTTGTCGCAAAACAACGCCCCATGCATTACCCCGGCAATTCCAATATAATTACTGATGATACCAGTCAACGGAGGTCCTAGATCTTCTCCAGTCTCCACACAAACTCCGCCCATTATCGCTTTCCGAGAGACCGCTCCGCCCATGGAAAAACTAATCACATTTACAGGTCGATTTGTGAATAAATGAACAGCTTGGATCAAGATTCGGATCTGAAGGAATGATTGGGAATTGAAAATGGATGAGGTTGACCTACTGTTTTAATGTATCTGCACTCAATTGTGGGCTGTATTGTGCCAGATCCAGTCCAATATCCATAGGTGGTAGCATACAGAGTAGTGTCATCATAACCTTTCATTTTTAGCCAGTTCATCTGGTCTACAAATCGAACAGCACTTCCCGTATATCCATGGACAAAAACGACGGGATCTTTGCTGAAATTTCGGATGTGTGCTGCAGTTACTTTTTAATGTTGCATCTGTCGGCTAATCAGACTATGTCATGCTTTTTCAAGATTATTGTGAAGAGGATAGGTTTTCTATGATCTCCCTTTTAGCAAAAGCCATGCTCACTTGGTCATTTGTCCATAGACATGATTTCCACCTCCAAATGACCCGAATGCACCCATGTCAGCCCTGATTAAGTCATTAACATAAAGGCCATAGTAACTTTGTAAGAAAAGTACAAAATTTGGGGAGAACAATGCCCAGCAAGGGGAGACTAGCAGCAGTAAAATGACAGCTATCATTCCTTCTCTTGGCATTGTTTTGCTGGTGCATCCTTAATTTATATGGCCGAAGTTAAATAGTTTTTGACCTGATTCATTCAATAATAGCAAAGCCATGACCTATGAATAGATTTGGGCGAATGAAAAGAATTCGATTACAAGACTACTTTTTAATGTTGCATCTCTCATATTCGACAAAGAAGAGCACCGTTCCAACAAAATATTTAATTTTAAATTAAATGTACATTTGATTTGGTATGAAATAATCAAGAGCAATATAATAACTATGTTTGAAAGCGATTCAATTTGCACAAGTGTTCGAAAGCCCGCATAGGGATGTTGAGGGGTGGGAAGACGGGGCCGAGGTCCGGCTCGCCAAAGATGGATAACGCCGCAATTCCGAAATATGTGTGGAGGATGTCTGAAAGTAAAAAGTTTATTATCTCAGACAGGTTAAAAAAAATTTTTAATATATCAGACAGGTCAAGCACATGTAAACTGAAGTTTTTGCTCACCTGATGTAATGTCAACGTATTTGGCAAAGCCACCAATCACATCGTCTTGTGCGTCCATTAGAAATCTTCGCAGTGCTTTTTCGTCGACTAAATGATGGGCATTCAGCATCTGAAAGAATAATGGATCAATAACAATAACTTTCATATTCAAGCCCCAAATTTCTATCATCAAATACTCATTTCGCATTTATTACACTAGGCTACTTCAAGATATAAAACTTCAATCACAAGATTTCTACATCAGTCTTCACCTTACCCATAATGTAGCCCCAATCCAAAACGCGTAACAACTATCGTCAGGTTTGTTGGGCCTTCCATGGAACCCAACATCCTGTTTCTGAAGAGCCCATCGTTTAAGTTTTTCCAGCTGGGCCTTACTCAGCACCGAATAATCCCATAATCGGCCCAGAAGACAGAGACTCGCGATCGCACAGTAAGTAGAACCACCTGGAAGAGCATAAATAATTCAAAGAATGAGTAATATTACGCCAAATCATACTAAAGCAAGCCTACCGTGACTTTCAAACTGAGGTCCTTGTCCAATTCCACCATCATAGCTGACGCTTTTCTGGATGAAGTCGCATAGAAGATCAACATTGATAAAGGAGAAGTCGTTGAGGATGTAGGAGATCGAAACTGCACAAAATACAAATCTCATGTCACTTTCTGATTGATTCGAGAAGGCCGAGAAGCTGAAAACAAAACATCCAGTACAATACAACACTACCAATCTCAGCTACCTAAATATAAAGCACAATATAAAAATTTCTTACCTTCCATCCGTTTGCTGACATTGCCTTAGCGCCCCCAGGGCTGCTGTCCGATCTACTTGCTCGAGATTGTCCCCAAGGATCAACAAACAGCATAATGCACTGTAAGTTTGAGCAATATGAGCTGATTCGTATTCGGAGATAACTTCGGAGTTGGAAACCGGATCCAAAAATGAATAAATATTACCTCGGAACCCATAGGACTCCGGCGGAACTTCTGAAAGAAAATGGATAAGATTTATCACCTAAAATAACACTATTTTTGAAACTGATCGTACCATTCTTTGAAGTGATCTGAAGCCGATATAAATAATTGATCATTTCTTGTTTGGCCTCACAAGATATTGTGTCCAATTGGTCCAGAAGGTCCAAGGCGCCAATGCAGAAGAAGAGGAGAGTTGGCCTGCAAAGACAAACGTATTCTTCAGGTTTCAAGACCCCGACATTTTAATCAAGTATCATATAAGAAACTCTATGTTTTCAGTTAATAACATGCCTAAATTTGGAAGATACTAACAGACAAATCTTACCGACTTCCATCCAAACTCAAGTACGCATTGGGAAGGATCTTCAGGCAATGATGGAGTAATTTAATATGCTTTTGCTTCAGAAATGGCCTCGATCTCGTCAAACACATATTCTTTGTGGAATTTATAACTGGCTCAACCGAATCCAAATCCATTTCATCCCGTCTGGAACGCTGAACTTGCGAACTGATTACCCGTTTAGTCACCCAACTCGCACGCTGAAATTAACAATATTATACTAGATAGCGAGTAGAAACAAAGGCGCGCGTTGTAATAAAAACAGTGGGTTCCCAAATGAAAGCTGAACGGTGATGTGACGTACGGAAATTGTAGTTTATGAGATCAGATAGCAACAGATATCATAAACTATCAAAGCCATTTATAACACAACTCAAAATGGCAGCTCTAAAGTAAGACCATCCACTAATTCGGTAGATCGGATTAGATAAAGGAGAGAACATCCGGATATTGCACCATCCCCACGCCAATTTATTTTCTTCTACAAAAAATCAAAAAAATAATTCGTGTCAAGTGTCTCCCTGGCCCGTTTGGTCAACTGTTTCCCTCCGCTAAACATCCTACCGTATCATGGCAGAAAAAGTGTTAATCATCTCGGAAATTGCACAAAGTAAAGAAGAATAACAGACAAATCGAAAAATGTTCACTCAAGATAGAAAAAAAAATAAATATCTGCCATAATTGGCGGCGCCTTTAATGTTTACCGCTGGTGTAAGGTAATTTATTTCGTCCATAACTTTTGATTGAGGTGCCATACCCTAACTTTTGAGTCTATGGAATTGTAGCTTTTTTAATGCTCTATCCAATGGGCATGATTTTTTAAAATTTTATAAGAAGCCCCGGGTGTTACAAGTCAAAAATGGTGAAATTTTGAGTTTCTTTCAGATGAGTTTTAACTTATACTCGTAATCTGAGAGCGGAATCAACGCCTTAAGGAATGGCAACCTAGGCAGGAAGAGACAGCGGGATCTGCAGGCCCAGAAAATGCGTGAATCAAAGCGCCTGAAGCAATTGGCCGTCGACCAGCCCGACTCTACAGTAACCCAAAAAAAATGGAAATTCCAGTGTTTACATCAATGAGGTATGTTTTTTCTTATAGATTGGTTTTGTTTTTAGATATTACATAGAATCGCATGTGGGCTTTCAAATTCCGTTGAAAAATCGAAAATTGGTCGCGTACTTTTTGAGAAAATTGGGTTCAAAATTAGGGTCCTAAAGGCAAAAAATTCGAAATTTTGAATTTTAAGGGTCTTTGCGCTTTCAGAACGTTCTAACTGACATCACAAATGCTTCTGTGACTCCAAGAAGGACTCCTACGTCTCGATTGAATCTTCAACGTGAACGGGCGGCCGTAGCAACTGCCTCAGGGAAAAAAGTTCGGGAGCTCACAGAAGAAGTGGAAATTTCTTCTGCGGAATTCCAGAATTATTTTTCTGCGGCGAGAAGAGGAAAAGAGAAAATGCAGGCGTTGGAAGCCATTTTATACGATGAAACGTGTCTGCCGCGGGCTGAATTAACGCGCTGCAGTGATTGGCCGTCATAAAGAAGGGTTTCATTATTCTCAAAACCGTATTTTTGAAATCCAAAATTTAAGATTTTCAAGAAACTCAACTGAAAATTAAGACTCAAAACTGCAGTCATCGTTACAAAAAACTCAAGAAAAACACTGATCTTGATATTACAGTAACCAATTACCTGCACAACCGGCCTTAAATGTTGCAGCATGCAAAGGATTTCTTAATCGTATATGGTAAAAATTCAGCGTACCGTAATTTCAAGACCTCCTCCCCTTTTAATTTTGTTTTACACCGATATCAAGGTGTTTTGAAAGGTTTCAAATGTTGAAAAAAGTTTTCTGAAAAAAGGTTACATTCAAAATGGTATCTTGCAAGATAAACACAGGCTGTATCCTACAACAAGTGTCTCGGTGATGAAAATGTTTTTCATGGTCCAGAAAGAAAAGCTCTAGGTCTCTTTCCTTTGCACACTAAATCCATCATTCTGAAAACGCTACGGTCACCAAGTTTCGTTTCGTTTATTCTTTTCACTCAGTAAATTGTATTGAGGAGAATAGGTATGCTATGTGGTATGTGCTACACAATGAAGTGTAGCACTGAAGTTTAGCTGCCTTATGTTAGTACAACAATTACGAAAAGAAAAATAAAATCTGAGATAGGGAATTCTTGGAGATGTCCAGGCCTTACTTCACGTTGTAAAAAATGTTCTTTTAATCAGCGAATAATGTGATTATTTGAGGTGGTCTCTGACTGGTCTGTTGTTTGATTTCCATTACCGATCAACAATTTATAGCCTTTAAAGCAATTAAAACGATGACGTCATCTATAAGTATTTCCTCCAACTTGCCCCGACAGTGTGGTTGATGGCGGCCTTGACATGCGTTCAGTAATAAGCATTACTCTTTCCGAACGTCTACTTGTTAATTTTTAACCTGTTAATTTCCGGTTTCTCCTTCCATTTTTCGTCTGTTTACAGACAATTTTCCTGGAAGAGCTTTGAAAAGGCGTAAAAATCAGCAAAAAAAGAACGTATACGAACGTGGGGAAGATGGTAGAGAAAGGAAAACGTAAACACACTGAGGCCGGAAGCAATTTTTACAGTGTAGTCTGGTCAATGTAATGTCTGGAAAAAGGCTTGAAAGTTGGTTTAAGTTCTGTTTCATTTCCCAAAAAGGTATAATAAATCAGTCTTTCAAAAAATCGTACTACTTTTTACAACGCAACCTCAAAAGTAATGAGATCTGTTCCGAGATAAAGTTGTTGTTGTCCACGTCTTGACGAACTCGTCTTTATCTTTACGGTTGTTTGACGTCGACGTTTTTAACAACAGCAGTTTTTGCAGAGGCAGGTTGTCGACAAAAATCTTTTTTTTTTGGTTTTTGGGTTCTTTTTTTGGAAAAATGATTTATAGCGGGTTCAAGTTGAGATTTTGATGATTTCATCATCAAAATCAGATAATCAGATAATCAGATTATGATTATCATTACCATTCATAATGTGATTTCATGTGAAGATACGTCATGTCATCATGACGTATCTTCTGGAAATTGTCCAAAATTTTGTGATTTTGCTCCATTTCTAGAATTTGCTGACCATTATTTCCACTGCTAAATTTACTGACCTTTATTTCCCCATTTACAGCCAAAACCCCGCCATTTCCCCCATTTCTTCCAAAAATCTCACGCTTTTGCCCCCAAATTGATGACATTAATGTAGCCTTTGACATCACGCCCTCCGTTGTAATTTATTCCATTAAAACGTATCTTCTGATTGTTCTGAAATTGAGTCGGTGAAGTCTGTTTTATTGTCTTCATTTCACTTTTTATTTGTTTCCGCGCGAAAATTTCCGAAAGTGAAAGTTTTTTTTTTTGAAATTTGCGGGTTCATGATAATGGACTGGTAACAACCTGATTATTATTGTAAGTTCTGGAGGTGATTTTGACAATTTTTTTGTGGAATGGGGTAAGAGGCAATGATTATGCTGTTTTAGGGGCTTTTACACAGTATTTTGAAGGGGATTACTGTAGTTTTATGATTTTTTGGAGATTCAAACATCGATTTTGTGGTTGCGGAATGAGTTGATGCCTCAGGTCGTTTTATACAAAAGACCAGGAATTTCAAAAAAAAAAAAAAAAAAAAAAAATGAATTTTGAAATTTTTCAACTTGAATCGTCCCGATTTTGAGTGAAACACGAAAAAAATTTCAAAAATTTCTTGTAAAATTCTGTTCTTCCAACGTTTAGACAGATTTTACCTGGCTTTGTAAGCCGTATTTTTGGATTTTTTCTGTTTCAATTTTTTGCCCCATTTTTTTGCCCATTATTTGTTGTCTTTTTTTGCCCCACCAAATCGATGACACACATTTCTTTGCGTTTTTGTATATCCCCAAACAATAAAATAAGATTAACTCCCGGCAAAGCCCAAAAAACGGACAAAAGAGGGGGGAAGATACGAACATGTTGCGCAATGAAAGTAAAACCATAAGCGATTATAAAATGCCCTGCGGCGCAAAAAGAACTCTCGGGATCTGGTGAAGGGCGTTGTTGTTGTTGTGTTTGCACAGTTTCGGTTGGGACTCTCGACAATGTCGCCGCGAGTTGCACAAACTTTTCGAGGGTAATGGGTTAGGAGGGTGGCGGTGGAGACGGAAGGAAGGGGCTGGGATGACGATGAACCCGGGAAGTGGAGTTTTGTCACCGGAATGGAGGATTAGGGATGATGACATTATTCAAATTTGAGGGCTTTGGGAGCGGTGTTTTGCAAGGTTTCGTGTTTCATTTTGCTTTTATTTTATAGTCATCAAATATTTTACTTTTCCTCGATCTGGTGACAACTGTTGTCATCATCGTGAAATTTGGTCATAAGTTGTTTTAAGAAATTTATTTTTGGACTCAAAAATTTATTGGAATGTTTTGTTACCCAATTTTGTCTATTTTACTGGTATATCGCCTCAAGAAAAACTTTAAAAATAGGCTAAAACGTTAGACTAAATTTTTTGCTCTTCAAAATTTTTATTTCAAAAATTTTTCCACTGTTTACTATAGACCGATGCCGTTTCGATTATATCCCAGTCCCGTCCAGTTGTAACGATCGTCTCAATCTTTTCCTGATATTACACTTGTCCTCAACCCATGGCCCCATCGCTTTCCCGTTCGTCCAACAGCATGGCTGTTCGCTTCCGCGGGTTTTGAAACGCTTCCTTTCGCGTCCCTAATAAGCGATCAGTTCGCTTGCAAAGAGTAATGTAAGTTCACTAAACATCGAAGCGAAGAACCGGTTTCGGCGGGGGAAGAGACTCGTACAAAAGATCTCATATTAAATAAAATTCATTGGTTTGTTATGCACGGCCATTACTGACGTCAGCACCATCACAATCGGGAGTTATGGCGAAAGGAAAGGAGTGTAAAATGCGGTAAAGAAAGACCCAAATATGGGGAGATACTAAACGGAGATCAATGGGGAAGGGAGTAAAGTTCAAGGAAGTGATTAGAGAGTAGGTAGATGGGAATGCCGGAGGAGTTAAGGCCCATCTTGAGACTCAAAGGTATCTGGAAAAAAACATGCAAGTCTGGCTTCAGAAGTACGGCCCAGGGCTCAGATTTTGGCAAGATTCCGATGATCTCTATGTCTGGACCATTCTCCCATCTTTTGAATATAGGTTCGTGCTATACAGCCAGTCGAGATAAAAATAAAATTGTTTCGAATGACGTCATCTTCTCGTATTTTCCGTTAATTCACCGTGACAATTCTGATTGTGTCCTGACATGCGTTCAGTAATAAGCATTACTCTTTTCGAACGTCTACTTTTTAATTTTAAACTGTTGATTTCCGGGTTCTCCTTCCATTTTTCGTCATAAAAATAAGATTTTGGAATTTGAGGAGGGCTGGGTAGAGAAAAAAATGCAACTAAATAATTGTAAAGTCTTCTGTTGCTATACTGTTGTTTAAAAAAGTTATTTTTTCAAGTTGGAATTTTCAAAAATTTAAATTTTTTTGCATCAATAGATCAACAAATATTTTGAAGAACAGCTCTTTCAAAATTTACAAAAATAACAAATCGAAAAGTTGCAGCCGTCTTTTTTTAGGTTCAGTTTTTTGAAACTGCTTATTGCAGCCTGCTCAGCCCGCTCTCAAATCTGTTCTTCCCCTTAATTTATGCAGTCCCCACTTCCCCAAACTCGTTTACCGAGCATCACAAAGTTGTAATGGTCTTCACAATTCCTCTGACTGTTCCGCCGAAGGTCATTTTCGCCCGTTTTAATTGTTTTTTCCTTTTTTGTTGTTTCCAGCGATGGTCAGAACGGAGAACTCTTGTTTTTGCAGAATCTCTGTATGTATTTTACAAACCTTAACAAACCAATTTAGACACTGTTTTCGTCGAATTTGGAGGTCAGACGGTCTGTTTGTTATATCAAGTGTAAGTGATTACGGCTGATTTGATTATTGTTTCTGGAAGAGCGCGATTCTTCAAGTGTTTTGGACGTGTGGGGCTAAGTAAGAGTAGGTGGAGGAAAGCGGTAAAAAACATGGGGCTAATGGCGGGGAATCAAGACTTTTTTGCAAAATATAACGTCCTAAAAAATAGTCGATTTGGGTGAAACTTGACATACGATGACTAAATTTTTTTGAAAGAAATATTTCTCCAAATTTTAAACTCCCAATTTGCAAAGACGATCAGGAAATTTGAGTCATAAATCGCCAAATAATCGTAATTTTTTGCGGTTTTTTAGCCTAAAAATTATAGTGGATTCATACTGAAGATTACAAGATCAAAATGATCTTTTTATATCGACTACCTGCAAAGTTACAATCAAAAAAAAATTTCATGGGATTTTTTTCTCTTTTTCCGTCTACGAAAATCTTTGAATATCTCAGCTCTCGTTGCAAGGTATAAGCTGAAATTTTCAAGAATTGAAATGAACACTGTATCTTCTGTAAAACCCAATCCGCCTCTGCCGTCAAGAAAAATATGTATTGTTGATCTCAGATTTCCTCTTCCATTTCCTTAGAACTGAAGGATCGATGACGCCGTTCCCTCTACCTCCCCTTGCATGCCTATCTTGTCACTTTACAACTTGCATTACCTTCAAAGAAAAAAAGTTTGGTCTGAAACCCGAGGTTTGATTTATGAGGCCCGTCTTTGTTTACTGCATGTCCAAGCAGAGTAATTCTTGTAATGATCGCCTTATCTGATTATCTGATAACTCCTGAAGTCGTATAGACGGACAAAAAAAGTGAGGGAATTTGGAACCTTCAGTTTACAGTAAAAATTCCATCTCTTTGGAGGGAAAAAGGCATGTATTTTTAAAAGTAATGGAGTACAGAGTTGAGGAAAGTCAGAAGCTTGAAGCCTGCAAAAAACGGGAGGTGGGGGTCTGCTATATAGTAGACTGCGACGTCAGTATTTTAACACTTCAAAGTTACCAGTATTTGTCATCACTTTTAAGATAAAAAATTCAATTTTGCAATATGTCCCACTGTAACTGGTCTTACTATTTATCACATAACCTTGTAATTCCTCTAATTTCCCTTGCAAACTACTATTTACAGTCCTCAAACTGTCAGAATTTAATTAAACCTCAAAAAAGTCAGGTTTTAGGTAAAGAAACGAGAAAAAAGATTACTTTCTTACTACCTTTACAGCTCCGGGACTACTAATTATATGGAATATTAAATTTTTGCTCGTTTGTCACATTTTCCAACAGTTTCCTTGATATTACAGTAATTAAGACTGTAAAAAATAAATTTGCGTAAATTTGCATAAACTAATTTTTGATATTTTTAGAGGGCCCTTAGCGATTTTTGATGGAAAAAATGAAGGATTCAAATTGCAAAAACCGCCCCCCCCTTTTTTTTATTTCATTGTCTTGGAAAAGCGAACGGAAATTTGAAAAAAGTGAGGGTTTAAAATATTAAAACTAGAAATTAAGTAATGCAATGATGATTATGGGGCCCTCGAGAGAGACTGCTTCCGTTTAATATTTGTCGTCGTTGCTTCAAACATCAATCTTCAATGGCCTCGCCCAAAAAATAAAACTTGGGATGGGTGTTGCAATAAAAGTGGGGAGGGCCTGTATACCGTGCAAAAACGTAGTTGTTGTATAAATGTTTGTGATGGTGGGTGGTGGTTTTGGACTTAGAAGTGACCAGGGACTTCTTTACAAAAAATTACACAGTTTTAGCAAATATTTTTAGTCATCAAAAATTTTGAGAAATTTCCGGTTAGACCTGGGTGAAAGCTCGCATAAATCGGGACCAACATTGTTTGAGAAAAGATGGAGATTTTTATTTTTTGCTTGTTAGCAAGAATCCTCACAACTCCTCCCGCTCCCTCAACTTTGCTCTTATTTATCCCGATCCCATTTCCACCCTCACTTTCCCGACCATTGAGTCCATTTTCGTCGCTGTTCCGGACCATTTCCACGTTTTTTTCACGCAATTCCCCTTATTCAAATCACCCCTAATTACATGTCGCCTGAAGGGTTTTGCAGAAAGTTGTTTTCGGATTTACATTACTTTTTGATCCGATTATGAATGGATTTCACTTTCCGAGGCATGCGTTGTTCTTGGTGGAGCCGGAAAGGAAGAGCCGGATACCTGCTGAAAGTGAGATTTGTGTTGGGATTGTGATAAAAAAGGAGTGCTGGAGTTGCTGTCGTAAATCGAAAATTCGGCGGAAGTGTCTTCGAAAATTTGTTTTCGATTTTTAAGTGGAAAAAAACTTTTTATAAAATATCGCAGTTTAAAATTTGACCAAAATTACAAATTTTTTAAAACCCGGAAAAAGATTTTTTGCTCTCTGGTAATTTCCGCGCATAAAATCGTGATGAATTTAGGGTAGCTAAGTGATGAATTTCTGCTAATAATTTACGGAATGTTTCATCAACATTCTCTTGCAAAATGTTTCATAAAAAATTATTTTCCAAAGTTTCATTGGCTCCAATTTTTTTTTTTGAAATTTTCTGACTTGACCTCCACGATGTTCTCTGCTTTGCTCGCTTCCAATTTCATGCTATGACCCGTCTCTATCTACTTCCATAACTCTTTCCTTCATTCATACCAAGTTTGGATGGAATTAATTTTATTTCCTTAATGAGATTATTTCCCATATAACGTAATCCCTTCCTTTGTCTTCTGTAACGAGTCTGCAAGAGTTTGTAATTAGTAGTATTGTCTGATCGGACAGTGCAAACGTCTTCGAGGAAGTCCATTGGGAAGTAATGTAACCTTTGTGATGACAAGGTTGTTATGCGAGTAGGTTGATGGCTTGCTCGATGGGCTCGATAAACTCGAATAGAAGGCCTTTGTATATACAAAAGTTTTGAGGGTAAATGTCGTTGTTTTGTGGGGCTTCGAACGAGTTTTCAAGTTTTGTAAAGGTGATTTACAATCTTGGGAGTAATGGCATTGCAAGAGCGGGCTGTTCCGTATAAAGGCAAAAGAAACTGTAGGGAAAATAAAAGAGTTTATGATGTTTTATACGGCTTTGTTTTTGTTTGGAAGCGACATGTTTAACACCGTATCTTAAACATACAGTTTTTGTGAAATCTCGTTCTCGGAAAAAGCATTTGAGTCCTGATACAGATTTTTTACGTCTTAGAGATTGCATGAGTTGCGATTTGACACCAGTTGCCCTCCTTCGCAACCACTTAAAGCCCGTGAACATGTTCTAAATCAACCCCTTTCCTGACATATTTATTTGTCCTCCCCCTCACTCCGCCCGTGCCAGTTACCCTTCCCATCTAGCTGCCAATTCATTCCTCGCGCACATTTCAAACCATTTTGTATTTTAGCCCGGGGCCATTAATCGTAACGCGACTCCATTCGGGAACTCTTGACCTCCAATCCAACCCCCTCTGACCTTCAAGTGAAATTGGGCGTGGAATGGTTTTTAAGCGACAACAATTATGTCATCAAGGGTAAATATTATAGTAAGGGCGATAGACAGTGGAGTTAAGCGCCACTTTTATTTTTGTGGGAACAATTTGGCCATAAAACTGAGGGAATGTAAACAGATCTTTTTTTACAATTTCAAGCAGTTTTGGAAGTTATAAAAAGGCTGTAAAACTGATTTACCATGCTCGAAGAATGGGGGAATTAAACAGTTTGGAAATTACACCAGTCTTTTATTCCGGTCATTAAAAAGGTCATTTCTTAGTTAAAGATTTTTATGATCAACGGGAAAACATACCATAGAGTAAGGGCTTGAAAATAAAATACGGTGAAATACCACATAAAAAAATTTAGTGGCCGTTTTTTTTATAAAAACAAAACTTTTGCACAATTTACATATGTATATATCTGTTGCTAATAACGTTATAATTTGACTTACAATTTTATTACTATCTCAGTCCTTAGACGTATCTTAAGCAAATATCTGATACCAAGTATAATATCAGTTGTCATCTACCCAATGTTTTCCCCGAACTCCCATTACTTTTTTCTTTCCCCACTCTCTCGGTTCCCCATTCTCTTTCTCTTTTTTCAAGGTTTTTATCTTTCCGAAAATTCTCATCGAAAGTTTGTAAGCCCCGCCCCCTTACTTTTCATACAACGTTCGAAGGAATTCCCGTCCACTTTTACAATTACTTTTGTATTTCCCGCGCCGTCCTTTTCTTATCATCGCAAGTTTAAACCGTTTTTTCGAGGGTTTAACAGGAGTGGTAACGCTTCTTCTTTTCAGAACGAGATGGTCCCAAACCTGGGCCAAGTGCCATTCTTGGCCATCACTTTTTTGGTTTTAGCAGGTAAGAGACTTGTGTTTGTAGGGATTTGAAATTGATCTGGGAGAGTCGGCGAATGAACAGGCCTTGGATGGAGAGGTTTAGATAATTTAGAGACGAGACATCTGTAAGGAGTAAAATAGGAAGATCTAGAAGTGATCTCCAAATCCCTAAATGATTTGGAGATTCTTGATTCTGTTTAAAGCCCTAAGTATTGTGTAAACACGCAATATAGACTTAGATGTCTAACTCCGGATAGTTAAAGCAGTCATCAGGCCTTACGTGTTCCACTGAACACGGGAAATGAGAATTTGTGTCATCAGCACACAGCCAGCAGGATTTTTTTTTCTTGGCTTTATGATGACATAAGGTGTCTCTACAAAAAAATTGTCCTGTAAATATGCAGCTCACTTTCTCTAGATCTCTTATATGATTTGAAAAGTTAAGACCTCTTTTCCTGAAGCAATAATGGCCTTTCATATCATATCCATGAGCTATCTCTGGCGGCCGATATCGATCAGTTCACATAGCTTTTGGATTCAAGTTATGTGAACTGCCTGGCAATCTAAGTTCTTTAGCTTGCCAGCTAAAAGGGTTAGACCATCAAAAGACTTGCTGCATGCTTACATCAGACCTCCCAATGGCCTCTAAACTTATTTCTTTTTTCTAAAAACTTTCGGCGAGATTTTGCGTCTAACAATAAGAACTACCGGATTTTCAAAATACGATAATGCTCACTTATTCTATATAACTTTATACTTGCAAACCGTCCTTGATTTCATAACCCTTGTAAACAAGAGAGTTCAGATTGTTTCCAAACACCCTTTGGCTGGTCATTCCCCCTTTTTTCAAGGTTGTTACAATTACTTTCTAAAGAGACCTATAACTTTCCATTTTGTAAAAAGTCATCTCCCACGCACTTCAGAATTCAACGAATTTGTTTGAAAAAAGATTACAATTTAACGCAAAATTCAGCAAATTGTTGTGCTGTCTGTTAAGAGAAGTGTAAACTCAGGTTTGAACTAAATTTGAGGTAATCTTGAGGTTAAAGGAGTAACTAAAAGTGCGTTAGAAGTTTCGGAATGTTTGGAATTACGGGTTTCTTGAGGGGAAATTGGCCTTGACTCATTGCTGAGGAGGAAAAGAGACGAAACACAAGGTCTAGAAGACAGAACATAGATCACAAATATATAAGTAATACAGTCAAGTACTCCTACTTTGATCGTTTCCAAATAAGGGGGTTTTTAGTGGAGTGAATGAAAATAAATGTAACCTAAAGATAGCAGCAGAGTTTTGGCATATAGAAACCGCAAAATACCATGTGTGGCCTAGACAAAACGCGTGTGCGAAACTAAAAAAACATGTCAAATCATCCTCGCTTCCATTGCTGGCCGTTTTGTAAGACCAGTATTCAACCTCTCCCAAACATTTTCATATCTTTTATTAAGTGCCTAGAACAATATAAAGCTTAATTTGCAGCAGTCCACGCATCAGACGATAACCCGATCACCCGCAACTTTAGTTGTCAGCCCAATGGTTGCTGCGATCAGCATGAATGGTGCAGATTCTGGGCCTCCATGGGAGAGTGCCGCTCGAATCGAAATTGGATGGATCGGAACTGTCAATTGGCCTGTGGAAGTTGTAAAAAAGGTAAATCTACAGTACGATAGTGTTAGCGTATACAAACTTATGTTACTCCAGATTTGATGTGTAAAAACCGGAACAAAAGTCATTCTGTTTTTATTTACAAAACTTTTTAGTGGGGCTACTACTTTTGAAGAGAATGATGATTTACTGCTTATGAAAGTTGACGTTCCAGAATTCGCTGAAACGGAATCAATAAATTAGATATTAAACTTGCAAAAATAGGGAAGAGAAAGGGTGGAAAATAAGTGAGAAACATTTTTGAAAAACAACTTGTAAATTTAGAACATGACAAAAACATTACTGCAGGTTGGTAATCGAGTTAGAATTTTCAAAAAAAATTTACAAAACGGCCTAAAATACTCGAAGATTGCGAGTGAATTTAGAATAAGATAGAAATGGGAGTTAAAAGTATCAAAAAGTATCCAAAATAAGTTTAAATCTCTTTAGCGCCCTTTATCCGGCCGACAGTTCGGCCGACCACTCTCCGAACAGGCGCTCCATCCCCTGCACCCACCACTCGCAGAGTGACCAGACCCACCACAACGACTACCAGAAGGACCACTTTCTCCACTTTCACCTTCCCTCCTACCACAACAACCAGAAGAACTTTCCCTCCAACCACGTCCACCACGACCACCAGAACCACTCCCAGAACCACTTTTACAACTCCAACCACTACTCGGACAACTACTCAATTCACAACTACTGTCCAGCCGGCCAACAATCCCTTGGCCAGATGTCGGCAGATCAGAAATGACCCGAGTTTGGCCGCTGAGGTTTTGCTGAGAGAACGGCTGATTTTCCCGAAGGAGGGTGGGTCATTTTAAGAACTCTAGATGTCATGGATAATGTCAGAAAACTCTTTTTTCTAAATCTATGACCTTTTTAATGTTTTCCATTCGATTTCCTCTTCGTAGTCTCGCGATGCACGAATTCCTTTCCAAAAACAGTTGCAAATTTAGTAATTCCTTTACAGAATTTGAAACAGACGTTTTAAACAGTGCAAGGCCTCTTCCAAATTAACCTCTAATGCATTTTTGTTTCATCCAAACACACACAAAGATAAAAAAAAATTGAAAAGTTTAGAATCAAATTTGCAGATATTTCTGGCCGACGAACAATGCTGGGAATGGACAAGCTGATCAGATCGAATGTGGCCAACGCCTGTGTCCCCAGACTGGACGATGCGGAGTGCGAGCGATCTCTTTGTTACAACCTGTTCTTCCGAACCATGGACGGGACTTGCAATAACTTCAATCAGCCCCTCAGGGGAGCCGCGTTTAGGCCGTATTCGAGATTGATGGCGCCGGAATACGATGGAGGACTCAGCGAGCCTGTCTGTAAGTGAGAACATCTTTGAGTCACTGTCTATATTCCTTAAATTGTCCAATTAAAATATAAGTTCTTTCCTTAAAAAAATAAATTTAAATTTTGCAGCATCCCTCCGAGTGACCCGTCCCAGTCCCAGAGAAGCGAATCGTGCCATTCTGTCCACCTCGAAGGCTGTTCTGACCCAAGATTTCAACTCCCTGCTCATGCAGTTTGGCCAATTTATTGTGCATGACATGGCCAAGACCACACTTGTTCCCTCGGCCAAGTGCAATGTCTGTCAGAACATCCCTGGCCGTTGCATGGCCGTATTTGTCACTCCTCAAGACCCCAATCCCAGCTTCAGAAGGGACGTTTGCATTCGTGTCTCCAGATCCTCGGCTATTTGTGGGTCCGGAAGAACGAAGCCAAGGCAGCAGTTGAATGAGAACACCGGCTACATTGATGCGTAAGTTGATGGAGAAATTGTCGTTATTCACTTGGCAATGAGGTGAAATATAATGTTGTTTAGCTCCCCCATTTACGGCTCTTCCATCGAAGATATGCACAAATTCCGCGAAGGAAACACCGGGTTCCTGAAGACCAGCAACTTTAATGGCCAGAAGACCTTGCCTTTCGACACTTCCCAATGTCGTAGTCGGAACGATTGTAAGGCTGTGTTCGTGGCCGGAGATTCCCGCGTCAATCTTTTCCTCGGCCTGACCTCCTTCCACTTGTTGTTGACCAAAGAGCACAATCGACTGGTCAGTATGTTGCAGCGAATCAATCCGCATTGGAGCGGGGATCGGTTGTACCACGAGGCCCGAAAGATTGTTGGAGCCGAAGTTCAGGCCGTCGTTTATCGAGAGTATCTGCCGAAGGTGCTGGGATCAGCATTCGCCTCGACTGTGGGACAATACAGAGGGTATAATCCGAACATTGACTCGACAATTGTCAACGAATTCACTGCCGGAGCTCATCGATTTGGTCATGGATTTATTCAGGTGAGAATTGAGTGTTGGGTTGGGGTTACTGTAACTGAAGTTTTCTAAATTTCTATGACTTACAATCTATGTTTTAGGAATTCTACCCTCGATTGGATCAATTCAACCGTTCCATTCCTCAAGGTGGATACAACTTTGTCCAGGGTACCCTCCATTCCGAGAGATTTGTCTTTGAAGGAGGAGCTGATCCCATTTTGAGAGGAATGATGTTCACTCCGTTAAAGAGACCCCAGCGATTGACTCCCTCAATTACTGAGCAAATGTTTGGCAGTACGGACTTGGGAACTATCAATATCCAGAGAGGAAGAGATCATGGACTTCCATCTTATCTTAAGTTCAGACAATTGTGTGGATTGAGTTCACCACGAGATTTTGATGGAGTAAGTCATGTATTTGAAGTATTACCATACATTTTATTTCTAGTTATCGAGAGAAATTCTGTCGGAGAACGCAAGGAATAATCTGAGAAGAATTTATGGATCAGTTGGTAAGTTGTAGGACCTTATTTCAGCCCCTGTTTTACTTGATGACCTACTGAAATTTAATTATAGAAAATGTCGACTTCTATGTTGGTGCAGTCCTGGAAGATCCCGTAGTTCGAGGCCTCATTGGTCCCACTTTATCGTGTGTGGTCGGCCCACAATTTGCTCGATCGAGAGATGGGGATCGGTCGGTTTATCATGATGTTATCTATGACGACCTTTGCTGAAATTAACCTCAAATTCTTGCAGGTTCTACTTCGAGAACCCCGGAATCTTCACTCGCGCCCAATTGGCCGAGATTCGTCGTTCGTCTTTGTCGCGAATCATCTGCGACAACTCGGACACGATCAACACCGTGCCCAGAGAAGCCTTCCGACTTCAGCCCGTGGTCGGATGCAACGAAATCCCTCAGATGGACCTGACCAAATGGAGAGATTAAGAGCTTATACTCGATATCTAGTATACTATTCATCTCTATGTTTGCATATCACCCTCTCATGCTTACTGTAATTTCCCGAAAACAGGTCACCATGACATTTGTTCTCTACTCAAAAAAAAATTATTTAAATTTTTAATTAAATGCTGACAAGTTTCCGGGAGAATTCGGTAGCCAGCAGAGGGGAGCGTTGTTGCCTTCCGGGTGTTTTGTCTTCCAATTTATCGCCGTTTGGCCCCGTTGAATTAATCCCATCTGATCCTCCCAGTCTCCGTTTCTAAAGACGTTTCTAATAATCTCTCCAAGTTTTTTTTTCACTGCCATAACTGTAAATAAAATGTCGAATTAAATGCTGACAACAAGAGTTGGTTTAAAGGACCAGTACCACATTTAAAGGACCAGTACCACCACAATTTATTTATTTCTCCATTCAATCGGGACCATATTATCAAAGAAATCATCATAAGTCAAGGGGGGCAGATCGTCGATTGCTTGGGTGAACCTCGCCTTGTCCTTGTGATTACAGCAGCAAAGGATGTTGTCGATGGATGTTACGTACGCACATTTGCATCCAGTCATCAAAATCTCCGCTCTGAACTCACAAAGAACATGCATTAAAGCTCTGGCATCGGCGTCGACGATTCTTTCATGTCTGTTCAAGAAGGTCCAGGAATTGCTGTCGATATACGGGGCGTCTTCGTCTACTGTGTTGTTGAACAAGAGGAAATCGCGTTCATTCGCTCGATAGGTGTCTGACAATCAAATGACGTAAGTTAATGCACAATAAATTGTAATATTTGACTTTTATAAAACCATAATTCCTATCCCTACAATGACAAGCCTTACCCGACCGGTCGTATGTCTGATCGCTGAGTTTGCTCTTCTGCACAACACACAACGTCTGCATGGCGTAATCGTATGCCAATGCGGGGTCGTAGGGCTTGATATCGACGGGATAATCTCCAGCATGATTGCCCAGACATGTCTCGATAACCTGAAAGTGAAGACTCGACAATGTCCTCACATTATCATAGACAGCACACTGTCTGTCATCGTAGCACCTACTGTTCTGTCGTTACGTAAATATCGGCTTGGCTGGACACTCATGGTGAATATATGAGGCAGCAGAAGGTCGGGCGTATTGCAAGGGGTTTCTGGGCTTGTTCTGCATATACAAAATACAACTCGTCGGCGCTCCCCAAAGAAATTGGTTTCGTTTCTTCTGGAAAAACAAAACTTAGCCACTGTTAAATTGAAGAAAAGCTTGAACTCACGTCAGTAATGACATGCAATTCGTGGTTTTCCTCCTCAACAACGTATTGTCAACGAATCTCAAGTGGAATTTCTTGAATTCATCCAAGATTTTTCGGCTAAAATTAATACAAAATGATCTACCAGCTTCAGAATCAATAATCAATTTATATTTTTTTCCCAAACTTACATTTCAGCCTCGGGCAAAGATCCATTCAAGTCCAGATTATACATCGAAAAATCCCCGAAAAAGTAATGCATCTTCTTCAGTGCCAACTTGTACTTCTTCAGATGGTAATGTGGATAGCTCGAGAAGGTGATCGTGCAGAAAGCGGTGTCATTTATTTGTTGCGGGCTGAGTGGAGACTTGATATCGTCATTTGCAGCGAGATAATGCTGATTTCCGGGGATCAGAAAAGGTTCTGCCGAAGCTTTGAGGAAAAAACACTTGGAGCTGGCGCCTTTCTGCAAGAATTGAGAAAAAAATCAAAATTTCAAAAATTTAAAATCAAGTCATCCATCTACTACAATATCAAAAAATTATTCAAAAATAAACAAAAATATCGAACAAAATTTGAAATGTACAAGTTGCCGATTTATCTTCAATATTTTTTAAATCTGAACTGAAAAAGCTTGTTAAAATTTTGAAAGTTCTACATCAAATCATCCACTGCAATATAAAGTCCTCCTCCCAACTCACCGATATCCTCGTCACAAAGTCCAGGTCATGGGCATACTTTCTATCGCAGAATCTCTCTTCAGAATTACAGTAGATGACCAATATGAATCTGGCGTAATACTTCGTAACTTTTTCGATCCCTCTGTAAACCACGACGCCCGTTTCATTATACAAAAGTTTGTTGTGGAGCTGGGCGTGTAGGGTCAAAAAAGGGCGAGCCGTTTTTTCCGTTGGATTCACAGTCAGCTGAGTGATTCTACAGTATCCTTTAAATGGACCGTATCGTCTCAGATCCGCGAAGAAACAGAGATTATGATCGGTGAGACGGGGATGGGTGGGGACAAAAGGGTCGACGGAATGATTCCCGGAGGTGTCCAGGAGACGAAAAGCAGCGAAGAAATGGTCGATTTCTGAGGAACGGGTGGGGATGGTTTTCTGGAAATGAAATTTTATTAGAAAAATCAAAATATTATAGTAAAAAAGTTCGACCTTTCCCCGAACTTACATGACTTTTTATCGTGTGGTTCTCTTTATACGTCTTTACGTCATAGCTTTCGTAAAAGGTCTCTTTTATATACTTTTTACTTCCCCCAACTATGACCAAGTTCGTCTTATTTCTGAAATTAAAATTAAAAAATAATCAAAATTCTAATAAGGCTCATAAAAACAAAATCAACTTACTCCACAGTGGCAATATCAAAATGCAAAAGGCATCCCTGAAAAATAAAAAAAATATAAGAGTGAAAAAATAAGGCGGGTTTTGGGATACAGAAGTGGCAAGAAATATCAAACGGATAAGAATCCCTTACATTCGAAGCCTCCATTCTCAACGGATCTGAGACTCCGCGAGCTTCCTGAGTGTAATTCAGATGGAAAAAATAATTTCTAAAAATTGAATTCATTCATATTACTTCAGATGAGAACTTGCAAATAAATGGACTGCCCAACGGGTTCAGTTTTGAAACTCTCCTTCTTCAAATCCACTGGCAAACATCGTTGAACTCCGGGCCGTAATAAAGAGTGCTCTTGGACATCTCTACAAGCCACAGAAGTTGTGTAGCCACTTCCATTTGATAGGATTTCATATTGGTTTGAACATTTGGTGCCGTTCAGAGGGATATGTTCGGTCAGCTTGTCAATTTCTGCGAGGGTCTTGGCATCGAGTTGGGCTGGAAAACAATGACATTACAGGATAAAATAGTTTTGGATATCATGATGAGAAGTTTGGTTTAAGCAGTTTTTACTTGGCTTTAGACATCTTACAGTAACCCTTTTTTTCCCTCTTTTTTTATTTCGAAAACAAACCTTGGAACTTGACAGTTACATTCCGACTGGTTCGGGAATGCTGGAAGTTCTCCGTCTCCAAAAAATTACATTCTTCTGCCTCGTACTGTAAAACTTATATTTAAGTCAAGGGGATATACATGTAAATTTTAAGAGCGTGAACTCACATTAAATCCAAAGGCATCTCGACATTCTTTGGCCACTAGATCCTGACATAAAGCAGAAAATACGATGAAGAAAACGGTGATCCGCCGCATCGGGTAAAAAATATTCAAAATGACCAAAAATTTAATTTACGTTTTCATTTTTGGGACAAATAAAAAATAACTTCACAAATAAATTTATTGGAAAAATGTGGAATGACAAAAAAAAGTTCAAATGGCATTTTGTCGATACTCCTGTTGTGGAATCCCAAAGAATGGTCTAAAACAAAAAAAGATCTCAAAATAAGCGGTTTTCCTCTTACATTTTTTTATTCTCCTTCATTCCTTCCAAAGCTTCAGATCGATTGAGGGGATTTGGCTGCAAGGAACCGCCGTTTTCCCCGTCTGATCCACGTTGAACACATTCTCCGGGATTCGGTTGATCTCCGTGGTTTCACAGATGATTCTGGCTAGTGAAATCTGGTCAATACTCTCTTGTTGGGCATCCGTAAAGACTCCCGGCTTTTTATAGAAAAAGTTATCGCCATCTCGAATTCGTCGGAACTGATCGGCCCAGATGCAAGAAAAGGTGGGGCCGAGGAGGGAGCCTTGGCGAGGCTCCTCCAGGATCCCGCCAACGTAAAGTTCGAGTTTATTGATGTTGGGGTAGAGTTGGGAGACGCGTTCTCGGACCTTTGGGTCAGCAACCTCTGAAATATAAGGCAAAATTATGCAACACATATAATGTCTATATAGAGTAATATTTCCAGACTTTTTCAAACCTTCCACCCAGAGAACGTATGTAAAAGAAATAATAACCTCTATTAGAACAACGTTTATACGCTCTAAACCCCTTACTACAAGCTTTCAACACCCTTTCACCATCATAACCTTACCTGCCCAGTCATCATAACTCTTCAGTTTGGGCAATCCACACATAACTCTGTAATCATTGTAAGTCCTGAGACCATAATCTCTTCCTCTCATGATATTAATCGACGCCATATCCGCCTGTCCTCCGAACAAAAACTCGGTCATTGTAGTCGAGACCCGGCCGGGTTTCCTCGTCGGAGATGCCACATATCCCCTAAGGATTAAAGCGGCTCCTCGATCGCGCAGAGTGTCAAAATTGCCGGATTGAGAAGCTGTGGTGTAAGTTCCGACTACTTGGAAGTTGTCGTTGACTAGAGGATACGATTCCTAAAATTCGAAGGTTAACTTGTCAGCATTTTATATTGAACTAGATAGCCGAAATCAAAAATTAAAAAAACTAACCTGAACCAATCCATGTTGTCGCCCAGCTGCTCCAGCAAATTCAGCAGCGATTCCAGGGTCCACATCCTCATTAAACCCAGAGTATTCTCCCAAAAGGCTGGTCCTTCCGCCCAATACAGCTGGCAATAGCTCGTTGTAAGTGATCGCCTGAAGGACAGCTCCTTGAATCTTCCTGACCTCCTGGTAAACTCGATCCACATTCCATCTGGGATTGATTTGAGAGAGTTGCTGAGCAAGACTAAAAAGAACAAGATGGTTCTTATCCACGACCTCAGCTAGCGTAATCCTCCATCTTCTCACTCACCGATTATGCATCCTCAAAAAGATAGAATGCATGGACAAGAGGCCCACAAAAATGCTGGCTCGATCGTCTCCGGTGTCAAAATTGATGCCCTGGGAGAGTGGGGGGACCACATCTCTGTTGAGGGTCTGCGTTCTCATGAAGGCCCCCACTCTGATGTTATCCCCGGTGGTGGGATCCGATCCATAGACAGCCGAACCGTCAATGTAGGCCGTATTCTCGTTTACTGGGATTCTTGGACGACCTGAGACTCCGGTCATACACATGGGAGTGGAGCGCGTAACCGGGACACAAGTTCTTCTGAAGATCAAGGGTAATATAAGGTCAAAAAGAGGCGTATATGCCAATAATAGGGCCGTAAAATCAACTTACCGTCGATCCCCAACGTCTGGCTCAATATTCGCACATTCTGGCCGCCGAATTCCGCATTGGCAGACGTTAATCAACGTGTTTTTGGTGATGTCATGCATAATAAACTGGGCAAATACTGTAACGAACGCACTCTTAGAGGTCTGAAGGGATACTGTGGACGTGAGAAGACGATGCGTGACGGCTCTAGGGTTGGGAAGGCCAGCAGCTGAAAATGACTTTAGTCATTTCAAAAATTATATTAGTCATGATGACTACGTAATCAAATGGTAAAAATTAATGACCAACTTTGCATCTGCGAGAAGCCATCGGCATAATTGGCATCCAGAAGACGGAGATATGGAGTGTACGCGGCTCCCTGCAAATAATTTTTTTTGATTTTATAGTGGATATTCATAGTTAATATTGTAACGTAATTTTATTCCGAAAATAGCTGACCCTCATGACTTCGGTATGATGATTGCAAGACCCATCGAGAGTTCGATAGACCTTGTTGTAACAAACATTCCTGGAGCAGATATTTAGCTGATTTGGAATGGCACATCCACGTTGGGCTTGGGTTCGGAATTGGGGATCCGTGGGGACAAACCGGGTTTGGACTGCAAATTTTATATCATTAATTAATAGTAAGATAACATATTCTGATGATGTAAGGTTTTTGTCAACATTCTTAGAGGCAATAGTTCGCTTTAAATCATCACACAATATGTGATTTTACCTTCCTTGACCTGAACAACCGGACACTGATCATCCTTTGGCCTCTTGGTCGCTGTTTCCGTTGGAGTCTTCTTTGTTACTTCTAAAACCAAAGAATAATATTACAAATGACTCTTCCAGCAAAATCAAAACAATTTTCACTAATAGAAATTACCAATTGGAGGGACAAACGTGATCCCGTCGGTGGATTTGGGGGTCGTCACTTCGATATCACAACTTTTGCAGGCCTTTTGACAATTCGGCAGCATCCAGACCGCATTCTTCTCGCATTCCCCTTGGTTGGCCCAGAAAACACAGTGAATATGCTGATCGGAGCAGGTTTTCTGCGAGATCGCGGTGGAAATTAGGGAAGAAATGAAGAGCCAGCTGATGACGTCATAGAAACATATCCCCATCTTGGTTTGAGTCTATCGCCTCGGGGCAATAACACTGAAAATTAGGGATTTTTTTCGAATATTTTGAGATCATTACGATGTTACAGTAAGACTTTTATAGCAAAAAAAAAAACTCAGATAAATAACAAAATAAAGTGGAAGTTACAGTAAATGACCTTTGTCCCAAAACGGATGTCATTTTTCTCCCGAGAATCATTAAAAATTGGAGCAAAACGTGGAAAAGGACTGATGGATCAGGAAAGTAGATGGAAAGGAGTGAGCGTGGGCCGATGGAATTTTAAAACAAGGCCGGGACCAAGGAAATCATCTGTCTCGGCCTTGTCGCGTTTGATAAAATGAAAATCAAACGCTACTGATCAATAAATGGTTACAAAATGAACACCTTGGTTCAAAATCTACTCTACAGACAATAACTGACACTGAAGGCCATCCTAAAATCTACAAATTTCCCAAAAATTAATATTAACTACCCAAAAACTTACCATCCAAGCTGAAAGTGAGCGGTGAGTTTCACAAAAACCAGCTCCAAAATGCCGTCGCCTCTACATTACAAACATAAAAAGCCGTGAATATTACGTTTCGGTAAAGTCGGCGCCATTTTTCCGCCGAGAAAGACTCTTATGAAAGGTTTAAAAGTAAGGGCAATTATAGAGTTTCCGCTTCAACATCATTTGTTCCCTCCGTTAATCTCGCTCGGCTCCGGCGATCCAATTGTTCGGAAGCCTTAAGTAAGGTGAAAATAAACTTTATTTCCCTACTTATACTGCATCAAACATTAACAATATAATGATCTCAAATGTTCATACATCCACAATCCATTCGTTCCACGTTCTTATAAAACACGGATCCTATTTCTGGAACCTTTGGATCAGCGGCTAAATGAATGTCCAAGCCGTCCATTTTATATCGAAAAACGAGGGCTCCTTCTTCTTCAGCTACATCATCAGGTGTAACGTCGGGCATAAAATTGCTTCCAGCCTTGATCAAGAAGTCCAAATCGTGTCTTTCCTTCCTCCTTGACCATAAAACTCCCAATTTTACATAGAGTCCAGCATTATAAAGTTTGAGAACTTCGCCGCAAAAATCACGGATGTAGGGCTTACTGTTCTGCAAACATCTCAAAAAAAAATGTGAATCGTCCTCAGGATTATTATTTTCCAGAAAATCGACTAAATTTTTATTACCTAAAAAATCAAAAAAGGATAAAGGATGACCAAAATAAAGTAAAAGAAGCCAATCCAATCCGAACCAAATAAAAACTCACAGAAACCCAATAAAGTTTGAAACTGATTTCGCGAAGACATGGATAATAATCCCGCAAAATTGCTTCAATGTCATCCCTTATACAGTAGGCTCGCGCAGATCTGCTGACTAACATAAGATCGAGTTGTTGGACGCTCTTTCTCAGCGAGATACTGCTGAAAACAACTCATTAAGGCCTTTCCTCTAGCAAAATAGAAAATATTGTTTACTTACTGTGGTAAACGTCGGAAGAAATTGACCTTATCCGCTCTGACGTGAGCCTTTATAATATTCGCCGAAAGCTTTGGTGTATAGAAATCGCCAGTTATCATCGAGGCATTCTTGGTATAGCGAAGTTTACAGGTATTGGTCGAAAGAGGACTACAAAGATGTTTTAGGACAGCTGGATTTGTAGCCAGGGTAGTACATTGACAGAGAATACTGAGGGCATCTGACGCTCCAAAAGAATCACTTTGGTATCCTAAACAACAGATCACTTGGTCATAGATTGGATCATATAACAGCTATTCACGCAGAAATTTTACGTAAGGATTCGTCATAACTTACCTATAATTGAATAAAATTGTAAAGCAATACCTTACCTCTGATGCAAGTTGCGTTCGATCGAATAACACACACGCGAACCAATGATTCCTCACAGACATGGACGTACCCAGGAATAAAGCGGACATGAAGATAAAAATCGACGAATTGAGCCAAGAGGACACAGAAAATCCGAGAAGAACCGTGAGAACAAACCACGTAGTCGGGGAATTCATGATGGGTGTAGATTTCAATCCTTAGGCTCTCCAAAGACTTCCTCAATCTTCCACGATAAAACCTTGAGATCCCCTGGAAAAAAATAAATTACATCTGATACTACTTTAGGTAATAATGAAGGTAATATCTAACGTATAGCGGGGATGGATGGATAAATCGAAAAAGTGTTATAATCAGATGCCAAGGAAGCTTCATCTACCCGTATACTGGGTCAAACTCAACATAAACCCGTCATCAAACAAAGGAAAAACATTATTTTAGGTAACCAAATACAAAAATTTTTGAGGAACGAGGTAAAACAGCTATACGAAGTTGGATAATGGATCCTTGAGAATCCCGACTTTACAAACACAAAAAAAGAGCTAAAAAAGACAAAACCGATCGACTTCACCTCGAACAATTTTCACGCAGTCGATTTTTCAAGAAAAGAATGCAAAAGAAACTCACGAATATAAACTTGGCACGTTGAAAGTTGAGTTGCTCGATTCTGTCCTCCCGATAGCCCTTTCTGGCATAAATTCCGAAATCTTCCTGCTCATCTTGTTCTTGAAAGAGTTTACTATTTTTCACATAAAACTCAACAAATTTTACCGCAACTTCAGGGTTCAGCCGCATCTTCGCCGAACAGGGGTGGCAAACGGGTCTCTTTTTCAAAATTTCAGGCCCGGGGCCCGGTAAAATGGATACGATTTTTGAAATCAGCGCCATCGATTACCCTCGTAGAACTTCGGATTGATTAATATTTTCCGAACCCTAGATACTGTACACTGCTGGACAAAATGATATGACCACCGCAATTTTGCGCTGGCAATTTGTCCATGGTAAATGAATTGCTTTAATATTTGGTGAAAGTGAGTATGGAGCAATGTTACATGTACCCAAAAAGTATCAAAGGATTTCAAAAAGTGCAAGGTGAGTAAAATTTGGAAAAACGCGAAACCGCCAAAAATCGGCTGGACAAAATGATATGATCACGTGGTTTAATTCAATCTTTTACTAATAACCACAATTTAACAAACAATCCTAGTAATGAGTGAGTCCTCCACTGATTACTAGGACTGGTATGGGGACACGTTCGGCCAGGTTTAGACGGGTTTGAACGCGTTAAACCATGTTTGATGCAGAGCTACCCAAACGGGTGAATATCTTCCATTAACGCTTTCCAAAAGTTTTAAATGACGTTTTTATCATGTGATCTAGACGTGTAATCACCTGTGCAAGCCTTCGCTTTTCGTACGAACTCCATGGTGGCCTGGTAGTGTGGATTCAGCAAACATGCGGTTACCATGTCCAGCTTGGGCGACCCATTTGCTATTTGACCCTGGGGATAGATGTGCTCCTTAGGTTTAAAATGTAACCCGGAATCTCTCTAGAAACCGACGAAGTCAAGAAAAGTCCCCGCTGACACGATCACAGCTTTGCAGATGCAACTTTGCCGACCTTCACCTTAACCAGCAAAACCGAGTTTTTCAAATGGATTTTTAGCGATGCAAAACGGCTTTCATTCGATGGCCTATGCAATTTTAGAAGCTACAGCACACCTCATGCACCCTGGGCCATACAATGAACTGTTTTTTTGTCGCTAACGATCCCTTTGAAAAACTTGGTTTTTCTGGTTAAGGTGAAGGTCGGCAAAGTTGCATCTGCAAAGCTGTAATCGTGTCAGCGGGGACTTTTCTTGACTTTGTCGGTTTCTAGAGAGATTCCGGGTTACATTTTAAACCTAAGGAGCACATCTATCCCCAGGGTCAAATAGCAAATGGGTCGCCCAAGCTGGACATGGTAACCGCATGTTTGCTGAATCCACACTACCAGGCCACCATGGAGTTCGTACGAAAAGCGAAGGCTTGCACAGGTGATTACACGTCTAGATCACATGATAAAAACGTCATTTAAAACTTTTGGAAAGCGTTACTGGAAGATATTCACCCGTTTGGGTAGCTCTGCATCAAACATGGTTTAACGCGTTCAAACCCGTCTAAACCTGGCCGAACGTGTCCCCATACCAGTCCTAGTAATCAGTGGAGGACTCACTCATTACTAGGATTGTTTGTTAAATTGTGGTTATTAGTAAAAGATTGAATTAAACCACGTGATCATATCATTTTGTCCAGCCGATTTTTGGCGGTTTCGCGTTTTTCCAAATTTTACTCACCTTGCACTTTTTGAAATCCTTTGATACTTTTTGGGTACATGTAACATTGCTCCATACTCACTTTCACCAAATATTAAAGCAATTCATTTACCATGGACAAATTGCCAGCGCAAAATTGCGGTGGTCATATCATTTTGTCCAGCAGTGTATATACACATCAAAAATCGGAATGCCAAAAGTGCCAAAAGCGCACCTCAAAAAATAATTTAAAAAATTCTTTTGTTTTCGTGCCAAGACTCAAAAACAACTTTTCCATTTCTATCAACCATTTCGTTTCGAAATTTTCCGGCCTAATTGTCAAGGAAGATATAAGAAATCGACTATTGTCTTGAATTCGAGAAATTTGATCTCATGGAGAAGCCGGTGCCAAAGGTAATATATGGCTCGGGACTTCTAAATCTCTCCGCAAGAGTCCATCCGAACCATGCAAATTTACAGGGGAAGTACTCCAAGTGCGACGCTCAGATTTTCTTTAAATTTTGCACACACGTCGGGTATGGACTAAATATCAATTCTGGAAAATTTTAGCTCGCGCTTTGCGGGCGCCGCCGATATATCGAACGATTTTTGCCGCCGAGAGAGCACGCTAAACGTGGAGAGCGGTCAGAGAGAAAAGCGCTTTTTGGCCATAATTTTGGCAGTTTCGTGCGGAAAAATTTGATTTTTTGTAGAAACATTATCCTTTACAGTTGAAATAGGCATGAAACTTTTCGTGCCGTAATTCGACAAAAAGTCCTAAATTTTTGCCGACTTTCGATGTAAAAATCTCGGTTGTTTCTGCAAAGCGCGAGCTAGGATTCTCGCATATGTCTTAGAAAAAATTATTCTAAATTTATGCCAAGTTTCATCAAAATCTGAGCGTCGCAATTGGAGTACTTCCCCTGTTAGTACAAAGTTAATAGTTACGCAATCTGACATAACATTGCGCAATGTCGTAAGAATTTCTGCCTTTCTGCCGCCTCCTCCTTTTTTGTCAACTTTTAACTTTCGACTAAATTTGCAGGGACTCTTGCGGAGAGATTTAGCAGTCCCGGGCCATATATAACCACTTCATCCAATAACCTTTCAGAATCTTGTTTTGGACATAACTTTGTCTTTGGAGGATCATAACCTGCTTAACTTGCTGAACAAACTCAACAAACTGCCAAGAGAAGTAAGTTTTGATTCAACTTTGTTTTTCTTTACCTTTTTTTATAGATTACTCATATTTTGAAATCAAAAATCTCACCGTTCCACTCGGCCCAGTTTTATATTCGCACGGGAAGACTGTTGAAGTATGATTATGAGGATTTTCGAGTATTGTGTGTGAAGAATAAAGTTGATAAGTCTTACAACTTGGAGGGTAATTGGATATTAACCTTCCACAAGTGAGTTGAGTCTTATTCTCACCTAAATTTCTTTGCAGTTTTATGCAGAAAGCTGATGAAGCCACGAAGTCTGCCATCTGCCGATACATCGGATCTTCTGTGACAGAATTCTTGAATGATCCTGATTTCAATCCATATCCAGTTACCTTAAACACAACTGTTTATGTAAAGGAAAATGAGACATTTGTCTGTGGAACCGATGTCCTTCAAGTTTATGACGGCATTATAGATGACTTGGATTACGGCGATGAGTGTGTCGTGGAAGTCGGAAGTTTAAATCCTGAAGCTGCTGTGCCAGACGATGTTTCGGAGAGATTCATGTCTTATGTGTCGGTAAGTAGGAAGGCTGACTGTATCGGCGGTTGGTGGAAAAACTACTATTGTGGGATCAAACGGGCTTCTACACTTGCCTTTTTAGCTACAAGACGGCGAGGCGATATAATATATACCTATTTTATATATTATATCGCAAATATACTCCCAGCCAAAAGTTTTGACTCCCCTTCTAACTCGGCCCAAAGTGTACCAATTTGGACCAAACGTATACTCCGCGACTAAAATTTGGAACAGGCTAGATTTTCTTTGCGGCTTGAGATCGGAGTTTCATTTCTTTTCTATTAGAATCGGAATATATTAAAACCCCAGAATGGATACATAGCCGTAGAAATCAGAAAGCTCATATGAGCAAAACACAAAATTTTAAAAAATTGGCGGGACAAAAGTTTGGAGCAGGGTTAGGAATGCGATCATAAATTTCCGGGTATAGTCAAAAACTCCTAGACTTTGGTATTTTTAGATGCTGCGAGGAGTCAGGATCTCAACGACGTGCTGATTTTCATCGAGAAACTCAAAATGAAAAAAAAATCTTGTTGAGCCAAAAATGACAGTTCAATTTGGGGAAAAAATTATTTCTTGGGTTGGGTTACCCATGTTATCGATGTATTAGCATTCTAAAATATATAATATGGTCGTATAATCGTAAAAAGACACTCAAATCTTCGCATGCGATCTTATCCGCACAGTACAATTTATGAAAAGTTTGGATTGTGCTTCGAAAAAAGCCAGATGTTTCAAACATTAAAAAAAATTTTCGGTCACCAAAATCAATGTTTATATTGACCTGGATTCCTAGTATGATACATTGTAGAGTTGGCTAACAAAACTACTTCAATGTGAAAGGGATAAAGGTATTTAGTTTTGCGCCATATGGCGACCTAAAATTAAAGTAAAAAATATGGGTCATCTTAACATCTCATATGTCCGGGTTTTTCGAAGTTGTGGCCTTTCGTGTTGCAATAGCGGTTGGTTTTTGTTTCTTCAAGATACCTTTTCATCCCACAAAAACTATGAAAAGGCCAATTAGCCATCAAGCCGCCTTACAAAAAATATAAAAATATTGAACCAAGATTTGAGGCACAACTCAAAATTTTCATAATTTATACTATGCGTATACGGTGCCAATGCAAGGATATGACTGCCTGCAGGAGATTATGCGACCATAATTGATATTTTAGAATGCTAATACATCGATAACATGTTATAACATGGGTAACCCAACCCAAAAAATATTTTTTCCCAAATTGGACCGTCATTTTTGGCTCAACAAGAATTTTTTTCATTTTGAGTTTCTCGATGAAAATCAGCATGTCGTTGAGATCCTAACTCCTCGCAGCATCTAAAAATACCAAAGCCTAGGAGTTTTTGACTATACCCGGAAATTTATGGTCGCATTCCTAACCCTGCTCCAAACTTTTGTCCCACCAATTTTTTAAAATTTTGTGTTTTGCTCATATGAGCTTTCTGATTTCTACGGCTATGCATCCATTCTGGGGTTTTAATATATTCCGATTCTAATAGAAAAGAAATGAAACTCCGATCTCAAGCCGCAAAGAAAATCTGGCCTGTTCCAAACTTTAGTGGCGGAGTATAGTCTACTGATAACCTAGTAATAAAAAATACCATAGCAGGACAACCCATCTAGCTGTATTTCAAAATCCAGGGACAATTTTCACAAAAATCCCCTCAAAAAAACGGGACAAAAGTTTTGACCCCCATTAAAAAAAGCTAAATATCGCCAGCGGATGCAGCCCAAACCTTTCGCAATCAACGTCTCATACCTGAATACAGGTTAATAAATTATTTTCCGTTGAATGCTTTGTTGCATTTGAGGATACAACGCGTTAAACCGTTTTTGATGTCGAGCTTCCGAAAATGGTAAAAATCTTGTTCTAGTGCTTTTCAAAAGTTCTGAAATATGTTTACATCATGTGATTTTGACGTAGAGAAAGATTAAACCTGCATTAATCTTCTCCTTTCGAAAAAAAGTCCATGATGGCCTAGCGGTGTCAATTCGGCCGATATCCAGTTGTCATGTCCAGCCTTGGCGGCCCGTTTGCTCTATGACTAATATAATCCTGAGACTCCCATTTACTTTCAGCGATGCAAAATGTTTCGAAACGTTTTTTAATGGGTTTCATTAACCTTAATCTTGATCTTGCCGCTACTGTAGACGCCCCCGAGCACGACGACATCTCCGCCGCCCATTTGGCGTTCCCTACGCCTCAAATTTGTATGAAGGGTACCGTAGCGTCTTAAATTACCTAGTCCATCAAATGAAAACCACTTTTCGTCGCTAAAAGTCCATTTCAAAAACGCGGGTTTTTCGTTAAGGTGCAGATCGGGAAAGTTGCATATGCAAACCATATGAGATCGTTCAACGGAAGTTTATTCTTGGTTTGAGAGTAGGTAGAAGTTTTAGGATTACATTGAGGACCTAACGACCACATCTAGCCCATTAGTCATAGAGCAAACGGGTCGCCAAGGCTGGACATGACAACTGGATATTGGCCGAATCGACACCGCTAGGCCATCATGGACTTTTTTCGAAAGGAGAAGGTTAATACAGGTTATTACACGTCAAAATCACAATTCAAAACTTTTGGCGGGGGTATACAATTAAATTGCAGTTTGTCAACTTGAAGGTCTCCGAGATAGACCTTGATGTAAACGGATTGTTCTATTTCCTTCTTTTATCTCCAAATGGAACTCGAATTATGTGCAAAGATCTGAGTTCGGAGGAGGACGCTGGTGAAGTTTTTAATGTGAATCATCCTCCGGTGATTGAACAACATGAAGTTAAACAAATGATGTTGGCTGTAGATGGAGATCATGTCTTTATTTTTATCAGGACGTTTAATGCGTTACATTATTTTAACAAAGCGACCAGAGAACAGGTTACGAAACAGGTTGATGGAGATCGTGAAGTGAGTTGGATGTTTAATATTGTAAATTCAATGCCTTGACATCTATTTTGTATTGCTTTAGATCACTGAAAGAATGTATGCTCTTGGACCGAATGCCATCATCTTTTGTGCCTCCGGATTTCGAATTGTGAACTTCCAAGCATCTGGAGATCCCTCATCTCCTATTCCAAGGTGTGATTATCCCCTAATTTCGTATTCATTTATATCTATGATGGATCGAAGCATCTTGTACAAAGAGTCAGTTGTTGATGGATATAGTCATCTTAAAGTAAGCGAAAAGACCGTTTGTTTGTTTCTTGTTGTTTTCTTTATAATAGTATTTATCTTTTATTTATTGTAATGGCACTGTGATATTATTTTAGATAATTTATCTGATTGGTGATCAATTAACCTCTAGAAATCTGTTTTTGTGTCATCCAGATGACAAGATTAGAGTGTCCTCTTGTCAACTCTTTCAAATCGATGGTCGGGAGACCAATCAGACCTCAAAATACTTTTTGGAAGCACCTCAGGGTAGGTTTTATAAACCTGGTCTTCTGATATTTTAGCCGAACCGATTCTATTCTATACTGGTAAAACTAAAACGTATCCTGTATCCTCCCGTTGGCTCTAATAAACCCTATCGTCCCCTATTGTGTCTACTTTCGTTACAGTGGCGGTCAAAAAAACGAACACCCCAAGGTGGTGCGCTCTAATGGAGACGAGAGTGGTCGTAGGTAGATAAATATGGTATCAGTGTAAAGCTTATGTAATACTAAGACGTGCGACTTTAAACTTGTGGTACTGTAGTGCTGGGCTAGCACATACTGGGGCAATATAGGGCTCTGGGTCTTTACTTTTCATCGGCTCTGCGCATTTGTTTGGCAAAAAGGCGTTCAGAATTTCCGCTGAACGCCTTTTTGCAAAATCAGTTCAAATCGTGAACGGGTTTTGCAATAAACCGTTCACGGTTTGAACTGGTGTCCAACCTGTTCAGAGCCGATTGGAAACGGGGTTCAATGTTTGAATTGGTTCACAAAACATTGAACCAATTCACTGGTTATAAAATTTTCAAAGAAAAATGAACAGGTTCACGTGGTCAAAGACCTCGGTTTTTTGCACTAGTTCAACCGACTCTGAACTAATTCAGACGGTTTCGAAATATACAAAAAAACTGGACGAAAATTCACAAAATGAGCGGCTTTTGCCATTTCCCGTTCACGAAATTTCGACAGAAGAAACTGCTGAACCGATTTTGCGAAAAGGCGTTCAGCTGAACGCCTTTTTGCAAAACAAATTCGTAGAGCCGATGAAAAGTAAAGACCCCGAGCCGTGTATCTTCTGCCGAATGTAAAAATTCGTCGGTGAAAGATCATACGAAATGTCATTGAATCATCAAATAATCATTTTTTGGCAATGAAAAAAATATGTCCAATTTCATGAAGCCTTTTTTTGTTATCAAGAACCGTAAGTTTCGATTTCCACCCGCCAAATTCGAATTTCGAAGGCTTTTGTCTTAGCTCAAGTTGCCATTTGCGCCTTGTGTGGTCGTTGTCGAAGAACAAAAAAAAGTTTGGGGTCATAAAATTGTCGCCGGCATCCCATTAACGACGTTCCAATCTTCTGAGTTTATGGCGCGCGACGATCTTTTTGGAAACTTTTATTCTCAATTTTCAAATTTTTGTTTTTTTTTTCGTTTCCGCGACGACCCGCTGAGCTTTCGTTCGACTATAAATTCAGCCTTGATGAACTCATTAAAGCCGAAAATGGGCTGAAATACGCAGTCATGGCGGCTCTGTGGGCCTTCAGAACTGGTTGCAGGTCTTTGAAACTTCCCATAGATCCAAGATCGCTTGATTTGGAAGGCGTTTGTCAATGCATTCATGCTCGAAAATTGTTTTGAGGCCTATGATAATAATAGAATTATCTCGATTTAATGATTGGATTAGGGCTTCGAATGGCCTTGACATTTTTCATAAATCTTATGATTTCAAAATTGAAGAATATAAGTAACATTAATATATGGACGACGATTTTTAAATTTCATCGCACAGGAACCCTGCAAATTTAGTCCAAAGTAAAAAGTTCACAAAAAAAGGAGGAGGCGACAGAGAAAGGCAGAAATTTTTACAAAGTGAGAAGTTGCGCGACGTTGTTTCAGATTGCGCAACTTTTAACTTTGGACTAAATTTGCAGGGTTCGGACGGACTTGTGTGATGAAATTAAAAAATCATCGCCCATATATCAAGTACAATATATTTTTCGAATCTTTTGAGCTCTTGAACGGGATGTATCGATCGCCAGTCGCAATTAGGACTACGAATTTTTGGTCTCAGTTGAGTAAACACAAAACAGTAACTTTCTAGTTTGTTTTGAATATTTGACAAAAAATTGAACCAGTTGCAAGTTTGTTCGAATTTTCCGAATAAAAGGTAGATGCTGATGTAAAGTCGTCCGTTTTTTGGCTCTGTTTGAGTCAATGTGGTCTCAGAAGTGGTTATTATATAATTATAAAGGAGCTGTGAGAAAGTGACGACAATATTTGTCACGGATAATATAATTTATTGTCAAAATGGGTTTATATTTGAAATTTAACGGTATTTTTCTAATTCCCACTGCCAGCAGTGGTATTTACATCAAGACCTGGCATTACATTTCTTATCATGGATTATATACTTCAACAAAGCTAACTTGATCTGTTTTCGAATACCGAAAGTCGTGGCCACACACGTCGTTGTCCTTCCCCGTCGCCTTGTCCTTGACTGGGTTTAGATTTATGTACTCGGTTGCCCACCATTTTATCGCTTTTTTGAATGTCGCTTCTTCCTTTCTTTTCTGACTGGCTGAAGAAAAATTTTTTTTTGAGGGAACGCGGATATTTATGGACCTACCGTAAAGTCTGATGGGCAAGTTTCTTTTTGGGCGAGGCAACATGAAAGCGGAGGCTGGATGGGGGAGTTGAAAGTGGTCGAAGTGGCGGGTAAAAGTTGATTTTGCTGGGAGCGAAAAGAAGTTTATTCTCAAAATGTATCCCATATTTTTAGGCTTCTCTATTGAACTTGCTGACATTTGCACTAAAAATTAAGTTTTTGATGCCATACAAAATGCCGAAAGATACGACCGAAAGAGGGTTTCCTCTGCCGGTCTCTTCGTTTTCCATAGTCCCTTGCATGATCTTTCAATGCCTCGGTTTCACTTGTCAAATGAAAATATTGAGCGTCACTTCTCTCAACGAAATTCAATTTTTTTCATTTTTCAATTTTTACGTTTCCAAGTACTTTTAAGTTTTTTGAACTCCATAAACTAAATAAATCCGAATTCAGATCGAATGTCGCCACTTTTTTGTCTACCTTCCCTCCGGCTATTTGCGTTATTTCAGCTGTGAGTTCGACTATTTCGGGTTCAAATCTTTTCGAGTTTTGCAGGTGAAATCGTCGATTTTACTTTGGAAATCCAAACGTGAGCCTGCTGAATTTTTAATCTAATTTCTAAATATTGAAACCTTTGGTTGAAATTTTGAGTTTGGTAACTATTATATTTACCGTACACTCAATTTGAAATTTATTTTTTGCTGACTGTACGTGTTGTGTATGAATGAGAATGTTTGTACGTATACTGTGAACCGAGTCTTACTGTAGATGTCGAAACCAAACTTTCCACCTTCTACTGGCTTCTTATAAATTTAAAATTTCTTTGAAACAGTTGTATTATTCATAAAATGGACAGGTGAATCTCAACAAAACTTGTTTCATTCTTCTATTTTGTGATTGTACAGGGGGTTCAAAGTGTTTAATGTCAATTTAGAGTACTGTGCACTGTTTTTGATTATATTTTCGAGCGAAAAATTATATTATACTTGGTATCAGACTTAAAAAATTATTATTTTTGCACGAAAAATCACGATTTTTTGTCGTCTCGACTGTTTACATGGCAAAATCGATTTTGTTTACTTGATTCTTGGCAGATCTGAAATTCAGTGTCACCTGAACGTTACTTTAATCCCACCTTTTCCCTTTCCTTTTACCCATTCCGAACGGCTGATTCAATTTCCAATTTTTTGTTTGTCGAATCCCAAAAATGCGTTCGTAACAATATCTGCCTGAGGGTTTTGTTTTAAATATTTGAGACAAAAAACGGCTGCGGACAATTCATTGGTTCCATTAAATTGTTTCAGACAATGAGGCACTATTTTCGGAAATTTGAAATTTTTTCAATTTCTGAAATTTCCAATTCGTCTGTACGAATATTTTTAGGGTGTTTGGAGGTGATTAATTTTAATTTCCCCAAAATTTTTATTATAAAAGCAGTTTTTTTCAAAGTTTAAACTTTTCTTTAGGCGTTTTTGACAGTATTTCAAATTTCCAATTCCGAGTTACTGTAAGTCTGAATGTATTTTGTCACATTTGATCTTTTCTTCCTTCCTTCCACCTGCCCATTTTATGTACATTTTTTCGCTTTCTCCTCCTAAAAATTCCATTTCCTCCCAGTCTGAGCAACAAAACTAGTAGCTATTTTATTATTGAAAAGAGAATTGCGAAAGTGATCGGGGTGAAAAACAAGGATATCACGTTGTTGCTGTTTGTTTGTGTTGGTTTGAGGAAATGGAAATGTCGCGTAATCAGCACTTTTTTCAAACTGCACTTCTGCGGGCGTTTTTAATAGCACAGCAGGTTTTTGGAGTGATAAGGAGATAAGCGACCGCTTCTAGGTCTGCTCAAAATTGTTTATAGCGGGGAAAAATATGTCATGATGACGGAATTTTGGCAAAATTTACGTCATACGTGCAAGAGTAGGGAACGACGAAAAAGTTGTTTAAAAATCGATAAAATACGTCATTCTGACTGATTTTTTGATGTCTAAAATGTTTGTGCCCTAAGGCAGATTAAAATTTTTATCGAAAAACCGATTTTAAAATTGCCAAACTCCGCTTTAAAATTATAAAACTTTTTAATTTTGTAGTATAAAAACATGCAAATTTGTGCCGGTTCGGACAATTCTCCTCTTCACATGCCAAACCCCGACGCCCACTCCCAGCAAATTCCCATCCCGACCGTCTGACATCGCATTTTGTAACACTGTTATCAGTAGCGCCCGCGAAAACAAAAAAAGATCAGGCGCAAAACTTTGGGTGACGCGGCGAGTAAAATTGATAAACAATCGGAAAAAGTGCAACAATATTGCCTGGGGGTTCATCGAGTGTAATGTCAACATGTCTTATCGTTTTTTTCCGCGCTTTTTTATGTGTTTTGGCGGTTGTTGCGGACGATTCTAGAGGGTTTCTTGGATTCTGGAATTATCGTGGGTCCTTCTGAGTCAAAGTTTTGTGGTTGTTGGTACCATAGACGGTCGGGAATTTAGGTTCTGTCAGTTATTTTTCCTTTTTTGATCAAAATTTGACATCAAACATCGAACGGAATGCGATAGTTTTGTTTCATAATTCCAAAAAAAAATGTCAAAGAAGATCGCGATTATTCAGCACGCGGTTTAAAAATCTCAGAAATGTCTCGAAAACAAATTCATTCTACACATATATGCATAATATTTACCAGGATTACACAATCTATTTTTGATTACTCCCATTTTTTTATCATCACATTTCCCCATTCCGAAACCCTTCCTGTACTTTTCATCTTG